AGACACATCAGTCGCAACTAAGCAGGTAAGTAAGTAAAGAGAACACTTATTGAACAAGTATAGTTTTCAATTCTCAATAGGCCACATTTTTGAGTATGATATATGATTAAATTTATTACCAATGTAATGACTGCTTATATAGCTAGGAAATTCGTAAAACAGACTCCCTTTTTGCCAACTCTTTTCATCACTACTTCCGGCTTAGATTTATAAGCATCGAGGCCCATTCCGGCGGAGGTGTACCCAAGGTAATGACTCTTTTCAAGTGCTGAGCTTTCTTAAGTGTGACTCGAAAGCGTTCCACTCGCTGCACTTCCTGCATCAAAGGATGTGAACAAGATAGACTGTGTTTTGGCCACATCAACTCTACCACATGCAAGTCATGTGCGATAGAAACAATGAATTCAATAAGATTCATTGCTTCATCAAAAGTGATATGCATATCCCACGCGATACAGAAGTATTGGACTTTAGCTGGGGCGTACGACCCCCCAGTCCAGGCACACATACAATATTCCAACCGGCCGCGGATGTTGCTTGTTTGAAATTGCAGACGTAGATGCTGATCAAAGATGCTGCTAGCTTCTTGCCGCATGAGACGACATGTTGACAGTAGAGCAGGAGTTTGTACGTCCCTTCTGTGCAATGTGAGATAGTCCCCTATACCATGCCCTCCATTAGGCTGCTGAAACGCGTACTCTCCTCTCAGCAGGCAATCAGGCGCACAAATGCGATAAATCTTAGAACGTATCTCAAAGGGCAAACTATAAAATGGAGGTTGGCTTTGCATTGGTCCGCGAATTTCGTCGTCCATGGTGATTAGATTCCTGTAGACGATAGTCAGAACGTACGAAATGTTCCACGGAGTAATGCGGTACCCGAAGCGTCTGAACCGCAAGTTACGATCAGCCCACGGATGCTTGAATGACTTGACTTGCTATTGTATTGGTACTTGTCTCCTAGTTGCAGCGACATTCATGGTCACTGAGATGCTGACTTGAGCTAGTCCTAATTATAGCCATGTTCACAGGCGACTCTCCGACAAAAACACCGCGCCGTGATCGCATAGGTAGCTAGCCCCACTCAGGACGTTCGGTAATGTCTCATAATCGCCGAGCGCACATAATTCCGCATCATGTTTCAGTGCTACTCCGTGAATCTTTTTCCACTGCTAGCAGTTGCCTCGAGATTGGGGCTCAAGAAAACGTACGTCGATAGCGTGACGATGAAACCTCCGCCGATCAACTACGAGCAACCATCAGCGAGTTCATTGGTATCAGGTCAGAATGTTTCAATACCTGCCACGTCAACTGCTCGTCAAAGAAATACACCGATCCTAATGCTGACGCAATCATGCCAACACTCGCAGCTAAGTTCTTGGAGTTGCTATCTGTAGCTTTGATGCACCACGACACCAGGAAGCCTCCTAACGCCTGAAGTAAAACGCAAATACATATAAGAATGTCGAAGTCCGGCAAAAAATCATACCAGGTTCTGGGACCGTGGGATAAAACCCCCAAAATGACACTCACAATAAGCGACGAAAAGGCCATTTGCGCATTACTTGTGAGTAACATGCCTGTCTGCTTTCTGAGTAGCCGTTCAGTGTAAACGCCTGCAAATCCGGACAGCATGCAAGCAACGACCATGAAAATAATGCCGCCGGATTTCCCGGTTCTCTTGTGATTATTTTTCACGATACCCGCCGACTTCTGGCTAATGGTGACACCTACACCGACTGTGAGTAATGACAGGCATTGAACAATACTCGGTCTTCGACCGAGTAGTAAGAAGCCACACAGAGCTGTGGTTATTAGTTTCAGTTGCGACAGAAGTTGGTATGTAAAGACGTCGAGGTACGAAGCGTCGAGATATTGCAAAGCGTTTTGCACAACGTAGCAAGTGGCTGGAACAGCAAAACTTGGAATCCCGCAAAAAACTGACTCCCAGTACTCGCGGTTACGGGACCAATAAGATGAGTTGCGATCACTGCTTTTGTAGATCCACCATGCCCAACAAGCAAAGACCTTCAGCACTTCAGCTGCCAAAACCATGCCTGCCAGTCTCTGTTGCAGATGTTGGTTCTGTTGTTCTGAGGATATTCTCATCATGATTGTTGTTGAACCCTTCATTACCTGTCCCAGCTCAACTACCAACCAAGCTGTGCAGGTAATTTAAAACTTACTACACTCAACGTTGCATTCTGAAACACCAACTACGGTTGTATATCGTCAGCATTCATTATGAAACTCTTCAAGTGATATCGGGACATACTGCTATGAAAGCCCACCTGCGCTTCATCGTTAGAAAGCTCATACTCACGTCACGTAAATCGAAGATAGGCGTGTGGCATCGCCTGCTTATTGAGATTCGTAATCTTTGCCAAAGAATGACACCGATGTGGTCTTAATTTTTAGCGAATACTGGTGCTGCGAGAAAAGTAGGCACAATAGTATAGGTTTCACGAAAGCCGAGCTCTTGAATGCTCCGTCTTTTCGGACAATAGTTATTCTCGGTCAAACTGCAGTGATTTGACGTAACCGGACCTGCTGCTCTATCGCTTCGGGGGTAAAGTGTAATTTCCGACCCACATTTAGACCAGGAATAGAGTTCGGAGATATGGGATGTCCTGAGGTCTTCCGCTGACTACTCAAAGAGGTGCAACCTGGAACGCGCTAGCCACATTGAGCCCGCGAATCGAGATATGACACGGCACATTGTCAGAATCTGCTGTTCTTCATTTTAGAATGGCAATCCCAATGTGTCCAGTGTGTTTGGAAGCTGAATGTCTAGCTCGTATAGCTAGGGGCCAGTAGCTTTTTGTTTCTTTGAATGGCAGATCCAACGCGCCTATCAGATCCGGCGTCCCCCGGACTTCAAGACTTCATACTTGTCATTGGTGGTCTTGGTTATATAGGATCTCATACTGTATTAGAGCTCCTGCTGGTGGGATACAACGGTACTCATCATGTCTCCTAATTGCTCGTCTGCTCTTGCTGATAAACTCCATTTCTCATTGTAGATGATCTTAGTAATGCGTCGAAGAATGTATTTTCAAGTATCGCTACGCTGGCGACTCAGCACTATGCGACCCGGCATTCACAGCCGCCCAAAGTTTTGTTCTACCAAGCAGACTTCAAAGATCCCGAAATAATGCGGTGTCTCTTGGAGACCTACAGCATCAGTGCTTCTACCCGAGGTTTAGCTTCTGATCGCAAACGTCGTTCGAGCATTAAAGCAACCATGCATTTCGCCGCATTCAAATCGATCCCTGAATCGATGTCTCGCCCTTTGAAATATTATGACAACAATGTGAGCGGCTTGGTACAATTACTGAGTCTCCTAGACGAATACTGCATTCGACATTTCATCTTCAGTAGTTCAGCTGCCGTGTATGGGGCAAAGCTGCACGCAGGAAGCCCATTGCGAGAGGAAGAATTGGTTCACCATCAGGAAACAGTTCTCAATATCCACGGGGAAGCTGAAATTATAGAGCCCGTCGTTTCGGGCCTTACTTGCCCTTATGCGCGGACCAAGTACATGGGAGAAGCTATTCTGGCCGATGTTGCCAAGGGGGACCCCTCTTGGCGCATCGCAGTGCTTCGCTATTTCAATCCTGTTGGGTGTCATCCATCTTACCTCTTAGGAGAAAGACTCGTCCCTGGGGCGACGAATCTCTATCCGGCCCTGGGACAAGTCCTTAAAGGTGTTCGCCAATCTTTCGAGTTGATGGGAAGTGACTGGCCAACCCGCGATGGTTCTTCCGTCCGCGACTTCGTGCATGTCCTCGATGTAAGCTCGCGGTCACATCGCGGCTCTTCAGCAGTCCTTGCATAGCAGCTTCCGAACATTCAACCTTGGCACGGGAAGTGGTACTACAGTTCTAGAGGCAGTCCGAACTGTGGAGGCTATTGCTAACACACCAATTCCAGTCACACGTGGTCCAAGACGTGTGGGGGACCTTCACGCTTGCGTAGCGGTAATCCAACGTGCGGCTGAGGAACTCCACTGGTGTCCGCGAGAGAACCCTTTTCAAGGCGCCGTGGATTTGTGTGTAACAGTACAGCGCGATATTGATAAAAGTTAGAAAGACTTTTTCGCACTCAGCACATAAGCGGGAAATAGTCTAATATTACATCATCTTAGGGCATGTTGTAGTGCTTTTAGCTGAGCAGTATCAAATTATGTGGTGTTTTGGGGGGGGGGGGGGGGGGGGGGGGGGCGGAAGCGCTCTCTCTACGCTGATAAGAAACCTTAACAACTATTCATTGTTTTTTTTACTGTCCAAATGTCGTGACTTAACGAAATGCTTATAGCAGGTATGCCAACCATTTAACTAAGTCTCAGTCTTGCAGCGTCTTTCGCCTGGGGGTGGGTTGTATTGTAATAGACTATTACTCCGCCGTTAGCCAGACTGAATGTCTCCGATATCCACGCTATTTGTGTCGTAACCTGTAAACTACATTTAATACTGCTCAGCTAGATACAGCATGCTTATCGGTCTAGTTACTACTACGCTCATGTGAGTTGCCACCGGCATGTCGTTAGTCTCGGATGTTTTCTTTGTGATTCATGCACGATTATGCGATCGGAGATAAAATTATAATTTACCACCGAACTCATCAGACACGCAGATGGTCATCCCTTGATCTTCCCGGCCCCTAGTTGCTGATAGAAAACCCTATATGATCTTATATAGACGAAATTTCGCCTTCGATAGAGTGTGGTTACCTTTACGTTCCTCCCATATTTGTGCACTTCTGCGGCATACTCACAATGCAATCGACCAAGCATGCAGCCTTTTCGAAAGGGCACGTTGTTGGAATAGCAATCACCGCAGCAGTGGCCTGCCTTGTAGTGCAACTGTGTGATTTCAGTACCTGGGTCAACCTAAGCACCTTTTCCCCACTGATTGATGTCGCGTCTCAGGTCCTCCCTAGAGGCCCTACCGGGGATGGCCATCGATACAGGATACAGATTTTCTCGAGGGATCCATTAATAATAACAGTGGATTCGTTCCTAAGCAACGCTGAGATCGCACACCTTCTACGTCTCAGGTATTTTCCTATCCATTCTTTCTATCGAAGCTGAATGTTGACAAAGTAGCGAGGGTAATTACCAACCATCCAAGGTATACGGAGGTGTTGAAGGCCATGTCGATCGGACGAGACGTTTTTCTGAGTCTGCGTACTTGGATCGGGATGACAAGATTGTCCAGCGAATCGAAACTCGGGCTTTGAGATTCCAGGGCTGGCGAGGAAATGACACTCGCTTACAGCAACCAGCGACTCAGCGTTATTATGTCAACGGCTTTCTCGATCACCATGTTGACTGGGACGTGTCTATGGTACACGGCAATCGCGTAACCACCTTCATGATCTATCTATCGGATGATTTTGTAGGCGGCGGGACTAATTTCCCGCTGCTTCAACCTCCTAGTGATGATACACGATGGTGTGAGGTGATTGAATGCGGAGGTGGTCAAGGAGATTACCCAGGTGTGACCTTTAAACCTAGGGCAGGGTCGGCTGTATTCTGGGAGAATATCCATATTAATGGTTCTGGGCATGAAGCCGTATACCACGCTAGCTTACCGATCAAATCCGGTGTGAAGATTGGGTTGAATCTATGGTCTTGGGACTTCGCGTGGGTACGGCCAGAACAAACCTGATGTTCTATGTTCAGGGGGGAGACGCTAGGATTTACCTTCGTTTGCATTAGAAGAGAGTAATGCACGAATGCTAGGGGCCAGAATAGTGATGTGTAAAAGGATGGATCCCAAGCTTTCCAAGCTTGCACTGGAAAGCTACTCTACACGTCGATAGATAAAATGAACTTATCAATTTATCTTAGCTTTTATTTATACATGACATTTTATGACTTTTGTTATAAAGATTTTCTTAAGATATATATAATAAATTATATTTAAGAAAAGAAAACATAAACTTACATTAGTAAACACATCGACCCACTCCACGCTTAATTAGTCAAGGCGCGTAGTATAGGTCCCGTCCAAGATGTGCAGCTACACCTTGTCTGGTCCAAAGACAAAATCTACATCAAGCCCGTTCCCACATTCCTACTCAATCGTGACTGGTGGGCGCAGGGTTCAAAAGAGCCGAAACAAACGTTCACTGCAATGCCTACTCTCCTTAGCTTCCTCCTATCGTACGCTTTCCTGCTACCACACCGTCTCGATGATGCGTTGGCGAAAGAGACACATCAATTGCTCGATGGAGTTGACTGGGCACAGTAAGCGAGGTTTATCAGCCCGTTTCGAAACATCTCGGAAGATGAGGTCGCAGAGCGTTATCATTATGGACAATTGCGTTTTTCGAGGTTGCATTGGGCAGTTCGAATCTTCCGCCCCCAAAATGCCAGCACGTTGTGGTTCTATATGATCCCCTACTGGTCAATTACTGTGTTCATATCGCACGCAACAGTTCCTGTACTTTTCATCTTTGGGAGTGTTTCTCTCGTTCCCTCATCGATGCAGGTTGCACTGTCTATGCCTGTGGAAGAGCTATTGTACGAGTATCCCACACTGCGAGATTTGAACACACTGTTTTGGGTGTTTTCTATCGCAGTGATGTTGTTTTGTGTAGTATTGTGGATGCTCGTCCTTTGCATTCCGGCTACAATCTTACTTTGGCAAGTGGTTTGGACGATCAAGGCTCGTAACAATAGCCGAAAGTTAAGTGTTTAACTATTGCACAAAGCCCAGGGTTACAATACCAGTGTATATAAAAGATAGTGAGCATTTTATGTTTTGGACTTGCTGACTTACAAGTCGCCTAAATAGGTATGTTAATAAATGCACATAGTTCTAAGAGCCTTTTCTGGCGGTATTGACACGATTTCAGGCAATATATTTACCTGGTGACATGTGACTGACGTGTCTGCACGCAGGAACTACGGCGCTAGCGGTCAAGCCTACTGAAAGACTCGCGGAAATGTGTTCTAGACGATCCAGCCAATATTCATTCACGTCATGTACGCTTCGTATAGGAAGCTATATCGGCCGTCCTCAGGATCCCGAAAAGTTGGTGCAGACTATTCCTGCAACGCTTGAGGACCCGGTCAAAATCTGTATCGTTACCTGTATATGTTAGGGAGGCTTTCTTGATAATGGATTTCGAGTAGCTGCAGTTCTTCAGCAACACGAAGCACAGCTTTCGCGGCGGTCTGGATTCCACTGAAATAGTTCCGCAAAAAGTCACCCCTTGAGCCAGTTGGCCGGCGAAGTCAACGAAAGATACGGCGCCACTGATTAAATCGACGACTTCCGCCAGTTTAATTCACAACAGTTATGCAAGGCTTTGTAGCAAGGTTGAGCTCAAACGCACAAACTACGAGTGTTGCCGGGCCTCATTAATGAATATGATGCACTGCAGTTTTAGCCCACGCGCAATCGATAAGATTGGCGAGCTGGTATGTTCTGGTGGCCAGCGGGAAATGGATGAATGTATGCTAGTACTATGGCTCAACCGTCCGCGAATCAACAGCTGTTTGCGGCCAAACAACAACCACAAAAAAAAAAAAAAAAATCATATACGCAAAGAACCAAGCGTGATACTAGTTAGCAACTAAGGAAGCGAATATGACGAGGGTACAATGCAAATGAAATTCGGTGTATAACCCAGTCATGGATAAGGCAAGTTGATTACTACTATGTATGTAATATAAAGACACGCGATAGCAGCGGCACGCCGTTCGTATACACAGCTAAATCTCTGCACGCCCAGTCCGTATCAGAGCATTCCAAAAATCCAAGTCACACAAGCAAGCACACACCAGTAGGTAGAAAAGGATTATAACCGTGTCTTCATAAAAGCGTACAGTCTTGTACAGACAAAGGAAAAAAAGTGGACATCTAACTCTTGTGGACGGGGGGCAGCAATACACATATCGACGCCCGAATGGGGGCTGCTCGATTTTAAGAATACTCCAGAGTCTGCCCCCTCTTTGCCCCGTTCCACCCCCTTCCTTCCGTCCGGTATTTTTCTACTGACCCCAGCCCGCAAATCCCAGCCCCTTTTCGCAGTATAGAAAGAATTACACAGGGTCCCGAGGAATTAGACCGGTACTCATCAGACGTGAAACTAGTCATCCATGGGCTTGTCGGTCAACGTCACTCCGTGGGACTCGGTAGGTGTGCTATCCTCCTCGCCTATGGGTTCCGCAGGGGTTGCGGCGGCCGCATTTGATGTGAGGGTGACCCTCCTCCCGCGCTCGAACCGTGCGCTGTTTCGGTTGAGGCTGTTGCGCTTCTCAACAATGGGCTCCGCCTCCGCCTTCACGTCGCCGTTGGTGCCATTGAGCTCATTGGGGGGAGGTCCCCCGGAGCCGGCACTGTCAGGGACCTCCAGACTCGAGCGCTTCACGCCGCCCGCGAGGGAGGCCATGCTGGTCCGGTGGCGGTCGGTGGTGGCAGTTGGCGAGGTTTGGATAGGGAACCGTGTCTCGGGGCCGCCTACACTGCGATCGCGGCGGTGGCGGGGGCTGGGTGCCGGGCTGGTGGCGCGGCCCCTGGGGTTGGCGCCTGCCTTCTCCAGGAGAGCCCGCTGGCGCTCCTCCATATGGGCTCGACGGTTGCTCTCGTCGGTGCTAATGGCACGAGGGCGGTTTGACGTTACGGAGCTCGAGTGGGAGAGCGTCGACATGCGCTTGAGCTCCGAGAAGATGGGGCCCTTGTGCTCAAAGAGATCACGAATTAACCGGTAAGCATGCTTCTCTTCCATTGTCAGGGAAGTCTCAGTTCGGGGTCGCAGAATGCAGGGTGCCAGGGAGGTAGCAAGAGCAACGACATATTGCTCGTCTGCAGAGGTCAGGTCGATCAGGCGGGTGAAGTGGTTCATGCAAGCGTCGAGGGTGGCAATGTTGGTAAGGCGTAATTGGGACAGGGTCTGCTGCAGGACGTTGACGCGTGCGGCCTCTGACCCGTCTGTTGCTGGCGTGTTGTAGATGGTGCGGATGATTTCATATACATGAGACGAGACGAGAGAATCTGGACGGGTGTTAGTAAGAGACGTAATGATTAGAGTGAATCTTGGGATCAATCATACCAGGCAGTTCCAGCAGGTAGAGCTTTAGGACACTGGCAACCGTGGGAACATCGAATTCGGACAGTGTTTCCTGCGTAAATGACTTGCCGTCGTTGATCTTTGCCCGGAGCTTGTGAGTCTGGGCCAAAGGAACCTCAACCAGCCAAACGCCCCGTCTAGCATCGTCACCCTCCAAATCGGGATAGTGGTTGTCAAGATAGGTGAGGATGTTGGTGATAATGAGAGGCACGCGCTTCTTGTCGGCTCTAGCCCGGGCCTCTAGGTCAACACCAAAGGTTTGCTCGTCCACCTTGTTGTAGTAGTTCTCATACGTGACAACCTTCGGGGCAAACTGGCCAGTGCGGTAGTTCTCCAGCAGATATCGCAAATCTCCCTCAGGTTGTACTGTCTCCTGATACAGTATCATCCGGTCGACGGTGGCCTGAAGGCTAGGAATGACATTGCCGATGGTACCGGAGAAGTCGAGCACCACGGTCTTGATGGCCTTTAGCCTATCCAGCTCGCAACGTTCGAGGAACTTGAGGTGTACAAGGATAGCCTCTTCCAGCTCGCAGCGCAGCTCGTCAAGCTTCCGGACGCCTGCCTTGTACTTGTCGTCCGTCTCCCTCGCTTCCCGGCGCAGGCGGTCTGCGGGCGTCTCGTTGGGGTATTGGTTGTTGAGGCCCCATCCCTGGAGGTACTCGCCCACAGCGCCAATGACAGGAGAATCCGCGGCATTCTCGGGCGATGCGGGTAGAGAGAAAGTCCTGGACATGGGGTTCTTCTTCTCAGGCACGCCAGCTAATTGGAAAGCCTTGGGCTTCCATTGGTAGTACATGCGAGAACTGTTGGCAAATGTGTTTCCCACGTTGCCGACCAGACGGAGGAATCCGTTCATGATGAGATCCTGGCCGATCCGCTCGGCATAGCTGACGCTGGTCGTGTTCATATATCTCTGCAGATACTCGACAATATCGGAACCGGCAGAGGTGTTGAGGTAGGTTCCCAGGATGGGGACCTTGGTCTCTCCCATCTTGATGGTGTTGAGCATGTGTTCAAGGATCTTCTTCACAGCCTCGGTGTGGTACGTCTCGTCGCCAATCTCGTAGATCTCGTCATCCTCCTCTTCCTTGTTCTCGGAGACCTTGATCTCGGGGATGGCGGGGGCGTTCGGGTTGGGCGGCTGCTTGGGGCTCGTCTCGGCCGTCTGGAAGGCCATCTTGTTCTCCTCCTCGATGTCCTCGACCAGGCGGCACTTGTTGAAGTAGTTGCTGCGCAGCTTCTTGACAGCCTCGGCCTGGCGGTCGTGGGCCTTGATGCGCGTCTGCAGCTCGTCCTGCGACTCCTGGATGCGGGTCTCGTGCGCATCGCACCACCTCGCGAACGGGTTCACGACCAGGTCCCTGATGCTCTGGGCGATCTTCTTGTGGTTCTTGGCGGCATCCTCCATCTCGGTGCGCACGCCGTCGTAGGCCTTGCGCACGCTGGCGCCATCGTCACGAGCGAAGCCGCCGGTCAGCTTGTCGGCGGCGGGGGCAATGTCTCCGAGCTTCTGGCCGTAGAGCTCCTCGGCCTCGGCGCGCATGCGGGCAACGGTCAGGACCTGTCGGTTCTCCTGCACGCCCTGCTGGAGCTTGCCAAACAAGACGCCCAGCCCTGTTCGAGATTGTGTCAGTCATCACGGCAACAGGCGCGGGTGCTGGGTGGGTGTATGTACCTGCGGCATAGTCTGCCGACCAAAACGAGTCCGCGAAACCTGGCATCGTGACTGCGTGGCCCGAACCAAACTCTCCTCGAAGCAAAGCCGACTCTTGGCTTGGGAAGACTGGACTAGTAGTAATGTTGCGAGGTTCTGGTCTGCTAGGGGTCGTGATTCATTCCCAGTCGTGTTGGCGGGCTAATATGCGGAGCACACAAAGAAAGTCGAATCGCCAGCGATGCGCCACGGCGTGTCAAGGCTGAATCAAGGTCGAGGTCGCTCGGGGGAGGATTGACTTTTGGTCTGCGGTTACGTAGTTGGGCAGCGGGAGTCGCCTCTAACCCAAGTCGAGTTAAGTTGATGGGAACTTTGGCTGGGAGCAGACAGATAGTGCGGTGCGTCGCCGTGACACAAGGCCGGCAGGACAAAGGGCAGCAGGCGAGCGCTCAAAGACAAGCTGGATGGAGGTGTGAAAAAAAGGGGATCAAAACGCAGCCATGCAGCCAAGGATGTTTCTGTTTCCTACGAGGTTTCCGCAGCTGTGCTGGGGAAGAGTCAAGACGGGTAGCTGCTCAGCCTCTTGCCCCGATTTGCCCATCAGCAAGCAGCGAACTCGCTTTTTTCCCCAAATCCCGGCCCTCTCTCAATACGAAGGCCCATTCTCCATTGGCTGGGGGAGGGCCTGGAGGGCCTTGACGAATCTGCTGCATCCTTGCAGGCGTCGCGAGGGCCGCTGTGAGCACTAGAAAACTTCGACCAACCCACCCCTGCAGCTTCGAGCGTTTGCCCTGCCGCTGCCCCAGTGTGCCCCTGGACAAGCTGGACGCCAGTTCGTAGCGCCGCCCACGCGCGCCCCGGCAGGTCGGCAGCCCAGGCGGCCTCTACGTAGTACGCAACATCAGACGGGGGGCCTCAAGCGCTGCTCCTTAGGCGCCGCCGCGGCCGCCGCTCTGGTCTCCCTACCCCAGAGAAAGGTGTTTCATCTGATACCTAGGTAGCCAACGACGGAAAACCTGCCACTGGTGGGAGGGATGGCTCGCGGGAAACAACAGTGCCGTAAAACACACCCAATGGAGCAGGGCTAGTTAGGGGAGGCCGTTGCAAACAGTTTACTTTTCTCAATTAGTGCTCTCGGCTCTCACCTGGCCGATGACGTAGGCCCATGCGACGTGCGTCCAAGGGCATCCCCAAGCCATTGGCCAGCCTCACCTGTAACAGCGTAGCTCTGTGCAGTGTGCAGCGTGAGGCTCTTGAGCGGTGATCCTGCACCTGGCGCATGTGCGAGTTTGATATTCCTACCTTTCAAGGCGTGCATCTGAAAGAATCCATACGTTTAGAGTTTGCCAGCATACATCTCCAAGTTGACCGTGCCGATCGTCTATATGGAATCTGCGAATACGGGTTATGAGATGTCCACCTGGGCAATTGGCAGGGTCCGGCCAAGACCACCCCCGTGCCCTCTACGTGTCAAGTATGAGTCTCAAGCTACTGCAAGGCACAGACTCGACACTCTCGACACACTGTAGAGAGCATATCTTTGAAGCTGGCATTTCACGATTTATAGTGAGAGGAATCGGAAGACCAAAGAGCCTCATCTTCCGAAGCCACTTAGTAAAGTTAACTCAAGTCCACTGCCCGATAGTTAGCAACAAGCCAGCTCCTTCATACAGTACAGTAGCGTGCATCTCTGTCTTGTCTTATCTTGTCTTGCTTGCCTTGCCTCGTCTCAGCTCCGTCGGCTTTAGCACCCGGCCGGGGTGTGCGGGGCCAGCCCCGATTAGGGAGCTCGCTTTGTCACGCAATACACATTTGACGACAACATGAACGGCCGGCATCCAGGTCGTGCCGTTATAAATCATAGAACTTGGAGTTGATGCTTTTTGGTTGCCTTGCATTGAGTATAAACATCGTTCCTGGAGCGTTACCGTAAGTGCTCGCCGGACGCAGAAGTCTAATTGATCCTTTGCTCCAAGACTGCTTGCTTACATATCAAAAGTATCGAGCAAATATGTCGGAGAAGGTGTCCGCGTATGGTGAGGCCCAACTCGAGGAGCAAGCCCGAAGCCGGCCGACAAATGTTCGCCGGGCCGTTGCCGTGTTGTTCTCATTGCTGTTTGTGGGAACATTCCTCCACCCTGTGACGAGGCCTCACCATCCCGCCTGCCATGCCTATTCCCGCCTTCGCCCTCTGAGTATAGAGGAGCGTGTGCACAAGGTCCTCTCCGGCACGCCGTTGATAGGTTAGCATATCAGACACGCGATATATCCTGTCAGTCTTGCTTACATTATCATTCCAGACGGTCATGATGATTTCCCCCTTCTCGTCCGGGCTCTATTTGCAAACCATATCTATGGCGATGACTTCAAGGAGAAGTTCGAGGACGGTGGCTTGCCAATGCAGGTCGACATACCCCGACTGAGGGAAGGACAGAATGGAGGTGCCTTCTGGAGTGTGTATAGCTTCTGCCCAAAGAACGGCTCCGACTGGTCAGACGAGAACTACAATGACAGTGAGTATCTGTCTCGGACGGTATGGTATCCTTGCTCACAGGTTTCACAGGCGTCCTCTTCACGTTGCAGCAGATCGACATGATGACACGGCTCGGGGCCGCCTACCCCAAAGACTTCTCCATCACAGCGGGCATCAGCAGCGCCTCGGCCATCGAGGCTTTCAAGCAAGGGAAGCTGATCTCGCCCCTTGGGATCGAAGGCTTGCACCAGATCGGCAACTCGGTGGCCAACCTGCGCCGTTTCCACGCTCTCGGGGTGCGCTATGCCACGCTGACGCACAACTGCGGCAACATCTACGCCGACTCTGCCCTGGTGGAGTCCCCCTCCTTCCGCAAGGCACCGCCCTACTGGGGCGGACTGTCGCCCAAGGGCAAGGAGCTGATCCATGAGATGAACCGCATCGGCATGATTGTGGACCTGGCCCACGTCAGCGCCGACACGATGCGCGATGTCCTGGGCGGAACCGAGTGGGAGGGCAGCAAGGCGCCCATCATGTTCAGCCACTCTTCGGCGTACTCCATCTGCCCACACCCGAGGAATGTGCCCGATGATGTTCTGCAGCTGGTGAAGAAGACAAATTCTGTTGTCATGGGTAAGTGACTATCCCATGGCGGGTCCAGGTGAGGCGAGGAAGTTTGCCTAGAAGCTAACAAACCCGACCAGTCAACTTTGCGCCCGACTTCATCTCCTGCAAGGACGTCGGCAACGACAATGGTGTCTCGGCACTCGTCCCGGAGAACGCCACGCTGGCCCAGGTCGCGAGCCACATCACGTACATTGGCGATCTGATTGGTTACGACCACGTCGGCATCGGCAGCGACTTTGACGGCATCCCCACCGTGCCCAGGGGCCTGGAGGATGTCTCCAAGTTCCCGGACCTGTTCGCCGAGTTGCTGAGACGGGGCGTATCGGACGAAGATGCCGCCAAGGTGGCCGGCGGCAACATCCTCAGGGTGTGGAGCGGCGTCGAGGAGGTCGCCGCCAAGTTGCAGGCCGAGGGCTTCCCGGTGATGGAGGACGACTTACCAAAGTTGAGATTCGAGGAGTCGATGCTGCTGACCGGGCTCAATGTTTCGGGGCTGCTATGAATAGGGGGCGGATGAACACACGCATGCGGCACAAGATTGCAATACATATACATGAGGTTTTTTCATCTTTTTCGATTTGCAGGTAGTACAGTTCTCGTATGATACAAACGGACTGCTGGCCCCTGGTCTGCTGCAGGGGGCCATTGTATGCCGCAATGACGGCGGTATGCCCGTTAATGACATCCGCCTTGAGTTCTAAGTAACGCCGGTTCCAATGATGTACAAGTTGTGCAGTTGGCTCTCTCCAAGCCGTTCAAGCCAGGCCATCCTCATCGCCCTAAATATCCTCCAATGTCCGACACCAACGACGGCCATTTTATGACCCCATCGGACGGTCGCCGCCGCCTCTCTCGAGGATGTTGAGCTTGCGGGCGGTGACGATCTGGTTCCTCGTCTTCTGGCCGCGCACGGGCAGACCCATGGCGTGTCGTCGTCCGCGGTAGGTGCCCATGTCTCGCAGGCGCTGGATGTTGTCCTGGACGAGGCGGCGGGCGTCGTTGTCGATGGTCATGGTGGACAGCTCGGCCGTCAGCGAGGTGATGGTCTTGGGCGGGACCGTCTCGAGGCGGGCCAGCGGGTGGATGCTGTACTTGGCCATGATGCGCGCCGACGTCTGGGCCCCGAGCCCGTAGAAGGTCTCGAGAGTCTTCTTGACCAGCTTCCGCGGGTGGAAGTTGACGCTCATGATGAAGACCTGGAGGCCGAGGCGGTTAGCTGTGGACGGGGCAGGCAGCAGTATAGGGAATCCCGTACCATCTTGACTGATTGGGCGCAGTGGCGCAGTGGTTTTGGTCCCTTGTGACGGTCGTGCTGGAGAAAGGCGACTCGTTGTCTCTCTCACACATCCGATGGGAGCTTCGCGATGTCGAAAGTGAATTTCCGAGCCCGCCAATGCACGAACCAGTTCAGAGCGCGCTAGGCTGGTACTAGTTAGCTGGCAGTGGACGGCTGTAGGACTGTGTATAGCGCCCTGGGTATACGCCACGGGCGTGAATACAGGGCCCTTATCGCCAACGATAAGGCCCACCCTGGGCCCCCTCCTCTTCCCGCATCTGGAACGCTCCGTCGCCCGGGGCTGGTAGGCGGTAAACTAGGGGTCGTGCTTCAAGAGCTCGAGTTGAAACGTAGCTTCAACCAGACCAGACCATCTGGAAGAAATACCAAGGCCTCTGTCCTGCATCTTCTTCCTTGCCAACCCATTCTTCACTCTTGACTTTTTGGTGTCGCCGATCATCACGACATCATCCCCACCGCCATCGTCGACGCATCAGCTCGTCCCGTCCAGAGTCAATTGATCCCTCGACACCTCGCCCACCATGTTGTCGCTCCGCCGCCTCGTCGCCGGTGCCGTGCTGCTCCTCGGAGTCAGCATGGTCTTCTTCGCCTCGACCGCCGAGGCCGCCAAGGGCCCCAAGATCACCCACAAGGTCTACTTCGACATCACCCAGGGCGACGAGCCCATCGGCCGCATCGTCATGGGTCTCTACGGCAAGACCGTCCCCAAGACCGTCGAGAACTTCCGCGCCCTGGCTACCGGCGAGAAGGGCTTCGGCTACGAGGGCTCCTCCTTCCACCGTGTCATCAAGCAGTTCATGATCCAGGGTGGTGACTTCACTAAGGGCGATGGCACCGGTGGCAAGTCGAGTACGTTATAACTCCCAATCCACCGCTCCGCATTGCGTTTCGGTAGCTAACCACGCCACCCCGCCCAACTAGTCTACGGCGAGAAGTTCCCCGACGAGAACTTCAAGCTGAAGCACTCCAAGAAGGGTCTTCTGTCCATGGCCAACGCTGGCAAGGACACCAACGGCTCTCAGTTCTTCATCACCACCGTCATTACCTCGTAAGTCGCTTGTGCTCTCAGCTTTCTAAACTACGAGGTCCCAGCTAACCCCGCACCCCCCTCAGCTGGCTCGATGGCCGTCACGTTGTGTTCGGCGAGGTCCTCGAGGGCTACGACGTCGTTGAGAAGATCGAGCAGGCCCCCAGCGCCCCCGGCGACAAGCCCGTCAAGAAGGTCACCATCGCCAAGAGCGGCGAGCTAGAGGTCCCGGCCGAAGGTATTCACGTGGAGCTCTAAACCAATCCCATCACCACACCAGTTCGTCTCCGTGAAACGCCGGTCACTGCGTTTCGCAAACTCGCCCGCCTCCCAAGTCTAGGTAGCTGATTCGGCTTGTAACCCCAGATGCCATCTACGGCGGTGCCCAATTTGCTGCGGGATACGCCAACGAGGAGGCCGCCAATGCCCTGCAGGATCTTGAAGTTTCGTCCGAGGGCTGGTCCCTCTTCCAGAAGGCCGCCCTGTTTGGCATCATCCTCGGTGCGATTGCCGTCTACATGCGCTTGACCAGGAAGACGGGTGAGAGGGACGAGGTTGGTTATGAGAAGACGATGGCATAGATACACTGCACAAGGAGTTTAAAAGCAAATAAATCGTGCGATGAAATTCGACCGTAGTTCTTTTCCCGCCTCTCTTTTTGTGAACCTGGTGAAAAACAATGTTATAGTCCGTTTGACTATTATTCGTGTCTATTCACGATTTCCCCGTTACCAAACTGAACTTACACGCACGAGTTGGGCGGCCCCATAAAAATTTTGTCCCAGAAATCTCAGGCGCGGGCCACAGGACTTACACCCACCTCAGACTCACATCATACCCAGAAAACCACACCAGAGCACACAAAGTACACAATGAAGGTGCTGAGTCTGAACTTCCTGTCGTGCGCCGTCAAGGCGTGCAAGAGCTCTTCGGACTCATACCCCCTGCACCCCAAGGACGCGGAGCTGGTGCAGGACGACATCGAGGTCAACGCACAGCTGCTCATCAACCTCCTGCCCCGCATCGATTGGACGGCGCTCACGACGACGGCGACAGAGGTAAGATATATGTCTATCATGCCCGGGAAATGAGACAAGGAGCAATATGGACATGTTACTGTACACATTGCTCCCCTCGAATGCCCCCCAGCACCCGCCCTTCACTGACGACACCGCCCCATCCCCACGGTCTCATCCTCCTCCATGCCCCGCCTCATACCGATTTTCTTTTCCCATATATCATACGAAGGACTTGGATGCTGACAAACCGTTTCACGAAAAAGCTGGGCTTCCCGGCCCTGCCGCCGCAGGCGCCCACGCCCGAGGAGCTCGAGGCCGACGAGGCCAAGCTCAAGGACCTGCACCACCTGCTGATGGAGACGCAGATCATGGAGGGCAAGCTGGTGTGCGCCAGCTGCGGCCACGAGTACGCCGTGCGCGAGGGCATCGCCAACTTCCTGCTGCCCAGCCACCTGGTCTGAGGAGGGGCGGACGGCTTTGGTTCTGCGGCTCGGCTGCCGTCCGGTGAAGGTCGCCCCCCCTTCCCGGGAGGGTGTTCTGTGCAATATCGCTTCTTGCGGGAGCATAGGGAGTGGGGTGGCTCGGCTCGTCTTTGGTGGTTCGAACACGTGTGCTGTGTTGTATGGAGGGATCAAGACTTAGGCTGCGCTATGTGCGGGCTTGTCTTCGCGAGATGGAAGGGCTAGAGGAGAGCTTGGTAGTGATGGGTGCCGGCCGACGGGCATGGCGCCGCAACGGGATTCACACCCAACAAGATTAGGTAGATTTGACGGTTGAAAGGGGGTTTACTAGCCTGCTCTGCAAAGAGCTTCGCGAGTCGGGGCGGGAAAATCGTGAGCTTGCAAGCTTCTGGCGTTTACGGTAGTTTTGGTTTCTAGACAAATGCCTTTTATACAGGGGATGAAGCACATTGATGTCATCTTTCACCCATTCCGGCTGCCTGTACTGGTCTTCATGACAATATGAATTGAACGCCTACTACGAAAATGATGCGATTGTACATCTCCACCGCTAGGAGAGAGTTGCTACACTGGAACCTCCTTCTAGTGTCTATTTCCACGTGGTCCAGCTGTCCGGTGATAAATTGATTGATCATACATTGTTTGCCTGTGCAGCATCACGCCGTTCGTACTCGCCAGCGCTGCCGATCTACTCCTGGCAATCAAGCCTTTGCGGTCTCCCTAGCAGCCCCCTATTGCTGCTTCTTCTGGGCCGCAGGCCCGTTTTCCTTGTCGAAGGCGCCGTACGGAACCTCCAGGCTGCCGAGAGCGCTGATCCCGACGCTGAGGATCGAGAAGAGGATAAGCAGAGAAACCAGCACCATGAAAATACCTATTTCAGCGGTCAGTCATATGTATCTAGATAGGTCATGGAAGGGGCGAATGTGCTCACCAGGCGTGAAGAACTGGTACTTCTCAAACAGCGGCCGGTTATCCGTCTCGTTGGCCCGGCGGGCAATGCTGCTGAGCTGCCTCTTGAGCTCCTGGTGCGTCGTGTCCCGAAACTCGGCCTCGTAGGGCTTGCCCTCGATGTGGCCCCCGGTCGCCGTCCTGCTGCCCGCGGTGTAGAGCACGGTGAAGTCGCCCGCAGCCGCGTACTGGTGCAGGACCAGGCCGAGGTCCTCGTCGCTGGCCCGCAGCACGTCGACGATGTGCTGGAACGGGCCGCCGCTGGCCGGCAGCGCCTCGAGGTCCAGCGTCTCGACCGAGACGGTGGGCTTGCCGGCGGCGGTGCAGGCGGCGCGGATGCGCGGGCTCAAGGTGTGCAGGTCGATGGGCGACCCGGCGACCTCGGAGATGGTGAGACGGCCCTGGACCTCGGGGGCGGCCAGCGCGGCCTGCAGCTTGGGTGCGGCGGTGCTGAAGGCGAGGTTGGCGACGTTCAGGTTGGGTTGCGAGACCAGCAGGTAACGCTCCGTGGGACAGGAGGAGATGATGGAGTCGAGGTCGGCCTGGACCGTCTTGCTGCTGTGTAGCTCGTCCGACAGGGAAGTCGTTATCCTATACAGTCGGCGGTTAGCAATACGTCAATGCGGTTCGGTACGCAAACCTCCCCCTCATCGCTGGCACTGGGCTGGGCATGGGAAGCAGTGGATATGGTGTCTCGCGCGGGTGGACAGAGGCAGGTAGATCAACATACTTGGAGGTAGAGAACAGGATGAAAGGAGATGTGTTGACGAATGCATGCGCCGTGGCGCAGCTTGCAGCGACGGCTGCTACTGAGAGACGCATCGTGTCGACGTTGGGTGCTGCGTCTCGTTGGGCTGCGAGCAGATGGGTGGAATAAGGCTGTCGACTATGGCGACAGTGATGGGCGACGGCGACGACACAGACGAGGACGACACTTGACGCATGTGGACTGAGCTCATCATCCAAGCAGCCTGGAGCCAAGCTTCCCATCCACCACCAGACCCAGAGCACAGTCGCAGCACCAGCTGCCAGGCCACCCCCAGGCCCCCCAAATGTCGATGCCTGGATCGCCGGCAAGTTCCGCCGAGGCTGTGAGACGTGCAGTCCAGGCGCTAGGGCCCCCCTGGAGAACCGCTGGCTTTAGCGGCTTGCAGTTGGCTCAGAAGGTCCAGGGTTCTAAAAATCCAGAGGGCGGATCGCATACAGAAGGCTTGGTATCGATAGCAAACTAATTTTCGAAGTTACGATTATCGCAACCTCGAGGCATCTATTTGGTACAGCACCTGGAGCGTATATTGTGCAGCGTCTATCCTCTATACTCTACAAAACTCTATACTCTATTCACCGCCGCCCAACTACAAATCCATTGTACGACCTCCATTCTTTTTTTTCTCGACCCGTAGGCGCCATGTTCGCCCGTCCTAGACCCAAGAAGAGCATCCTGCCGCCGCTGTCCAGGAAGCGCAAGACCACACATGCGATCGAGGAGATCAACTTTGACCAGGATGCTCGGCAAGACTACCTGACCGGATTCCACAAGCGGAAGCTGCAGCGGACCAAGAAGGCGCAGGAGGAGGCTGCCAAGAGAGAGCGCCAGGAGAAACTCGATACCAGGAAACAGGTATGGAACCCCCCAATGTCCCTCGTGTCTTTTGGCCCGGTCGGCTAACGTTTCTGGGTGTGACAACAGCTGCGTGAAGGCAGGAAAAGAGAGGTGGAAGACCACGTAGACCACGTCAACAAGCTGCTGCGGGAGGCCGCGCGGGCGGGCGGCGTCAGCGACCAGGAGGGCTCGGACGACGACGAGGCCGACGAGTGGGACGGGCTGCCGGACGCGCCGGCGCCGGCGCCGCTGGACCAGGCGATAGACCACGAGGAGGAGTACATCGACGAGGACAAGTACACATCCGTGACGGTCGAGTCGGTCAGCGTCTCGCGCGACGGGCTGCACAAGCCCGAGGAGGAGCCGTCGTCCGAGGACGAGGCCGAGCGGGTGCGCAGGGAGGCCGAGGCCCGGGTGGCGGCCGAGAGGGAGAAGGCGGCCCGTCCGCCCAAGAAGAAGAAGCCCAAGTTCCGGTACGAGACGAAACACGAGAGGTCCATCACCAACAAGAAGCAGAAGATAAAAAAGGCAAAGGCGAGGGACAGCCGTCTTGAGCGGTAAAGGGTTGAGGCAGGAAGTCACCACGAGAGAAGAGAAGAGGGAACAAAAATATCCGCGATACCCACAGCATAGGAGGTGTGCGAGTGGAAGGGGCTATAGTGCATTGCTTATTAAACAGCGAGATTCTCATGAACTGAACAGAAACGGGGAAGATAAGACATGACCACTCGACAATTCTCTAGAGAGCATAGACGATGAAATGACTTGCAAAGCCACGACAAGCCGGCCGCATGCGTAATGCTGTGCATGTCGAGCCTGAGCCGGACGAGGTCTCCTTCATCCTCCAAGGCATACATGATCCTCCACCTAACGCTGCCACGCGACCATTTCTCCCAACCGGGTCCCGCGCGTATACCCCTATTCGCTTCAACAGACGGTGTTGATTTTAGAGGGTACCAAGCTCCTTCTGCAGCTCCTCCAGCTCCTTCTCCTGTTGGTCGTACTTGGCGCGCATCTCCTCGTACTTGGTCTCCCACTGGTCTCGCTCCTGCTCGAGTGCCTGGACCTTGCGCTCGAAGTGGCCGGCTTTTACGTCAGTCTGGCGGAGCCTGTAGATTTTGGGTGCTCCCATTAGCACGGCTCAACAGGAGGCGGGAAAGATGCATCAGGGGGAAAAAAGGGGGGGATTACACACTTCTCATTGGCCTCACGAAGGGTCTTATCTGCCTCCTCGGCTTCCTCCTCGAGGAGCTGGAGTCTGCGTTGCAGGGTCTCGTTCTGCGTACCGGTTGCGTGGCCCTCGTCGGCCGACTTCTTCAGGTCCTTGACCTGGGTGTCGAGCTTGTCGACCTCGGACTCCAGCAGGCCGTTCTTGTGCGAGAGCGATGTGATCTCCTGCTCCTTGGCCAGGTTCTCCTGCTCGAGGGCCTTGACCTTGGCGGCCAGCTCCTCGTTCTTGGCGATCGCCTCGTCGGCGTCCAAGCGGAGCTTGTTCATCTTCTGTAGACGGCCGAGGCCATGTCAGTCACATCGTCCGGGCAGCGCAGCGGGGCAGAGGCAACGCGGGATGTGCATGCAGGGCATGCGAGGCAGAACCCGCGAGCGGCACGGCGTAAGCATGTGAGCGTGGTGCCTGGTGGTGATGGCTGCGCGGGCTGCCTTCTCTCTCATGGTGGGGTAAAGATGGGGAATTCTTGGGGGAAGACGGTGTTGAGCAACTGACCTCCTTAATGCGATCCATAATGGCGTGCGGTGATGGTCGACTGTCGGGGGGGAATCTACGTTGGGCGATGGGAGCAGGGAAAACAAGAGAGTGCAGAACGGGAGGTGAGACAAGAGTGTAGACGGGGTGCTATGCAAGAGTGAAAGAGACGGTCTGATGGGATCCAGTCTTTGGGTTGGTGGTTGTGTGGAATTTGGAGCCTCTCCCACCTGCCCAGGCCGCACCGCTCAGCAATTCCAAGGGACCCGACCCGTGGACTCGCGGGTGCTGCTGGTGCTGCTGCTGCCCCTCGTTGCTAGGGGGGCCTGAGGGGGACCCTCTGCCTCCCCCCTGGGTGCGTTCCCCCCTTGGCCCCCCCTAACTCGGGATTGGACTGCTGCTGTGAGGAGGCAGCTACAGTAACTAGCCCCCATTGGCCCCTTGCCCCTTGCCTGCCTGCCTGCCGTACCGTGTTGTCGTCCCCCTTCAGGTCTACCTGAGCGCCAACACCCCTATAGTTTGGCCCAGTCCCGCCCAAGGTGCCCCGTGGCTCGCGTGGGGCCGCGCACCTGATTCGTTAGGACGGCACACCGCCGCAAGCTGCAAATCCTTAACAGTTTGATCACCGCCCCGCGACGGCCTGTCAGTGGTGGGGCTGCCCGGCTGCCGCTGGCTCCCAGGGCTGTTGGGGGATAAAGGGCTCGGCTTTAACCTAGCACATGCAGCCACCAGCAGCCACCAGCCAGCATAGATCTGATGGACCTCGTTGCCCTGTCAACCGCCCCAAGGAAGTAAACCAGCCAATCTTGTCCGACGTGCCAGCTCGGCCGTGTGAAATGAGTCGAACCATTGCCAACTGGAAATTGGTCTGCAATCTGACGCCCACGCATTCCACGCATACGGCTCCATCGGCTGCTCGAGAAACCGACGCGACTATTGACTGCGGGCGATGATTGCAACCGACTAGGCGACCACCGCTATTTCCACCCTGGACCATTCGACACCGCGTTGACGCTCAACCCGACTAAAGTTATACGACAATCGACGCGCGGAGGCGCCCAAGACTCGACTCGACATACCGACACAATGTTCGTTGCCCGCGATCAGGAGAACCTGGTGGCCCGTCACCAGACGGGTGCCGTCTTGAAGCAGCAGCAGAACAGCCAGCTCGGCTCCCGATACCCCAAGACGCCCATCAAGATCCCTCTCAACGATGAGAACGCCGGCCACATGAAGGGCGGTGCTAAGAGCATCCTCGGCAACCGGACCAGAGGCAACGAAAATGCAACAACTTCCAAGGGCCTCAAGGGCGTCGACAAGTCCAACTTTGTGACCCCCATGGGTGAGTAACCCGTCTCTGGGACCGCCGGCCATCTCTCATAACAGCACTGACACCAAGCAACAGAACCGCGCGTTCGCGCAGCCCTGGGGGACAAGACCACAAACGCCAAGGCCAAGGGCCAGCAGACTGTCAACGTTAAGAGCGCTGTCAGAGAGCTCGAGAAGACCCAAGCAAAAGCACCCAACACCAACCGGCCCAAGCAGAAGCAGCCTCAAGCCGAGACGCAGAAGTTGCAAATTCATGCGGAGGCATTGGACCCTCTGAGTGAAGAGGAACCCGAATACTGCCCACCCAGACCCAAGGACCTGCCATACGAATCCGACGTCTTCCCTGATGGGGTCTTGACATTTGATGCGCTGAAGCCCGAGAACATGTTCAGGGGCTTCCACCAGTTCTACTTCAACCCCGTGGATGAGGATGGTGTATCCAAGCAGGACAAGGAGCTGCAACAGAGGATCCAGAAAGCAATGGAGGAGGGCGAACGACAGATCCAGGAGGACATGGACAGCTTCGAGTGGGGTTCCCTTCAGCGAGAGTTGGACGCACCCAAGACTACCCAGGTTACAGCGCCTGCTGCAGAACCCGTCAAGGCCAGGAGCATCCGTCCAACCCAGACCATGCGCAAGCCCCTGGGCTCAGTTACCTCCAGGACCGCTGCATCAGCGCTCGCCATGAACGATGCGACCAAATCGATGCAGCGAAAGTCTGCCAAGGCTGTCCCGGCTCCCATCTCCCGGACAAAGGCCACCTCGTTCGCCATTCCAGTTTTCAAGCCGAGGCCAGCAGTGCCGCAGTCCACGGCCGTGAAGAGAACGCCCATGGCGAACATCGAGGCCAACTCCCGCACCACGCTGGGCTACAACAAGGGCCGAGCCGCCGCCTCGGTGCTTGCAAGAAAGACCACAACCACGAGGCCGGCCGCCAAGCCGAGCCAGACGCTCTACAAGCCCAAGGCCAGCGGGCTGCCGCGTTCAGAGACAACTTCGTCCACCGATTCGGACAAGACCATCACTCCGGCTCGCTTCGCCAGCAAAAACGTCTTCGCCGAAGCTGAGGACCAGGAGTGGAAAGAGCGAGTTCCCTTCCTGTCCATCTTCAATCCCGAGGATGACGACGGCTGCGACCTGGCCGGCGGCCCTCTGCCTGACCTCGAGGATGATGATGATTTCGAGCTGCAAGTACCTGAGTAGTTCGTTTGCTCTGATGCTGATTACGTGTTGTATGACTGGCGTTGGTTGGCCTGCTGGGTGGTTTACTTTAGAAGGGTCTTTGGCGTTGGACCTATCGTTGGCTACTATTGCGTTTCCCCCCAGAATTTATTTGCTCATGCGAAGAAGTCGCTCGTTAGGGGGGGAATACTGCGCACATCGTCAAGTTTTTGATATTGGCCGGGTGCAGGGCTGACAACCCGGCTCGCCTGCTCTGGGTTTCTGCTACTTCTCTTGTATAAATAGTCGTCCCTGTACAAAAGGAGCAATGGGGCTATCAATACTACATATTTCCTTTCTCACAGAAGTAAACATCTGACTGCTACGGTTCACCAAGGCTTCAGAATTGAATGACGCATACGCTGAGATCTTGACCGCATGTGGCATCCTACGAGATTGTTGGTTACCAAACACGAATCATAGTATCAAGATCCACTGTAGCCGGAAGTCTTGTTCTCTTGCAACTTCTTAAATTTTTCTCCATGCGTATCGGGATGTGGTTATCCTTACAATGTATAGTCGGCAGTTCCATAACCATCGGCCACATCTCAGCCCTCCTTCAAATCAAGGTAGTCTTCTTCACTTGATAGGCTCATGTTCACAACCGGGTGCCAACGGTAGATTATATTCGTGAACGGTCCGCTCCAGTCTTCACGGCTGATGAGATATAATGTACCAATCAGGTAGCCGAAACTTGGAGTATCCAGGCTAATACTTGGCTTATGGTATTTCATCTCTCATTTAGTATTGTCCATTTTGTTCTTATATTACATCTAGTCAGATTTCTACCCTGCAGGTTAGTTGATCAGACTTGTGCACATCTGTGGTCGGCATATTGACCTGACAATGAATGGCACGAAGTAGCGCTTAGTCACCTGTGCTCTGACATAACCCACAATAGATAAGATCACTTCCATTTGTGATCGACTACAGTATGTACAGTATGTTTAATCGCACTCCATACCTGGCCGCTTGCAGCATGTTCATCTGGCCGAAAGCGTTTCAAAGGACAACGAGGTGCATTCGTTCTGATGGGTCGCAGTTGCTACGGGTTTCAGCCCCTGCCTACGCCGGAGAGAGTGGTATACGAGCGCCCCCAGACAGGGCAGGTATTGGCCACTGGGAGGGAGCAGATGCGGTTTCGCGTTGTAAGTGGTGTAAAATCGATTCTGTTGCCGGGTCGTCAGCTCAGCCAGGGAGCAAATGACGTTCACGTGCATGCATGTGCATGGCCTTATTACGGTAAAGTACACACGGTAACCCCTGAGAGTGAGAGTGCGACTGAGAGACCAGGACAGGACGAAAACAGATGTGGCGGTGCGAGACGTGGCTTGCATTCTGAGCGGCCCCGACTGGCTTGGCTGTCCAGAGTGCGCACGGCCCCTCCTATTGGCTGGTTCCGGGTCCCCATTCAGGTGGCCTCAGCGCGATCCATGTTGTTGAAGGGCCCGGGTTGGTCCTTAAGGAGTGCAGGTAAGTGGCCTACAGGAGGTACCCGGGGGGCCAAACCTGGCGGTGACGGTACCTAAGGTTACGAACGCGGCGGGCTTCAGGTGCTGGCCGGGCCTCCAAATTGAGTGGCTCAGAATTATCCATCCATCGCCCATCTACCACGGGTCCAAGGTCCAAGGCCCAAGGCCCAAGGCCCAGCAGGCCCAGCAGGCCCAGTCTCCCTTTTGGCTCCATCACCACGTCGGTTCTTTCTCATCTCAAACTTTCGCGACTCAACCTCTCTCGACCTCACCCCCCCCGACCAACGCCGCCGGCCTCAACGACCCATTGGAGTGCCCTCGTCGACGCTGCATCACTGCGCGACCCCGTCCCAGCCGGTCTGCGCGCTCTGCTCCCCGTCAATCACCCGGGCTCGCGCCATCTCTCTCACCCTGCGAGCTGCGAGCTGCGAAACTCATCCAGCCCACTTTTGGAAGTTCCACACGTCACATCCCCAGATTTCCCTGTCGCGTGGACAAGGCCCTCTTCCTTTTTTTTCGCGTCGGCCCTCTCAACCCCCCCGGCATATCAACCCATCGACACGTGCACCCGGCCCCGATGAGTCTTGCTGTCTAGTCCTGCAACGTCGCGAGATGATGGTCGGTGGATAGAGGCAGCAGAATTCATCTCACTCGCGCACCATGGCCCCTAGCGCTTCCGGCGCAGGCTTCGCCAAATACTTCCCTGCCGCCCCCCGCGCAGCACGGGAGAAGGCCGCGGAGAGAGAACGAGCCAAATCCAGGGCCTCGGACACTGCTGCCGACCGCGATGCGCCATCGTCCGCCTCGACGCCCGCGCCCTCGTCGTCGTCGTCGGCGGCTCGCCGCGATGCCATCAAGCCCGACCCCTCGTCGTCCTCTGATGCCGCGCATCTCCCGACTGATGACAACGAGTCCCTGCCGGGAGACATCCTCAATGGAGTTGGCTCGGCAAGCTCTCATGCCAGCACGGCCTCGTCCGTTTTCAGCACCGGCTCAGCGGTGAACGCTTCGTCACATGCCTCCAACAGCCATCTCACCCCCCTTACCAACGCAGGCTCCCCCACAAATATACAGTCCTCCAAAACCGCCGCCACCGCCGCCAGGCCGTCCCAGGATGGCAGGAGACACATTGACTCGACATCCGCTCCCCTTTCGGACTCCTCCATGTCGCGGCGGACTAATGCTCCCAACCGCATCCCAGCCCGCGACCCGGCTCGCCAGATAAAAGGAACAAGGTGCACACACGATCCCTTACTTGACAAGAAACTATCTTCGACCGAGAGGAAGACGGCGAAGCCAACATACAAGCCCTTCGGTGCGGTACGTAACCTATACTATAAGATATATACATGTCTGGAGGGGGGACGTCATCTGACTTGCCGCTATATGAATGATTGAAAAGAAAAGAGGCTAATACGAATTTCTTGAATAGGAAGATGACGTCCCCCCGCCAGACCCGCGACTAGCTAGAGGAAATCGGCTTGATTATATCAACGTCGATTTCCACCTGCCCAAGGGCAGATTACGCCAGACCCCGTACAACCTCAAGCCCTATGTGTATGATCCAGCCACTTCCATAGGCCCTGGGCCCCCGACCCAGATCGTAGTCAGCGGCTTCGACCCGTTAATTGCCTTTTCCAAAGTCGCTACCGTCTTCAGCAATTTTGGAGAGATCGCCGAGAGTAGTAACAAGATGCACCCCGAGACTGGGAGTTTCCTTGGCTTTGCGACGTTTCGTTTCCGGGATTCGAAGCCACACCCCGGCCGCCGTGGTCTTGCTGTATCTGCCAGCGACGCCGCCAAGAGAGCAGTTCGGGCGATGAACGGGCGCAAGCTCGAGGCACACCAGATCAAAGTGGATTTTGACCGCGACGGCAAGAAGAGCCGGCTGATGCTGGAGGATGTCGTGAAGAAGGCAGAGGAGGAAGCCCGTCGAGAGCGCGAGGCTCAGGCCGCGAGAATCTCTGGCGTGCCCACCGCGCCCAGACCGAGAGCAACTGAGGGCTTTGCACGACCGCCGCCGACAGCACCGCGAGGGCCAGCCGCCCAGCGACCCCCGGTGCCTGCCTCTGACCCGAGCTCACCCTTTGGCACACCCTCGGCCACCCCCTCGAGGCCACGAGCGTTCCTAATAGAGCCACAGAGCGTCGCAGCGGCTTTGAAGACCGAGCCATATATCTTTGTCCCAGATAGCAGCGTCCCTGTCATGCCGACCACCATCTCCCACATGAAGAAGCGCCTAAAGTCCTTCCTCATTGAGGAGGTGCGAGCCGATCGGTTGGGATACTACATCGTGTTTGCCAACAGCACTCTTGGTCGCGAGGAGGCATACAGGTGCTTCAGGTCTGCAGATGGCAGTGCCTTCTTCACCTATACCATGCACATGACCCTTGTGAACGGTACCGCGCCGACCAACCGCTCCCTGAGAACCGCCGAGGCTGCCAAGAAGCCCGAGCCTGAAAGACGACCGCCGGCGCCAGAGGCCCGGCCTCGGAACGAGCGAGACCATCGCCGACGCGACGAGGAGGCAGTCCTCAAGGAAGAGAAGGAACAACGTGCCAAGGACTTCGATCCTGTTATAGAAGCTGTAGCCATTGTGCGCCGGGAGATGAAGGAGCACTTGATCAGACACATCCGAACCAAGGTCGCTGCTCCGGCTCTGCACGAATTCTTGGACCCTAATAACCACGCGTCAAAACGGCGCAAGTTGAATCTCGAGGTCCCAGCTCCAACGGCGAGCCGCTCCTTCAGCGCCAGCCGGGCAGTGGAAGATAGCGACACCACCCCGGTGGGCACCCCGAACTCGCGCGCAGACCCCATCGAACGGCGCACTGCCCGCCTTGATGTAACGGCTCTGCCCCGTATTAGAAAGGCGAAGGGCCAAAGTGCAGCACAGCGCAGCCATGCATTCACAGATCCTTTCGCCCGTCGACGACCGGTGGCGGTTCGCAATGCATTCCGAGGTCTGCATCACCGCCTAGCGCCAGACAGCGATGATGACGCCTCGGAAGACGAGAGGGAGGTCCGCGATTCTATCGCTCGGGACACCGAGGAACCTGAATCTCGCCCACGCAGCCGCATGAGCACTGACGAGGACGCCTTTAAGGATGGGTACGGCGACGACGACTCAGAGGCCAGCTTTCCTGCGAGCGACGTCCTGTCGAGACCAAAGAAGAGGAAATTGGACCTTCAAGTCGAGGCTGCCATCAAAAGGCAGAAGAAGACGGACGAGGAGCTCTTTGGGGTTACTATTGGTACCCTGGAGACAGATTTCCCAGGCACAGACGATGTCGAGGATATTGTCATCGCTGATGCCGATGCCGAGGACGAAAAGACGCCTGATCCCTCTCAGGTACCGACTGACAGCGAATTGAAGAGCAAGAAAAGATCACTCCTGTCCAAGTCCAAGAAGAAGTCCAAGAAACAAATCTTCGAGGAGCGCGAAGTACTCAAGAAACAGCAGTCCGAGGCCTACATTGAAGAGGTGCTGGAGCAGACTGAGAAGGAGGAAACGGCTGAGCCTGAGGAGCTGCCGAAGCAGGAGATAGTCCCGCCCAGTATTGAGGAGCCCAGCGAGCCGCCCGCCAGGGATGGCCGCTTTTCCGAGACTGTGGTGGCAGCTATGGAACTGCCTGCTGGCTTTAAGTTTGGGACCAAGTCTTTGCAATCTCTCCTTCTCGAAGAAAATGACCAGCCTGATCTCGCCAAGCTCAAGAAGAGGTTCAAGGTTGCAAATGTCGGAGACCCTCGGCTCTGGTCATGGCGGCATGACCGTGTACGCGACCTCAATGCACCTGGTGCTGAGCCACATAAACCACTGGTCATCGAAGGCTATTACGTGCCAAATTCCACCGGCTCGGCTCGGACGGAGGGTGTCAAGAAGATACTCAACTCGGAAAAATCCAAGTACTTGCCGCACCACCTCAAGGTCCGGAAGGCTAGGGAAGAGCGTCAAGCACGCGACGCGAAGAAGGACGGCAAGGATACCGTTGCGGCCGCCGCAGAGGCTGCCAGACTGGCTGCCGAGAAACTCTTGGCCAAGGGCAACTCGCGAGCGAACCGTGTCAACAACCGACGTTTCGTTGCCGACCTCAACGACCAAAAGCGTACTCTAGGACAAGACTCTGACGTTCTTCGGTTCAACCAGCTTAAGAAGCGCAAGAAGCCCGTCAAGTTTGCGCGTTCCGCCATTCACAACTGGGGCCTCTATGCTATGGAGAACATCAACAAGGACGACATGATCATCGAGTACGTGGGCGAGGAGGTCCGTCAGCAGATTGCCGAGCTGCGCGAGAACCGATACCTCAAGAGTGGCATCGGCAGCAGTTATCTGTTCCGAATCGACGAGAACACAGTCATCGATGCTACCAAGAAAGGTGGCATCGCTCGGTTCATCAACCACAGTTGCATGCCGAACTGTACAGCAAAGATCATCAAGGTGGAGGGAAGCAAGCGTATCGTCATCTATGCTCTGCGGGATATCGCTCAGAGTAAGTTGTGCACACGAAAGCGTTTCTCGACGAACCTATACTGACTGAACTATAGACGAGGAGTTGACCTACGACTACAAGTTCGAGCGTGAAATCGGCAGCCTTGATCGCATTCCCTGTCTTTGCGGCACCGCCGCCTGCAAAGGGTTCCTCAACTAACACCTACGCCTTACCCACGCCCGAGCCTCATCTATCGCCTCCGGCATTATGTCCTTGTGCGGCGGCGGATGTCTTCTCTTTTCTTTTTGCAACCTGGGAGTTATCACATCACTCTAAGGCCTCGTTATCCCGGCCTCCTGAAGTCTATTTTCGATATATATGCATACGAAGGATCCTGGCCTTTCGGGTCCACCTATTGTTTTCCCATCATGCGCTCTGTAAGGGAACACCAAAAATCAAGGGGTTTGGTATTTCTGTACAACTAGTGACACATCGCCGACCACTTTTGTTTCGCGTGGTGCCTCTTCCAAGGACGGAAGGGAGCCAGCCACCTAGAGGGAAGGGCGTTTTCGGTTTGGGCAGACCTACCATATCACAAAGGGCAAAGTCAGATCTGCCGAGGTCAGGCAGACAGACAAAAGGAGCTTTGTTTTCAAGCGAATCACGTAAGGAGCGGAGCAGGGGCGGCTCAAGCCGAGCCGTGCGCCCTCTCGTGTCCTCGACAGGGAGGAGGAAGAGGAAGACGGCAGCTCAGGGTGGAGCAGCTCGCAGTGAGAGTCGCCGCCACCGCTGCTATGCGGAAGATGAACAGCAAGCCGGCGATATGGCGACCCGTCCAATGGCAGACACTGTATATAGGAATAGTCCGGCCGTGCCATAAGCACTGGCCTAGGATATTAATCATGATGCCAAGAAGACATACACTCATATGCATGACAGAATCTACTGTGCGAGGAAATTCCAGGACGAGACGACGTTGATGGCTTATGCCGTACTCACGTTGAGATAATAGAGAGTTCTTGGTCATGATTCGGATGTTCTCGGTTCCAATTACGGCGCATTTCTAGCTGCTCCAGTTGATTCCTATGTTTTTTTGCCTGACCCAAACGCCTGATGCCATGCTACACTTTGGCCAACCGACCATGCAGACCAACCAACCCCGTACATGAAAAAGCAGGATGGTATGATATCTATAAAGCATTCCCCGAACGCCGACTCCCTCTTTTGTGACTACAAGTCCTCCCCGAACCACACACACGCATATTCCACTCTCAATACACATCCCTATATGGGCGCGTCGGGCAGTCTCTCGATGACATATTTGCCCTTGGCCACCGAGACGATGGGGACACCGGGGATCTTGCGCAGGCGGTTCTTGAGCCCCTTGTCGTTGGTGGCGACGAGGTAGACGCGGTGCTTGATGACGCGGTCGACGATGCAGTCGTCGGCGTAGACGCCCTTGTGGTCGCAGCGGACGCGCTCCCACCGGGTGTCACGGGCTATCCGCAGGGCGAGGCGGTAGCGGGGGCCTGGTTGTCCGAGCAAGGAGGGTCAGTACGGAAATACAGAAGCAGGGAATGGAATTTGGGGCTGTGCTCTGATTCTCTTACCCAGCTTCTCCAGCTCGGCCATGACGCAGTCGGTGATGATGGGGTTGGCCTTGGCGTAGAGCAGGTCCATGAGCGACTCGAGCAGGGGCAGCTTGCGCTGGACCGTGTGCGACAGGAAGTTTGTGTCGACCAGGACGTTGTAGGGCGGCACCAGGGCCTCGTTGTGCTGGAAGAACAGCGACGACGGCTGCTGCGGCAGCTCGCGGATCAGGTCGGCCGACGCCGCCGCCTTGGTCGCGCTCGCGTTGGCCTCGTCCGCCTTGCCCGCGTTCTCGCGCCGCCGCGCGTCCTTCTTGGAGATGATGCGCTTGACCTGGGGGAAGACGCCGTGTTAGCCAAGAGGGGAGGGCTCTGTCTACACGAGAGGGCTGTGCGCTGGCTGTGGTTTGGGGACGCAGGTATGCAGGCAGGTAGTCATCGTGGGAGGCTTATCGATAAAGACGGTGGTATGCATGGGGACTTTTTTTGGTGTTGAGGGGCGGCCGGTTCGGTTTGGCACATACCTCTGCGAACTTGCGGGTGCGCTTGGCCTGGGCACCGGCCATGTTGTCGACGTGGGGGTTCTGTCGCTATGTGTCGTGGGAGGATGGATCGGGTGGCTGCAGGCTCGTGGGCTGCCTTTTGCTTGCGACAGAACGCTTCGTATCGTGGAAGGCGGTTTGACTTGACTTGCTAGACCGGGCCAATGCAAATGTTGCGACTCTGCGCCCGGCGATAACTATCGAATCTGCCGTCTGGGGCCAGCGCCTGGGAAATTTTGACCGCCTGCAACAAAGAAAATCCGGACGCCGGCGCAAGGTCCACGGGCTGAGGCCCCCCTGGCCAGCCTAACACAGGTGCCACTGCCCACTGCCTACTGCCCACTGGGAACCTTGGAAGTCTGGGCACTTCGAACTTGACGGCCCTGCAGCAAGGGTCCCGTCCCGGAGCTCGCCCAGGGTCCGGCTAAAGAGTATTTTGGGTTTCCACTACGTCAGCCCCGGTGCAAGGGGCAACCGTTCCTTGCTTTCCCATGGCGTGGCGCCTCTTCCTTCCCCTCTGTTTGTTTGGCCTTCCATGCCAGTTCAAAGCAGGACTAGCTGTCAGCGGTGCAGTGGACGCGCTGCATTACCCAGCACACCACAGTTATAGTCCTGTAATCGCCAACAGGTTTCTCTACTGAAAAGGTGGCGTTTGAGCAGCGTGGAAGCAGACTCAGCCTGTCTCATTTAGCCCGTCTGCGGTTTTAGATGTAATTGTCATTTCGCGAGTTACGCGCCGGCGTAGATCACCCTGGGGCTACGTACACCAGACACTACCCAGGTATGCTAGGCCCCCAGGAAGTTAGGTATTTGGCAACTGAGACACTGCGGTGGTCTGTGGCCCCGTTCGCCCAAAGCAGCAGGCTGCTGGCTGCGGTGAATCGTTTTACAGCAGCATGGCCATCTGCTAAAGTGTCGCTGGGTGCTGGAGGTTGCTGTCAAGCCGTTGCATGATGCCTGGCCCGGATTGGGACACTGAAACTACGGCCTGGAAAGCAGCGCAGGCCACAGAGTACGTATTGAGACTGATACCGGGAGGCTCGAACTATGCAACGCCTTGAGAAGTCATATATGGCGGTGGCGGTGCCGCATCTGGACCAGAAGACAACCAGATCCGGCCCAGAAGCATTCTCGGCCCAGGAGCCATTAGAATCGAAGCATGAAACGGCTTCAAGGGCTCTTGCTTTGTTCTGTCGAAAGTCTGTTGATCCATAGCTGCTGTCCCAATTCCGCGGCCCGACGTCTTGGCTGGCGGGCGACCTGCAGGCGGCTGGGGCTGGGGACTGTGGGCGAACTCTAGTTGTCTAGTTCCCTTCGTTAGGCCAGGATGGTGCCGGCGGACACGAGACTCCAAGTGGCCGGGTCCCAGGTGACGGTGGTCGTCGCTCCCAGCGCCCCCCATTGCCCAGCGTCGCCCCCCCAGGCCACACCTGCACCCAGGCAGGTCACCCATTCCACCTGACAGGCATCGCCCAACAGTCCACTCCACACAGCCCCTTTCGCGCATCGTATTCCACTCGATCGACTTCGTTCCCTGTCCCCCATCGCACGCCTCCACTCGACGACGCAGACATACATCGCTCGCAGACTCATTCTTCTCGCGGCGGGTAGTGTAGTGTACCGACACGGCAAGACACGAACGGCAATGCGAGTCTGAGGGAGAGTGCTTTCTTTAGCTGATACTCTTGGGGTTTTCTTTTCCTTCACTGTTATTACGCGAGCGCTGCCGGCGACCGTCCTTCTTTCACTCCGTCTGCTGCTTTGACCCAGCCAACCCGCGCCCCCAGTCGCTTCGAAAACCCACCTCTTTCATTGCAGGTCCGCCCATCCTCGCGATTGATTATACGCACGTGCGACGGGAATAGGACTCGAGCGGAAACATCTGCCTATACACACACCCAAGACCGTCGTCTACGTGGAGGCCCGCGTCAGGGGATCACATCACCCCGGCTTCTGTCCGCACCTCGAGTGTCGTTTGTCTGGCGATTTGGGGCTCTGGTCGACACATCGATTTCGCAATATCGCCCAAATCTGAATCCAGCCGTTTTCGGGCACGCAAGGGACACAAGTAGCCGTCATGGGGCGACGACACATCTCGACGAAGCGATACCTGCTTCTGTCTACGCTCGCTCTCCTCGCCGCGACCGCCATCGCCCAAACCACAACGGCTGCAAACACCGACGCTGAGACCACCAAGGCTACTACCACGGCTGCCAACACCGAGACCGACGAGGAGACGACGGCAGCAACAGAGACGACCAAGGTTCCGGCGCTGACCAGCGCCGCTACTACTACTACCACCAAAGCTGCAACCACCACGGCAGCGGCCAATACCCGGACCGTACCGACGCTGCCCACCTCCGCAGGCGCCGTGACCAGCTTTCCCGCGCCCAGTGTTCCGCCCACAAACGATGCGCCGTTCATGCAGAAGTCCAGCATGCCCGAGGGGACCGTATTCATTGCTGTCGGCGCCATCATGGGCGCCTTTGGCGTCGCCATCCTGATATGGCGCGCCGTCGTTGCCTGCCTACTCCACAGATCTGTCAAGCGTGCAGCCCTGGCTCAACACATGGCCAACGACAAGATGGCTATCCCTGGCGCTCCTCCTGCTGCGCCTTTCTACAAGTACACGGATCACGAGTCCCAGGGCTCTCTGGGCGCTGCCGCAGCTGCCGGAGGTCGTGGCGTGCGGAGGACGCAACGCGGGCCCATTCCCTCTGCCACTCCCAGCCAGACCAACCTGTTCTTTTCCCCGACTGCTGCAAATACTGGAAATGGCGGCAACCGATCCTCGACCTTCCTTCCCTCTGGGTTCTATGCCGCTGGCCAAGGCGCTCCCCAGCAAGGTCACGACCACGCCATCAGCCTGACCAACCTGCGGCCAGAGTCGCGCGGCTTTGCTCGTCATTCGGTTCATAGCCCACCTGAGTCTCCGGGTCTCACGCCTCGCAATGACCCCCGCCGTCACCCGCATATGAGCACCAGCTCACTGAACCTCAACCAGGTACCTACTGGGCGGGCTCCTAGCATGTATCTGGAGGATCTCTTGGACGAGAACCCACAGCAGTTCCCGCCACCAGGACATCGTCAAACCTGGGATCCGTCCAACAACCGGATATGATAGCGTCTGCCTGTGTTTGGTTTTTTTTTTCCGGTTGAACTTAGTAATTAATCATAGCAGTCGCCCGCCCAACGGAGTGAAGAGGCCGGTGGACAATGCCTTCCTTTTTCTCCAATGGCTATCAAGGGGGGAGCAATGGGCAAGGCATCAATACGCACAGATGCTGGGCGGTTGAGTAATCTTGCCCAGGAAAAATTTCGTTGTCGGCGATTCTGGCATTAGATGGAGTTCAGGAATCGGATTCTGGGTTTCTCGGTTGTGTTCGTTACAGTATGTTCACTGCTCGCCGCTCGAGCATGCACATAAGTACATAGTCTCTTTATGCCGTAGGTAAATCATTGGATATCATCACCAAACTTGTACTGTACCTAGTGACTCTATACCCTGTTTGATATCAGTTTATCGGGCGCGCATAACAAAAACAAGACATATTGCATTGTGCCAAACAAGTATAATGCAAAGTGAACAAGTCCCATCAGCAGCTACCTAAGTCATCAGCTCATACCATCGAAGGGTCGAACGCCACGATGGTATATATAGCTTGCCAACTATGAGTTTTGCCATAGGTGGGTTTAAGTTTTATGAATGAGTATCACCAATCAAACTCTAAGCTGCAACCCCTGGCTGGTAAGTCAAACCCACTTTTGACCAGAACAAATCGCATCCACGACGACGGCCATCAACCCCAGATCCTCGTGGGACAACACAGCAAGCTTTGCGAGGCAGGTTTCGTGGTCAATTGCGGTTGGTCCTGGTCACGCATGCAAGGGGATCGAACTTGGGACTTCCCGTCAGAAGTCTAAATTGCACGGCTAATCACCCATACGGGCGAGATCTTCCTGTTAAACTTTTTCAAACAGTCGTATCCAACTTGGTATAATAACATATTGCTTTGTGGTCGAGGTAACTTTGAAATATTGCCCCCCCTTCCCACCAAAAAAGATGCCCAACGGACTTGGGATGCAGATGCCAAACTTAAACTGCACCTCTCTATGTACTTGCCATGTATGTATGCATTAGTCTCTCTACCCAGTCGACCGCCATAAGGCTACCAGTGCACCGGCTTCCCCCCTCTTGGACTCTACACCTCTTATGATTTCCAGACCTAACAACTCGCTCCGGGGAGATTTCCCATAGGACAAGCTTTGAGTCTCGCGCAAGGCTCCTCTTTCATATTAGTCTTTCAATTATACAGTCAAGCCACCTCACGGCTTCTCCTGCACCTGCCCACTAGGTCCGGCCTTCTCGTCTTCCTCACTGCTGCCACTGCCGCTGCCGCTGCCGCTGACTTCGGAGCCCAGCTCCCGGGCGGCGCCCGCGATGTCCTCGACGCGGATGCCGCTGCGGTCGCACATGCTGCGGAAGATGCCGCCGCGGCGCCAGAGGTTGAGGGGGCTGTCGAGCTCGGCGATGCGGCCGGCGTCCATGACGCAGATGCGGTCGTAGCCGATGATGGTGCGCAGGCGGTGGGCGATGCACAGCAGCGTCTTGCCGCGGAAGCCCGTGGCGATGGTCGCCTGGATCTTGTCGTCCGTCTCCATGTCGACCGACGACGTCGCCTCGTCGCACACGATGATCTGCGACCCGCGCACCAGCGCCCGCGCCAGCGCCATCAGCTGCCGCTGGCCCAGCGAGAAGTTGAGCCCGTCCTCCTCCACCACCGTGTCCAGGTGCATGCGGTTCGGGTCCTTGTCGTCGATGGACGCGTCGTGCGCCACCAGGTCCGCCTGCCGCAGCGCCGACCACAGCTCGAGGTCCCCGTGCTCGCCGAAGGGGTCCAGGTTGGAGCGCACGGTGCCGCGGAAGAGGGTCGGGTCCTGTGGGATGATGGCGAGGCGGGAGCGGAGGTCGTGAAGACCGATGGTCGAGATGTCGAGGCCGTCGATCGTGATATGGCCGCCTGAGAGCTCAACGAGTCGGAAAAGTGTCGACATGATGGAGCTCTTGCCAGCGCCCGTGCGGCCCACGATGCCAATGCGTTCACCACCCCTGACGTGCATGGTCATACCCTTGAGTACCAGCGGCAGATTAGCACGGTAACGCATCTCGACATTGTCAAAGATGATTTCGCCCTTCTCGGGCCACGATGGGCGGACGTCAATCGTGTGTTCCGGTGCTTCCTCTTCGAGCTGAGTTCCGTAGTACAGGAGGCGTTCCACGGCGTTCATGCCGTTCTCCACCTCGGCAAGCTGCCGCACCGTAAACTGTAGCATCTGCACGATACCGAGGATGTACGAAAGCACGAGACCACCAATCGAGGGCGAAACTGAAAACCGGGATGTAACAACCAAGACTCCCGTGGTGAACACCAGCAGGTTTCCGATGAGATCCAGACGTATGGACAGCCACCTTTGGTTGGAAAAGGTTAGGTAGTAGGCCGCATTCATCTCGTCGATCGCCTTGCGCAGGTCTGTCGTGAAGCGCTGCTTGAGACCATAGGCGCGGATTGTAGCCACACCGCTAAGACCCTCGCCGAACTTGGCAAAGACGACGGAGCGTAGGACAGACTCGAAACGCTTGACCTCTCGCGCAGATGATCGGTAATACGAAGCAGCAAGGATGAATATGATGGTCAGCGGCACCAGTGCGATGACGAAGTAGTGGAAGAATGCGATGATGAGGGCGAAGACGGAGATGATCATGGCCATGGTCAAGAAGTACATCCTCATGGCATCAGTCAGGTTGTTGTCCATGACATCGACATCCCTGGAGAAACGGTTCGTGATGCGTCCCAAGGGAGTTGTATCAAAGAAGGACATGGGAGCTCTCAGAGTTCGAGTGACCGCTTTTCGGAGCAGCGTCTTGCTGGAATTAGTGCCGAACATTGTCAACATCAGTGAGAAGGCGAACATCAGGAGAGCCTGGACGGTACCCAGACCGGCGTATACACCAATATACACGCCTGTCGAAAATCCGAACTGGTCAGATGTCCACCATGAAAGCCAAAGACTGGTTGAGATATTGGCTCCCTGAGACAGAACAAGCGCCAAGAAGATGAGAGGAGCACTGAAGATGGTACCCGATGCTTTCACATAGGCACCATATACAGACCAGGGCACGCTGGCGACAGCACGCTCTTCGGCTTGCATCAGTCCTGGGCCCTTCTTTTTCTTCTTCTTGTCTTTCTTGATTTCGGCCGTCTTGTCTTCGGTCACCTTCTCCTCTCCGTCGTCCTCCTTCTTCTCCTCGACTGCCGTCGTCTCCATAAGGTGTACGAACCCGGAGTGGTTGGCCATCAGGTTGTCGAAAGTGTCGACTGCCTGGATCTTGCCGCCCTCCATCCAGATGATCCGGTCACAGCGGTTGAGCACCCAAAGCTGGTGCGTTGCCAAGATACGGCATTTGTCCTTCAGGAGACCCATGATGGCATTGTCGAATATGTGCCGTCCGACGTGGGCATCGACGGCACTGAGGGGATCGTCCATGATCACAATATCAGAGTCGAAGTAGATGGCCCGGGCAATGTTGAGTCGTTGCTTCTGGCCACCTGAGATGGTAATACCCCTTTCACCGATCTCCGTCGAATCGCCGTTGGGCAGCATATCCAGGTCGGGTTGTAGAGCACAGCTATCAAGGTGTTAGCAAGCAAAAGTGGGGGATTGGAGATGCAGATGTACTTACGCAGTGATGACTTCCTGGTACCAATCGCGGTCCATGTCCTTCCCAAAGATGATGTTCTCCTTGAGGGTGGCATTCTGGATCCAGGCGTACTGGGGACAGAAGGCTCTTGACGCACCAAGGACGACGTCTCCGGATGTCCTCCGCATATCTCCAGCAAGTGCAGCGAGCAAGGAGCTCTTACCGCTTCCCACGGAACCGATAACTGCAACAAGCTCGTTGCGGCCGATCTCAAAGTTGAGGTCCTGGAGCTTGAACGGCTCACGTTCTTCTACCAGAGTACTAGCCGTATCATCGGAGCCTGCATTGTCAGGTTTCGCGGCGCTCTTCTTTTGCGCCTCCTTGCCGGCCACTGACTTCTCTGGGTCTTGCGTTGGTGTTCGTTCCCAGGTAAAGTTGGCATTGGTAACCTCGACGGCGGCTTTGTGGTCTGGCTTGAACACGGCTTCGTCCTCCTGCTCCTCAGAAAGAAGGAACTCCTGACAACGTCTGAGCGATTCCCACGCGTCGACGACTTGGCCAATGATTAGTGGGAGCAGGTTGAGCGGCATACGCAAGCCGTTGAACAAGGCAAGCGAAGAGAAAACCTCGGCGGGTGCCAGGTTATGATTTGACAGGGAATAGGTGATGAACGAGAGCATAGAGGCGTAGATGGGCAACGACATGCTGACAGCGTTGATCGCATTTCGAATGGCCAGCAGGATCTGGATGGCGTGAATCTCCCGCCGACGAATATCCTTCAGTCTCTCCAAGAAAGCACTTTCCCAACCAAAGTACTTGACAAAGCGTACGGACGAGAGGATCTCCTGTGTCAGGCCCACACGCTGATCTGTGATCTTGTTGATGTGCGTTCGGCGACGGAAGAGACTTCGGATCGCTCTCGTCAGGGCAGGCAGACCGATTACCAGCAGCGCGAAACCAGCAAGTGCGCTGTACGTCAAGTTGATCAGCAGAAGAACAAGCGTGATGATACAGATGATGGGAGCTGTCCAGATCATGTGGAACAAGCCCGATGCCTGATCGATACGGTATGTGTCGACACTCATCAAGTTGACGATCTTTCCGTTGCTCCACCCTGTTCCGTCGTTTTCGGGTCCAGCTTTGGCGTTCTTCTTGTTCTTCTTCCAAAACTTCTTCTTGGACTTGTCCCCTTTGCCTTTCTCCCCCAATACCTCGCCTTCAGATTCACTCTTCTGCTTCTCTGTTCCAGCTCTTGCACGTCCTGAGATGACCATTGACTTCTCGAAGACCACGCTGATCAGAACGGCTCGGACTTGACCACCGATCATCATACCATGGTAGATGAAGTGATTCATACCCAACGACTGGAGAACCTGCATTATAGTCACTCCGATCACCAGACCCATCCCCGCCCCGATATGCGGCGTGGGTTCTCCGCGTTGCGAGGCGTTCCACGCATCCTGGGCGAACTGGATCAGGTACCGCAGTGTGAACGGGGACATCACTTGAAGTATAGAGGCACACAGCTGGCAGAAACCTCCCAGCCAGAACTCGAAGAAGAAGGTTTCGTGCAGCGCCCACAGTAAGGGGTACCGATCGCCTGCCTTTCTCCGCTTCTCAAATGCCTCTCTCAGCTTGGCCGTCATCTTGTCTGCGGATCTGTCTGGATTGACAAGCCACAGATCATTCATCTCCAGTTGCCTCTTGTATCCGGTCTGTTACGTTGTCAGCGAGGGCTCTCACGGGGTGTCTGTCGAGGTGAAACTTACGTTCATGAGTGGACCCATCCAGTGAAAGGTCAACTTGTTGAAGAAACCAGCCTTATACTCTGTTGACTCGCCGCGCTCCTTTGGTACCGGCGGCGTGCGACCCCATCTCATCGGATTGGGTTGCTTGTACCATGGTTTCGACTTTGGGGGAACGGACGTCCCCGTGGTAGTGCGCGTCAAGACGCTGGCGTCTGTTGCATGGCTCTGTGTGCGCCGGATCTCTTCCCGCTCAGCGCGCTTCTCTTCTGGCTCCTCCTTGCGCCTGATCTCCTCCTCCGGGTCCTCTACTGGCGAAATTGGCGATGCCGGCTCCGAGTCATTTGTTGTGTTGACTGCAGCCTGGGGATCTACTGGCTTGAGCTCCTTTTCATTCGAAGAGCTGGCAGCCATTGCCCCGAAGCAGACGGGTACTCAGTCTGAGCACCTATACTGTCGTCGATCAAGAGCTTGGCGGTTGTGCGAATTCTCCACGCTGGTGTTGTTCGGAATTAAAAAGGTATTCCTATCTCGGACTCCGCGACAATTGCTTGGAATGCAGTGGACCAAGTACAAATACTATCTGGCCGGGGTGCGTATTCAGATGTTTCAGTGAGTTACCGAGATCTCTACTTCTCACGGCTACTAGTCTAGGTGATCCGAACAGAAAGATCACGCAGCATACGGGAGCAAGCAAGGCGAGGGAGTATTGAAAAGGTCGGCACGAGACATACCCCAGCCTACCACACGGACGGAGATAATGGAATAGTTTTATGATGCTTTGACTCTTCGCTTGCCCCGCAACTCCACAGGGGTACCTTTTCCTACCTCTTCTAGGGAACTTGCAGCGAAAGAAAAAAGGGCCAATGGACCAGTGAGAGAAAAAGGTCCAGCGCCAACTCGATACGGCAAGTGACAAGGGGCAACAGGACAGTGACGAGTCTTAGCAGCAACGCTGGCGGCGGGCCAGTCGGTGATTTCTCCCACCCAAACGCCGCGCCGCCCACCACAGGTTTCTCTAGGTGCGTCGCTGCCTGTATCCTAGCGCAACGGGTAATTAGTTGCATCAGCGCAGCAGCCTTGGATGACTCCGACCTCTTTAGATCGGTAAACCCGCCATGGGGAGATATCGTCTTGTCGGGCGTGCCTAAAGCGACCCGATCTCTCGAGAGTTCGAAGGATTGGCCAATGGGCATCCGAGAGTGATGAATGACATAGGCCTGACGGGCTGACCAAGCACCCAACATAGTCATAATTCAGTCTCTGCAAAAGCTCGGTTCGGTCCCGTTCGGGTATCTTACTAGCGGCACGTCCTCAGGCCAGCCGCGTAGTGGTTGCCGGAAAGGACGTCCGGATCCTGGCCAGAAACCTTCCCAGCTGCAGTATTACCAAGCAAGCAAGTGGGAGAATGTCGGTCAGCCCCACGGCGTCGCGGTCGATGTTGCCATCATCCGAGCAAGTCTCGTAATACTAAACATCACAAGCAGGGCTGATTTCTAAGTCATCTGAGTTCCCTATGGCGGCTTTGTTTCGCTTCCCCCATGATGACTGGGCGCAAAGTCGGGCGAATAGAAAGTCCCCGAAAGTAAGTTGTCTCGAGGTGGGCTAAACTACGCGAAACCCGAGACGTGCTTCCAGCACTACATAGTATTATGGGATTCCAGGCAACGAAACCCGTATTACTCACGCCGACGTTGAGCAAGTGCCGGCGCAGAAGAAACTAGAGCATGTAGTGTGATAATGCAACTGTGAATGACTCGAAGCCGCCAGCGCACATCATGATGCAGCACGCGTTGCAGGACCATCCCCATGGTTTGGATCTGCGAGGACACACCTATGTGGTGGGGCCGGGTGGCCCTGACGGTGTTCTCTAGGCGTTGCTTCTTTTTGTTTTAGTCCACCCTAGTCACCGAGTGCGCGTTGTCTCATTATTAAGCAGTCAGGGTAAGTTACCTAGCACGATGATACCTCGACAACTATCAAACAAAGCTCGCTGGACTTTGCCATTGATTGGCAGCTTCACTAGATCAACGGCGCGTGTAATTTAGAATGTTGCGGAGCAGGCCGAGGGACAATACGCAGTAGGCGCCCCCCTGGTGCGAATGGCCCTGGTCTCACCAATAATCTACGAAGTCCGGATCTTAGAGCGACGCAAATCCGGGTAGCAGCTCGCAAATCACACTTCTAGTTGGCCCGTAGCCGACACAGGCCGAATCCCGATCCGGCAGGATTGGACGGCGTCGACTTACCACTAGTTGAGAGCGACAGCATTTCACGGAACATAGCACACCAAACAGCTACAGAGTCCAACTGGTAGGAAGAGGCTTGTTACGAGCCAGGCAGCGTCTCAGCTTACGCATGCCTCGCCCGAGAATCCAGCGCCGAGTGCAATCCTCGTGTGGCCGTCGATTTGAACAGGATCCGAGTGCTACTTAACTTATAAGCGCAAACTCCGAGCCGAGGCCGGCTCAGTTCGGAGCCGTCGCGCTTAAAGTTACGCTTAGTTCTTCATTGCTCTCGTAACTGCAGACCATAGCACTGTAGAAGCCCGAAAAGTCCGCCATGATTTGAAAGCACCACCGCCTCGACGGGGAGTCTTCTCGTCAACTGGAAGCGGCACATAACATGTAGGTAGCTCATTAGGCCAAACCTTGTTACAACCTTAGCCCAGCCTAGATGAGGAGAACCTGGGGTAAAGTGAAGCGAGCGACTGTACATTTCCAATGCTGTGTCACCGGAGGAGTACGAGCCGAACTCGGGACTCTGACGAGACCGCTGTGTCTATTGGCTCACGTTGCTGCGCGTGGTTCTCTGCATGTTGGCGGCTTTCGTCTTTGGCACCGTGGCTTAAAAGTGTGCATATTTGGCGATCTAAACTTGCGCCTCAATGCAGTCGGCGTTGGACAGAGCCGTATTGCATGGCGGCAAAATTGACTGCGTTCTTGCTGGCGCTGGAGGCGGGAACAGCACTGCATTGCTATATCATCTGTATAAAGAGTCGCAGGAGCAATATATCTCAAAATTACTTTATAACGCTTACATGTACTCCAACGTGCACAGTGTTAGCACTCACCGTCGTGCTGGGTGCGTTTCCCTTGGCAATGACGGTTCTTGCTTTGGCTCCTTATGCTCTGGGCATTGTGATATCTAAGAAGCTGCGTGGAGCTCATTTGCATATACTCGTATACATCATGACCGTATCCTCATGCTCCATCCGTTAGGTTCCCATATCAACGCCGTCCGAAACGCCTGCTCCATGCCACATGCTTCTCGTGAATCACGATACGTCCGCTGTGCGTACCAAATCATATCTCCCTGCTGCCTGCCTGGTGATATATAGAGGTCTTCGCTCCCTCCATAGAAACCTCAGTGACCATGGCTAACAATTCCAGCATCTCTTCGGGACGCACCGCTTCAACCTGGAAGCACCAAGATATTACAAGGCCATTCCCCGAGATGCAGAAATCGTTAGTCACACAAGTGCAATGAGACCCACTGCCATGGTTGCGTGCCTACATTCCATCCGAACCAGCATCTTCAGCCTCATCCGGTACATCCAGCTCTCCAGCCGCAGCCAGGGCATCTACCCACTCTCTCTCATCTTCGCGTCTGAACTCAGCGGCGCGCCTCTCCTCGAGCTCGACGCGCTCCTGCTCCGCGACGATTCTTGCCTCGGCATCCCGTCGCTCGTCGGCCGCCCGCCCGGCCAGGAAGCTAACCACAGCGCGGTCTTCGAAACGGGAGTCGGCGGCGGCGGCGGCGCGCTGCGCCTCGCTCTCCCGCTCCAGGTGGCCGAACAGACAGGCCCAGAGGTCGTTCTGGTGGACGACCTCGCCGAGGCGGGTGTCCTTGTCCATGAGCTTGGGCAGGTTGGCCTGCTGCAGCTCCAGCGAGTTGGCCACGGCTAGGTTGTCCTCGGAGATGTCCGGGGTGGAGGTGCCCTTTCCCTTGCCCTTGGTGCCCTTGGTGGCGTCCGCCATGTGCTCGAGCCGGCGCTTAACCGACAGGTTGTGGATGGACTCCTCCACGGTGCCCTCGACGAGGTACAGCCAGACGTTAGTCTGGTGCTCCTGCCCGATGCGGTCCACCCGGGCGATGGCCTGCAGCTCGAGGGCCGTGTTGAGCACGGGCTCGCAGAGGAGGACGTGGTTGGCGTTGACGAGGTTCAACCCGCTGGCGTGCGCTCTCGCGTCCATGAGGAAGCACTCCACGGCAGGGTCCTCCTTGAATCGGGCGATGCCGTCCTTGGTGGCAAACGAGGAGTACCCGACCTGGAAGCGGTCAAACGCCCGTTTGAGGATATCCAGAAACCCGCTGAACTGTGAGAAGATGACCGACTTGGCGCCGGGATCGGCCTGCCGCAGCCAGATGACGTGCCGGACAAGTGCGTCAACCTTGGTCGGCAGCGCAGGCCCTTCGAGCGGCACATCCCGGATCTCCTTGAGTGTGGCCGCATTCAAATCCTCGAAGATACCACGTGTGCGGGTTTTGTGCTGTGATCGTGGACTGTTGCCTGCCGGTCCTTCTTGGTTATTGTTATCGTCGTTCTGGTGCAGCCTGAGCTCAGGCTTCTTGACCACGATGTCGTGGCAATTATTCATGGAGATGACTGTTTTGCAGATAGGGCACTTCCTATGGGCCCTTACCCACTGGTAGAGGCAGTCTCGGCAGAACTCGTGCGTGCAGGGCGTGAGCACCCCGACGGTATACTCATCCGTGCAAATCGGGCACGTCTTCTTGCTCCACTCGTGACCTTGGTTCTTGAGATGGACCTGGTAGCGCTGCGATGCTATCGCAGTCTGGATGACTCGGTCATATTGGCTTTCGTCTCGGAGTCGGAGATCGTAGGTCTTGGCGCGGTCCTCGCCTTCCATGAACTCATAAGGGGCGACGGTATCCGAGACCGCTTGCAGCTGCCGGTAGTATTCGACACGTGCATTCATTGCCGACGTGAAAAGAGCTAGTTCTCGCTCCAGCTTGCCATTGGCCTTTTCCTGAGCCGTAATCTCATGTTGCACAAGCTTGAGCAGAGCATCAACGATATGCGATTCAGCTCTGGTACGAAGGGTGTCGCCGTCGCCTCGGAGCTTTGTGGCTAGCTCTCGTAGCTCTGAGATGATACCTCGAAGAGATACCTGTAACGCCGTCGGGTTGACCTCCTCACGTGCCTCGAGGAGCGCTAGCAGCTTCTCTGGGGATGGGCCTTCGTCGTCCTTGGCTTGTAGCTCGTATGTCTTGATCTCGTGTCTGATACGTTCGTTGGTAAGGCCGCTCAGGGCATCTTGTCGATCAGATATGGCGGCCCGTAGCATCGTCGTGTACACCATAAGATCACCTTGAATCTTTGTCGAGTTCTCGTACTCCTCTCCAGTAATCTCATCCTCCTCTTGGTCCACCAAAGGTTTGAGAAGGAGCTGGATAACTGCCTCTCGCCACTCGTCCACAACGTTGGCTTGGTCGTTCAGCGCCTCACCGAGCTGCACGAACTTTTCTTGCACCGATCTAGTTTCGAGCCCGGGTTTGAGATCGCACACAAACTCTGGGATGTCCGCAAAGTTCTGCGAGCCGGCTCTCTTAGATAGCTCGGTCATATACCCCGCGGCTTTTGTGTGTATCTCTTGGAGAATCTCGTTTCGGATCTCCTTGGCCTTGTCATAGCCTTCGACCTCCAGCTGCTCCAGCCTCTTGAACTCCTCCGACTCCGGCTCGGTCATATCCTCATTGGATTTGATTTGGTAATAAGCACTGGCGATGAAGAAGACAGCTCGGTGTTTCAAATCCAGAAAGCCGCGTAATCTTCGACGCGCCTCACCCACACGAGCAGGGACATCTTCCTCGTCTTCTTCGTTCTCGGACTCGCTGTCTTCTTTGACAACTGGCTGCCTCGGTGCGGCCGGACCAGCATTCTCGACCTCTACACGGAGATCCTCGCGACACTCAGTCACAAGATCGTCGATGTCTTTCAAGGCCTCTTCCCAGATGGCCAAAGCCTCACGGACTCTGGGTGAGTTCTCCAGCAGCTGCCCTCTCACCAATTTGGCAGTGAGGCGCGATCTTTGGTTCGTCCTAATCAAGTTGTCGGTGTGTTCAATCATGGCATCGAGAACCTCGTCAATGGTCTTGAGGGCCTTGGCAGCTTGACCAAGTGGTCGACCTTTTCGTGGGCCCAACTGAGGATGGAGCACTGTCTGTCTGAGAGATACCAAAGCCCGCCTCATAGCGTCAACAGCGTTGGGGGTTGAGATCTCCCACATGTCAGGGGTGGAGAGTGGCTTGCCTGCTGTATCCAGCTTGGCTTCCTCGACGGCATCTTTGAAACAAGTCCTATAGTGCTGTTCCTCGACTGCAGTAAAAGGCATCGTGATGACGTATCGTTTCTGAGGGGGCAGGACGAGCTCGTGGCGAACAGCATGCTTTGTGTGCCTCAAGGCAAGGCGCTTGAAGAGGTCTGCAAAGATGGGCGGGTGGCCGGAAACGAGTGCATCCCATATGACAGGATACGAGGCAAACGGCTCGTATCGGAGGAAGAGCAGGAGACCCCAAAGATCCTTGATCTTCTCTTTTACCGGTGTTCCAGTGATGCCCCAAGCATTGATTCTGGGGACCAATCTGGCGACTTCGGCAGCCGCACTGACACCACTCTCGATCTGCTGCGCTTCATCAAGACAGACGCGCCACCAGGATAGTTTCACGAGTGGCGATGAAGCTCGCGGTTGCTGTCGCTCATGGCGCCTCGACCTGTCCGGCTCAGGTCGCGCAAAGTGGATCTCGGTACGCAAGACATTGTAGGTGGTGACCACGACGTCGTGTTCGCACATCAGGGCGGTCAACTCGTCTTCGGTCTGCTTGTGGCTTTTTCGGCCTTCGTAGACCATTACACGCAAGGCCGGTGCATGCTTGGTAAACTCGCTAACCCACTGCCTTTTCAAGGTCTCTGGGGTCACAATGAGCGTCGCACCCGTAGGCTTCACCCATGTGTTTGTAAAATAGTCGTGAATGATTTGGGATTCGGCGGATCGTCGATGGAACAGGATGAGCGATATGGTTTCGACAGTTTTGCCCAAACCCATCTCCTCGGCAAGTATACCACCTTTCAGCGTCGACTCAAGATCACGCCATGGTCCGACATCTGTGGTGACGACGTGGAATAACTCGCTGTGGTAGAAGGTGTTGCCGTCGAAATCCTGAACCTCTCTGAATGATAGAGGAAGGGTAGACGTATCTTCGACTGGACAAGGCTCGATACCAGGCGCCTCACCTGGGCGTGCCGCCCAGCGGACACCCTCTCGCTGTAGTAGCCATTTCAATGCCCTTCGCTGGAAAGGATACAAGGATGCTTCCAGGTTCGGGACCTCTACGTGCCTCAGACCGGTGTACGTTTCGTCGGTCATGTATGCGGCCTCGTAGAAAGCTTGCGGGGTCAAGGCAGTAGTTTCAACTTCATTGGCGATACTTGTGAGGTTCGGAACGAATCGGTCCTGTATGATATCTGAGATCTTTCGCTGCTGCTTGTTTCTGAGGCCTTTGAACATGTTTCTCGATTGGTTCCACTTCACTTCGAATGACAAGGCCAAGGTATCCTTAGGCCCAAGCCTCTCAAATGAGACGTGTATTGAGATGCGGATCGCGCCCTCAGAGTCCACAGAATCCCGATTGCGACGCAGAACGTCTAGGATATTATGCAGATCCTCGGACAGACGATCACCGCGACCACGGAAAATCTCAAATGTGAACTGACCAAATGGGCTTCGCGAAAGTGTAGACAGAGTCAGTGATTTGAGGCTGTGGAACTGGCCTTCATCTACCATGTCAGCCTGTACTCTGAGAAGGCGCGAGATGTCGGGGCACTGAAAGGCAGCGATCGGGCGAGCGCCGGCTGGGCAGCGTTGCGCGAACACGATGCTGCTCTTGCCCACTGTGACAGCGTCTAGCTGCCCTTCAACACGAGCCCGCTTCCTGGGAGGCTCCTCGGTATCACCGGATTCGGGAGCTCCGGTATGCCCTGGATCAGGCAGAGACGCCAGCAGACCGATGAGTTCCTCTGGAAATGAGCCTAGATGGATTTCATCATTATTTGTCATCGAATCGAGAGTGTCTCAATCTGAGCTCACCGTTGGGCCCTATTCGGATGAAGCGGGCATCTGCCTTGGGCCGGGTGGCCTTGGACAGAGATGAGCGGCCCATCATGGATCAGGTGGCTCATAGGCGACCGGGAGTCGCATCGGTATAAGTCCAAAGGTGACAACGAAAGGTCCCCAAGTGTTTGTAAGTGTCGCTGTCGATGACAGCCGATGTGCGAGGCCGCGACGGGGACGCTATCGATGAAAACGCAAATCTGGTAATAAGACTACCATGCGAGGAAGTGAATGGGAAGAAGAAGAGATGGGTTGCCTGGGGGGAGGTAGGCCCGAGAAGGGGAAGTATTGGGCCAAGGACCCGCGGGGCAAGGCTATAGGTCTTAAGTCCGCCGTACTGGCTGTACCTGGCAGCCTCGCAGGCCTTGTCCCGCCACGTCCACTTATCGGGCATGACAGCACCACGCTAGACCCATCGCGGGCTAGCCCCCACTCGGCTAAGTGCAGCTCGAGTGGAGCCGCCGGCCTGTGGGAAATTCTTCCGCCGACCCAATTCGAGCTTCACTTTTTCCGCTGGGATAAGGGACACGGAGACGACGACAGCGACAGCGACAGCGACAGCGATAGCGATCCAGGGGAAACAAAGGCCGGACCAGCACAGCGACAGGTGGAAAGTCCAAGACCACATGCAGGACTGCACATAACCCACGAGCCTCTGGAAACTGCCCGCAACGACACGAGACTGCACACCGCCATCATGGGCGCGCTCAAGGTAGGCCATCCATCCCTCCATGCACGTCCCCGGGACGTCCACCTGTCTCGCCATGTCCAGTGCCACTGACCAAGACCTCTTCTTCTGCGCCCACAGCCCGTCCTCAGACCGCAGGTCCTGCGACAAGCCTTCCTCACACAGCCCCTCGCGGCCGCGCGCCCGACGATAGCGGCGGCCTTTGTGCCGGCCCGCCGGGCCTCGTCGACGTCGCAACCGGCGGTGCCGCAGATCCCGGCGCCGACGGCGTTCTGCCCGGACGTGGCGACGTTCCTCAAGCTGATCGGGCGGGGGCTGGGGGCGCACGCGTCCAAGTTCCCGTCGTGGGAGTCGCTGTTCTCGCTCGAGTCGGACCAGCTGCGCGAGCTGGGCATCGAGCCGCCGCGGTCGCGCCGCTACCTGATCCAGTGGCGGCAGCGCTTCCGGCGCGGCGAGTTCGGCGTCGGCGGCGAGTTCCGCCACGTCCAGGACGGCGTCGCCGAGCTGCGCGTCCTCGAGCACGACGCCACCAACCCGGCCAACCCCAAGAAGTACGTCGTCAACGTGCCGCTCGGCCAGAGCGTCGCCGAGACCAAGCCCGAGGACCTGAGCCGCGTCCAGGGGTACCGCGTGAACGGCGCCAAGACGATCGTCGGGCCGCATGCGCTGCCGCTCAAGAGTGGCGAGGGCGTCAGGGTGGCCGTCACCGAGGGCATGTGGGAGGACAAGCGGGGCCGCAAGATCGACGGTGGTGAGAGACGACGAACCGAGATCAGATACAAGAAGGGTGTCCAGGAGCGGCGAGAGGCGCGGGAGAGAGGCGAGCTCAGGTAGACGGGAGAAACTAACATTGCTCTGGTGGTCACAAGAGTGGGAGGGTCGGCCCCTGGACCTGTGGACATCTCCAGGCTCAGCACACGGGGATGCTGAAAGTCGAGAGAGGGGAAGCATGTATACTACCAAAAAGACTGTGCATATATTTGTAACAAGATAAGACCTGTTTGCCAAGTTATCGGCAATGCTCTAAAATTTTCCAGTCCCAAGCTCTAAAGCCAGCCAGCCGTTGAGGTGGCCATGAACTCCCAGAACGCCAGACCATGATGCTACCCTGTCCTGTCATTTTTCGATGCTGATCTGCCTTTCTGCTAATTTGCAGCCCCAAAGTCTAGCTTCCGCGCCACCTTGTTGCCTCGGCTCTCATCGACCATACCCGGTGGCCTCTTGAGGTCGGCGCCCAGTTTTTCCTCCCCTCCAGCTTTCCTTGGCAGGTCCTTGAGGCGAGTGGGCTTGGGATCGGTACTCCAGTACTCGTGGTCGAGCATTTCTCGGGCCGTTATCCTCTTCTTGGGATCCAGCCTCAGCGTCTTCATGAGCAGGTCGACGCCCTCGTTGCCCAGCGCCCCGAAGCCCCACTGCTGATACTGGGTCTTTGTCGGGACGGGGGTCACGGTGTCGCCCGTCGTGTACTCCTTGAGCTTGGTGACGCCGGGCCAGTTCTCCTCGGTCGGTGTGCCGAGACGCAGGCAGATGAGGTTGATCTGTTCGAGCTCGGTGTTACCGGGCATGAAAGGGGCCCTCATGACCAGCTCTGCAATAACACAGCCGACCGACCAGATGTCTACAGCCCCCGAGTAGTGCTTCACGCCATACAGCAGCTCCGGGGGCCGGTACCAGCGGGTGATGACGTTGGAGGTCATGGGCTTGTAGGGATCTGAGAAGCTTCTCGCGAGACCAAAATCGGCAAGCTTGACCTCGCCGTCGGCGGCGATCAGCAAGTTGTTGGGCTTGATATCTCGGTGCAGCACGAAGTTCTCGTGACAGAACCAGACGGCGCGTGTGAGCATGCCGATCCAGGCCTTCATGTCGGCGGCGCCGTAGTGCACGCCCTTCTCGTCGCGGATGAGCATCTCGAGGTCGCCGAGCGGGAGGTACTCGAGGACGAGGTTGAGGTTCTGGTCCTTGGAGGAGAAGACGGTGTGCAGGGTGATGATGTTGGGGTGGGACAGCTCCTGCAGGTGCTTGATCTCCCGCACGGCGTCGGGGGCCATTCCCTCGGTGTACTCCTTCTGCACCTTGATCTTCTTGATGGCGACGAGCTGCGAGGGGTCGTTGCGCAGGTGGCCCAGGTAGACGTTGGCGTAGGTACCCTCACCAAGCTTCTTGCCTGCATCAGAGGGACAACTGTCAGCTGGCCATATCCCAACACGAGCATCGGCCGGCTCGCCACGTACCTTTGACATATTTGCGCTTCTCGTCCTCGTTCAACTGCTCGGCGATATCCAGAGACGTCGACTGGACTGCCGCCGCCGCATTGGGGACGACGGTAGCGGCGGGCGTGCCATTGGAAGACGCCTGCGCCGAGCTGGCATTCTTCAGCGGCGATGACACGGCTCTGATGTTGGCATTCTGCAGGGCATCCGTCGGATACAGCACCATGGGGGAGACGGCCATGGTTGCGACCAGCTCGCGAGGAAGCAAGCTCGGGGATGGGTGGCCCAGGTCGAGGTCGAGGTCGAGGTCGGTTGAGAGAGCTCCCCTCAGCCTTGTGCGAAGGAATGTCGTCGAGCGCAGGGCAGCGATTGGCTCGGCCGTCCGAAGCTGACGAGGCTGCTGGAGACGGTCTGGCCCAGACCCAGTTCGGGCCTAGCAGCTTTGGCAGCCTGTGTCCTGATCCACACGCGCCGGGGATCAGATGCAGGGATCGTGTGGGTTCCGGCCGTTCCTCAGCGTGCAGGGGTTGACGTCATGGGCACAGCTGCCGAAAGACGCTGGACCTGCCAACGCTGCCACACGCCAGATCGAATCGGGGTCGCGCAGCGAGCAAGAATAAATTCCCGTTCGCGCCCAACAACTACGGCGCAGAGATGCATCGCCCTAGCAGCGCCTAGTCTGCTCGACGCAATCTTGCTGACGCGCCAATGTGGCCCGGCACTCGAGGGACTGGCAAAGACTGGCACAAGCGCGTGCACCGGACTCAGGACGGCCACCCGGGCTTGCGTGGTCGCGGTCGGCATCGGGCGCATGGACGGGTTCGACCAGCCAAGTCCACTTTATATGACGTTACAGTCCTGAGATCATTGCCAAGCCACACGAACAAGTCTCTGCTCTCTCACTCTCTCTTCCCTGCGAACCCAGAGCCGGGGGGGCATACAAGCGTAGCAATAATTACCAAGTCATACACGAGAATCTTTTTCTCTTTTTCCTCCCTTCCGCTTGGATGATCTGAATCTGCTTCATTCGTTTGCGCATTTCCTCCATCCAATCGTTGGTTCCCGTCCTCAACCTCAACCTCAACCTCAGTATATATAAGAGTCGGTTATATAGAGTTCGAGATCGAACAATCCGCCATCATGAGGCTCATTTCCTACTGGGTTCGTCTCGCCGCTTGCCTCGCCTCCTCCTTTTTGGCGTCATGCTAACATGCGACAACACAGTGGTTCCCCATCATCTCCGGCCTGATGTGGCTGGCGACCCTCCTGGGCCTGCTGCTGCACTGGATCCTCGACACGGACCGCGTGCACTACTCGTCCATGGGCGACACCCAGACCATCGCCTACATCTCCGACGTGGGCGCCGCCGAGCTCAAGCCGCTGTTCGTCGTCGGCTGCTGCATTACGACCCTGTTCCTCGACCTCTCCTTCGGCACCGACCGCTGGCTACGCCACAAGGGCCGCCTCGTGCCCAACACGAGCAGGGGCGAGAAGGTCCTCTCGGGCCTGACCATCTTCTTCGCCATAATCGGCACCGTCGGCTTGACCTTCCTGTCGGGCTTCGACACCGCGCATTACCCGACGCTGCACGATATCTTCCTGCTGCTGTTCATTGCCGGATACCTGCTCTCGGCCATCTTCATCTGCTGGGAGTACCAGCGCCTGGGAATTAGTAGGTTGCGCCCGACGTGCACTCTCAGCCTCTCCATGTATATGTACTAACCGCCGCGCAGAAAACCGCGACCACCGCATCCTGCGCATCTCCTTCTGGATCAAGCTGGTCTTCGTCATCATCGAGCTGCTGCTCGCCATCGCCTTCGCCGTGAGCAACTTCCGCAAGATGTACAACGTCGCCGCCATCCTGGAGTGGGTCATCGCCTTCATCTTCTCCTTCTACGTCTTCTCCTTCTACATCGACCTGTACCCGGCCGCCAAGACGTCGCGCGGCATGGGCTTCAAGACGGCCGGCATGAACACCTCGCCCTCGCCCCGCCAGATGGAGGAGCGCGGCTTCGGCGCCGAGCCTGCCTACGCCGGCAACCCCCGCTACACCGAGGACAGCCAGCGGCCCCTGAACGGCCCCAGGGCCCCGGCGCCCACCCACTTCTAGAGAGACGATGGGCTCCGGGACCAACCGCCATCGGGAAGGAGGGCGGCGCCGCCCGTCATGAGCGGCGCTTTGAATTAATGGACATGAGACGAAGATACACGAACGATTGGACATGATCTTGAGAATTATACCGGGCTTACCACTTGCTGTTTCGCATTCGCGCGGCGTTTGGGGGTTTTAGACTACCACTGAGAGCACTGTATAATCAGTGTTACGAAGTACTTAGACTGTTTAGTGTTAATGCAAATGCTTAATATTTGTACATGCCAAGCTTTTGGGACAAGCGGTGTATACCAAGAAGCCGCCCGTATTCTACCACCTGCGACGGTTCTTTTTGCTTAAGACGCTAAGCCATGCTGATGACATGCGGCAGGGACAAGTTCCATGGTTTCACACAAATGAGGAAAAGTGTCACAGAAAGTATCACATGGAACTGTATGCACTGTTTGATAAATCATGGTATGTGAGGAATGGATAAAATATGTCAATGCTCCCAAAGTCTATGATGAGTTTATTCCAAGAAGGTAAACAGGTTTGTATGCAGTATGTTCATGGCCCTCGTGGCTTCCCTCGCGTCGATGACACAGCTGATGTTGATCTCGCTGGCACCTGTTGACATCGAAGTTAGCATAGGTTTCCACGACATAGTATCGTCGTATCCCTGCTTTCCCATGGAAAAACAGGGGCTCTCCAGGGGACGGGATGCTTACCTTGTGAGATCATCTCAATGTTGACATTGTGCTCTCCCAGCGTCGAGAACATGCGGCCGGCAATACCAATCATGTTCTTCATCTCAGCACCGACCAGGCTGAGGATGGCCATGTCGTGCAGGGTGCTGACGTCGCCGCACTCCTGCAGCTCCTTGATGGCCGTCTCGAAGTGGCAGTTGGCGGCGTGGATGGCCATGGAGACGTGGACCTCGCTGGTCGAGATGAGGTCGACCGAGATGCGGTGGTTGTTGAGGATGGCGAAGACGCGCGCGAAGAAGCCGTGCGAGATGGACCGCTTGTTCGAGTGCACGTTGATGACCGAGATGTTGTCTTTGATGGTGACGGCCGTCGGGCGCCGCGGCGTCTTGCGCAGCGACGGGTCCGAGGGCCGCGAGCGCTTGATCTGCTGCGCCGGGGACTGGACCAGATCCGGCACCACGATGGTGCCCTTGCCCAGCGGGTTCTTGACGTTCTTGATGCGGATCGGTATCGGCGGCTCGGCCTTGATGACCTGGTCCATGGTCAGGTGGTGTATGACCTCGGAGCCGTAGAAGGTCAGCTCGGCGGCCTCCGAGGGCGTTATCGAACCCAGGAGTCTGGCCGTGGGCACTTTCGTGGGGTCCGCGGTGAAGATGCCGTCGACCTCCTTCCACACCTGCAGCTCTTGGGCCTTGACGCCGACCGCGAGCAGGGCAGCGCAGAGGTCCGTGTAGCCCCGTCCGATATCCCCGTCCATCAAGCTCCCTGGCACGTTGCCAAAGAATCCTGTGACCACGGGCACCCTCTCACCGCACGCTTGTATCCGCTTCTGGAATATGGCGGCTCCATCACGGTAGAACGACGGGTTGAGACGATCGGAGCTGTCGTAGTGCATGATGTCTGAGAGATCGACATACTCGGCGTCGACTTGCTGTATTGGTTGTCAGTCTTCCGGATTCCATGGTCACGAGGGCTATACTGGAGGGTGCCACGAACCCTGTCTTTCAGTAGGTATGCCATAAACCTGCAGCTCAGCTTCTCGCCAAAGCTGACTACCCTGTCCTTCGACCTGGCATTGACCTCGAGATTGAAGCGCTTAGCCGCAATGATGTAGTCAATCAGCTCTTGGCAGTCGGCCTCGATCTCGTCCGAGACCTTCTTCTGCAGCTCCGGGTCCTTGACGAAGGACTGCACGGCGAACACATGGTCGTTGCAGATCTCCTGGACCAGATTCCTAGCCTGGTCGAGGAGTTCCTCGTGGGTCGCGTCGGCGCTGGTGGTGGCAGAGATCTCGCGTAACTTCTTGTAGATCTCGAGGAGGCTGTCGCGACAGTCTGATGTCAGTCCGGTTTGCGGCCAATGCGGCTGTCGGCCATATTGACTCACCGACTCGTAGTTCCGGTCGCCTTCTTTCCCGTGCTCCGCGCAGAGCAGACGACGATAACCTTGTTGTTTCCTAAACTCGCACTGGAGAATCAAAGTTAGTATGCGAGGGGAGTTGCACAGGTCGGGCGGTGGGCGTCGTACCGCACAATGTCTTCGGCGATCTATAAATGACCGTGTAAGCCTGGGATCGGACCGGCGGTCGCACAGAGGCGCAATCGGGCTATGAGCTGTGCCACAAGCATACCTTATCCGGGAACTTCCCTACACTGGTGCCTCCAAACTTTTGAACGACCCAGCCGTTGCTGGACGTGTTGCCGTGGACGATTGGGACCGTCATGGTGGGATCCGAGGGACGGCTGCGTGCCCGGTCGCGAAGTCGGATCTCGTGCTGGCCAAGGTAGCGATTGGCGGGGTACTCTCGCCCGGCTCGACTCGACTGGATTTGGCCGTCGCTCAGTCTCGGACGGTGCTCAGCTCTATGTCTACGCGCTCTACCGGTGCTCCAAAACGCAGGTGAGGGCTCAATTGGGCATCAAACATGGAAATAAAGACAGGAAAACGCTCCAGGCCAGCTCTGGCTGAGAAATTGCGGGCTGATGGTTGGGTTGGACCTGCAAGGAACGGCCGCCCAGTGACTCGCCGAACGGCGCTCCCGAATCGGAGCCACTGGGAAAAAAATTATGACAGTGACGAGCTGCTGTGCGACTCGACTCGGCGGGCTGGCGGGGCGCCCTGCATCATTAGTGGGGGGCTGCGTCCCGGGCCATCCCTGTCGGCCCTGCTCGTCCCGCTATATCGGAACCGACCCCAGCAGGCTTCAAGTCGCTGTAACAGTATAGTACAGGACGATTGGTGCTTCTACGTGGCATCACTCTCTCCAACGTGCTTCTCACGCACTTAAAAGAAACATGGCAACAGCTGAAACCTCGGGACTTGTATGCTGCAAATTCAGCCCATTGTGTCCATTTTCCGCGCCTACAATTGCCTCTGTGATGATGTTACCCCGACGAAAAGATACATCAAGCAGTCGCCCATCTACAGTATGCTCATGGCTTATTTCCTGGCCACTCCCTCGAGGACCAGCACGCGATTCTCCAGCACCAAGCGCCACTCCCTCTCGCGCTGCAGATTGTGGTCCAAGGTTTCCGTCCGCTTTTGGAGGGCGTCCATCTCGGCCTTGGCCTTCTCGAGCTTTGCCTTCTTCTACCCAGTTATCAGTCTTTCTGTTCGATAGTACTCATTGAAAACTGAGAGGAACCCTGCTTACCTTTCTACCCACCCATTCCAACAGCAGTGGGGCTCCGAGAGCCGTAAGCACAGCCAACGCCGAGACAGCGGACCTGAAATTCAAGTCAGCGGCCATGTTATGTCAGAAACAAATGGGAAACATTGAAAATAGGTTGCACCTACGAAAAAGCACTCAGCCAGCTTGATTGGGTCTGCTGCTGAAGCAAGCCGAGCATTTCTCGCATTGTGTCGTCTACTGGAATCGGCATCGCAGCGCCGCACTGGGTGGCTTGTTCTCGGAGAACAGTGGTGAAACTGTTGTTTACTTAGTATAGCGGTGCTTTACTCCTATAGATTTCGCGCTATATTGGGTTATGTAACACTTACTTGGCGGTATGGGCCATGGTAGCTAGTATTGGTCTAGAGTTGGTCTCAAGATTCTCGATGCTGTAGCGTTACTCAGTGCTTGTACTTGCAACCCCAAGTTTAGAAAGGCTCAAGTTCGCGACCCTGAGAACCCGTCTGTTTTGTTTTCTTGCACGATCAGGATAGGCCATGTTGCACTTTCCTACTTGTTGTAATATAAAATGCGATATATAGCGGAAGGTGGAACTGATGCGGCGGCGGGGAGGTCTAGTTTCGGTAAGGACGACACGGGGGAGCCACACAGGGATAATGCAACAACTTTAGCTTCGGAACCCTTAATAGCTTTGGAGAAAGGCTTAAGCTCGGAATTGTATACAAATTTTGTTGCCCGAACTGTAAAACGGGCGCTTGGTATCATGCGCAAAGTCAATACCTGTTGACTAAACGGAGAAAGCGATGTTGCGAGCGAATATTTCGATCAGTATTCATATATTAGGCGTGGCGCCTCACCGTCCAGTCTCAGCTATGCTTTAGAGCGACCAAAAAAGGAGGGAATACCAGAGTTTGGAAAACCCCCAGCTACACTGTGCAGCTAACTGAACCGAAACTCCTGTCGCAGTCAGGCTCTATCACGCACGCACTCACCTCGTCGCATTCGACACCATACCGACGGAAGAGACTCTTTCGTTGCTACGCCCTCCACTCCAGCGCATAGTTTTGTGCAGAGACGTGTCAAATCCAGTGACGTGGGCGCGCCCTCAGTGCCGTTTTCCATCACACGGCTTCGTGATGGCGTTTACGAGGTCTGTTTTAAGAAAATTGGAACAGCTAGGCTACGGTAGAAATTCGAGCAGACATGAACCGTCGTTAGAAGAACTAGCGGGTCAGGAAACCCTCAGCCTTCGTCCGTTTCCAGAGGCTATGGCAAATTCGGAAGTCCCTGGGCTTCCGTCACCTCAGAAGAAACCAAAGGATCGGCATTCTCTCAAGAATCCGATATTCGGAAGAAAATGGTTATTTCGGAAACTTTTTAAACTTCCTGCGCCTCAGGCAGGACCCCATTTTCGAGCTGACTGCTGCACACACGCCGTCGGAAATATGGATCCCCTCGTCGTTCCAACCTATCACAACCTCAATCACAGCCTCCTCTGCAAGCTACCACCAGAGCTCCTTATTATCATTATGGAAATGCTTGACGTCCCGGGTCTTTACAGCATTCGTCGAACCTCTCGCATCTTTCTGAGGCTCTTCGAGAATGCCGCATTCCTGGATCATCACGACCGCGCGTGGGATATTTCTCCAGTGTATCGGACCTGGTTGCGAATGAGGATCAACTCACATGACAGAAAGCAAGTTGGTCAAATTGGCGCAAGAATGCAACTTCAGAGATATTGTCACAAATGCCGACCCGCACAAGAAAAGCTTAGACTCAAAAGAAAGCAGCTGCTGAATCCTTCAAAAGTTCTGAGGTATTTGCACTGCGCTCAATGCAGTTCCGACCACCCTTTTTTTCTTTTCTCTGCGACCGAGCGTTCAAAATCGTCCAAGGACCGCAAATGTATCGGCCACCAGGGCTACATCCGCATTTGCTCGCACAAAGTCATGACCTGGGCAGCCATCTCTACTAAGATCTCAAGTGTCCCGGAATCGGGCGAATTGTTGATAGATACATGTGACCACCCGAGTCACTTATCTGATCACTTTCAAAATGATACCACCAACTCCACAGACACATCTAGCAGCGCAATCACACTCCCTAGAGTCACGGTCAGGGGGTACTCATTGGCACCACCAATTGCGACCTTCCAATATACCTCGCACGTATTGCTACCACCTCGAAGCAATGAACAGATAAATGCAGAAACCCTCAGGGCCCGGTTCAAGCAGTCCCGCCAAGGAGTGGTAGAAGCCATGATCCCTGAACTACCGAGCGGACATATGATGGAGATGCAGTGTCTTGACCCTAACTATTGCCAATGCTTACATTACCAAGGGCAAGATGCGGTATTTTGGCCTATGAGAGAACCGGCGCGTACATGGCTTGGCAGCGGCTGCCGCCTAAATGCAGGAAAAGAACTCACCCCTTTGCGGACACTCAAGGAACCAGAAAGCACCCATAACAATCTAATAAACCATCAGAAGGGGGTATTTTGGGACAGTGACTCAGATTCCTATTTGACAGGCCATACCAGAGTCAATGTTGAGACTTGCAGCCAGGATGCTCGCTGTTTGCTGGTCACCTATACTCGAATCATACCGCTTTCACGCACCCATGAACGCCTTGTCCCAGACTCCAAAATGAGTTTCGCATGGATGCAAGGGCTGGATCCAGATTCCTATAGGCTCTGCGACGACCGTAAGGGCTACGGGACGTACTGGTGTTTGGACGAGCGATGCAAGAACCACTATAAGCACTTTCTGAGGGATGGGTTGTCAGCATCCGCCACGAAAAAATGCTCCGGAAAATGTGTATAGTCCGAGGTGGTGCGAAGGTTGGTAAATTGTATGTTATTGACGGATGCGTTATTTCAGACACGTGAGAAGTAGTAAAAAAGCAGTCTTACACAATATCAACAGATTAAACCCAGCCAAAACGATCACATGAAAATCGTGGCTACATTGCTCCCACGGCTAATGTGGAGACAGCTAATATCGATCTGATTTCCCCTACGCATGCCTTGGAGGAGGAACCGGAATTGACGGGCTCATCGACAGGTCGGCGTAGGCTGATCTGCCTCAAGAAAGAATGACGACAATTGAACTATTCCACGTACCAGACCAGCAAGTTGCGGAACCCGTACTCGCCGCCCTTCGTCGTAATGTACAAGGCATACCTAGAAAGTACTATTACTCCGGAGAAGCTTTTACCAACCCAGTAGACGGAATGCTTTCAGGAGTCTGGATGTTATTGTCGGCGGCTTGGCATGGAACCCGCTGTTCTGGGCCGTGCACCCCGATATACAAGCTGAACTACGGAACGGGAAGGTTGGAGGTATATACATAACGCGATCTGATACTCTATTGAAGGCATGCATCCCGCATAGAGCCCATCGCAGCCTTATACATTCCCCAAGCTGTACATAAGGACCATGTGGTCGGGGGTTTTGTAGTGCCGGCCGGTACGAAGTTCGTTGTCGACAGCCACACGCTCAACACCCAGGTATTGGGTACCAAGCCGCAACGACTACGATCCTTCTCGATTTGCCGGGCACGAGCTCGAAGTAATAAGCTGTCAATACGGGCGGTTTGTATTCGGGCCAAAACAATGCTTGGGCAAATATCTGGCGGATCGCATCGTCCGCATCGCGGTTGCTCACCTGGTAGAAAATGCCCAGACAAGGGTCCCACCATTGAGCATCTAGGAAAAGTACCCTAGAGTCTGGATTACGCAGCGTGATACCGAAACCTACACCGAGATGGCTCCGGGGGAGGCAGGGACTAACGCAGACTGACAGTGAGACCAAGAGTTGCATGGATGGGCAGCGGGCGGGCAGGCTGTTGGCGGATTCTGCAGGGTGGTTAGGACTTTTGTTGCACACACCAACCAACGAAGAATGAACCATTCCCGTCTTGGCCATTATTGTACTCGGACAGATTCATGCGATACCCTGCTCTTATATCCACCTCCAGGTCTTTTTGAATACATGTCGTTATCTCTATTCTAATCGCTCTTCTCGTCTTACCGGTCGCCAGGGCTGGATGTTTTGACCCTATTGCAGCTTGTCCGTCTCGATATGAACCAACAAAAAGAACTCCCTTGCCTTCGTATGACTTCGAGCCCTAGCTTGGTACCACCAACGGCTACAGCATAGGGTATAATCGCAATTTCCCTTTGTTCGTTTGATGGGTCTCTTCTCCACCCTGCATAGCTGCCTCCTCTCTTTTCCTACTAGACACTATAACTAGTACGCCTTGCTGGCACGCGCTGCACAACATAAAATTCGTCAACCAAACGGCGAAAATACAGAGCTGCGCTGCAAGTTTGCTGTCGTTCCGCAGTTTTCGGTCCCACCCTTGTCCATTAACAGACCACCAGTGAGTGGACAAAGTCACTCTGCTGAGTCGATCGATCCGACGAACACCAACAAAACTTCATGGTACCTAGGGCGCTATCAACAATGGCCACTATATCATTCCAGCCCAAGCAGATTACCCAGTACCAGGCTGAGCACCTCTCGGAGCTCCAAGGAGATGTCAGTGAGACGGCCATCAAGTACAGCTTGGGTCTTATCCCCGATTTCTCCGAAGGCGACATCATCCACGACAACGCCTGTGGCTCCGGCGCCGTCACGGACACCATTCTGCATGGCATTGTTCCAAGAATCCACATCGATGCAACCGACGTCAATTCTCAGTTTGTTCAGGGATGCGCCGCCAATGTGGACAAGAATAAGTGGCCCGTCTCGACCGCCGTCATGCCAGCGCAGAAGCTTTCCTTTCCTGATGGAAGGTTCGCTCATTCGTTTACCAGCTTTGCTTTCCACTGTCTAGGTGATCACGATGCTGCCGCTAAGGAGGTCTACCGCACTCTCAAACCTGGTGGTCTGGCTGTCGCTTCAATCTGGGTATACATGCCTCACGTGGATGCCTCGCAGCATGCCCACTGGCGGACCCGTGGTAAAGACGGCCCCATGCCTGTCTTACTTCCATTGGAAGGCTTCGTAGACGCCGACTTGAAGAAGGCGCTCGTCACAGGAGGCTTCAAGGAGGAGAACATCTCCCTGTCCGAGAAAGTTTGCTACCTGAAAATTCCGGACTTGAAGCGATTCGCACAGCTGTCTTGGAGTTATTTGGGAAGGTTGCCAGACGGATGGTCACAGAACGACGAGGACAACTGGAACGAAGCCTGTGCGGATATTGTCGAGCAGCTGCAAAGTGGAGACGGCATCTCTCGGAATGAGAAAGGCCAGACCGTCCTGAAGATGGTGGCCTGTATTACTGTCGCGAACAAGTAAGCGAACAGGGTAAGATGGCAATGTGAACGCTTGACAATATTCATTGAGATTTCGTAAAGTGCCAGTGTACATCGTTTGTGCAATCAGTATAGAAAGCAACAACAAAAGAATGAATGAAGTGGGGCGACTGGCCGCGAGAGTGTGGAAGACCTTAGTTTAAATTAGCTGAACTATTCGCTTGTCAATATGTAATATGAATCAGCCCGCACGTGTGATACTATACTGCGAGTCTGCCAAAAAAAAAAAAAAAAAAAAAATTCTCCTCTCACACTCGATGAAAGTTAGCCTCATTTCCACACCACTTCTCTAAAAACGTGATCTGGCTCAACTTCGGCTAAGCTTCGCTCGGGTAATACAGCCATAGCTCAAGTGAGCATAGGTTCTACCAAGCCTTTTAAGGACCACCTGAGCAATACTGGGCACCGTAAACGAACAATGTGTTATGGACTTTATGTGTACCCTCTATCCACTTTCTCTATAATATGATCCTTGTACTATATTTCTTAACCGCCCAATTTCGAAGTTTGCTAAAGGGACTGGAACGCAAAAGGAGGCCATATGGGCTTGTCAGTCAGTCAAGTTGGCTAAGCAGCTGCGACGTACGTGCATGTGTAAATCGAATTGAATGTTATGTAGATTTGTTCGTTATCTGAGCTCCGATACTTCCAACTACCCACGGTTAAGAAAAAGAAATATGTGGCGGATTGGAAGCAGCACATGGTTTGTGCCTCCCACCTCAGCTGTCTGCTCTATGTCCACTCTTATGTCCACCACCTTGTTCGACAAACATTCCATTGGCGGGGCGCGCTTGTGACTTAGAATAATAAACACATCTACCCGTAGATCACACCGTTAGCCGAAGCTTGTTCATTAAAGCTCATTAAAGGGCTTTAAGTGAAAATTGCTTGGAATTGTCTTTGCAATCTCATATATGTGATCCTTGGGCCTTCGTATCTCATTGTCCAAACTTCTTCGTTTTACGATTTCTGCACTTCCTATTGGAATCGAGTATATGAAGATGCACACCTCACTGTTTACCAGTGGTCTCTGGCTTAGCCTCGTCGCCGCTAAGCCATGCTCGGACAAGACAAAAGATGAGAAGACTATGTAAGTAAACGAGCTCTGGGAGCCTAGAGTTTACATTGGCGTATATGCGGGAGAAATTAATCATTGCACTCGGGCCGCCCCCTTCTGCAGTGTCCTGCTGAATAGCTTATTGCCATTCTATACTACACGGGTCCATTCCTACTAATACCCAGCCTGTAGCCTATCGACATACGACATACCATCGACCTCCGGTAGCATCAATCTGACTAGCTCGCCAACACACGAATCCATATCCAGGCCTGGAAGTTTGGGACCCAGCAGCATCAAAGCACCAAAAGCGCCGTCCAGCTCCGCCACAGTGGGGCCTACCAGCATCCCGACATACCAGACGCCATCCAGCTCCAGCAGCGTTCAGCCGACAAGCTTATCATCTTCTGCAACAACTTTGCTCAACTCGACCATCATAATGTTAACTTCCATGTACTCATTGACAAGCCCAATCTCCATTACCTTTTCGGACACGAGCTCCTCAGCCTACTCAGCATCTTCGACAAAGCCGACATCCTCTTCGTCAATTCCTTTGGCATCTACCAGCACCGAGTCATCAGTCTCTACCCTCCCAACTACACTAGAAATTTCAGCATCGACGTCACTATTGAGCACCGATATAACTACCTCAACTTTTCTGTCTACGACGACCTTCACCTCAAGCACAACCTCTCCATTCCGGTGAGAATCCAGTTTTATGTGACTGATATAAGGCTTCTGCGAGGTATCTAATGCTTATTTTAGCCCCAAATTGACCAATGTTGTCCAAAACCCAGGCTTCGAAGACGCTGGTGGCTCCCTTTCGCCATGGCAAGCCGGTATTGCGATAGATGGCGACGGCTCCGACGATTTAGCGTTTACTGGCCTTGCACAACCCGGCAGCAATTCCTCAAATGCAGTGCTACTGCACGCTGATGGCCCCCTTGGTGGAGGTGTAATCAGTGCTTTCGTCTATCAAACTGTCCCGACTGTTGCAGGCACGATTTACAGAATCTCATACGACATTGCCATCTCGATTGCGCAGCCGGACAACTTTTACAGTTGTGGTTTTTCCGGCTACCACGATTGGGAAGCCTTCGACTATTTTACATTAGAAAATACGCAGGGGTATAGGAGGTATACAGCCTTCTTTGGGGCTGCCGCAGACAATCAGGTGCTGAAGTTCGTAGTGGAGTGCGACAGCTATAGAGGCTCGGCCGAGATTGAAATTGATAATGTTTACGCAGTAGCAGTAGAGTAGATTGAAGGTTATTCGATTTTTCTAAGAAAACTGCTAAATATACGTTTAGTACTCTTTAGTATATCTTTATAAAGACTATGCCGGCTAATATAGTAGCCGAGTGTTGCCCCTGCTTATCCTGTGCTCGTGTGTTGTGGGCTTATCCATACTGTACTCCTGTGACTTAGGCAAACCATAAGTAGAGTATTCTCCGGGACGTTTTAGTAAGTTCGCCGAGAATAATCCTAAGGCTCTTATAGATTATCTTACCTACGTCCACCCACTGTCCCTGTATAAGATGTTTTATCTAGGAGACGCCTTATGCGAAAGTATACAGTGGCATAAAGAGGCCCCGAATCATACCTCAGCCCCGATCAGGCTTCTTAGTGGTGTTTGGGGTCGAGTTCAGGTCACAACGCCAACAGCTCAGGTTCGAAAGCGGAAGTGGGTTATTTGGTGAAGGAAATTTTTGAGGCAGACTTACTTGCTATACTCAGCACGTAAATCTCTTGCAAGAATGCGGTACGGCGCTCCCAACGGCCGGAATAACCAAACCATTCAGACATCCTTACCCAGTACAGTACACGACCCGCGATCAGTTTATAATCAGCACTACTAAGTGCATATGTGGAAAAAGTGGGAGACTTTTTATCACGGTCTTGCGTGCCACAGAAGGCAATGCTCATGTATGGGGTGCAAAATTGATGTAATTTAAGGATAACCTAAAGATATAGTGCAAATGGGCGCGACATTCGCACTTTTGCATACTTTATCAAAAGTGGGACCTTCTACCGCCAGTCCTACAGTAGCGCCAGTGTTCACTTGGCCAATTTTCACCTAATGGTTCAGAACTAGTGCCAAACAGCCTTGGATCTATGATATTAAAAGACATCGCAACATGCAGGCGGGTGCCTACAATGTTCTCGGCCGCCGCTATTTCTGTGCGTTCCAATGCATTCGGCTGTGCAAGAACGTTTCCCTAATGTTGTGAAAGTTCATGACACCATTCGTGTATAGCGAGGTATTAGAGAAGAGTCGAAATGTTCCACACCCACCTCTTTTCACCCTAACCGAAGCAAGGGTAGTCAATAAGTCATGCACGATATAAGAGGGGGGTGCGGTAGGCAAAACTGCCTTGATAACCAAATTCATCAAGCTACTGATTATGCTCGCGCGGATGACCTGATACTTATGCGAGGTGGCAAGCACTGATGGGTGTACACTGGAGCTTGGCCCTATTATTCTCTTGCATCCTGTCTTACATTGCCCGAAGTTGTACGGCAGGAGTTCGGTGCTTGCTGGAATACCAAGATGTGTTTGGAGCCTCATTTATATATACTCTTTGGGTTCAGGCAATCAGCGAAGATCAACACAACATATACACTGCTTCTTCATCGGACAAGTGGTCAAGTCATACCAGACGATCAAACAGCGCTTCTCATTGTGCAACTTTCCCCTATATATTGGCTGAGTACAGCATGGACTGTCTTCGATGCTATGATATGAAGACCTTAATCAGAGCGTCGAAGACATCAGATGAGTCTGTTGTGGGAACCTATACAACAACTCGTAGCTGACACCCATCCATGAACTCTACCCTTCTCAAGTTACAGGTTCGTGGTACATATAGCCATGACTTGACCGACTTTCCACGACGTCAAGAATTATTCGGCCGGGTAAATGTTCGAGCCTCGAGGTCGTTTACTTTGTAGCAGAGGATCCGGATCTGTGAATTAATAGCGACAATTAGCCACACTTGCAAGGATACGAGCGCCTTGACATTCAACGTACCCGTGAAACTGAGCGCCTATGCCCATGAAGTCAGCCTCACTGCGTGTGATCTTGCCTCGAGAAGTCTTCCCCTTCCGGCCATCTTTCTTGGATTTCTTCGGAGGAGACGATGACGACCGCTGCGCGGAGTTGCTCCACTTGTCCGGATTGTCGTCATTTCCATAAGATGCGCAGGTAGAAGCTTGGTCATCTCCCTGGATGCAATAGGAGGCTTGGTAGTTCGACATGGTTGAAATACGCGGATGGTGATCAAAACCGATATAGAAGCAGATTTCCGGTCTCTTGTGATCGGGGTTCTGTGATAGAGACCCGAACTTTGGAGAGGGGGAGGAATGGGGAGAGAATATTAGCAGACGCAATAGCCTTCTTATACACAGCGATAATAAGACTTGCAATTTGTGTGGAGTTGGCAATACGGTCTCATGAAGTAGCCCGATGTATCAGAGGCCAGAAGGTCCAACGTTTGCTGCGAAAATAACGAGCATGCCAATGTAGCCCAACACGAACGTTCAATCAAGTCTACCTACAAACCAGCACAGATATTCGGTGTGGATTCGCAGAAAGTAAAAGAAAATTTACCATATCTGATGACAAGTGTGATCTTTTGACTTCAGGATTGAACAAAGTCGATGATAATTCGCCATTCCTCTCTTGTCGACAAGGATTCTCGGGGCTAGGGTTCTCCTGTAGATAATTTGGTCGTGTCCCATTGGGTAGTCTTCTTTGGTGAACCAGGTTGGTGAGGGACATAGACCGACATCTGGATAGTTTAATTTACAGCCCGCATGCGGCGTCCCGGTGGGAGCCTCAGGGGCGATGATTACGTTCCTGATTGGGTATTCCTCTTTGGTTGTGTCCATTTTAGGCTAGTGAACAACACATCACGCTGAGCTACGTATCGGTCTGCAAAATATCAGAGCTGATTGGATATTACCCTTTTGTTTCATGCGGCTTCCGGGCTGTTGTCCAATGGTGGAAGTCTGGGGCTCATGCTGTGTCACCCCCAAATGCGCCTAACAGGGCGAACAACGCTCACCGGCGACTAGTTGCCTGAAGAATCTAGCGTTCCATGAGCGAAATCCAGAGTTATAAAAGCCGGACGTGTCACCCACATCATCCATCTTGCGTCCCTGGCAAACATCACTCTTTCGATCTCGTCATCGTTACCCCACCAGGTTCAGAGCACGTTAGCCACTCCCAGACATTTTCTTCCAATGTCCATTCCTGATCTACCGTAGCCATGAGTACTGTTTCCGAACCTGAGCAGGCGCAGCGCACTGGCGAGGAAAAGTTTCTGGGTATCCCTTATAACGAAAGATGGGAGTACTTGAAGCCGCATATTGTCTCAATGTTCATGGCCGAAGGCTTAAATATCCAAGAAATCGCCACGCGCATGAAGGAAAGATTTGATTTCGCCGCAGTGTAAGTTGAAGCCTCGTGGTCATCAGTTTCCTATTCCTAATTGTGAGGCTAACGTACCTACGTACCAGACCCGACCAATACAAGTACCAACTGTTCAGGAAGTGGCGCATCAAGAGAAGAACTACCAAGAACGAGAAGGAATTGATCATTGCAAAAGTTGGCAAGCGCTCGAGGTCTATTCCAAGCAGTTCGCATATAACCATCGACTCGGGAGGTTATGCAAAACCAGTTGACAAGAAACAACTGAAGCGCTACATTGGAGAGAGCATTCGCCACTCAGACAACCTCCAGATTAAATCTGCATTGTGAGTGTGCCTACCGGTCTATATTACGTGGATATTCATTAACCCGAATGATAATTCTCTAGCTTCCTTAACTGGAACCTTCCCTACAAATCCTTCATGAGTAATCTTGGATTGCCACACGATCATCCTTCCCCTTTGGCAAGAGGACCGCCGACTCCAGACAATATCACTGCAACGACGCCTCAATCCAGCGCCTCTCCATCTACCGGTATAAATGGCCCGTCTCCAACTACTCAGTTGGTTCTACGCAAAGTACTCGTCGACAAATCGAAACTTCTACTCCAGGGCCGAGAATTGGAGTTGCTGAAACAGCTGAGTGAGGTGGAGAGAGCGTACGTTTTACACTTTTGACGATGTAGACATATACTGATGAAACACTATCTCACAGAGCAACAGTGACTTGGATGCACGACTACTGGATGTACGCTTTCATGACCGCGAAGTACTGGGGCAAAGGGCCGAGATACTGGTCCCCAAGTATGGTCAACTTCAAGTCGATGGGTACACAACAGATTCTTGAATCATCTTCACCTGAGAAACATACAGCCTCGAACGCCCTTTTAGTTTTGCAGCCCCCAAGCCTCCTGTGTCACTGGACAATACATCATGAGGAGACGAATGACTACGAGGAGCTGCCGGTCGACGAACGTAACGCGGACGACGAGGGGGACTATGATGTCGATGACGAAACAACCTGGCCAACCTGGGCTCAGTCAGTGTCTCAGGGTGACTATACCGAGACGATACGAGAAGGATTGATTACAAATTCATTCAGTTCACTGAGTCAAGGTGATTTGCCTGTATCGACGGATATGATTACGAAGCCTTGCGCCAAGGCAGATAAACGACAGAAAATTGAAGCGCTGGGGTTTGCTATAATGGCCCGGAATCCGGATATTGTGAACAACATTATAGATGACGTACTCGGAATTCAATGGCTGTCAGACATCAGCAAAGAGCTGCATCCATGTAATTTGGCGGCGGCTTATCTCGATGGGTCACGGCAATGCTGCCTCGTTATGCGTTCAGTTTCGTTTCTGGCCATATTTGAACCTACCAAAGATGAGCATGATCACACAGTCTTGGACTCGTTGTTCATCACCATTCTTCGTTCGCACACCAGTATTAGCCCAGCTCTGGTCAGTGCTTCATTCAAGAAAACGAATCGTACCCGATTTCCCGGAGAAGAGGTCGACATTTGCGGAAGATGGGATGCAGATTCGCCCCAGGTTCGTCAGTTATTCGCCAGTGGACATCCTTGTATCCCGCAGGAGTGGAAGCACAATTTCTGCCACACTTCAACTCAAGCCATTTGCCATTCAATCCAGACAATCTTTGGTCGAGACGATCCGCCCTATATCAATGAGCAAAGTGGCCTGTTTACGGTTTGCGAGGGATGCGGGCGCGCAGAATATCCCGGTCCGTTGCACACACTTGTCCGTGTTGCTTTTTATCTCGTTCAAGATGGGTGTGAAGGCGAGACCCTGTTTGGGGCCCTTGCATGTCTGGTCTGTTTGGTTATTCACGGTGCTGACCCACTCATCAAAGCTGATACGTCTGTACCAAGTGTCACTACTCTACAGGCATGCAGACACGTATCATTGACCGCATTCGAATTGGCGACGCATCTCACTCTACATGGTGCACCCGGTCCCGAAAGGGTCTTGGGCTGGAATGTGTTCATGTCTCTGCTCGAGTACATCACTAAGGGAGCTGAAGCTCAGCTAAGATTATCCCAGGACGAACTGGAAGATCATGACGAGGAGGGCATACCCTTCCAATGGGCCGGTGATAGAAAGTTGCCAGTTCTTTGGTCTGCCATTCAGACCGAGTTTCTCTCATATCGCAAGATCGAAGAAGACGATCCTTCCATATCTCCTAGATTCAACATGGAAACACTGTTCGATGGACTCAGGAATGGGCATGGTCCGGTCGAGATTGAATTAATTCAGATGGGAATGATGAACATCAGGGAAGATGGTTTCTTGGATGCAAAAAGTGGAATTCCTACTGTCACTAACGCTTGCTCCTCATACTATGCAAACGTTGAGAGATGGGGTCGCATTAATTTCATTGAAAGGTGTGAGTTAAATTAGGATGATGAGTAACTGTCACAGGCCGTAAGGTTCTCTCCTACTTCCTCTCCCTCTGTTTTAAGGATCTTAAAATTCCGTGCATGCAAGCGTAGAGAGTTTTTGAGGTCAGAGGCAGCATCAGGACATCTTCTGGATATCTTGCCGGAACGTAGCCTATTAGCTTGCCATGTTGGTACGCCACGAAGTGGTTGCCGGTACTGTGACCTCGCCACCGCGCGCTGTTCCACAGCTTGGGCGTACAAAAGTTCTCTCCTGAGCCCTGCAAACGGGCAGGGGAACTCTGTATATTTATGCTTTACATATCAATATACGTGAGGTGGTATGCCACATGGCGCCAGTGCTTTCAGCTGAAGAATGTTTCACGGGATCTTGCTTCACTTTAGCAGGAAAGGTCAAAGATAACGTCTGGTTATCTGGAATTTTTGCTGCATGGAGCCTGAATCTGCTTGCTTAATTCATGAATGGCCCTGAATGGTAATCTTTTGTGATGAAACCGGCTCAACTGTTATAACTTACCTCGTCTCCATTGTCATGATCAACAGCTTTCATTCTTCCAAGCTGGTTGGTTCCTATTTCTTACTAAATCCTTGAGCCACGGCAGAAATTGGGAAAGAGCATAAAGCTAATGTCCTCAAACACCACCATTTCCATGTTCTCGAGTCATCCGGTGAGGGACATTTCAGCAACACTCTACAAATCACATTCGTTCCCGTCAGGCCAGGTATAGTGGAAGCTACAATCACAAAATTGGAGAACCAGAATCTGGCACACATAAATGACCGAAAGAAAACGAAGAAAGCAATGCATTTCCCCGATAGCGAATCTATCTAACATAATGGTTGCGACACCGGTCGTGTCGTACTTCTATCAAGCGATTGCCACTGGCCCGGCAAGAATGGGATGGAGAGATATCCACCAACCATCCCGGATGACTTGGAACTCCTAGTGAAGCCATCCGTGGACGCCGACAAGCAGGGACGCGGGTACCAGAGACACGCAACCACCAAGCTCGCCATCACAACATGGATGTATGCACTCAATCGCCATCTTGAAAAGGTATGAATCCCCCTTGGAGAGTAACAGCTCTTGGCTAGTGGCTTACTTGCTTCAAAAAGACCTAAATCTCAACAAGATCACCGTCGTCGCAATCAACCCCGGTGGTCTCATCGACTCTCGTGCACTCCGCACCAATACCCCCATGAGCATGGCTGTGATGCAAACGCTCGTATTGAAGCCTCTGCTCCCTCTACTTAGGTTTCTCATGGGTCCAACTATACGTCCCGCGGCACCAGCGGGTGTAGATGTAGTCGATATCGCTCTCGACCCCAAATTTGCTGCCGAGAGAGGTTTCTTTACCCTCCTGCAGAAGGACGAGAGTTCGCCAGAGAGTCGAGACGAGCAGACGCAGTCGAGGCTATGGACCCAAACACTGACATGGGCGAAGATTAACAAAGACAACACACTCATTCCACTTGGAGATACATAAGTAATTCGTCTTTCATTCATCACAGCTGGGAGAGATCTGGAGCCTTGGTCTTGCTTGAGGTGCGGGATTCTGAAGGGTCTCTGATATAATCGTGTTTCTCTAGGCAGCGCATGATTGTGTGCATCTGGGTTTGCTTGTTTCTTCTAAGTGGGTGAAAGTCTGAGAGGCTCTAGATCCGCCAGGTCCTCTGGAGAGAGACAACAGATAAGAAGCTTCTGTCCCGTTACTTCGTCTAAGGATGGCACATGTATACTGGTGCTTGTATCGCAACCTAAATTGTGAAGTCCTTGTGAACACCCTTCATTCCGGCCATGATATAAGTAGGTAACGCAACTCTCAAGTACTTCAAACAAGCCTGACGGTCGGCATTCCTTTGTCGATGTGCTGGCCGTGGCAAAAATACCGTTATTGGGCTCATACGAGGGTTGCCTCTGTGCGAGCAGGCGATTTGAGGCCGCGGCGTCGTCTGAGCTTATGGTTGGCGTCTGCTGGGATACCGATTATGACTAACGTGCCGCATCAAAGGCCCTGAGGGCGGCCAGTTGCACAGGGCAACAGTTCGCGATAATATGGAAATATCACACGCAGAGCCGCTGAGGAATTTGAATCTCAACTTCCCTGGGTTTAGCTTGATGATTGGCTGGGAAGTTACATACGACAGGGAATCGGCATCACAAAGGAAACCACGGCCGGCATCCTTATTGATACTCATGACAGGCTTCATGTTGGAATGACCGCCGGCGGAAGCATTTCGTACCAGTACAAGTACTGATATCGCATGGCAAGGCTGATTTCTACTCTTGCAGATGGCAGCATTCAGGAGCTAAAGTAAGCGTGAAGCCTGTCATTAAGTTACAACCTGGCTCTTGCATCCTAAAGAACCTGCTGGAAAGAAGTTCACGGTGAACACCTTGTCACACAAAAGGTATAGGCACAAGTAGGAAGCAGAAGGTATCGTGTTGCTAAGCAAAGTGATAAAAGTACAAGGATAATAATGCCAGTCCAAACGCCGTGTTTCTTGTTCCTTGCGGCGGTGTTTCTTTGCCCCTCTCTTCCTTTCCCCCTTTTCCGTATTCGGAATTACAAAAGTTCGTGGCTCATGAATGACCCCAGAAATCGTATACATGAAGGAGTAGGTACACAATTGGCGTACAGTAGGCAACTGTTTCATAATCATATAATCTCATGGAACCTCGAGTCCCTTACGGGGCTGTGGCTTTTCTTCGCCGCGGGGTCCTGCACAGGACGCGGTGGGCTCAGTCCCGAGCTCAAGCCCTCGCGAGCTTCGCTGAAGTAGGCTTCATCGCTAGAGCTACTCATCGGCGAGACTTGGTCCGCGTTGGTGGCCGACTGGTCTTCTGAGAGGTCAGTCCTCCGTCGGCCTGCCATGGCGACAGCCCGTACGCTGGCGCTGCGATTGTCGACGCTGACGGTGCTGGCATTGTTGCTGTCCATGCCGGTGAGAGAGTGACCACCGACGAAGCCCTTCCGGACGCTGTCTTTAGGCCTATCCTCCTCTGACTTTGAGCCTCGTGAGAACCGAGACTTGAACCAGGTCTTGACCTTGCCAGTAGGAGATACCTTGTCCGTAGGGGAAGAGCTTTCTGACCGCGCATGTGTTCGAGCTGCTGGGATATCAATTGGCGGAGCACTAGCAGGCTGTTCATCGGAGGACACAGTGGCCGCAGGGATTCGGACAGGCTGGCCGACGTCGTTGAGAGCGACTCTCTCCTCTGTTGCCTGCTCCGTTGTCCGCGGGCGCTCTTCGTGTAGCTGCTCCTTGGATTCTTCGTGACGACCATGGCGGAAGGGCAGTGAGATCGGAGGGGCAGATTTGTGCCTCTCGGACTTGGCAAGACGCTTCTGCTCGGCTTTTGCGGCCTTCTCCTCTTCCCTCTTGGCTCTAGCTTCTTGCTTTTCCTCTGCCTTTTTCTCTCGGTTCTCGTGCTTTTCTTGTTCTATACATTCGGTTAGATATCAAGTCACAGATTCACATCAGAGATACTCACCCTTAAGCTTCTTAGCAATGTCTGCGACCTCTCTCTCGCGGGCCTTTTCTCTTTCACGCTCAGCCTTCTTTGCTTCAGCCTCAAGTCGTAGCTCAGTCTGCCTGGCATGCTCCTTCTCAGCCTTTTCATTGATCTCATCCAGCGTTGGCTGGACTCGCTGAGCAGCAATCGCATCAATCTCGTCCTGGCCCATGTACTTGCCGGCGCCAATGTCGATCTTGCCATGCTTGCTGAGTCTGTTATCGCTCCGGCTTTGAGCTGCTGCTTGTGCCTTGACCTCCCAGTCGGTGAGTCTTGACGGTGGTACCATGCCGGTGTCTGCCGCGACCTTGTCATCCATGCCCTTCAGGCGTGCCTCGACATTCCTCCGCGCGGCGGCTAGGAGAGCATCACGGTCCTTCTGTCGTTTCTTGTCATCCACCTCTGAAAGTTTGGACGAGAAGATGGACATCTGCTTCTTGATCTGCTGCGAGCGGATCTTGTCCTGAGAGAGGTCTCCCTCGCTAGCTGATCTCCGACGCTGCAGCCTACCCTTCATAGTGAACTTGCGTTGGGGTCTAACGTGCCCGTAGTACTCTTGGTATTCTCTGTTCTTCAGGTTGTCCTCATGAAGCTTGGAAAGTCGCTCTTGGGCAAGCTTATAGGCGGCATCCTGGAGTGTGTTGAACTGCATTGGTTGAACTTCATCATCGCTAAGACTACTGGAGCTCCTCGTTCGCCTGGGACCGGGCCTTGCCGCTTGGGATTTCTTGGCCTGGTCAATGACTTTCTGCTGTTGGGTGAACATCTTCTTGGCCATGGCAACTGCCGTGGCGTGAAGTTGGTCTTCCCGGCTCTGCTCTTCAACCTCGGGCTTCACGGGTGGATGAGAGGTATACATCTGCCTGTTCATAGTAGTGTAAGGCACTGCGCCCCCCTTGACTCCTGTTGCGGACCGGTTCGGCTTATGCGCTGCCGTCGCAGCCTTTAGGGCGTTGGCGGCGGCATTGGTCTCATCCGGATACGAGTCCTTTGGAGTGGGAGCGGTGTTTGATCGAGGTCGCGTGGTCATGGCGCCCTTTGCAGCCATCAGGGATCGTTGGCGGTTCAATGTGCGCACATCAGCGCGGTTGTTAGTCGCAGGGGCGTTGCGGCTGGCCTTGAACGCCTGGTTAGCAGCGGAGTGGCCATTGTCCCGGTTGTGAGCCGCGGCAGTATTTCTGTTGGCCTTGAACGCCTGGTTGGCGGCTGTATGGCCGTGATCCGAGTTGGCCGGCTTCCAAGCCTCGGTGTTTTTGGCGTTCTTGTGAGCAAGCAGCGCAGCCTGCGCGCCTTGGCTGCTGGGCGATGGCGCCCAACTCGCTGCCATTTTTTGATCGTGTGCCAGAAGCGCGGCGGTCGAAGCTGAGGTCGAGCTGTCGGGCTTCCAGATCTCGGGAGACGTCTTTTTGTTCCAGCCCAGAGAGGCAGCTGCGCCGGCGGCGGATCCGTTGGGTCCCAGCCCTACGGACGGGAAGCTGGGGAGATCTTGAGGTTTTGCATATACGAGTCGTCCGGAGTGACCTGAGCAAGGTTAACTTTTCTGACAGCGGACCCTATCGCGGGCGAAGACTGGTGAAGAGAGAGCTTATACGCACATGCAGGCGACCGGTGGGTGTCGTCATGGGACTTCCGCATTTGAGCCCCATTGGTAGGTCCGTTGCCGTCAGCCTGGGGCAGCGGGCTGCTGGTGTTGGACTGGAGAAGTGTCCCGGTCGACATCCCTGGCCACTTATCGAGATCCACATAAACCTTCGGGGCGGGATGATCAGGGTAGGGGGTCGCCGTGGGATCCCGTATTGGGGGAGAAGCTTTTCAGAGGAAGAGAGAGGAGTACGATGCCAATTTGTGCTCCGTGAGATCTGACGGAGGAGGTGCTCTAGGCTCGCGGCGCAATGAGAAAGGGCCCCCTTCTACAGTACCACCCGCGTCACAGGACGATCACAAAGCATAATAAGCACACAGCCCAGACGGACGAGGCGCCCCTAAGAGCGGAATGGGCGGGGACCTCTGAGGAACCGTCCATCATAGTGCTTTGTCGCCTTGGAGGCACCTAACTCACTTGAGATGGTGTTGGGCCTACGGGTCGGTTGGTTCGTCAGCGGTGCTGGTGCGCAACTAGTCGCAACCGGCTTGTGACGTCATGTGGCACACCCTGTGGGAGCCGTCGAGGCCATCGGCATTCCAGAACTGCGCCGTCAATCGAGACCCTGAGATCCATTCTCCAGCAGTAGGGGTATCATTTCACCACCGGAATGCCTCACAATTGGGGAGTTGTCAACCACCAAGTACGTGTATTCTCCCATCCTCGCTTGTTGTTGTCCCTGTCCCTTAGCAACAGCGAGCAGAACAACCTTGCATGCTTCACCAACACATGGATGCGACGGCATTGCCGCAAACAACAACATGTACCCACCGCAGCAACATGGACCCCCCTTGAGTTCGTCATGGATCGCTCGTCGAGGTGACATGACGATCATCTTGTTCAGATTGGGCAAGCTCAGGTCGAAGAAGGAAATCCCAGCTGCGGGGAGCCGTGGCCGATATTGCGAACCCTTGCCGTTAGCGGGCATCACACAGGGGTTCCGTCACTGGCTGTCGGGTCTCATTGGCCTGCCTGGCAAAGGTCTGGGCTACCGCTGGAACAGCCCAGAGTTCTAGCCACTCAAGAGACCTTTTGGAGGCCCTGAAACCCAAACGTCACCGAGCGTGCGAGAAGCTATCCTTACCTTGGGGGTTGGTGGCGCTCGTCAACATAAAATGCCATGTCGATCGAGTACGATTCTAGCCTCTGCCAAGACAATAAACACGGCTCTCAGCTCTGGAGAGGGTTGCCTCTGTAAACACTATTTGCATCGGGCCATTGGGTTATCTAGGTTTGAACATGCGCTGTAGGATTTTCATCCGAAGTATTCGAGGATTTGACCCATGCCGCTCGGCGAGACCGTGGGGGCTAGATTTGGCTGCTTGGCTCGTAGGATCTGCCCACATACGAAGCGAAGGGTGTCCATAGGTGCAAATATGGAATATACAACTCCACGCTGCCATGCTGCAATGCAATTTGAAGCTGAGATACGTATACTCAACATTAATGTTGACGGTCTTCTGTTACAAGGTTGTTGAGACATGGCTATATCTAGCCTACTATCAATCCCGACAGTTCGGTTCAGATCCAAGTTTCGTGACCAGGATCACGGTAGAGACCATGCCAACTCTCATGAGCCCCGAACCAAGAATAATCTGTAGTTGAACCTTTCTTGCCGTCACGTCAACCATGCGTCTTCAGCCTCTGCACACAAGCTCCTGTCGCGTGAACACATTTACCTTGTTGAACTGCCATCAACACGAAGGTGTCAGCCATTTCCTCTTATCATGTCCGACAGCGCCTTTGACAACATCCTGAATTTCCGTGATGTGGGTAAAACGGTGAACGCCTTTCTTGGCAAAAGGTAAATGCCACCACATACACACAAACCCCCGTACTGGCGCGCCCCCAGGCAAGAGCTGAACCCGAGACCAGGATCCTCAAAGAAGGTGTGCTCTATCGCTCGGCACGTCCAGGTGTGTGCTACCGCGTAGGGGCCAATGTTCCACCATGCCCTCCTATCTTGACTTTCCGTCGTCCCCCGGGCTGACCACGGCCCTGTCCCGGCCATGTAGATGACGCCACGCTGTCCGACCGGCGCAGGCTGCAGGCGGACTACGGGATCAAGACGGTGATGGACCTGCGGACCAAGACGGAGCACCTCAAGCAAGCCGAGAAGCGGCAGGCGGACATCAAGACCCCGGCGCTGCTGCAGTCCAACGCCGCGCTCGCGGAGCCCGTCCAGATCCCCGGGCTGCGGTACCTGGAGATCAAGGTGACGGGCAAGAAGTTTGAGCACCACATGCTGAGCCAGCTGAGTTGGGGGAGCTACTTGTAGGTGCTGGTCCACGGGATTGACCCCCAGGCTCGTCATGGGGAGATGGAAAGGGACGGGCCGCTGACGTTCCCTCGCCTACGAATCTAGAAAATTAATATGCCTCTACCTGACGGGCTACCGTATCGATGCCATCCGGATCATCAGCAAGGAGGTCATGCTGCCCCGGGGACTGGTGGGCATGGGCTTCGACACGCTGGACCAGTCCGGGGCTGAGATCGCAGAGGTAAAGCAATATGCTAAGATCCTTTCCATCCATCCCTTCCAAAACTCCCATTAAGATGTGTAGCTGGCTAACCATTCAATGAAAGGCTCTTCGCGCCTTCACGCAGCCCTCCGCCCTGCCCGTCCTTGTGCACTGCACGCAGGGCAAGGACCGCACGGGGCTGGTCGTTGCCGTGGCGCTGTTCGTGCTTGGTGTGCCCCTGGAGGCCATCACGCACGACTACCTCCTCACCCAAGACGGCCTGGTAGCCGAGCGGGAATCACGGCTGGCTGAAATTGAGGAGATTGGGCTCACAGCCGAGTGGGGAGACTGTCCGCCGGATTTTGTGCCACGGGTCTGGGGCCATATCGAAGACACATATGGTGGCATAGAGGCGTATCTTGACGGCATAGGATTTGGCGATGGAGAGAGGCGGCAGTTTATCGAGAAGTTAGGCGCTTGAAGTGAATACGACACATATATTGTACCTCACAGGAGCATCACTGTTACAGCAGATGAACTTAATATACGTTTGGACAGGAGGGTCTATTTCTTTCTAAATCGTCCTTGTATCCAACAGCGGTACATCTTGAGCTTCTTAGCTCTGTTGACGAGAAGTCTTCGATCTATACCCAGATCTTCGACCTCAAATCTTGCTACTTGAGTCGTCTCGCCATCTGCTGATGGCGTTTCTACGGATGTATCCTTACTATCGGCAGAGGTCTCTCCAGACCAGATAGCGGCGAGTTCATCCTGGTCAAAGAAGTACACTCGTGTGCCATCGCCTCGGATGTAGAAGTTCTCTTCCAGGTATCGGCCTTTCTTGAAACGGACCTGAGCGAGATCACCTCGCGCGTAATCACGGAAGCAAACCTCACCGCCTGGTTTCAGGACACGGTAGGCATTGTGCACGGCCTGCCTCCACTGCAGCGGTGAGAGAGCTGAGAAGATGAAGACCATGATGACCACATCCACAGAGCCGTCCTCGAGCCCGGGTGGTAGGTCTTGACCAGCGGCATCCCAAACATCAGCCTGCATATAGTCTGTGTTGTAGGCCTCAGAGCTACGCATCACTTCCACAGCCTTCTTGGAGAAGTCACACGCATGGATCTTCAGCTTGGGGTTTTTGTTATGGGCCAGGATGGGAAATGCGGTGTTTCCAGCGCCAGCGCCGACCTCAAGGATTGTCACGGGGCCAGCGTCCTCCTGGACCACCTTACCAAGGATTGGGAATTCTTGTTGCAGCCATTTGCGGTTCTTGAAGAAGTTGGCAGTGTTGTTCTTGTAGAACAAATTCCACCATTTGGCAGGGTCCGAGTTAAACCTGTCTGTCCACAAAGTCAGCAACGCGCTCCTCGTTGATTGATCATTTCAAAACAGAAAATGTTTGAACAGCTAGTCAGATGGGAGCGAAAGACTAAAACATGCGAGTGTCATCACATAGATTCAGATGAACTATGCGTAAATTTGTGATATCATCAGGTAGCAATGGTGGGTGAGGTTGGCCGGTTGCCGAGAGTAACAAAAATCTGCACTTACGTTTGTCAAAGTCGGAGACTGGCGACTCCCGCTGCTTCTGATACTGCTCTTCAGCGTACTCCTTGTAGGCGTCGTCAGTCTCCACATGATCCCAAGCATTGAACTCGAAGACGTCGTCCTCCTGCTGCAGGTAACGAGACCCGAACTGGAAAGGGTCGGTCCGCTTCTGGTTGTACTGGGGATCATGGCTGCGGTGGGCAGGCGTCTCGGACCCGGAGGCGGGCGGTGAGACCTGCTCCTCGACCGTCAGGGACGAGGTCTTGTCCAGCAGCTCTTGCTCGATGGCGTGAGCCGGAGGATCCTGCACCGTAGGGGTGTCCATGGCGCCGGGTGTTTGTGAAAAGGGCGTGACAGCAGTCACTGTAGAGGGGCGCGTCACCGTAGAGCACTGGTTGGCATGTTCAGGGCAGCTTGACACAAGCTGGCTCGTCCAAGGCCTGGATGTGCTCTCAGGATGTGCGGTGCGAAGAAAAGAGAAAACGCGATTTTGGGCCTGTTAGCAATTTATTGGTGAAAAAATTCCGCGGTTTGGGCGTCCAGAGTGGGGCGTTTTCTTGTAACCGCTAGCAGCGGGGAAGGGCTGGCGGCCAGCTGCGAGCTACATCAACATCATCACCGTCATTCGGCCTCAACTCGTCGGAAGCACTCACCTTCGTTTTGGTTTCTGTTCCCTAGAAAAGGACGATTTCCTTTGAAAGGAAGACCCTCTCTTGTGGGGCTATGAGTTTGGCCATGGAGAAGAAGCAGCACTAATCACCCGCATATCCATACCCCGCTGCATCCCTTCACTCATTTATACTTCCCCTTGCGGCCCCCGAGCTCAAAATGGCGACCAGAACAGCAGTCCGCGTTGCGCCGCGAGCCATTGCGCCGCCGCTGTGCGCGCCCCGGCCTTCTTACCCTCTCCCCAGGGTTTCCCAAGCCGGGCGCACCTCGCGAAGCTTCTTCAACCTCCCCAGCACCGAGCCCCAGACCGTCCGAGCCCGCCGGACGCTGCCGTACCCGTCGGCGCCGCTGTACGACCTGATCGCCGACATCGACGCCTACTCGCGGTTCCTGCCGTACTGCACGACGTCGCGCGTCACTTCGTGGACCCCGGCGCACCGCAGCGACAGCCCGGATCCGCAGCAGCAGCAACGGCGCTGGCCCACGGCCGGCACGCTGTCCGCCGGCTGGAGCGGCCTGGCCGAGACGTACAGCAGCCGCGTCTTCTGCATCCCGGACCGCGGCATCGTCGAGGCCATCAGCGGCTCGGCGTGGACCAAGATCCCCCCGGAAGATCTGCAGCGTTGGGGTCTGCGGGACTCCGGGCCGGCGGCGCACGCGGGAGAAGAGGGCACATTCCGCAGCCTGGTGACCCGGTGGACGGTGCGGCCGGTGGGAGGCCGAGAAGGGAGTGGCGAGGAAGGCACATGGAGCGAGGTGGACCTCAGCATCATGTTCCAGTTTGTCAACCCGCTGTACGGTGCCGTGAGCTCGGCAGTTGCGGACAAGGTTGCACCGATCATGGTGTCGGCTTTTGAGAAGGAGGCAAGAAGAGTATTAGGCCCGCCGAAGTTGTCGTGATGAAGACACGAGAGAACAAAATGCACAAGCGAGTATTTCAGAGTATCAGACGGTAGACTAAAGCGACTGGCATGATCTGGTCCAGCACATGGCGTTGCTCGGACGATGTACACAAGTTCTTCAAGACAGATATAGACCTGCATAGAAATGGAGTTTAGGCGTATTTGCAGATATTAATTTGATTTAGTTTCTAAATTCCATTCATGCATCGATCCGCTGATATAACAGCACAAATAAATCAACCAATCTAGACCGCCACCGTCTTCTTCTCATCATCGTATGCTTATGACGCCGCTCAAACTGCTGCATATCTCATCCGGAAGCCCCAAAACTTCCCCTCTCATGGATCTCGTCACGTCTTCTCTCATTTTCTCAAGGGTTTCGAAACAATCACCTGCGCTACCGAAAGCAAAAAGGAGTCTGCTTAATGTCAAACCGTGTCACGCTCCAAGCCACCAAACCATGCAAGAAATCGCTTATATCTCTCCAAGTATACTCCGTCTGCATTTTGCCAAAGTGAAAAGAAAAAAAGAAAGAAAAGGAGGTGCTCCAATGTCGCCATAAGGATCAACGAGCCAGGAAGAAACCGGGGTATAATGCCAAAAATCAAGAGCCGAGAAACAGAAATGATGAGTATCGTTTGCCGTCAGGCCGGAGTAGAGTCGAAAACGCAGGGCTATATGGCCCTGAGTCGAGAGCAGATGATTAGAATTGCCTCATGAAGCCACAGCCGTACGTGTGCTCTTCGAAACCGGGATGGCCTCTACTTGCCCCTTGTCAACCTGTCCTCTTCTTGCCCCTATCAAGCTGTTAGTCGCCATCTACGGGGGTACTGCTAGAGCTGGCATCGGGAATGAACTTACTTGCTCTTCGATTTAGAGCCACCTGCGAGGAATGACAGCATGCTGGGCGAGCTCTTCTTGCTCTTCTTTGCGTCCTTATCTTTGGTCACAATCCTCGTACCAGGCCCACGATGCTCATGCATGATCGTAACACCCGGGGTTGGGAACCCATCCCTCGGACGAATCGGCGGCACAGGCGGTCCCCCGTGCGGTCTCCGGCCCCCTGGTGGCGGCATCGGCATGCCTGGTCGGTGAGGAGGTATGGTGCCCCCGCCCGGGCCTGGGCGGCCGTGGCCGCCGTGCATGTGCATGTGCATAGCCGGGGGTCGATCCATAGGCCACATGTGCATAGTGACGGCCCAGTCGGGCTCGATAACCTTGTCCCACACCTGAGGAAGGATGATCTCACCATCGGGACCAAGGAGATCGTAATGACCGTCCTGTACATGCGGTCCTATCACATCGACATGTAGGAAAGCCTGCTTGATCAGCTCTTCCATACCCTGCGGGAATTGGTGAATTAGCCAAGACTCGCAAAATCAGGCGTTCGGGGGTAGACTTACCGTCCATGTTTGACAGATGTGGAACGGGAAGCTGAATTTTCTACCAACTGCATCCTTGAAACGGATAGGGGCCTTGTCCTTGCCAAGCGACTTCTTGTTTGCCTCCTCTGCCTCACGCTGGGCGTCCGCCAGCGCCCTCTTCTTGAAGAGTTCCTCCTCCTTCTTCTTGGCCTCTTCGGCGGCTGCGGCATCCTCAGCCGCCTGCCTCTCTTCTTCAATCTTCTTGCGCGCCTCTCGCTCGGCCTTCAGCTTAGCTTCCTCTTCGAGATTCTTGCGCCACTCGGCCTCTTCCGCCACCTTCTTAGCAGCTGCCGCCTCGGCTTCCTCCTTTGCCCGGATCGCCGCCTCTAGCCTGTACTGTGCTTCCTTCTCGGCGGCGGCGGCGGCGTCGGCCTCTTTCTTCTTGCGTTCTTCTTCCGCCCTCCGCTCAGCTTCCATCTTGTCTCGTGCAACCCTCTCAGCACGTTCAATAGCCTCTGCCTCAACCTTTTTGCGTTCTGCCTCGGCTCTTCTCTCGGCCTCCACGGCTTCACGGGTCGCTTTCTCGGCCTCCCTTCGGGCATCCTCGATCTCCTTCTTTGCCTTTTCGAGCGCAGCCGCTCGCTCCTCTGCTCGGACGGCTTCATCTCTTTTCATCTGCTCCATCTTGCGGGCGAATTCAGCCGCGGCTTCCTCCCTGATTCTAGCTTCCATCTCTTTTTGCTTTGCTTCGGCCTCCTTCGCCGCCTGCTTTGCCTGTATCTCCTCCAGCTGTCTCTTCATTTGCTCCTTTTCTGGGTCTGGCTTCGGCGGTTCTGCGGCACCAGAAGGTCCCGGAGTGCGAGGTGGTGCAATTTCAGTCTGCGGAGGTGGCGACCATTGATGATACTGTTGCATCCCGGGGGGGACGGGATATGGACCACCAGGTCCAGGAGGGTGAAAGTAACTGTTTCCTGCGTACGGCATAACTTCTTGCCCCCATCCTCGATGGTCTGGGGAGAAGTAATGACCTCCAGCTCCGGCGGGAGTGAAGGGGTTGGCAGCATAAGGGACTACCGACTGGCCGAATGGAGGAGCGTAGGCTCCGCCTAACTGGCTCTGAGGATACCCAGGATGTCCACCACGGCCACGGCCCCCATACCCACCCGGACCTGGGGGTGGGTAATGGCCGTGGCCGTAGTACGGGTAGTCCTCCGAGGAAGCCAGACTGGGCTGGCTGCCTGCCGGGTGTGGAGCCGGCGTATATCCGTAACCTGATTGTGGTGGTGGCCTTTCTAGACGATGATGCCGTGTCGCTTGCCGTGCGCTTCTCGGCCCTTGAAACGAGTCCTCCGGGCTTGAAGCCGAGTCGTCTGGATCAAGCTCCTCGTCTTCCCAGTCCTCCTCGTCGTCTGGTCCCGACTCACTGTATTCCTGACTTGAGAAGCCGGACTCGCCAGATGCTTCGGCGGGGCGGCGATGCCGTGATTGTGAACGCGAATGCGATTGTGAAACGCGAACGCGAAGTCTGCTCATGACAGCGTCAACAGGCGAAAATGGTAGTGCCACGAAGATTCCCACACTCACGCAGACATGAGGGACGGACGCTGATCAGAGTATCTCTTCGCTCACGACAACCTGTTGCGGAGGGGTCGGAGCAAAGCGAGTCTCAGTAGGATGAGAAGGTAGCAATGAGGGTTTGCGATGAGGGATGTCCCGCGGGCGTCTCGATTGCTCTGGAGCCAAGGCCTGTGGGCGTGTGAGTCTTGTCGTGGGCGAAAGCGGACAGCGGGCAGACAATTGGTGGTTGAGAGTAGTATCGGCGCGGGGTTGTTGATTATTGTGATCCCTGTAACAGCGGCAAAAACGCCCAGCGCAATGTGATGGACTTGGTACGACTTGTCGCAGCTGAGTGTAGCGAGAGCGAGAGGGGGGATTGTGTCCTCTGGCCCAAGAGATTGGCTGGATTCCGCGTGTAATGAGATGGCAGTTGAGACTGAAGCTAGGGCTTGGGTGCTTTTGTAGGATGGGATGGTCGCGGGGACGCTTGCTTCTTGGTGGAATGTCGCAGAGTAGGGAAGATCCTGGTCTTTGCGCTCAGTTGGGCGCAAAAAAAAGTTGGATTGGGCGTTCCGCGGTGAAGGATACGATGAGCCAAGCGGGGAGCGACTGGACTTGGGACAACTTAGGCGATATGTAATTAAGCAGAGGACCAGTACGTACTCAGTCCACACGGGGACGAGAGGGCGATCAATCAATCGATCAGTTGGGGCACCCTGAGGCGCTGCTGCTTGTCGCCTCACCTCCGAGTGAGCGGGAAGATGCAGCAGCCCTGTTGAGCCTCTCCTCCAGCCGAGACTGAAGTTGAAGATGGGAGAGGGATCAAGAGTGTTGGGGGGCCAGGCTGGTTTTGTGAAGTGCGGTCTGCCACCTTCCCCTCTGCTTGAGCTGGTGTAAGCGGCACGATGGCAGAAACAGGAGCGATTTTAAGCCTGGGGGCCAAAATAACAGCGGCACTAAGGCCACGGAGGTGTTGTCAGCCCGGGCTCACCATGCCAATCAATGTATTGTCTAATGCACCGCAGTGTGGCTGTTCCGAAACTTGGTACAAGTGCCCGCGGACGCGACGGCTAAGGGGTCACACTGTTCTGGTGCCGGCGGTATCGATCGATCTCGCCCACCTCGACGCTTGCCTTGGGCTTCCCCGATGCGGACAGATAGCACTAGCCAATCTTCCGGGAGTATGTGTGTGCGCGCGCGTGAGGGAGTAGCGTGGCCTCACGAACCCCTCTTTGGTGTTGACTTCCGCGCTTACAAGATCGACGCCCCAGGTCTCATCTCATGGATAGCCCTGGAGGCTGGTTCGCAAAATGCCACTCTACTTGCATAACTTCGAAGAAAAACAAGAACCGTCCCCAGGAAATATCTTTCGATACCACTGAGCACCGACTGGAATAGAATAAGGATGCAATCACGTACCTATCCAGTCGAAGGAAACCTTCACGTCGTGGCGAGATGTTACTCTGTCGTGTTTCAGCTCAACTTGTCTAACAAGTGGCTAGTCGTCGTTGTTCCTCGATGGAGACTTTCGATCGGACAGGGGCTCTGATCTGATCCGAATCCCTCAATGTGGGTTTGGAAAACTCCTTGAACAAGTGCTGTATAGCTGCAGACCAGGCTTGTAATGAATATAGTCGCTATAACATATTAGTAAACACTGGGTTCCAGTACTCTTTCTATAGCATCCACAGTGGGAAACTCGACACTGGGGTCTTGCCGAAACAGCACCATAACCCCTCATCCCTTGATGCATGTCGACAGGGAGCTGGGAGGGGGCTTTCGAATGCGAGGACTCCGCCTCCGTCATTCTCAGAGTTGGTGGCCAGGGAGGGCACTTGCAGGCAGCCCACCATCGACGCGGAAGAATTGCTCTAGGCGGGTGCAGCCGAGCTAGATGCACTTACACCGCAGCACGGAATCGGGTTCCACCTCGACGTCTGCCGATGCGCTACCCACTTTTATGTGTCCACATGTGACCCGGCCTGGGTTTGCACTGGGCTGGGAGGGGAGCCTCAGCGAGCGCCGTTGACCACCAGCGATCCCGTTCCTTGGGTCCTCTGGGTAACCTTAACTTGTGGGCTTGTCACTCACCAAACGTTGGATGGGCAGAGGCCGGTTCCAGGTTGGTTCCTTGAATCCTGTTGTGGTCCTATGCGGAGGTAGGCAGTGTGTCGGATCTTGCTGGCCTCTCAAGGGGTCTTATACTTGATGAGGCGTCTTCCTTTCTCGTAAGGCTTTCCATATATGTGTAGGTGCATATGTTTCCACAGTGGTAGCATGGTCCTTTGGCTAGAGGAAACAAAAAGGGTTACGAACGACTCGAGGGTCTGGTGGTAGTAGTTCCTGATTGGGCGTAAATGCAGCAAAAGAGAGAATGGGTCTCCTGATTCCTGTGGAACAACCCGCGTCACTAGAGTTGCCTGGTGGTTGTATCGAATACACAGGATGGAATCTGATGGTAATCTACACTTGCACGGGGGATGTTTGGGCCTGGGGGATGAGTACTAATAACGGCTCGAGTCAGTACATCTTCACCGCCAGGCTCGACCTTAATTGAAGCCCAGTAGTGGGTTCCAGACCTAGAGTCCCGCTGGACATCGACGTGGCCAGCGGCCCCGGACTGAAATGTGCCTGCTGGGTTTCGTTTCAAGGAAGACATCGTGGATTCTGCCATGCCGTGCATAGAGCAAAGCGCTTGCCCAGGCAGCCATGCACTCCTCACAAGTTGAAGCTATTCCGACCAGTCTCGCTGAGACTTCCCGGGCGGTTAGGCCCGCTCCCGGTGGAACCCATCTTGACCTAAATGCGCCGCTTTGCTGCCCAACATTCACCGATAGCTGCATGCAAGCGGAACAAGGATACACATTGGTTGCGTCTAAAGAGGCGCGCTGGTTTCGATTGACTAATGTGTGGCTCTTTGCTGCCTTTTTGTCCGCCCGAAGCTCGTAAGGCTCACCACTGGCACCACGTTGCTGCATCAAAGTGGAACGCCAGAGAAAGATGCTGCTGTTCCCGATCCCATAAGTTCCACCCCTATACTCGGCCCTGAGGAGGCCACCAATCGAGGTCGATACATTGTCTGCGCGTCGAAGTCTCGACGGACTGGTCTCGACACGATCGACACTCTAGAGCCCTCTGGCTTATGCGTCAACCACGGTAGAGTGGCATTGCCCCTGGAAAACTCCACCTGCATATTGCCATGCCGATACAACGCGCTGTGAGTCAGGCAGGAACAGCATGGGCCCTTGGTCACTGGAACTCGCGTCTGTAGATCGCTCACAGCCCTGGCCAACACATTCAGCGAATCGTCACGCTCGAGCCCTTCTCAATGAGTGTCTTTGCCGCCGTGATCTCGGTCTCATCGTAACCTTGCCAGCCTTTCTCTCCAGCAGAGAACCTGCGGGTGATCTCTCCAAGCTTTGCAGTCGCAAGCTCATCAAGCTGGCGTAGTGTAGTAGTATCAGGTAGGGCCAGATTGTCATTATCTGATTGTTTACTCTTGCTCTGCGGGCTACTCAGAAGATGCGTTGTTATCTAGGTGGGTGGTCAGCTGGCAATGGACTAAAGTTGGGGTGCCCACGTTCCTTACCAGTTTAAGTCCATAGTATCCGCGCAGGTAGTCGTCACAAAGCTCAACACTCCGGCTGAAGCGTTTGAGGGCTTCGCTTAGTTGCCGCGACGCGTCAGGGCTCGGCGACCCCTTGGCTGCCATCAAAAGCAGCTCACCCAACCTAGCATGAATCTAGCAACGTTATGTCAGTGATGTCAGGCCCGGAGCCACATAAAGGTGAGTCTCACATTCCACGCGTTCGGTTGCAAGACGAGTACCTCCTCGAGGGCGAAGATAGCCTGAGAGTAGAGTCCCTGGGAGAAGTACATATCCGAGAGCTCGGCCCAGGCCTCGCCGTCAGTAGGAGAGAAGTCTAGAAGAGCTATCAAGGCGACTACGGCATCGGAGACTCTGCCGAGAGATCGAAGCAAGGCAACGCGGCGCTTGGCAATAGGCTAGAAGGGAAGGCGATGTCAGCATGAAGGTGCAGCCATCGAGTCAGGGTGGGCGTCATCTCACCGTATTGGTAGGATCCTTGCTCAGTATTGTTTCATACTCCTTGAGCACAACCTCCAGAGTGGCATTGTCCGGTGCGTCTGCCTCTTTGAGGAGACCTATCAGGGCCATAATGCGCTCGTTGTCGTCGCCAAAGCGGTTGATCAGCCGCCCGAGGCATTGGTGTGCGGATTCGTCGTCGCCGGTCCGTAGACATGATAGCAGCAAGTTCTCGTAGACGGTCCACAGCTCGGGGGTCTCGGAGGCTGCGAACAAGGACTGCAATGCCGAGGTGGAAATTGCTCCCGGGGCTTCCTTGATGATCTTGGGCGCCTGCTGGGAGAGCTGTAACGCGGTGGTGGGAGGCAGGTGGCTCGGCGGGTGCAGAAGCGACGAAGACATTCTGATTAAGAACCGCAGATCGGGGCCTGGCGCTGGCGCTGGCAGATGGAGAATTCAATGGGGCCTTCTTCCGGCTCAGTCCTGGGGGGAGGGCGTGATAGTACTTCGCAGAGCTGAGCAGCGCGATCGTAGGTGGTTGAACAGGTGCAATGCGCCGCGCCAGCAATGGATGCCACAGGCTGGAACTAGACTCCGGCTGTGCCTTAGGTGGTGGAGGTGGAGGTAGCTGGGGGAGCTATCAGGCCAGGATCCGTGGATGCGGACTGGACAGGGGCCCACGGCCACCAAGTTAATCCGCTACTCCCTGACGCGCATCGCTGAACGTAGCTGCTGCCCAGGTGTAGACCGCTAACCCAGGCTGCCAGGTTAGGGTAGCTAGGCGATGGCCCTGTGGCCCTGTGGCCCTGTGGCCCTGGGCGCAATTACGTCTTCTCCCTCCCCAATCGGGTACACGCCATCGCGGGGCATACGACCTCCCCTCTAAAAGCGCATCGTGACAATCCGCGAGACCCTTGCGAGCCGCCCATCGCTGCTGTGTTTTCCTGTCGAGCGCTGCGAGCTCGGGCTGGGTTGAAGGCTGCCGGCCGAGGCAAAATGGTGTCATTCTCGATACATCAAGCCCACGACATACACACCGACTTATAGCTCCGCCATCTGCCTCTCGCTCACCACCCAACCCTACCCATAAGCAGCCAGCACCGGCGCCGGTGCAGCTCGGCCAGCCATGTGCGTCTTCCGTGGTCTCGGTATCTCCAGATGCCCGTCTCAAGCTGAACGACTTCTAGGTTCGAGAAATCCTTGTACGACCTCATCCGAGGCATGCGGAACCACAAGGGCAACGAGAAGGAGTACATTCAGAACTGCCTGAAGGAATGCCGTGCCGAAATCCGTACCCAGGACCTCGACCTCAAGGCCACCGCCCTCCTCAAGCTGGTCTACCTCGAAATGTTCGGCCACGACATGTCGTGGGCCTCCTTCAACGTCCTCGAGGTCATGGCATCTCCCACCTACCACCAGAAGCGCGTGGGCTACCTCGGCGCCATCCAGAGCTTTCGCCCGGACACCGAGGTCCTGATGCTGGCCACGAACCTGCTTAAGAAGGACCTGACGGCCACATCGACGACCACCATTGCACTGCCCATCGTGGCTCTGCCGCATGTCATCACACCCTCTCTCGCCCTCTCGACCCTGTCCGACATCCTACCTCGCCTGACCCATTCTCATCCCTCGATCCGCAAGAAGGCCATTGTCACTCTCTACAGAATGGCACTGGTATACCCCGAGACGCTTCGTGCTGCCTGGCCCAAGATCAAGGATAAGCTGATGGATGTGAACGAGGATCCCAGTGTCACAGCCGCCATCGTGAATGTCGTTTGCGAGCTCGGATGGCGCAGGCCACACGACTTCCTACCTCTGGCGCCGAGGCTCTTCGAGTTGCTCGTCGACAGTGGGAACAATTGGATGGCAATCAAGCTGATCAAACTGGTATGGAACCTGGAGGCTTGCTTTGCTGTTCGTCCCTGTGAATCTGACGAGAATAGTTCGCTACCCTTACTCCCCTTGAGCCTAGACTCGTGCGCAAGCTGCTCCCCCCTTTGACGGAAATCATCCGAACAACACCTGCCATGTCCCTCCTGTACGAATGCATCAACGGTATCATTCAGGGAGGCATTCTGGGAAGTGGTGATGATGATGCTGGAAGAGAAGAGATCGCTTCGCTCTGCGTTAACAAGCTCCGTTCCATGATCATGGTCGACGGTGATCCGAACCGTAAGTACCCCTTCGATCGCGGCCAGCAGTCGTTGTATGTTAAATTTGTTGTTAGTTAAATACGTTGCGTTACTTGCATTCAACAAGATCGTTGTCACGCACCCCTGGCTTGTTGCCCAACAAGAAGATGTCATCCTCGAGTGCATCGACAGCACTGACATCTCAATCCGCATCAAGGCGCTTGATCTGGTTCAAGGAATGGTCAGCAGCGAAAACCTCACCTCGATCGTCAGTCGCCTGATGAGGCAACTGAAGATTGCTTCTGCTGAGGACCGTGTTGGTGCTGCCACAGATCCTGCAGACCTGGAGTCTGATGAAGAGGCTTCCGGAAGGAGACTAAGTCCGGCACAGAGGGTCAAGGAAACTGCACCACCACTCCCAGATGATTATAGGATCGATGTCATCAACAGGGTACTTAGTATGTGCTCCCAGCAAAACTACAGCAACTTGACCGACTTCGAGTGGTATATCGATATCCTGATCCAGCTGGTTCGGACCGCACCGCCCCCACGGCCCATGGATGATATGAATTCGTCATCACCGTCTGGGAAATTCAGTGTTGGAGACGTGTCGGAGAGGATTGGTGACGAACTCAGAAATGTTGCGGTCAAAGTTCAAGCCATCCGGCCTGGATGCGTGGAAGCTGCCGAGATCATCATGGCCTACTTCAGCAAGGATGCACCCATCGGCCATCAAGTGGTCTCGGGCGCACTGAAACCCGTGGCCTGGATCATAGGCGAGTTTGCCTCGGAAGCCCGCTCTGCAGAGGACTGCCTCGATTCGTTACTACAATTGATCCCACGAACATCGTCTCCGGAGTCCTTGTCGGCTTGTCTCCAAGCTGCCACCAAAGTGTTCGCGCTCATCGCCGGCGATGCCTACGGTCTCTGGACTCCCGAGCGGAAATCCAAGATATCACTCTTGATGGCTCGTATTATCCATGCTTTTGACCCCCTGGCTATGGACCCAAATCTCGAGGTTCAGGAGCGGGCCGTTGAGTTCATTGAGTTGTTGAAGTTGACAGCTGAGGCTGTCTCCGGCCAGGATGCATCATCAGCAGAGACACCAGGCGATGCGCCGCTGCTCCTCGTACAAGCAATACCGTCCTTATTTTCTGGATGGGAACTTAACTCCGTCGCCATTGGTGCGCAGACCAACGTACCTTTACCTGAAGGGCTCGATCTCGACGAGCCCATCAATCCCAATCTCAACCATCTCCTTGCCTCCGCCGAATCCATGGTGGTTCCCGCGGATGAGGCAGACGAGTTCGAGATTTATTACAACAAGCGACCTCCGCCTACCAGCATATCCTCAGAACCAGCAGTCAGTCGCCTGATCGAGAGCAAAGAGGAAGTCGTCAGCTCGTACCAGCAGCCTGCCGAGGACACCTATCTCGACGCAGATATCCTCGCTAGACGGAAAGCTGAGCGACTCGAACGCAATCGAGACGACCCATTTTATATCGGAGACACGGGCAACCTTCCAGGAACTTCAACACCGATTCACAACATCCTTCAAAACTCCAATGGCCCCGACTTTGACGTGGATTCCATTCCCGTCATGGAGCTCGACTTGAATCAGTTGAACGCTGGCATGAGCTCCAGCCTACCAACGCAAAAGTCTTTGCCCTCGAGACCGAAGCCGAGACAGAAGATTGTGGTCGCAGCCGACGAGACTCTCACCGGTAGTGGCGGCTCGACACCGCGGAACTACGACTCGGAAAACAACTCTGACAGCTTCACCAAGTCGCGCGCCAAGAAATCCAAACATCTCGGCGGACTGCTCGGTGTAGACTCGGCGAATATCGGCTCCTTCAGCCTCGACGACGAGCCAAAGAGCGGCTTCGACTACGAGGCCAAGCAGCGGGAAGACGCCGAGATGGCCCAGGCCGTTAAGGAGGTGGAACGGCTCCGCCTCGAGATGCAGCGCGCCAACGAGCGGATACAGGTCGCCCAGGGCGTGGACGCCGAGGGCACCGTGGTCAAGAAGAAGAAGACGAAGAAGAGCAGCGCTACCGCCGTCGCTGTGTCTGGCGCGGAGGGTGCCGGGGCCGATGTCACCGTCAAGCCAAAGAAGAAGAAAAAGAAGGCGCCCGTTGTCGAGGAGGGCCAGGACCAGCAGGCAGTGGTCGACGATGCTGCCACACAGGAGGCCGACGAGACACCCGAAGCGGTTACGGTGGCCAAGCCGAAGAAGAAGAAGAAGAAAGCAAGGGCGGCCGAGATCCAGGATTAGCTTCGAGCAAATGTAGAACACTTTGTCGCAGGGGCGCCTTGGATGTAAGCTGCCAGCAGTGGCGTATATAATATATCGGCATGATTAAACCCAAGCATTACTACAGTCTCGAGCATTCGTAGCGCTGCATGTCCACTAAGCGAAAGACTTCACACTTTGTTCTTTCAAGATACTGTAACCCCGGTGAACGCGTGCATCCTCCATGCCAGATTGTCCCAGCATACCTCGTATTGACCAAGCTCATCGCCTGGAATCCCGGGTTTGAACCAAGGAGTAGGGGCGGCGTTGTTGTCACCGTTGCTTGAAAAGTTTTGTTGGTACTGCGTACACAGATGTATATCGAGGCTGTTAAATAATAAAGTAGGACAACGTCCCAGTCTCTGGGCACCATCGCCTGCTTCTCAAGCTGCCTCGACCTTGCGGGCATTTACGTGTACGGATCCAGGCTCCGGCTTGGGGTACAAGTGAAGTTTGTAGCCTCGGATCCTCGTGTACAGCTCTGCAAGCTAAACAGCAAGGAGAAATAGAAGACCACATACCTCCTGCTTGCCATGAACATGGTGTTTAGAATTATAACACGCGGGATGGCCGTCTCTCGCCAAGACAGATCTCACTTCCGCATCGTCCGTGGCACGCCGTGCCTAGGGTACAGAAAAGGGGGGTTATGAGGTAATGTTTTCATGAGCGAGGCTGTTGTGTTAGATTATCACATCGTTCATATTGCACGTAGTCTCGCGCCGCCGAGGTTCGTGATTCACAATCAGGAAAAACACGGAAATGCTGGAAAATCATCTGAAGCTTCATTGCTATCCTGATCCACCATCGCCTATGACAGCTGTGAGAAAAAGGGGCGCCCAGTCCGAATGCCGGCTCTGCGGTCCCCCTGCTGTCCAAACCCTGAAGAAAACAAAACCATGAGACCGTCGCTAAAACTCCACAGACAAGAGCCTCCAGAAGCGTATATATCCTGACTCGATCGGATCGGTACGCCCCAATCAGCATAATGAAGAACATCCAACCAACGGGGTATATACCAGGCTGGGCTGTAGCCAACCTTGCCAGAACCAGGCCGCTTCTCACCATAGATTCCCTAGCCGTCGGGGGTACAAAGTGGGTATTGTGTACCACTGATCGCCTTGACATCTCCCTTCCCCCTCCCACACTGATAGGGCCAGTGTTGCGCCCTCTCGCGGGAAACAAGGGAAACAAGGGACGAGACCCCTATAGATTACAAAACCGTTTATACAGGCGCCGAAGATGGGGAAAATCATCGGAGAAGAGAAAAAAACACCCAACTGTGTGATGCCGTGGATGTATGTAAACCGCAATCAGCCCTCGCATGTATTATGTGGTTCGTGTCGTCATCCCTTCATATCAAATCATCGCGAATCGCTCCGTTTATCACCATGACGCCAAAGTCTGCTGAAAGGCATAGTGGCCTGAAAACCTGGAAAGACCACCTGCTCAAAAAATGGACGAAGAACTGGAAAAGCCATAAGTGTGGAGAAATCATGGAAATCAGGCATGTCCATCCTACTGGACAAATTCCTGCTCCAGATTCAGGTTCTGTAGCTCATGACTGTGGTTCTGGGGGAGTTCGAATTTGTCCATGGGGAAGTCTTCCTCGGGCGTGCGCATGCCGATCCCGCTGTCGTCAGGGTTGACCGACAGGCCTAGGGAGTCACGAGTATGTGTGTCCACCTGTGACGGAAAAGGGGCTCGATTGGCTTGAGACTGAGGCCCTTTCGGTAAAGGGTGGAAGTTCTCATTGCTGTTGGTCATCTGCGATGCCTGTCGGCTGAGGCTTCTGGCTGGGATCGAAGGGTTGGCCGGGCTCACAGCTTCCGGCGCGGTCGACTTCAATTTTAGAAAACCACCTTGTTCGGCCAGGAACGCAATCATCTCATCAACCCAGCATTTGGTTACCCACCACGAGCCAAAGCTCTTACCCTGGGCTATCGTGAGGTCGCGCATGACCGCGGTGCCGACTCTTTGAACACACCAGACAATGTCTTCGGGTGAGGCGTAGGGGAAACGGTTCGGTAGCGTCTGAAGAAAGCTGACCCAGCGGTCGAGAATGTTTGCGCTATCGTCTGAGTTGCTGGTCTGAGGCAATCGACCACTTCGGGTGGCCACGTCCCCATACAGCGTCTGGCACTCAATGTCCCACGGAACATTCTGCGGATCCAGCAGGTTGCGAACCTCGCCGAGAAGCAGGAGCACGAGGTCATCCATCCCTCTCGTCGGTACTGTCTCGGCGACCTTGCGTATGCGAACCATGGTAATCCAGTCGAGATACATCTGGTCTCGGTTCGCAGGGTTAGCCAGCATGTTTGCCGCGGCGTGAGCAGTCAAGTTCACGCGGAGTGCTCGGTCAAGCAGTGCAGCAAAAATGGCAGCAGGAGACTCCTTGGCCTGTATCACGTGTCTGGGTTGACCCTGGAAAGACTCTCGAATATGAGTCACGAGTCGCTCCGAGATACTACGCAATGTATCCAGTACCGGCTTGGGCACGACCTGCAGAGTCAGATTCGAGATGATGCGCATCATTCTCTGGTAGAGGACGAAGTCGCACTGCTCTATCCACGGCGCGAGGCTGGGATTAGAAAAAAGCTTCTGCACAGGCATGGTGAGGGTTCCTTGAAACGAGGTGAAGAGGTGGAAGAAAGTCTTCTCTCGGCAGTAGCGGATGCACTCGATAAGAGATGTGCAGTGACTGCGATACAATGCGGTCAGGGACATTGCCGCGTCAGGGTCAGTGTTGTCGGGTAAGAAAGCATCGATCTTGGGCAGGACCAGGGCATCCGATTGCTGAAGGGTATCGTCCTCTTCGGCCATGAAGGACAGGTGCAACATGGTCTTGGAAGTAGTAGACTGGACTTGATCAATACTCGATAGGTCTGGTGAGTTATAGAAACTGTGAACTCGGTGCTGGGCACGACGCGATGTGCCAGAGGCATCAGGATGTTGAGGAAGATCCGGCGAGGGCAGAACTGGTCTTTGTGAATTGCTTAAAGCAGGTGATTGTGACTTTGAATGGCTGCAAGACGTAAGCGTGCCGCCCTGGGCAGAGACGAAGAAGGCAACAATACTCACCTCATGTGGTGTGAAAAGCTGGCCGGGTCTGGGAAGGGCAAAGCAGGTTGAGATGGCTCGGCGTTTTCAGGACCGTCATCAGCCAATGTGAAATTAACATAGTGGTACTTTGACTCTCCGCGAACTCCCAATCGCCGAGTCCTCAAGCCAGGGAAGAGGACTCGCACCAGCTTTCCAAAGCTGGCAGGGTTCAGGACGGTCGTCCTTTCCGTCGCGCATCTCGAGGCATAGTTCGCGTAGACCCGGCCACGAGGCACTGAGCCCTTGCCCGTCGAGCACACCTGGTTGATCCAAAGCATAGCAAAGACCTGTCGTGTGCGCTCCGAGTTGGGGCCTCTCTCGTTGCCGTGTAGCTCGGCGGCCACGTCCTGCAAGGAGCGGTGCTTGTTAGACTTGAACAAGGCGCGCATCTCCAGCTCGTTGTTGGCACTCGTCTTGTTGGACGCGGGTCGGGGGTTGCCAGCCACGCCGGCCAGGGAGTCGCCGTCCTCGTTTTCCTCACGGTCCATCATCTGGCTGTCCTCGGTGAAGCTGGCACTGGCACCAAACGAATCTCCAGGCAGGCCGTGGTGCTGCTGCAGCGCGGCATGCGTCGGGTATGCCATGGAATGGCTGACAGAGGACTGCATGCTCGAGTCCATGGGGAAGGACTGGGCGGGGTGCATCTGGGATGCGGGCCTGAGCATGATGTCGTCGGCCGGCATCTGGTGTGCGGGCATGACCATATCTCGGGGCTGGCTGTGACTGTGGGCGTGTCCGTGGCCGTGGCCGTGGCCGTGGGAGTGGCCATTCGGGGCCCACTGGTCGGGGAAGGAGTTGTGATGGCTGGCGAAGCTCTGGTCCAGGTTGGGCTGGGTTGCATTGCTGTGCATCGACGCCGTGGAGGCTCGCGAAGGCGCCCGGGTCCGCGCGTGGTGCTGCGCAGCCATTGCGCTGGCCTCGGTGGGCTGGGACTCTGGAGCAAAATCGCGACGGTCAGCATGAGGCGGGACGATTTTCAGCGGCGGCAGCACGGCACCGCAGCTGGTGCCTCGTGATGCGCTGCGAGGAGCAGTGTGGTGAGCATACCTGGGTCCATGGCGAGTGTCGAAGGGGGGTGTTTATCAGCACGGGGAAGGCCGGCGAGAAGAATTGGCGATGGTGTAAACACAGGCCTCGACCGGGGCCAGGGCGGCGGAAGCGAACAAGCAAGGCGGAAAGAAGGGACAGAAAGAAAGATAGGGAGCCGGCGATGGTCAAGGACGCATCTGCAGGGAGAAACGGGGGGGCGGTGGTCGTGATGTCGGGACTGGAGCCAACCCAGGTCAGTGGATTCGTGCTTTGGTTTGAAGAGAATGGAGAAAACACAGGTCGTCGGGCAAGTAAACGAAAGCTTTGGTTGCCCCGACACCAAAAACAAACTCTGGGCGGGCTGGGGCTGACGGGTGGCAGACTCGGGGTGGGGCTGGGGGGGAGGGGGGAGGCCCAGTAAACCAGTAGTTAAACCAGTAAACCAGCAAGACCAGTAGGAGCCAGTAGGCGGGCGGCTGGGCTTCGTCCGCCGGCGCTTCGCTGTGATTGGCCATCCCAGATGCGCAGACACCAGAGAAGAACACAAGGACACAAGGACACAAGAGAGATGCGAGATGGATGCGACATTGGATGCGGGACATTGGTCCGTGGGCGTGTCTCTCCTTCCACCGATCCATCAGCAGTGGTGCATCAGCATCAGCAGTGTTTTGGTTTCTTTATTGTTATCCCCGAGTCCCCAACAGTGCATTGTCGTTTCGCTCCTGAGGTGCCCCAATTGTTTACTATGTAGGATGTCCGCCCGCCCGCGATGGACTTCTGCAGCTACACGCGACAGTATCAAACTGCTTGCTATTCGTGCTCGCGACCATCGTCTAATCCACCTCTAGAGAAGTATTTGGATGAGTAGAGATTACTGGTGTTGAGGCTATACTATGTACATGTGCAGGAACCATCTGTTCCAACAAAGGTGCTCGTGCAACAGTCAGTCAGTCAGTCAGTCAGTCGGCCATCGCGGCGGGGTATGTACTGCTCTCGGTGGCTGTTGATTCGGCCGTGGCCCCTGGTCACAACAATGGGCTCGATGGCCTGTCCTGGATGTCTGGGCACGATCTTCGCTCTGCCTGCCAGACCCAGAGCTCAACCTCATTGGCCTGCACAAAATTAATGCCTGGCGAGTCCTGTGCATAAAAGTTGCATCATCGTCATCCTCAACCTCCCTCTTTTTTCCCATGTGAAATCCAGGAAATGCATGCATGTAGCAAACCTGCCGGCGGATGCCACACCCACGCAAGGGGGGGAAAGGTGAGAGATCCTACGACGAGTCACAGTGCATTCAGTCGGGTAAAAGGTCTGTCCTATCATGTGCGTGTACCTCCAGATCTGAGACGGGGAACTCGACATCGTCGCGTGACACGCATCAAGCACAGATAGCAGTGTATCACCGGGTGCATTCTGAGGCGCGCGTGAATTGATAACTACAGAGTAGTTACATTAGTTGAGTTAGCTACATACCTCGACAGACCTCCCGGGGTCTTGTCTCAGGCCAAAATGCCAACATTCACCTGGCAGACCTGCCACGGGCCACAGCGCGTGTGGGAGCATGGGAATTGAACCCAGTCGTCGCTGCACCCTCCCCTCAGCCGAAGCCAGCATCCCCTACGCAAAAAGTAGGTGCCGAAAAGCTCCGTCGCTCTCCTAGCTGTGCTGCGCTGTCATCATCGCTCTTGTGCCTCCATGCCTGCAGCCATCGGCCCCCAGCCCAGCGAATCCGACGTGTGAAATAGCCATCCTTACGTACCACCGACCTGCCCTCCACAAACTTGAACCCAACTTATCCAAGATTTGACATCTACTCCAACTTCCCGAGAGCAAAAGCGTCTTTCTGCAATCTACTCCTGGTCAGCCATTTCGCACAGCTTTGGTTGGTGAGCCCCATGTCCACGTCCCTCTCCGATCCCCATAGTGGCCTGGTGCCTATCTATATCTGTCCTCAGAAGCACAGGTGGCCCGTACCGAAGACTGGCTAACCCTAAAATTCGCAGCTACTGCTACTAGTTGCCCTGACATCACCAGCGACCTCTACACCTCCCCGCTCCCGACCCAAAGCTCAGCTCTCACTCGACTCTATCGTCTTCAGACCCAACACAGAAACACTTATCGCCAAAAACTCCATCTTCACCAACCGCCAAGATGTCTGCTCAGGATCGCGTCCAGCAATACGTCACTTCGCTCGACCGTGAGGTATGCGCTCGCCCCCAGCTTTTTTCCTCAGCTCCCGAGCCGCGAGGCATCAGCGTCCTCGTGTCGCATGCTCCGGCAGATACGGATTCGTTCCCCAGATAGATGCTGACTCGAGATGCCCGTAGCTGTCCAAGTACCCTACTCTCAACAACCTTGAGAAGCAGACCTCGGTCCCCAAGGTCTACGCTGTTATCGGCCTGGCCACCCTCTACTTCTTCTTCATCGTCTTCAACCTCGGTGGTCAGCTCTTGACCAACTTTGCCGGCTTCGTCATCCCCGGCTACTACTCTCTGCAGGCTCTCTTCACTGCCACCAAGACTGACGATACCCAATGGCTGACCGTATGTGTACCCGTAAAACTAGCTCCCGGAGGGCTGATTTGCTGACTTATCTTCAGTACTGGGTCGTCTTCTCTTTCTTCACGTACGTTATCTAGTGGCACCCCCAGAAAATACTGATCGCAGGCGACTGACCTATTCACCAGCGTTCTTGAGAGCTTGATCAACGTCGTCTACTGGTTCCCCTTCTACTTCACTTTCAAGTTCGTCTTCCTTCTGTGGCTCGCTCTGCCCGTCTTCAGGTATGTACAATCCAGGTCCCCAGAAGGCAGTGCTCCTTGCTGATTACGCACTTGTAGCGGCGCCCAGCTCGTCTTCCGATCCTTCATCCAGCCCGCCTTTGGCCGATACTTCTCAGGATCTGGCTCGACCGCCGCCAACCTGCGTGCCAAGGCCGACTCCATCGGCAAGGGCGAGTAAGCAGCTCACTGAGAGCCAAAGCTTGCTTTGCACCAGCATCCTGAGTAACGACAACAACCATGGTGGTGCAAAAAGCCCAAAACACGCGCGGGATCAATCCGACGGCACGTTTACGAACGCTCTTCGTCGGCGGGATCTAATGAATGGAATGAACATTACGCACCGTATAGTTCTGGTGGCGGACGTGCTGGGATAGGTCAACAGGGTTGGTACTACTCGGGCGCCGCCTAGACTGGGAGTATAGGAACAGGTTCTACTGGAGGTCTATAGAGATGCTTTTCTGTAAACTTATTTCTTAGTTTTCCTATGGGGAATGAAGTCAAGTGAGTGTGATAATGAGGCCCGCAATGAGTCCACAGTGTGCCTCCAATGCCACTATCAACTGCCAGTGCATCGGGTGACTGCTATTATTATCCGCCTTCGTCTTGCCTCCAGCCCTCTGTTCTGCTGTCGAGGTGTGGGTGTAAGGCAGCCGAGGCCAACTAGTGTCGATATTGCACCGGAAGCACTTTGGTGAATCTTCTTCTGCAACCAACAAGCCAGTCGCCCTGCCTGCTCTCCCCCAATCCCCGTCACAATAAAAGAAAACAGATCGTCATGCTGCTAGCATCGCAAGTGGATGCTGTCTGACTTCATTGTACGTATTCCGGCCCGGTACCTTGCATGGTTGCGCCACACTCGGCCCTGGGTGGGGTGGCTGTGCCTTTCCGCGTATCACAGCGCATAGCCGGCCGACCCTGACCCCCAATCTCGAGGATCTGCTCAGCATTCAGGTGTCTCCAGATTTGTGAAACTCGACATGATGAAACCGTTCCTCTCTCTCTTCGTAATCCAATTCAATAAACATTTCATGTGAAGCAGATTTTTTATCGACGGGTGCGCCAGTGAAGCGTAAAAAGAAAAAAAAACCAGGAACGTGTGTCTATTAACGCATACGAAAGCGCGGCATCGAAGATGAACTGCGACTCGACCTCCCTTTGACAAGCGGCCCTCATTTACGACACCGACCGACCCCTCGTCCCGTCTCCCTCTCCCACCCGGACTCGTCCCTCGGGGACATGGCTCCCAGAATGCAGCTCAGTCCTATGCAGTCGCGCCTGGCTGCGTCCATCATAGCATCATGCCTTCTCCTGGCTATCTACCTATTCCTATTCACGCCGCACTTTGCCTTGGCAGCCGAAATTGGCGGCGCATCACTCGGCCATAGTGCTGAGCGCGATGCCGAGTTCTTGGCCCTGCTAGACGACGAAGATTCGGCGACGCCAATCGGGTCGAGAAGTCCAGAGTACGAGCCCGACTTTGGCCTCTTCGACCGCAGTATAATCGGAAGGGCTACGGAGGAAACCCAGACCTTGGTCAACAACGAGGTGCGCGAGAAGAATCTCGACGAGAACTCGCAAGCTACGTTTGTCTTCCAGTTCTCGTCCATCTCCAGTCGAGAAGCAGGGGAATCAGGAAGAACTGCAGAGTTGCGAAAGAGGTCGAACGGGTCGCAAGACCAGGATGTCGAGGTGGAAGAGCCGAATACCGACGACGCAGACGCAGACGCAGACGCAGACGCAGACGCAGACGCAGACGCAGACGCAGACGCAGACGCAGACAAAGATGGAGAGGGACACGAGTTGCGACGGCGCCAAAGCGCAACCAAGACTCTGTGGATAACAGCAAATACCTGCTTGCAGCCAGACAGGCCAGTACCAGATACCACGGGCGAAGATCCACCTCAGCTCACCCTCTATGTTTCAACGTCGAAAGACAACCAGTCGCCCGGCCCGATGGCCAAGGGGAACCAAGACACATTACTCTTCGAAGAGGGCGCCGTCATGTACAATACCACGGTTTCGGGCGACGTATATTTCACCGTGGCTGCTCCGTTCATCAAGGATACATTTACCTCCAAGATGTACAACTTCGAAGTCGCGGTCTCTGTGGATCAGCCTTACCACTACTTCGACAACACCACCGACCCCAATGTCAACTGGGTCGACAGCGATGCGGGTGCGGCACTCTTAATAACGGGGAACCTGACCGACAATCCTGACACGGTCATGACCGAAATGCCCTACTCATTGTTCGCCTATGCCCAGGGGGATGTGTCGGTCTTGGGAGTTCGGAATTCATATTGCGGACTGGGGAATTACGCCCAGATTGGCGGGAACAGGTCAACGCTGCCAAAGAATATGATGTCCATGGGCATGACCAGGAGAGGAGAAGGCAACCTGACCAAACAAGAATTCTTCTTTACGGGACTGAACAAGAGCACCACTTACCAAGCCATCCTGACCACAAATCCTGGGTTTAGCTCGAATATTTCCACATCCAAGCGGGATACCGGCACAGGAAGTAAGAAGGTCGTCTTCAGGCAGACCGAATTCGACACCAAATCCAGTAAGTACAGCCTTGCGCTCGCACCTACGGGGCATCAACAACTAACAACTCTACAGCTGGCGCATGCATGGTCATATCCAACCTAACCTTCTGCGACCAGGTCGCATACTCGGTCCCGGGCAATGAAACGCGGTTCGGGAGCGGCAAGGTCGAAGAGCTGAAGAGCTTCTACGACGACTACGCCCAGACGATGTACAAGAACTTTGAGAAGGCCATGACGACTATCCCGTGCGACATCGAAAACACGTCCAAGTACTCGCTGGCGCGGAACTGCGACGACTGCAAGCAAGCCTACAAGAACTGGATCTGCTTCGTGTCCATCCCGCGCTGCGAGGATTACTCAAAGACAGACCTCTTCCTACAGCCGCGCAACATCAACAGCACCTTCCCCGATGGAACCACAGTCGACAACATGACCCTGGCCGAGTTCGGCAACCAGAAGGCGTACAACTCATCTCGCCGGCCCGACATCGACACCGTCGTCGCGCCGGGGCCCTACAAGGAGGTCCTGCCTTGTGAGGAGCTGTGCTACGACATCGTCCAGAGCTGCCCGGCCTCGCTCAGCTTCTCCTGCCCCCTGCCAGGCAGCGACGTGCGCGTGCCCGGGAAGGACGTCTTCAGCTCGAGCTACGGGCAGCACAGGGATGGCGACAAGTCGGTAGTGACCTGCAACTACCCGGACGCGGCGCACTACCGCAGGTCGGCCTCGGCCATCGTCTCACTGCCGTGGACCATGATGGGCCTCTTGGGCGGCGGCGCACTGCTTCTACTGCTGTAACGACCGGTTCACTGAATGACGGGGGTGCTTGTAACGAGGCAGGTTATGATGGCGTTATTTTTAGGGTCTGTCCGTAGGGCATGGTTGGTTGTTTTGCAAGAGAGGACTAGACAGGGAAATATCCCGGCATGAGAATGGCGTTTTTGTTTTTGTTGTTTCATTTCTGTTCCCATTCCGACGACGTCGATATGCTGGGATACACACACACACACTTAGAGCATGTGTTATGTAGCGTGACTGATATACGTGTAGCCCTCTGGGCTTTTTGTACATGATGAACCCCTTAAACGCCAATTCCTCCGCTGCCGAATGCAGGAAAGCTCATTGCTGTTCCTGGGTATCATGTTTCATCGTCACCTTGTCCCCCGGCGAGCATCTAAATTGGATAGCTCATGTAGCCCATCTTCCTGGGGGCAAAACAATCCGTCCCTCGGTCAACAACCAAGGCCGTCCCTGCTCATCCGTCCCCCACACGAGGCACATGGCCTGGGTCTTGCGGACTGTGCTGTCGCGACCTGACTCTTTCGCGGCTCGCACGGCTTGCCCATTTCCATGGCTAATATGTCGGTTCCGTCGATATGCTCATTTCGTCGCCTTGGTCGCCCGCGCCCGCTCCAACGTCTCGATGCGCTGCTCCAGGTCCGCGATCGTAGCTGCGAGTGTGAATAGAACGCGGTCAGCCTGGGGCACTCTTCAAATTGGCGCGCGCATGATCCTGCCAAAACAGGAGATAGAAAACTGAAAGCTGAAAGTGGGAGGGGTTTGGAGAGATTGGGAGACATACCAGCAGCCTCGCCCTTGACCTCGTCCGTCTCCAGCTTCACCCAGCCGTAGTACGCCAGCTGGTACGTGAAGATGGCCAGCAGGGCGACCTTGAAGATGGGCCGGCCAAAGGTCTTGTAGAAGCTGGCGCTGGGCCCCGCGGTGGTTGTCGTCGTCGTCGAGTCCGAGTACAGGCGCTGTTGCACTTGCTGCTGCCCTTGTGTAATCCACGGGCTGCCGCATCTGGACTGGATGATGGAACGGCTCAATGGCCTGCGCAGCGGCGCCGCGAGGGCTGGTATCCGGGCCATGGTGTTGTGTTGGAGGCCAAAAGAGAGCTGGATGGGCTTCGGTATGATGGGTTTCTAGGTCTAGGAGACGGGTCTTCAGACAGACGTAATCGGAAGCTCTCGCAATTAGCGGCGACTTATCAAGCTACTTGTACATAGATAGTTGAATGTCTATTTCTCGGCTACATCGGGGCTAGCGCTAGTGCCGCTTTTACGAAGGCTTGGCTCAGTCAATTATCAGGCACGTGCGCTGAGCTGCTGGGTTCATGAAGGAATTATGAGCATTTATGCAGAGAAAACCGTCCTTGAGAAGAAAAGGTCTTTGACTGTGGGGTGAAGCCCAGATGAACGTGGCTTGTTCAACATCCATCATTGACCTGTGCAGCTTTTGAACACGTCCATATCCCTCCCTCTTCTATTTTTCAGCACAAAAAATATAGTCGCAGGTGCTCACATGGTAAAGTAATGTCGCGTAAAGAGGGGGAGGGGGGGGGGGGGGTTGAAAGTGTGCCATGGGACATGTTCATAAGTACCTTTTTCTTGTTTCTACCGCTTGCATAGCCCATCCGTAGGTTGAATAGGTGATATGTTTTGGTTTGAATGGGAACATCGCCGGAGATATTAGGTTCATCCGTGGCCCCATGTCCTAATTTGACCCAGGATTTGATGACCTAGAATAACAATACCTATTCCCGCTTCCTGGCCGGGATGCCAACCTGGGGATCGATCCTACCTTTCGAATCCTATTTGTCGAGGCTCTTAAGCAGATAGTTGGGCAACTCAACTCAGGCTTCCTTCTATTTGTTAGATAAGTGGGCATCTGGGGTTTTGACACTATAAGCTAGTGAAAAGATGAACTCGCTACCAGCGTCGTTCTAAACAGGCGAGGAGTGGAGAGGTGGAATAGTAAAAGCTCGGGATTTAGAGGCACATCAGTATATTATACAGAAGTTATGCCGATTCTTTTCGGAGACTTGGTTCTTTCAAGTCAACCTTGCGGCTCGACGGCTCATCTTTGGCCGTCCACGCCCACGCTTAGATACTTTCTTCGCGGACTGACCCTTGGGTGGGCGGCCTTGCCCTCGTTTTCTTTTCGGCGTTTCTTGTACATCGTCTACCAGAGTATGTTTGCGAAGACTTGCATTGCGTCTTCGGGTCTTATTCGCTTTTTTCCGCCTACTATCTTTGGACTGTTTTTTGAGACGGAGCCACTCGGCCGGCTCTTTGTAGAGGTCATAGGAGCTGGCAATCTCTTCGTAGTCGTATGCGCTCGTGTCACTTTCAGTATCGCTTTGTGTCGGGTCAGGATCACTCATAGAAGTGTCCCCTGGGTATCCGAAGCTTGGACTCGTGGCGTCTATCTCGAGAAGGGCCTCTTTGATAGGTGCCAGAGTCTTCTGATGTCGGCTATGCCAGGCCTCAAGATGTTTCATGACAAATTCGCGATGTTGATGAATAGCATATTCGTGGATTTGGTCCACTATGCATATCAAATCAAAAGCAGCCGTGAATTTCTTCACGTCCCCTTCCCATATAGTCTCCACGTTCTGCGATGGATCGTTAGTCAACTATCTTTACACATTTAGGTTCTAAACTTACAATACTTCCTTCCATATTCCATGCTATGAATACTTGCCAATCCGAGCCACAGGACACGAATGCGAACAGTTGGTGCTTAGAGCTTTCTTCCGTCTGGTATTTGGCAACGTTGTCAGGATTCCGAGCCAGGTCGTCCAACATAGCCAGGTACATCTTGCAAGCATCGTAAACCTGCTCCTCGGCTTCTGGAAAGCTTAAAGCTCGTTTTTTGGCTTCATAGACAGCAAAAGGGAAAACGAGGTCGGCTCTGCCCCATAGTCCGTCCACAACCAAACCACAATTATGATCGTGCATCATAGCTGTGAGATCACGCTGAGAAAGGCGCTTGTCCGGCTGCATGAGGCTGTGATCATCTTCGCAGTCTGGAACTGAACATATGTAGCCACGCTTTAGGAAATACTTATCATATGTCATTAGACCCATGGTGGCATCCGGGATTCGTCTTTTAATTGTAACTTCATCGCCATCACCGTGATCCACGAACTTGTAAGGCCTCTTATCCCTACAATTAAAGTCATTTAAGTAAATATCACTTTTCGTAATAACAAATTAAATGTTTTACAAACGAGTACTCACACCCGAAAGCGTTCATTATTAAATATCAACTTAAAAACATTATATTAAATAAAAACCTTTTAATAAAACTTAAATAACTAATAAAAGTGGTTGTTAATTACTCTTTTTAATAATTTAAAAGTTTTTTTATTAAGTTTTGTTTTCTTTTCTTTATTTAAGTGCTTTTTATATTACGGGATATTAAAGTTAAAGTAGAACTTACATTATATTTAAATTATTCACTAACTTTACGTAAATATAAACTATTTAAAAATAGTAAGTTGTTTAAACGGTTTTAATATTATAAATATAACCCGTTCTTTACGTTCTTTTTTAATAAATAATTAATACTTTCATTTATTTAACTTAATAATATATATTAATTTATTATAATATAATTAATCCTTTAATAAATTATAAATTTAAATTTATATAATTTAAAAATAGTTAAAGGTTATAAATTATTAAAATTAAAATCTTAAAAATAAAGATTTAAATTATTTAATAAAAAAGAAATAATGGCTTTTATAAAGTATTTACGACTTTAATAACGGTTAACTACCTCCCTTTTTAACTAATTAAATGCTTAATTAAAAGCGGAACCCGAAGTTATAAAAAGGCGTAGGAGTCGATGTTGGTTTTAAAAGCCCCGATTATCTTAGGCTTTTATAATTACTTACCAACCTGTTATTAAAAACACGTTAATCCTCAAGCGACTCACAACTCAAGTTTGTTTAGTTATGGACCAGGCTATCTTATTAAAAGCTCAGTTTTATAAGTGGAAATGGAATTTAGTGAAGTCCCTTCCGTAGGCCCGTTAGTAGGAATCTTAAGTACGAAGACTATAAGACAGCCAAGATACGTAAGGAAGAACATTTCTACGATAAAGGATCACGTGGACTGATTTGGGAATCTTAGCATGGATCAAAGAAAGTGATCTGGGGGATCTGTTATAGACTTATGCAGTCTTTATTCTCTATACACTTTATTACTTAACCTCCTTAACTACTCTTATGTTGAGTGTAGGACTCCTGAATAGTTGTATCAATGGTGGTCTTTGGCGTGGCCGCTCTGCCCTGGGCGGGAGTGTCATGGCGGCTGCTGGCCACCAGTGTTGTGGTTGTGCACTTAGAAGGAGACTCCGTTTCCAGGATTGCCGCTACCAGTCCGTTCAAAGTGCTGATAGAGAACAGTGCTTAGTCTGTGACGACTGGCTGGTTCAGATTGGAAGCACTCAGAGGGCATAGCATTGGCCAAGGGGTCCCTCGAGATGCAGCGTCTCCATTGCTTTCGTCCGTTATCTCTCTCGTGATATAAAGGATCGACAAATATCGGCGTCATTACAATTAGAATGGAAATCCTTTTCGGTTTGTCCCATATCCATTTTCTCATCGGATGGTCCCAAACCCCCGAAGAATGAGAGTTTGGTGGAATCCGTACATGGAATTAAACTCGACCTCCGTCGTCCTCTGCACTCGAGGGCCTTTTCGCTATCCTCTGACTTGTCCAGTTCGCCCTTCAGTTCATATTACTCCTCGATTGTAAACCTTGGAATGTTTTTGGGTGTATCTTTGGATTAGATGCGCTTGGATAATTGGCTACCCTTGTCGTCATTCTCCAAATCAGGTGCGCCCTCATACTCAGGCTGGGCTTCATCTGGCGACTGACTGTCCGCGCGTGCGTCCTCAGAAGGCGTTGGTGCGTTTGCAGTCCTGTCTTCAGTGTTCCATCATCATCGCAAGCTTCAGGATTGAGTGTGCTCTCCGTGCCGGTGTCCGTCGGTCTTCATTCTGATCGGTGGAACCAAGCTCTTTGCAGCACTGGACAAGCATCTTGAGCAATTTTAATAGGTTATGCCGTTTTGGACCGGCAAATGGTGACGACTAATATTAAAGTGTCTGGTGTTTGGAAGTTGTTTAACACATCGCCCAGACTATAAATAAATATTGGCCGATATAATTTAATAGCCACAAAAACGACAGCGTTGGATTCAGTCTAAATAGGAGTAAGCGCTTTAACTGAAGGTATCGTAGGTTTAATTGTATGTCGTTCAGGCTCAGTCGAAAATCGCTGAGGACGAGGTGAACTTTGCTCAAAAGCTGTAGAACTGATGGATTGTTCTATTCGCTGCTTCTTGCGAGCTGAAAAACGGATGGTGATCGCCATTAGGGGCAGAAGCGATGATGAGCTTCTAGGATGGGCTTGTATATGTCCATCTGGAAAGAAAAGCAAGAATTTTTAATCATTGGGGTTGGGTGCGTGTTTCTATACCTTTTGGTTTGCTATAGCCTTCCCCTACGACACCATCTAGTTCTGCAGCTGAATTGTGTTGGCACACACCTCTCCTAAAACTGTACCATCCACCTGCTCATGGAGTCCTAGCAAGGCACCTTCACCAGGTGAGTCATGTAGAGTGCTCTGATACAATGACCTGGCTCTTATTCTCCTCTTTTGATGACTGCTTAGGAACCCATCGCCCCTAAATGAGCTGCATAGAGTGTGTGGCAAGGAGAATGGCCCTTAGATAACCGGTTCGGTGGACCCGTCAGAAGTCACTGGCACAAGGTGAGCTTTCCCCAAGATCCCTGCCCGGATGACTTCCTAGCTCACCTTGTGGCAGAGAAGGAGTTCAAAGGATAGGCTTCTTATTACACACTTTGCATAGCTGGATCTGTATCTATGACTTCCTATAACGTTATCGCCACGGAATGACCTGCACGAAATGTAGTAAGGAACCCGGCCCCTGGATCTCCTCACCGAGGACTTCTTAGGAAGCCGTCGTCACCAGCCAAATGACCCCACAAGGCATAATTCTCCAGGACTCAGGGCTAGACAATTTCGTAGGAAGTCAAGACTACAGCCGAACAATGCAGAATGCTCTGCAATAGGAATCCGTGGCCCTTGACCCCCTTTTCTGTCACAAGGCCAACCCTCCTAGGACATGTCCGGATGACTTCCCAGGAAGTCATTCAAACAGGGGTTCAAGTCCGTATATACATATTATTATAGAAAGCTTAAGACTTTTGGTGAGCTCAGATGCTGAAACTAGATTGGCGCACATACCTGGAGACCTCTTGGGAAAGTTTGTTCCAAACTTCGTCATGTTGGAATTCAAGCCGATAGGCTGTTGGACGCTGCTCTCTCCGGTAAGAGATATCTTGCTCTGGTACCAGCCAAGCACTGTGCCAAGCAATGTCTAAAGTGACTGGTAAGTTGTTCGGCAAGGGCTAATTAGGAAAGAGGATCATGCGAGCTCTGTTACTTGTGTTTGCCACGCCGTTTGCACATTGACACGAGTCTCCCGAACGTGGCGACCCGGATCCCAGTCAATCCTCGGCTCAGAACGAATAATAGCTTGAATGGAATTGGATGAAAGGCAAAGGTCCAGAAATGTCTAGCCACCAGGCGTCAACAAAAACACCATAAAAGAGCTTCGACCCGTAAACTCGGTTCGTTACGGCCGAGCTGTTATACACAATTCCTTTATGCATGCTTTTCTTCTTTTGTATGTGTTCATTGGGGTCGAGCTCAGGCTAAGCTCCGACCAGGCTCAAGCTTAAAGCGGCACGGCTCAGGTTCTGATGTGGCATCCAATTCTACTTCAGAGGTAGTAGTCGAGCGACAGTGGCGTCCAGCTCACTGCCTGGCCTGTCGTGTGGCTGGAGAGTGTGGGGAGAACCCCCTACCAGACCACTGGACCCGACTGGACATCATCTTGCCAACGCGCCGGAAAAGGGTCAGGGTCTCTTGGCGGCCCCCGGAGCCAGGGGTTGGAGGGGGCTCCCCAAAAGGAGCAGCTGGGCGGGCCCCTAAGAAAAGGGCGGACAGCTACCTAGGTACTGGACCCCTGCCGCCCAGCCCGTAAAGCTACCTAGGTTAGTAGGTGATGGCCCTTTAGACAGGTGTTGCGATTGGGGGCTACCAGGGACGCGGGCGGCGGGCGGAAATGCGCGATGTGTCCTGGACAGATTTCACCAATTCTCTCCAACGACCGACCGAAAGCTGGCAACAACTCCTGTTCGTCACTTTTCCCCTGCTCTCTTCGCCGTCGACTCACACATACACACCCCCTCAATCTGTCTTTTCTGACCCGGCGAGAAAGACTCCGAACCCACGCGAACCCAATCGAACGAAGGTCCTATCCGGTCTGCCGCAGTTATATAAACTCGCTCGGCGACATCGCGAAAAAGACGACGGTAGAAGGGACACACCAGATCCCCATACAAGTATCCGCGAACGAACTCTCCCCTCTGGCTCCCCCATAGCCAGGCACACATCACCACTGCCACTTTTTTCGACTTGCACAAAACACATACTTCACAATGGTACGTCGGCTCATGGGGCACCCACCCCCCAGACCGTGGTGGTCCCCTTTCTGCCGGGCAGAGGGAGAAAGCCTACACGCGACACCGATCCCCCAGCACACCACGTCTTCGTTTCTCCTGCCGCAACCTCTCCATGCTGACACGCACACCCGCGCACACAGGCCCAGACCCCCCAGCAAAGGCGCGCCAACGCCAAGTTCGTCAAGGACCAGGAGGCGCGGCGCGGCAAGTCGGAGGCCGAGCGCCAGGCGCGGACCAAGGAGGCGCAGAAGTCGCCCATCTCGCCGCTCTGGCTGAGTGAGTTCACCCCTTCTCTCGGAAGCTCTTGCTATCCACCGGGCCGTTCTTTGCTGACCTTTGGCTCTCCCCCGCCGTACCAGTCCTCCTCGGCTTCGTCGTCTTCGGCGGTGTCTTCTTCGAGGTCCTGCAGCGCATCTTCTGGCGATAGACGGCCGGTAGCGCCACCGGGTAGACCGAGACGATTGGGGCGACAAGACGCACGGCAGCTGCGCGGGGGGCGCCGGGGATCGAGTTCAGCGATGTAGTAGAGGAATACGTTTCAGAGGCCCTGTACATGGCCGTGTACGGGCTCGCACGCAAAAAGGGGGTCGCATCAACCCAGAGGCTAGAGCTGGCTGCTTCCGTGGCGCGTCGGCTCGCGGGCATTTTCCTTGGGTGTACAGTACGTGTAGTCCTCGGTGGTGTATAAAAGCACATTCGGGGAACCAGATAGCGAGCCAAGGGCAATGAGCGATTTGCTTTGGGCGCCAGTGTAATTCAGTAAACTACGATAACCAGTCAAGTCCAGTGTATTAGGAGTGACGCCATTGGCAGTGAACAGCTTATCATGCGTTTTCAGCCAGCTATGTAGAGCAAATCAGTCCCGTGGTATCGTCAGCTTTTCCCGGTCCTCCATGAACGCCACAAGTTTTTGGGTGTAGAATATGTACACAGCATGCCGAGCAACGTCAAGCTTAAGCCCCCAGGCCTCGCTTGCCGCCAATGTCCTTCTTTCTCATGCCAGCCTCGTACTGGCGCTCAAGATCCTCCTGGACAGTTGAGATGTACTGTTTCGAAGCGCCACCCGAAGTGCTCTGACTGCCAGCCAGGTTTCCTGCCTTCTTAGCTCCGAGGAGTCTCATAAACTTCTCCTTTCTCGCATCACCGCCGCCCAGAGCCGAGACGTTCCACTGCTCTGCTGCGTCAATGCTAGGCTTCTCTGCCTCTTCTGTCACCGGCTTCGAGGCGGCCTCTTCGGCACCATCATCGGTCGACTTGCGGGCCTTCTTCTTCTTGCGCTTCTTTTCCTTGGAATCCTCGGCATCGGCAGTGGCATCCGCGGGGGCTTCTGTAGGGGCGGATTCCGCAGCGGCCTCGACCTCAGCCTCCGGTTCGGAGTGTCGCTTGCGCTTCTTGGCAGCCTTCTTTTCGGCAGAGCCATCGACTATCTCTTCAGTCTCGGCGTTTTCCTCGGTACCCTCCTCAGACTTGGACTTCTTGGACTTTTTCTTCTTCTTCTTGTCCTTGTTATCATCTGCAACAACTTCCTCCTGGGCCGCAGCAGCATCTTGCCCTGGCTCGGTAGCCTGCTCCTCAGCAGTCTCTTCTACTTTTTTGGACTTCTTGGACTTCTTTTTCTTCTCCTTGGTCTGTGCCTCCTCAGCTGCAGGCTCTTCCTCGGGTGCGGCAGCATCTTGCTCTGGTTCAGCGGTCTCCTCTTCAGCGGGCTCCTCTTCCTTCGTGTCCGTCTTAGACGTTTTCGATTTCTTGCTCGACTGCTCCTCAGGACCCGCTGCCTCGTCGTCATGAGAAGCATTGGTCATGGTGACGTCCGCATTTGAGTCATCAGAAGATTCATCAGAAGAGGACTCTGAATCAGCCGGGGCGGTGGGTTCTTGCTTCGGTTCGAGGGCAATGTAGTTGTCGTTCTCGGGAGCTTCGTCCATGATGGCATCAAGCTCGGCCTTCTTCTCGGCTGCGGCCTTCTGTGGTCGATTGTCAGCATCAGGTCCATGCTTCGCACATAACCTCGTGTCGTCTTACCTCTCTCTGCTTGGTCAGGTAGGCGTGGCGAGCTCGAGCCTGCTGGGCCTGCTGCATCATCTTGCGAGCCTGGGCCTCGAGTCGCTCTGCACGGTCGAGCATCTTTCGGTACCGCTTCTCCTCCTTGTGCGGTTTGGTCAGGGCCTTCTTGATCTTCTCGTCGGCCTTGCGCTCGGGGGTCCATTTGGCAGCTGCCTGGGCGCGGGCCTTTCGGTCGGCCTTGGCCTCGGACTTCTGCTGGCGCTTCTCCTTGCGCAGGGCAGCACGGATCAGCCGCTGTTCCTGCTTTCGCTGGTGCTTGGCCTCTGTGGTGGGCGCATGTTAGCATACAGTTATGGTACAGTACATCAGTCGTGGGCCCGTTGACGGGTGGGAGGGGCCTTGGCTGCTTGCCTTTGCGTGCAGCATCCTCCGCCAACTTGGCGGCGTCCAGCTTTATCCAGGCGTCACTCTTCTCGGCCTCCATGGTGGCAGCTGGATTATCGTCGACGGTACTCGGGCTCAATCCGACTGGCGATGTGGGGGTTGCGAGGTGGGAGTTATTTTTCGAGGTTGGAGCTCTGGATCTGGATGCCGGCTGGAAAACGGCAGAATTAATTTTGGCGGTGAGGGCGATAAGTTCAATTGAGGCAGGCGCGATGCGGAACTGCCCCGCGGGATCTCAAGTACCCAAGTACCTAACTTATGTACAGCCAAGAAAACAGGGGGGGGGGGACCGGATCGTAGGCCTCAGCTGCCGTGGGCTGCCAGCGTGGATTGCAGCCGGGCGGCGGCTGACGGAGACCCGCCCGCCTCCAGATAAGTTAGTCGTGCACTGTAGTCGACCAAGCCCCCCGCCGGGCCGGCGCCCATTATCCAGGCGCGCGTCGCAAACTCCCCGTCGCGTCTCTGACCTGACCACGACGTCCAACACGCAACCCAACCCATCCACCTCGCCCGTGAGTTGCCAGAGAGCCGCCACGTCAAGATGGGGAAGCTCATCCGCTTGGAGTTGTTCAGTATGGCTCCCGTAATCCGTACACAGACCGCTGCCCTCGCTGACTCCGTCCAGACTTCAAGTCCTACAAGGGCCACCACATCCTCCTGTTTGGCGACTCCTACTTCACCTCCATCATCGGCCCCAATGGATCCGGCAAGTCCAACTCGTACGTCTGTCCTGCTACTACTACTACCTCCCCATTACGCCTCCGCCTGCTGGTTCTGACCTCTTGCTTCCTCTAGCATGGACGCCATCTCCTTTGTCCTGGGTATCAAGTCGTCGCATCTCCGTTCCGCCCACCTCAAGGACTTGGTCTACCGCGGTCGCGTCCTCAAGACCTCCAAGATAAACGACGACGGCTCCGCTGATGCCCCCGCCGCCAACGGCCACGCCAATGGCGATCCTAATGGCGTCGACCAGGCCGACCAGCGCCCTACCCGTGGCGACCCAAAATCTGCCTGGGTCATGGCTGTCTACGAGGATGACGCCGGCGACGAGCAGCGTTGGAAACGCGCCATCACGAACCAGGGCTCCAGCGAGTACCGCATCAACGACCGTGTTGTCACCGCCCAGCAGTACAACGACGCCCTCGAGGCCGAGAACATCCTGATCAAGGCCCGCAACTTCCTCGTTTTCCAGGGAGACGTTGAGGCCATTGCCGCTCAGTCGCCCCAGGACCTGACCCGCCTCATCGAGCAGATCTCGGGCAGCTTGGAGTACAAGGCCGAGTACGAGCGCCTGCAGGCTGACGCCGACCAGGCCTCCGAGACGTCCAACTTCCAGCTGCAGCGCCGTCGCGGCATCAACTCCGAGATCAAGCAGTACCAAGAACAGAAGAAGGAGGCCGACAGTTTCCAGGCCAAGACGGACGAGCGCGATGCCGCCGTTGTTACTCACATCCTCTGGAAGCTCTACCATTTCCAGCGCATGATGGACGAGTCGAGCGCCCAGATCCAGGAGCACCAGGAAAACCTGAAGGAGTTCCGCCGCAATGTCGACAAGTTCGAGAGGGACCTCGAGGCTGCCCGTCAGGAGCAGGCCAAGGTCACCAAGGAGGTCCATAAGGTCGACCGCCACATCAAGCGCCAGGAAAAAGAGATTGAGGACAAGGAGAACAGCCTCGTTCCCATCGATGAGAAGGTCCAGCAGACGAGCCAGGCCGCCGACAGGATCCGCGCCAGGATTGCCACTGTCGGAAAGGAGCGCGACGACCAGGCCAAGTCGATCAAGAAGATTGAGAAGGACCTCGAGACGGTGCAGAAGGCCCAGAAACAGTTCGAGGACCAGTGGAAGGAAACCATGAAGAAGCAGGGCAAGGAGCTGAGCGACGCCGACCGCAAGGAGTACAACACCCTGCGTGCCCAGGCCATGGCCAAGTCGTCCGACAACCAGGCAAAGCTGGAGAATCTTGTCCGTCAGCTCAAGACGGACGCCTCCACCGTCGACAGCCTTAAGGGCAAGGTCGAGAACTACCACGCTGCCGTGGAAAAGCTCGAGTCCGAGCTGGTCGCCATCAGGGAGAGACGGGACGTCGTGCAAGACAGCGTCAAGCAGACCTCCAAGGATATTGATGCCAAGAAGAAGGAGTTCAACCAGGTCCAGTCGGAGCGCGTCAGGACCAACCAGCGGCGCACTGAGCTGGACGAGAAACTGCAGGAGGCATTGAGGAAACTGGGCGAGGCCGATGAGGGCCAACGCCAGAATGCCAAGGAGGCCAGGATCAAGGAGACCGTCACCTCGCTCAAACGCATATACCCCGGCGTGAAAGGCAGGGTCGGAGACCTGTGCAAGCCCACGCAGAAGAAGTATGACGAAGCCGTCATCACAGCTCTGGGCCGTGACTTTGACTCGGTCATCGTTGACTCTGAGAAGACGGGCCAGGACTGTATCCAGTACCTGAAGGAGAACCGTGCACCAGCCATGACATTCCTTCCCCTAGACAACATCAAGGTCAGCGCCGTGAGCAACGCTGTTAAGGGCATCCAGGGTGCTCGGCTGACCATTGATACCATCGACTTCGATTCCGCTCTGGAGCGCGCCATGACATACGCCTGCGGCGGTTCTATTGTCTGTGACACTCTGGACGTTGCCAAGCATGTCTGCTACGAGCGCAGGATACCCGTCAAGGCCGTAACTTTGGAGGGTTTCGTGATCCACAAGGCAGGTCTCATGACTGGTGGTCGGGGTCCTGAGCACAAGGGCAAACGCCGATTCGAGGAACATGACGTCCAAAACCTGCGCAAGATGGCCGAAAAGTACATGGAGGAGATCGAGAAGCTGCCTAAGGCCGACAGGCGTGGTACGACCGAAGAAAACCTGCACAACGACCTGGCTGGTCTGGAGCAGCGCCTGGCCTTTGCCCGCAACGAATTGGCTGCCTACGAACAGAACCTGGCCAGCAAGAAAAAGGAGTTGGACAACGCAAAGCGTCAACTTAAGGAGTTGCAGCCCAAGTACAAGGAAGAAGACAGCAAGCTGCAGAAGACGCGCGCGGCTGTCGACAAGTTCCGCGCGGCCATCGCCGAGGTCGAGGATAAGATCTTTGCTACCTTCTGCAAGAGACTTGGCTACACCGACATCCGGGCGTACGAGGCTCAGCAGGGCAGTCTTGAGCAGGAGGCATCCGAGAAGCGCAACCAGTTCGAAGTGCAGAAATCACGCCTGAACAGCAGCCTTAACTGGGAGAAGTCCAGACTGAACGATGCGCAGAGCAGGGTGAAGCGCATGCAAGACCAACTCAACCAGCTCCAAGACGACATCTCAACCTACGAGTCGCAGAAGGAGTCGATTGAAGAAGCCATGGGCAATGACCAGGATGCCTTGGCCGCGCTACAGGAGCAGTACGACGAGCTCAAAGAGAAGCTCTCAGAGCGCAACCAGAAGGTGAACGACGCCAAGGCTGATGTGCAAAGGAGGAGTAAAGACATCGAGAGCAGACAGAAGGCTATCGCTGGACTGGAGACAGAGGTGCAGAAGAACAGCGCTGGCAAGTTCGCTCTGCTAAGGCGATGTCGACTGGAACAGGTCAATGTCCCACTGGCCCAAGGCTCATTGGACAATCTGCCCAACGAAGACAACCTCCTTCAGCAAGACCCAGATGCCATGGATGTGGACGAAGGTGGCGATGCGGATCTTATGGAGGATGCCATGAATGACTATGGCATCGAGGTAGATTTCGATCTACTCGACGAGGACTTGAAGGATGTGAGTCTCACGAGCAAAACACTTAACACTTTGTCTCGATACTAATCTATGTAGTCCGAGGACGACTCCGTTGAAGAACGACTCCAAGGCCAGATTTCGTCCCTAACAGCAGAACTCGAGAAGCTCAATCCCAACATGCGCGCCATGGAACGACTTGGCGTTGTGGAGGCCAGGCTCCAGTCCACGGATCAGGAATACGAAGCCTCCAAGGCCGCGTTCAAGGTGGCCAAGGATGCATTTGACGAAATCAAGGCTAAGAGATTTGAACTCTTCAACAAGGCATTCACGCACATCCAGGAGCAAATCTCGCAGGTCTACAAGGATCTGACGAGATCCGAGGCGTATCCCCTGGGTGGACAGGCCTACCTCGACATTGAAGAGGACACGGACAAGCCTTACCTCTCGGGCATCAAGTACCACGCCATGCCGCCGCTGAAGCGGTTCCGTGACATGGAGCACCTTTCCGGTGGTGAGAAGACGATGGCCGCTCTCGCTCTGCTGTTCGCCATCCACAGCTACCAGCCCAGTCCTTTCTTCGTGCTAGATGAGGTCGATGCCGCTCTGGACAACGCCAACGTCGAGAAGATCAAGAACTACATCAGGGAACATGCCGGCCCTGGTATGCAGTTCATTGTCATCAGTCTCAAGACGGGTCTGTTCCAAGACAGTGAGAGCTTGGTCGGAGTATACAGAGACCAGGAAGTGAATAGTTCGAGGACATTAACGTTAGATGTAAGCTCCCCTACTCTGTGTACTGATTGGCAGGCGGCCGCTAACCTAAAGCCTACAGCTTCGCAAGTATGCCTAAAGCAAGGACATGCGGGGAGATCATTCCTCCCTGCCAGGTGGGACGTTTGTCAACGATTTTATGATTTAAGTTCGGTTTGGGGATCCAGGGCGCGGAGGACTATAATTGCATAGCTGGACATATCTTTTGCGTTTCTGACTTGCCGAAGCGTCCGTCTGTATGATAAACCTGGAAATCGTGTTTGTAGATACGCCTTTTCGCGCCCTGCCGGAGAGAGGGAGTCAACTGTTGCAATTTTTCTTGGCCTGGGGAAATGAAATTCAAGATCCCGAGCATCTTCATTCCTGTGCCTCGTGATATGATGCCCTCCTACCCCTAGAATGACCGATTCCAGTGCCATGGCAACACAGCAAGGGTAAAAACCAGCTGCCTCCATCTTTCAAAAAGAAAGGTACGAAGAAATACGATTGGATGAAAACATGTTGTGGTCGTCACTTGAGGCTCCATTACTGGTGCTTTTTCGTAATTTGGTCTTATTAGTCGTGTTAGTACAGTGCCAAGTCGGCCCCGAACTGAATGGCCCGGTCAGCATCCGAAACACTCCTATAATGAATGGGCCACCCCCGTTACCAAAGCCGACGTCACCCGATCTATTGTTCGTTTGGCCCAGGGTCCAAGGGTCTAGCTGCTGGTGACTTTCAGCCCTGTTCCCTGGAGAGGTCAGTCAATTAAGCTTATGCATCCCGGTTGCCGTATCTAGCCCGGCCAATCCCTTACTCGTTCAGCGGCCGGAAGCTAGAAAACGGTACCCGCTAAAATTTCTCATTGCTCTACCCGGGCCGTCAACCTCATACCCCGACCGCCGCCTATACTACCAATCAAACCCACACATGGTAACCTCGTAGAATATCAGAACCCATGCACGTCATGGGTCGTCCGAGGATCTTGTTCCTGGATGCCTACGACTCATTCAGCAACAATGTCGTGTCGCTGCTGACGACTCTGCTGGAAGCCGACGTCGACATTCTGCACATCGACTCACCCCTGTTGGACCCGGCATCCCCGGATTTCCATGACAAGTTCCGCCAGGAACTGCAATGCTATGATGCTGTGGTCTGCGGGCCCGGGCCCGGTTCGCCCACGCTGGATGCCGACGTCGGGCTGATACGGCACATCTGGGACCTCGAGGATGAGCATCTTCTCCCGGTCTTGGGGATATGTCTAGGATTTCAGAGCCTCGCCATCAGCTGCGGTGCTAGTATCAGGAAAATCCCCGGCGGCGGACTGCATGGGATGATTCGAGACATCGATTTCCGCTCCAGGGAGATCGCGGGATCTTCAGGGAACATATTCGCCGGAGTCACGCCTTTCAAGGCGACGCTCTACCATAGCCTGTGTGCGGACATCGGGCAGGACTCAATTTCCGAAGCCGAGTGGTCTGAGAGGAGATGGGCCGGCCTCCCTGAGCTGCCGGACATAGTGCCATTGGCCTGGGTGGAGGAGGGGAGGAACGGTGCGTCCGAGCGCATCCTGATGGGCATGAAGCACAGCAGCAAGCCTTTCTGGGGTCTTCAGTACCATCCCGAGTCCATATGCTCGCAGAGCCTCGGTCACCAAGTGATCAGCAACTGGTTCCGAGAGGCCCTCCTCTGGAGCAAGCAACGTGGGCGGGTGACAAAGTCACGAATCCCAGACTGTATCCCTGGATCGACAAAGCCCAGCCTTCTCAGCCAGGTACAGGCATCACGGGATGCTGAACGAGCAGTTGTGTTCGAGGAGACTTTGCCCGATGAATTCAACCTAACGGAGTACGGCACCAACGCAACATATGCCTCTAAGGTCATTCAGCTGCCATCACACGTGGAGGTGCCAGATATCGTTGAGCTTCTGCAAAATGGAGGACGGGAGCACATTGTACTTGATTCTGCAAGCGCACATGCCAACCGCATTGGCCTTGACGTGCGAGGGCGGTACAGCATACTTGCTCTCGATGTCGCAGACTCCCTAAGGCTCGAGTACCAGGCCGGCGCCGCCCATGTCAATGCACTTCTACCTGCATGTGCCATGAACAAAGGTCACAGCAACAAAGACGTCAAGCTCGGCAAACATTACACTGTATGGCATTTATTGGCCGATTTTATGGATCGGAGGAAACTAGACATGCCCAACGCTGAGTCACCATTTCTGGGAGGGTTTATGGGATACATAACATATGAGATGGGTTTGGAATGCATTGAGGTCAAAATTAATAGTCCTCGGGGCCACGAGCGGCCGGATCTGTGCTTCGCATGGATAACCAAGAGCATCGTGGTTGATCACTTGGAGGGCACCCTCCGCATCCAATATCTGCACACTTCGGTCTCTGAGGCCGACGAATGGTTGAACTCCACTGCAGACACACTGCAAAATTCGGCCATCTGGGCAGATGGACTGCGGGTCAATGATAGCAAACTCAAGGGGGCCAGACACTTCACGCCCCCTATCACACCCACAGGGCCTAGCGAGCCAGCGAGCATTGTGACCCCCGAAGCAGGAGAGTACGAATCCAAGGTCCGCCAATGCCAGGACTTCATCGCAGCCGGCGACTCGTACGAGCTCTGCTTGACAGACCAGACCTCCATCACGCGGTCTGCGAGCCTGCTCGAGGCCCACGGCGTCATTCCCACCAACAGCTGGGCCCCGATGAGCGCGACCAAGTCGCCCAGCTCCTGGGCGCTCTACCGCACCCTCCGGGCCCGCCAGCCCGCCCCCTTCGGCTCGTACCTCCGCCTCGGCGGCGCGACGCTGATCAGCAGCTCACCCGAGCGGTTCCTCGAGTACGGCCGCGCGGGCCTGTGCTCCATGCGGCCGATGAAGGGCACCGTGCGCAAGTCGGACGCCGTGGCCACGCTGCGCCAGGCCGAGCACATCCTCCACATCCCCAAGGAGGAGGCCGAGAACCTCATGATCGTCGACCTCGTCCGCCACGACCTGCACTCCGTGTGCGGCCCGGGCAACGTGCGCGTGCCGCAGCTGATGAAGGTCGAGGAGTATGCCAGCGTGTTCCAGATGATCAGCGTCGTCGAGGGGCAGCTGCCGGCGTCCACGAAGGGAGGAGGAGGCGACGGCGGCGGTGGTGGCAGGTACACGGGTCTCGACGTGCTGGCGGCCTCGCTCCCGCCCGGCAGCATGACGGGGGCGCCCAAGAAGCGCAGCTGCGAGATCCTGCAGGAGCTCGAGGGCGGCCGCCACCGCGAGCGCAGTCTGTACTCGGGCGTCGTCGGCTACACGGACGTGACGGGGCGCGGCGACTGGAGCGTCACGATCCGCAGCCTGTTCCGGTGGGACGACGAGACCGTGCGGCACGCGGACGGGGCCGGCGAGACCGAGGTGTGGCGGATCGGCGCGGGTGGCGCTGTGACGGCGCTGAGCACGCCGGAGGGAGAGAGGGACGAGATGTTCACGAAGCTCAAGGGGCCGCTGGGCGTCTTCGGTGGGAGGTCCTGAGGCGGTGGTCTGTTTTCTGCGTCGGGCGTTGTGGTTGAAATTCGAGATTGGGTCAAAGGGGTTTGCATGAGATACTCAACGTGTCTCGACCGGCGTTCTAAACAAGTGGCACATGGATGTTAGAGCAATCTGACGGAAACAGGACTTGGTTCAACAAGCATTGGTAGATTTTAGCATGAATACGCTTTTCATGATTATCTGGCTGCAATACCTCTGCCACCACTTGTAGCGCGCATGTCAGTGCCGTTCGTATCAGATATAAGGAGAAAGTCTCATTGTATACCTGGGACGTAGCAAACAGGTCGCATGGGTCCCCCGACCTTCTCGCCGGTCACAAGTTACAGCTCCTCCATAGGAGCAATACCTTGTGCGACCGCCCACATTATCTGTCTGAACCTGTGATTACTTCTGCCGAGGAAGGCGACGTACAACCCTAGGTTGCAGCACATATTGGCATTCGCTTTCAGCTTGTGGCCCCCATCTTCCATCGCCAGTCGCGCTTAATATTCGGATTTTAGCGGTGTCCATTCGTACTCCTCAACGTGTCTGTACTCATCCATCTTTTCCGGAGCGTGATCGCTGGAGTCGTTACCAAAACAACGGTCAGCGTTGCCAGAATCAGACGGAGGGGCAAAGTGTTTTTTGCTGATTTCTTCCCAGGTCATACCAGGGCAGTCTGCGCGGATATCACCTATTTCCGGTAGAAGGGGAGGTCGCTGCTTCTCCTGGTAATCAACGCCGTTGCCACGCCTGACTATTACCATAAGCTCTTTGGCATTCTCGCCAGAGGACATACAACTGGCACATGCCCGTCCTCCGAAGAGTGCCTCTTGGCTTGGTTCCGGACACTCCTGCTCGAACCGAACACGGGTTGCTTCATTAATCACTGTGCAAGTCGTACCAGGCAGAGTAGACCGATAGATAGCGACAGAAGGTTGATTGGCGGCCCCGTCTCGACTGTTCATAGTCCTGATCCAGTTGGCTGGCTGTGGCTTGCGTTGACGTCGCTGATTATAGTCATCAAATCCTTGTAATATAATGAAGTCGTTCACATATTGAAGTATGTCCGAACGGCGTGAGATGTACCGCAGCTCCCTCCACCCTTGGCCATACTTTATGAGAGAATTCAAGACATCGTAAGTGACGCAGTTGCCGTATAGATTGAGAACTGTCAGCGTGTCAAGCTGCAAGCCCGGCAGGAATTTCAAACCATGGACCAGGTTGTAGTACATTTTCTTTTCGGGACAAGAAAGCGTCAAAGAGTGTCCCCGAACGCATAAGTGGCGGATCGCGGAGAGTGTTCTCAGAGGGACAGCAGTCAGCTTTTCCATCATGGTCTTGACGTCTTCAAAGTTGAACAGGACCTGGCTGAGCCAGCTGTGTCCAATTTCAGCTCTGGCGCGACGGCAGGTCTTCAACAGCGAAAGGGAATTCGGAGCGGGAGTGATTCGCAAACATTTGACCTCTCCTAGTGGTCTCCGACCATGAGATACTCTTGTATCCAAGAATAGGTGATCGTAGATCGAATCTCGGAGCTCTTGAGGCAATTGAAAGAGCCGGCTCCGCTCCTGATCATCGGCGAGAGCCAATACAGATGCCCCTGAGTTGTTTGTCTTTACTCGGCCCTTGTTATTTTTTGCCATCGTCTTCTCTTCAGCCATGGCCAGTTCGGTTGATAGTAGCAGGAGGCACTATCGGCTGTGAAGACGGTCAAGATGTTGAAGGGCCCAGGTTCTGACCCCTTGGATCGCCAAACTGTACTATACAGCTATGGGCTTCAGGCTGAGTGCATGGCAACACAAGACAGGCGCAGACCGCCGCCGGGAAGGCCATTTTATGGCATGCGGAATACCTGAGTAGCTGCCCTGTTTCAACCAAAAGTCCTACATAAAATAACCGAGCCTCGCGGAGAGGAAGATGGAAGGCACGACTTAGATGCAGGAGCCTTGCTTCGAAGTACATAGCACTGAACGCCCAGACTCCCAGACAGGAATGGTCCAGGCCAATGCGGTACGTACCTGCATCTTAGCGAGGTACTTAGGTACATAGACGCATAGCTAAGGTGTTTGTCTGCCCCACTGCAGTAAGCTAGCAATTGGAACTGTCTCTGCAGCCTTGCCAAGTCCCAAGGTTGCCATTCATCAAATCGCAAAGCTCAGCTTCTCCCAAGGCAACCTCGTTCACAGCCCGACGACGGACAGAATCGCTTCTCTCACCGTTACGCTTAACACAGAGAGACATACAAAAGTCTGACGGCGGCTCGAAATGGATCGGCGCGGGGGCCGCGGCGCTCGCGACAGGGACTACGGGAGAAGAGACGACCGAAGAGACGACCGAAGAGACGACCGGGATCGGGGTGGCCGGAGATACAGATCACGGTCCAGGAGCCCGGGACGGTCTGACCGCCGCGATGGCGACCGCGGCCGCGACCGGCGAGATGGTCCACCGGAGCGCGACAGATATCGGGACAGAGCAAGCGATAGAGATCGCGAGGGCGACCGGGGCTACGGACGTGATCGTGACAGGGGAAGCGGGCGTGAGCGCGAACGCGAACGCGAACGCGACAGGCCCACAGACAGGCGATACCGAGGAGGAGAACGGGATGATGGCCGTCCTAGATACGGCGGTCGGGACGCCGATGAGCCGCGACCGAGCAGGGAAGCAGTCAGAGACGTCCCAGACCTCAAGGAGCAGCGCTCTGAGCACAATTCGCCTCTCCCGAGCCGGCCCAAGAGCGACAGAAATACGCCCCTGTCGTTCCGTGTAGGAAAGAGCGAGGAGGATCCCTCGCGTACAGGCCACAAGGACCGGGAGCCCGGACGGGAGCCCAGCGCCGAAAGAGGTGACGCCATGGACGAGGATGCCCACGAGGATGAGGACGATGACGATGTGGAGGTCGACGAGGATGAAGCTGCCATGCAGGCCATGCTTGGCTTTGGCGGGTTTGGCACCACCAAGGGCACCAAGGTAGCTGGGAACAACGTCGGGGGGGTAAGGAAGGAGAAGAAGACCGAGTATCGCCAGTACATGAATCGCATAGGCGGATTCAACCGACCACTCAGCCCGGGTCGATAGAGAAGGGTAGGGGTAGACTTTTCATCAATCCCTGGAGGAGGTTCCATCCCGTGCACTGTTGGCGGTGTGGCACAACATCACTACGGGGATGCCCCCCTTAGACTAGAAACGGCTGAAGGAGCAATGTTTCTGAATAGTTGGAGTATGGTTATGGTTACAAGTCAGGGGACTACTGTATAGACCATAGCATTTCCCATGGCCAAGGCGTCGTCGGCAGGCTAGATTTCATACGATACCCGCCTGCGAATTCACTTCTTACTCAACGGACTGACTTACAGATCTGTCTGCGTGCTTGCTAGCTGTGCCAGCTGTGCCCCCTCTTCTGATCCTGCCAGATGCGCCTACAGAACCGTAGCACTCGAACCAAGCCCAACCTCGACACTCAGAACGTTTGGTCTCTCAATGCAGATTAGCTGTGCCATCCGATTTTCGATTGCTCACAGTGACAGGGACTCAGGTGCTCTGCATGTCTTACCTAGCCTTGATGCTTTGACGGTCACCACGACATGCAAGACACTGGCTTGGTGCAAAGCCGCCGGTTATCGTTATCACATGGACGGTACACAGCAGGATGGACAGGACACTTTCAGACCCCGAACCCCGCCAACCCCCAGTAAAACGGAGCTCCCTGGCGCTAGAGATGCGGGCCGGCAGCCAAAGCTAGGCACCTCGTCCAGGGGACCTGAGACCCGACTGACGTCGCTGGCTCTCTCCCATTCCTCAACCGTGTCCAGAAATTAATTCTGGCCGTCAAGCTCTCTCACACCGCGACTCGGCCACGCTCACTCACTTGCATGGTCGACGACTCTTTGTGGTGGACTTCTTCCTAGTGGATCAATGATCGATTTGTCATGACTTTCCGCAACCAATTGACAGCTTTGCTGTCCTTTCTGCTGCTGCTCGTCGCCGGCGATGCCTTCATCGGCCACGCCAACGCCGAGCCTCAGGATGAGTCTGTCCTGCACGCCGAGATGGCCCGGCTGAACAATCAGAGCTTGCTCTGGGGCCCCTATCGCCCCAACCTGTACTTCGGCATCCGGCCTCGCATTCCCAAGAGTATCATGACCGCCTTGATGTGGGGCAAGGTCGACAACTACAACGACGTGCAAAGCAGTAAGTCCAGGAAGCAGGCCGTTGCCGTGCTATTGTCCACCTCGCATCCGTCATGCTGACCCTCGGCCCCTGCATAGGCTTCCGCTACACCTGCGAGCAGAATGAGGGCATGGCCGGCTACGGCTGGGAGGAGTACGACACCAGAAAGGGCGGCGTTCAGACCATCCACGACACCCAGAACAACATCGACATCACCACTTCGTTTGTCAAGATCCCCGGCGGCGGACACGGCGGCAGCTGGGCTGCCCGCATCAAGGGCGAGCCCCGAGCGGATGCCCCCGAGGGCCTCAAGTCGACCATGGTCCTCTACCTCAGCTCCGAGCCCCGGTGGGACGAGGTCGACGTTGTCAACGACGGAGACGAGACCGGCTTCGATGGCGACGTCACCCTGACCGGCACTTCGCAGGCTCTGGGCGATTGGAAGATCGTCGTGACCAAGGGTACGGGCGACCACCCTCTGAGCAATCACCCCGTCTCCAACAAGCGTGATCTGGACAAGACCACGGTCCAGTCTCTCACCGTCCCCGAGGAGCACCTGTGGAGAGCCAGGGAAATCCTCTACCAGCAACTGAAGCAAGGCGTGGACAATATCATTCAGGAGTATGGTGCTGAGAACGCCCCGCCTCCCTGGCAGGTCTATCAGCTTACCAATCAGCCTGGGAAGGGTAATATTCAAATGGTGCAGAAAGTCTTTGAAGGTGCCTTCGAGTTCGATATCCTCTTTACCAGCGGATCTGCGGGCAAAGATGTCACCAGTGAAGATTTGACACGCGAGATCAAATTAACTACCGAGTCCTTCAGTGAGCGATTCTTGAACATCTTCACGCCACAGGCGCCGTTTGAGGCACAAAAGTACCAGAAATTTGGCCGCAGCATGCTCTCCAACCTTGCCGGAGGTATTGGATATTTCTACGGCAACCATATTGTCGATCGATCCGGAGCCCCTGAATATGATGAGGAGAACGAAGGGTTCTGGGAGGACACTGCCGCCGCCAGAGCGCGCCGTCTAGAGCAGCCTGAAGGACCGTTTGAGCTCTTCAGCAGCATTCCGTCCCGACCCTTTTTCCCGCGCGGCTTCCTTTGGGACGAGGGTTTCCACCTCATGCCTATTGCCGAGTGGGATATCGACTTGACCATGGAGATCGTGAAGAGCTGGTACAACCTCATCGATGAGGACGGCTGGATCGCTCGCGAGCAGATTCTGGGAGATGAAGCCCGCAGCAAGGTTCCCGCGGAATTCCAAGTCCAGTACCCCCATTACGCCAACCCCCCGACTCTCTTCTTGATCATCGAGAACTTCCTCGAGAAGCTCCAGAAAGCGAATGGTACCCAAGCGGGCAAGAGGGATCCTCTTTCGCAGCAGGGCTTGTACCACGAAAGTGCTCTTCTGAACAACCCGTCTCTCGGCCTCAAATATCTGCAAGATCTGTACCCGTTGTTGCGCCGCCAGTTCTACTGGTTCAAGAAGACACAGTACGGCGACATCAAGTCTTATGAGCGAGAGGCGTACTCTAGCAGAGAAGGCTACCGATGGCGTGGTAGATCCATTCAGCACATTCTGACCAGCGGTCTGGACGACTACCCCCGGCCTCAGCCCCCGCACCCGGGCGAGCTTCATCTCGACTTGATCTCGTGGATGGGACTTATGGCCAAGACATTGAACACCATCGCCACGGCCATCGGGGAGACCGCCGATGCGAAGGACTATGCCGCGGTGCTCGACAACATCGAGCACAACCTCGTCGATCTTCACTGGTCCGAGGCAGACGACTGCTTTTGCGACGCTACCATTGACGCCTTTGAAGAGAATAAGCTGGTCTGCCACAAGGGCTATGTCACTCTGTTCCCCTTCCTGACTGGCCTCCTGAAGCATGATGATCCCAAGCTTGGCAGTCTCCTCAAGCTGATTGGCGACGAGAACGAGCTCTGGAGTCCGTTCGGCCTGCGCAGCCTGAGCAAGAAGGACGAACTCTACGGCACGGATGAGAACTACTGGCGCAGCCCTGTGTGGATCAACATGAACTACCTTGCCATCGTGCAACTCTACGTAAGTGTGGGACACCCTCCATAGACAGAGCCGTGATTTCTGACCTTTCCATTCCAGAATGTCGCCCTGCAACAGGGGCCGTACCAAGCCCAGGCCACCGACCTGTACGCCCGCCTCCGCGGCAACATCATCGACACCGTGTACAACAGCTGGGAGGAGACGGGCTTCGCGTGGGAGCAGTACAACCCGGAGACGGGCAAGGGCCAGCGCACGCAGCATTTCACCGGCTGGACCAGCCTTGTCGTCAAGATCATGGCCATGCCCGACCTGGCGGCCCCCAAGCCCGAGGGACACCCCGAGGGGCATGACGAGCTATGATGACGACGACGACCATTCGAAAGATCCCGCCATATTTTTGTTATCCTGGCCGTGATAGGAAGCGATCTTCGTCAGAGTAAGATACCTTTTGACTTGGGTGTAGAATAGAGGAAAACAGAATAAACGGTCACAGTTGTACAATCAAATCAGTAAGCCTCTCGGCTCGTATCCGTCATCTTTGCAGAACATGCCCAGGTGAAGTAATGAGTCTGATGCAAGTCGTGATTCCTTACTCCGATAATTCAAAAACCATGGCCATGCTCCGTTGCCCCCTGTGTCCAGTAACGCCAGCCATGTTTGGTGCAACTCGACCAATCCCTCCATCCCTCCTCTTTTTATCACGGTAGTTAAACTCCATTTCCGAAAACAAAACAAAACCCTGCGTCTGCAAGTTACCCCTTCTACCTGCTGGCCTCGGCCGTGAACCCGTCTCCCTTCTTGTGCACCACCTTCCGGGGGAGCACCTCGACATTTCTGCTCAGCAGCTTGCGCAGCTCTGGGCTGATGACCTTCTTGGGGCCTTCTTCCTTCGCTTTGCCCGTATCCCTGCTGCTGCCAACTGCCGGGGCAGCGGCGGCGGCGGTGTCTGAGGATGCAGGCGGTGGTGGCGATGACGGTGACGGCGATGAAGCCTGGCGGACGCGCGGCGCGGGGAAGTTCTGCTTCTTGTCGATGGCGTCCACGAGGCGCTGGAACCGGCGGAACAGCGACTCCGCGCGGATGAGGGTGGATTCGAGATCTATTGTGTTTGAGAGTTCGTTCACTGGCGACCTCTCTGGTCAGTATTGCTTTCTTCATTACAGTGGCCATCAAGCTTGCCAGCTGGAGATAGAAAGGGAAGGAGGCATACCGTATTTCAACACCTCGTCAAAGTGCTGCAGATGCTCCATGATGACGTCGCGGTGCTTCTCCAGGATGGCGAGGGCAATGAACAGGTGGAAGCTGCTGCTCAGGTAGTCGGTCCACAGCACCTCCCAGAGGTGCAGGATGTCCATCCACTTGAACTCGCGCTTGTACCAGACCAGCAGCATGCGGAAGAAGAAGAAGAAGTTGGTGCTGTCGGCCGACTGCAGGTGGAGGTACAGCTTGGGGTCCATGAACTGCACCAGGTGGTCCAGCGTCAGGAGCTGGTTCCGCATGCCGGACTGGTCGCGCAGGAAGTTGCGCTCCATCCGGTCCATGAAGTGCTGGAATCCCCAGAAGGCGATCGCGTCGTCCTGCAGCACCGCGTATATGGGCGCCAGGAGGTCGGACATGCCCTGGACGTAGCCGAGGTCCTTGTTGTACTCGTTGTAGGTGAGCAGCATGTCCTTCATCTGCTCCATGTGGACGTTGGTGCCCGACGACGCAAAAGGAGACTCCGGGTCAGGATGCGGTATGTCTTCCCCCGCAAAGATGGGAACTGTGCGATCAGTCCTGTGAACATCCTTCTCTACAGGAGTCGTGAGTTAAAAAGAGATACTTGACTGATCACGACCCGTAGGAAGAACTTACCTATTCTGTTCCTCTGATCCCTCCACCATTCCCCCTCCTCGCCCTCGCCACCTAAATCGACGAGTCTCTCCCACCAGGACGCCTTCAGTTTGACATATTCGTCCCTCAACGAGGCGATCTGGGCCCTGCGCTCTTCCGATGTACTATACCAGTCATAGACGCCGAGCAGGAACAGCCAAGCCTCCTTTCGCACCCCGTCTTCGGGATCCAGACCTCCGTGGAAGATGCGCTCCTTGACCTCGTCGATCGTGACGGATAGCCTGCCCGTTCTGGGGTCGAAGAAGGTACTCCACTCCTTCATGGTGACCTGCCTCCTGCGTTCCTCCAACGACAGGGTGCTCGTCTCGAGCAGCTCGAATTCGCCGACGTCCGTGTCCTCCATCTCCATGACATCTCTCGCGGTCCAGATCCTCTGGTTCTTGTCCCGCTCGGCCTGCTCGGCTATGCCCATGGCCCACCGGGCAAGGTATATCCTCGCGCTGTCGAACTCGTCCTGCAGCGTCTGCACCTCGGGATTCCCCATCAGCCGCCGGACCTGGGGCGGCACCCTGGGATTGTCGAGCACGTCCTGCGCGGCCCGTCTCGTGAGGGTGGTGACTTTGCTGAACTTCTCCATGATGTTCCACCCGGTTTCCTTGACGAACTTCATGAACGGCTCCATCTGTGCATCGCCCTGTTGTCCGCTCGGCCCGGCAGCACCGGACCCGGCAGCGCCTCTGACAGACATGCCGCGGGCGCTATCCCTCCTTCCGATCTGCGAGGGCGTGCTCGTGGTCAGCTTGCCGCCGAAGGCCTCGCTGTCCTCCTTGGTGGGTTCGACGAGGTAGATGTTGGGCTCGGCGCCGCTCCTCTCGATGGGCACGTATCGCTTCAGCCACCGCAGCACCTCGTCGCCGCCCCAGAACATCTGCCCATGTTCGCCAAAGGGGTCGAAGCTGTCCTTTGCGCGCTTCTTCTTCTGCAGGATGGTCGACTGGCACTCGCTGTCGTGGAAGAAGAGGGCGGGGAAGCTGTCCCCGGCGCGCGTGTTGACCACGACCGACCCGAACCACCAGCCGAGACTGGGAGGCCGCACCAGCAGCGAGTATATGGCGCTCACGGGGATGGCGAAGGCATAGTGGCCTATGGAGCCGTGGTGGGTGGTGACGGTGGGGACCGGGGGCACGAGATAGCTCTGCTTCGGGGGCGAGTCGCCCTCGGTCAAGTCGACCTTGACATATATGCTGGCGGCGTCTCCCAGGCTGGACTCGGGCAGCCAGGCGAGCAGGAGATCGGCGGAGCGCGGGGCGGACGAGCCCTGGGAGCTGGAGGAGGTGGGACGGCCGTCGGGGGTGGACTTCTGCTGCAGCAGGGCGACGAAGCCGGGGATGTTGTCCTTGGCCGAGGGCGTGGGGTGTATGTAGACCTTGCTCTTGGAGTAGAGCAGCTTGACGCCGCGGCCGGACTCAGTGTGGGTGATGGTATCGTACTCGCCCTCGCTGTCGTCCGACATGGCGATGAAGGAGCCGGTGGGTGACCTATCAGCGCCCGGGGGAGCTGACGTCATGCTCGGTGGAGGGGTAGGCGGGCGTCTGGCCCAGGATCTGGTGTCGGCGACGAGAGGCGGGAGACGGGAGACGAGAGACGAGATATAGTTTTGGGTTGATATAAGATCTATAAAGACGCACAGGGTCTATGGGTCTGGTGTCCGTGGGCTGTTATCATGTCTAGGTAGTCTGCCGGGCAAGGGAGATGTAAGGGTAGAACGAGGACCGTCGTTGCATGCATGTGAGCCCACGGCGGGACGGGCTGTACAGTACATCAATTCTTTGGCTGCCTGCAGGCGTTCGCTAAGCTAAGGCTAAGTTAGTTACTAAGTAAACTTGGGTGCTTAGTTGGGCATTATGAGTGAGGGAGCTAGGGGCGGGGTACATGCGCCAGGTATAGATTACCCTGGGACAGCACTAGAACACCCGGTGATCCGCTGTAGAGGAAACCTCTGGTCAGCTTGCCCCCGGTGGCACACCACCGCGCTGGTCATACGTGCCGCAATCGCCATGTGGATTCGTCATCGGTGCGCCGACGACTGCGGCAACAATGGGACGATTGTAGCAGGGGTCGCTCCAGCGGGTTGCATGGGCCTGCGTGGTTAATGGATGCTTGCACCTGTACGAATGTACTGTACAGCCCGCTATGGCCGTGGGCCGTGGCTTCGGATGGCCTTTTTCCTAGTATGGTATTATTGACAGCATCTCGGTGCTTGCACACCAGATTGCATGCCATTATCTTGCCTCACAGTCTTTAGAGCCAGTCCCTCAAGCGATTTGGAACATCACCAACAGCCATACCGTCGAGCTCTGCCTTGGAGCTCACGATTCAGCCGCTATGCAGCCGTACCGGCGTCGAGCATGGCGACTACGCAACCCCCCAAGGCAGCCATTTATTGCATCCTGCTGGATCTACAGCCTACGTAAGTCATGACGAGCTGCAGGTCCATCGCGGCAGCATCACGGCCCTTGGCAGTAGGCGAAGGCTCTGGATGGACATGGACCGTCTGGAATCACCAACGTATGCATACAATCCTGGCTTGGCCAGCATCTGAACAGGTGATCAACCATCGTGTATACTACTGTAGTCTGCTCGAGGACACCACCGCAGGCTCATCATCCGCTTCGGGCGGACGTCTCGACTCCAATACTTCATCCCCAGTCGTTGGGCATGCTCTCCAAAACCTCTTCCTGCCACGGTCCTGCCGTCTCATAATGTCAAAAGCTAGACGCCGGGCTCCACATTGCCACAATAAGGGCTGGTATCATCTCATACGGGGGCCGCTGGGCAAGCCCGCCCTCCTATTACTTCCTGGTAGGCCTCCGGGTCTGCTGCTGCCACCGCCTCCTCCTCCTCCTCCTCCACCGCCGTAGAAATCTTGCTCGTTGCTGGCCCATGGCGAGTTGGCCGCCACGAACGGTTTGTCCCCTCCCCTGCTGCCCGACCCGCCGTCATACATGCCGCCTGGTGCAAAGCGGCCTTCGTAGTCATCCGTGCTTCCGCCGCCTCTCGAGCTAGCCTGCTGCGGTGGTGGAAAGGGGCTGTTGGCCGCCGGGCTGGCCGTCCTGGAGCCGCCCCAGAGTCTTTGCCGTAACCTCTCCTGCGCCGTACCGCCGCCGCCGCCGGCCGAACTTGCTGGTGGTGTCGGCGTTTGCGCCAGGTTGGCACTTTGATAGCTTCCCGCCCGTTGGCTGGGCAGCGGTCTGGATTGGATGTCGTCTCGGCCGTTGCCGCCGTCCGAGTTGCGGTTGAATGGGTTCAACGGGTTCAGCCTCGGGTCCGACGAGCGCATAGGCGGCGGTGCGCCTCTCCCTCTCCGTAGGCTCTGGGGGTCCTGGGGTTGTGACACGGGGTTGTTGTCCCACAGCGAACTCAGGCCGCCTCCGCCTCCGCCGCCGCCGCCGCCGCCCTGCTGGGTGAGCCCGCCGTACCGCGACCCGACGCCCGGCTGGGCGAGGACGGGCTGGACAGGCGGAGGGGCCTTGGGGTCCGGCGGGAGCCAACCGGGAAAGGGGCGGCCCTTCTCTGTGTAGTATCCTCTCAGCACGCGACAGACATGGGTGTCGTCCTCGGTGTCGCCGTCCGTCTCACCGCCGAGAAAGGTGCGCTGGAGGTTGTTGATGCGGGAGGTGGTTGTGGTGAGGATGTTGGAGTACCAGGCCGACATGGCTGCACGCTCGGCTCGCCCGCGTGACCGGCGGACGAGGGACACAGAACACGGGCTTGGGGAAAAAGCAAGACACGCAGTGATACTTGGCCGGCTAGCTGCGTCTACGAGGTGAGAGGGGCGGGGATTTGACTCGGCGAATGACTTGGGCTCGTTCTAGGGCTCGCGGAGGGAAGTCGTGTGGACAGCGGCGATTATCTGCAGCGGCGGTCGAATGTCTGCAAGCTGAAGACGCAGACGAAGGCGAAGACGGAGACGCCGTGAGGAATTTGCGTGGTCGGTCGGAGGGATGGACTGGAGTGAAGAGGACGAGGGTGTAACTTCGGGGTGGGTGCGCCTTGACTGTGCGCCAGCTCGTGCTTGGATGGCTGTTGTTTCATGGAAATCAATGCAGCACTGCTGCGGGTGCCCAATTAGTGGGGGGAGGGGCCTTGGGGGCCTTGGGGGCCCGCCTAAATCCCTGAGATGGACCGCAAGCATCCCCCAAAAGTCCGAAAGCCCCATGGAATCGCAAGGCACCTAATCCCAGTCAAAGTGCCCAGGGTTTGACGACTACAAAGGACTGAAAAAGTGTCCAAGTTACTTTGCACACTGGACCTCGCAGCCTGTAGATGCAGTGACAGCACACAGCTTCGCGTGCAATTGTATATACAGCCCTATGCGTAGGATAAATCTGAATTACGTCTTGTTGCACCTGCATGCTTGTCCAGACTTGGATACTCTTATGATAAAACAAGGCTATCACGAGACGGAGCGGCCAAGTCTAGAATCAGGGCAGTGGAATTCGCTTTTGTCTGGTATCATGAATAAACGCCCACAATGCAAGAACCGGCAGCGGGCCGCAGGACTGCTGAATAGTACACGTAACTCGGCACACGTCCGACCTCGACCTAGAACGCCAGCTCCCGAGCACGGGGCTCGTACTCGTGCTCATGCTCAATCTCGCGCCTGCGCTTGACCACCTTCTTCGGCTTGCGGGCAGGCTCTCCCCTCTTCCTCTTGTCGCCGGCGGCCGCCTTCTGCTTCTTGCTGGCCGCCGTCTCGTCGTCGTCGTCGTCGCTGTCTTCGCTCGCCGAGTCCTCGTCTTGCTCCGACTCTGCGTCACTTCCGAGCCAATCCTCAATGTCCGACAGATCATCCTCGCTCTCGTCCAGATCGCTGACATACTCGACGGCCCCATCTTCCTCGTCCTCCTCCTGTTCGTACTCGCCCTCCTCCTCGTCCTCGATGCCATTGTCCATGTCTTCGTCACGCGTGCCCTCGCCCTCGCGCTCCATGGCGTTGAGCACCTTCTTCCAGATGGTCTCGCTGACGTTGAGGGGTTGGTCACCGTAAGCGCCTTCTCTCAGCCTCTGCATGAGCTCTCGCTCAATGGTGCGCTCCAGCTTGGCCGCAGCCTCGGCCTTGCGCTCTCTCGTGTCCTCACGCCTCCGGATCTTGGGGGCCAACTTGGGTACGACCTTCTCGCCGAGGCGCTCTTCCTCCTTGGCTATTCTCCGCATGCGGATGGCGACTTGGGTCAGGCGGGTAAGCCTCTGCTTGGACTTGTGGACCAAGAACTTGGGCCAGTACAGGAGCCATTCGTCGAGCTGCTTCAGCGCCGTCTGGTAGTTGGCCGACAGCTTCCTACGCTCCCACAGCTTGGATGGAAGATGCGCGCGTTCACTGGGAAAGCACTGTCAGTTGGTGGGTTGCAACCACAGAGCACAGAACAGGGGTGTGGACTTACACTGTCTTCATGTACAGGTACAGCGTGCCCTTGGTAGGGTGAGCCCGCACGGTGGCATATCTAGAGTTCGCAAGAGGCTGGTGTTCGAGTTAGCACACATCGCCTGAGCTGGCAAGACGGATATGCGTACACATGATTGACGATTACACAAGCCGGTGACGTTGTATTCGTTTCTGCAGAAATTCTGGTTCTTGGTCGTCTTGAGCTTGAACGAGCACTGCAACACTCATTGATTAGCGAAAGAGCCCCTATCCGATGTTGGCTAGGCATATTACTGACAAATTGCTGGTTGATGATTTGCCAGACAATCTCGTCCGACGCCATGGTGAAGTTGGAGGCTCTGGTCGAGCGTCTGACGGAGCGGGCACGACAGGACTCGGTCGACTAAACCCGTCGATTTTCGTGATTGTCGAGGGCTCCTCACCGAAGTGCGATTCGTCCCTGGTCTGGAGTCGGCAGGTTGGAGGTCGGGGCTCGAACAGAAGGGTGCTGGCGAAAGTGGTATGTACTGTCGTCTTCCTGGGGAGGGGCAGCCACAGCTAACAAAAGCATCGCCAGCAATTCAGAAAAATTTCGAGACTGCCCGGAATCTGCCAGGGCGGTGAGGCTAGTCCGCCCCACTCCCGCGCTCTGGTTCCGTGCCGTTTGCCAATCAGCGGCATCTAATTCTTGCTAGCCACTGGGCCTGTCTGTACCTTGGTATACCTTTCCCGTTAGTTAACTCATGTGTACTGAGGTATGGAGACACCTAGGTATCCCTTGATTTCTATACTTCCATCTCATGCACCTATACTTCCATCTTGCGACTTGATATTTGACAATCTCTGAAAACCCTTGGGCCCCTTTGCCTCGCCCGACATCATTGCATAGTTTGGAAGGCCGTGGATTAAGTCAATGCTTCGCCGTTTTCCGAGAGGCCGAAGCTCTCTCGCATTGAAACCCAGCTTCATTCCCACATTCAGGCCTTATATCCAGCTCCACCAGCCTTCCCCCGGGGCACGACCATGGCCAGGCAGTAAGTCTTTCGGGCCTCCCGGGTCTACGGCATTGCCAGGTCATCGGACATTCTTCTCGGCTGGCCAGAAGAGTGACACCATCTACGCCCTGTCCACGGCCCATGGGAAAGCTGGCATAGCTGTGATCCGTATTTCCGGGCGCCTTTGTGCCGAGGTAATTGCACAGATCCTTTCGTTGCCCGCAACTAATACTAACAATCAAGTCTAGATTTATCAACATCTCTGCCCATCGAAACCTGTGCCGAAGCCACGCTTGGCCAGTGTGAGAACCTTGTACCATCCACTATCAAATCAGACAGATATTTTGGATTCTGATGCCGTGGTCATATTCTTCCCAGGACCCAAGACGGTCACCGGCGAGGATGTGCTTGAACTTCATGTACACGGCGGGAGTGCTACTGTGAAAGCTGTGCTATCGGCCATCCCGGCGTGTCCAGCTGCGGGAGCCATACGCTACGCTGAGCCTGGTGAGTTCACCAAGCGTGCCTTCTTGAATGATCGGCTCGACTTGGCGCAGGTAGAGTCACTGAGCGACACTCTTTCTGCTGAAACCGAGCAGCAGCGGCGAGCAGCCGTCCGTGGCTCGTCGGGAGCTCTGGGGAGAACCTATGACAGTTGGCGCCAACAACTGCTCGAAGCAAGAGGCGAGGTGGAGGCTATCATTGACTTTTCCGAAGACCAGCACTTTGACGAGGCGCCAACAGATCTCCTGGGGAATGTCTCGCGGCAGGTGGAGCGGATACTGGCGAGCATTGAGCAACACGAGGTGGCCAGCCAAAGGAGCGAACTGTTGAGGAACGGAATTCGCATAGCCCTGCTCGGACCGCCCAATGTGGGCAAGAGTTCCTTGATGAACCAGATCGTGGGAAGAGAGGCGTCGATCGTTTCTGGCGAAGCCGGCACGACGCGCGACATTGTCGAGGCTCACCTGGATATCCGCGGGTATCTCTGCACCTTTGCTGATACTGCCGGCTTTCGAAGCACAGGCAGCCAGGACAGCCCTATCGGTGCTGTCGAACTAGAGGGTATCCGCAGAGCAAGAGCCAAGGCGCTGGAATCCGACATCGTGGTTGTCCTGGTATCTGTCGAGAGGAATCCTTCGGGGGATTACTTTATCAACTATGACCAAGAAACGCTGGAGTTACTCCAGGCTGTTGGGAGAGGCTTGGTTGTCCTGAACAAGCGCGATATGCTCCCCAAGGACGAGTTGGAGGACCTGATCGAGGATTTCCGCGCCTCTGTGCTGCGCAACAACGGTGGAACCGCATCTGAGCCCCTCCTCGTTTCTTGCAGCGAGGCTCTGACCCTATCTGCGACATCGAAGGACCCGGGTGGTGTGCAAGGGGTAGCTGACCGTCTGGGCACCCTTTTTGCGGATATGACGTCTTTGCCGGCTAACCAACAAGACCTCCATGGTGTCACCGAACGCCAGAGACAACTCCTGGCCCAATGCCGGAAGCATCTGGAAGACTACGTGGGCAACACAACCTCGGACGATGTCATCGACGAGCTCAACTTTGTCGTGGCCGCAGAAGATCTTCGGTATGCTGCTAGCTGCTTGGCACGCATCACAGGACGTGGTGAAGCTGGCGACGTCGAGGAAGTGTTGGGAGTCATCTTCGAAAAGTAAAGTCCCGATTCGTTTTCCCATAGTGCACGATTATGCTAACGATGGGAACAGATTTTGTGTAGGGAAATGATTGAATTTGTACTGCTCTAAAGTTCAAAATGCCCGCCAAAGTCAAGATAAGTCATACTGGAAACCCCAGAACGCCTCTATCTATCAAAGTATACCATCAAAGTCTACCCGTCTTCCCAACGCCCCTAATGCAGCTTTTTGGTGGTACAAAATGGTCCCGGTGTCGGTCTAGGTCTATGCAACTCCTCCTATCGTACATGGTCTTGTAAAAATACAACTCTGGAAGGAAGATGAAGTCTCGCAACGCCCGTCTAATGCAACAAAGGAAACAACGATACCAGTGGTGGTACGTGGGGATAGAAATACATGTCTAGCCATGATGGGGAAGTACTGCAACGCCGGTCTAATGCGACAAAGGGAATGATGATGCCGGTGATGGTACATGGGGGTCATGGTACATGTGCTGCCGCGAAGTGGCGAGTGATAGCGACAGGGACCGCATCAGCCATCGTTGGTCGGCAACGACGGGTGAGATCAAGGAGGCGCTCGAGACGATGCGGCTCTCCATGATCTTTTGATGGGCCCTTTAGTTGTAGCCGGATCGGCCAAAGTTCTTCTTGTCGTCGTCGTCATCACCGTCCTTGTTGTAGCCCGAGCGGCCGAAGCACTTCTTGTCCTCTTCGTCGTCGCCATCCTTGTTGTAGCCCGAGCGGCCGAAGCACTTCTTGTCTTCCTCGTTGTCACCGTCCTTGTTGTAGCCGGACCGGCCAAAGGCGACGGTGTTGGGGCAGCTGGTGAAAGTGAAGGCGGCCATTGTGACTTGTGAATGTGGATGATAGTAGGTGAAGAAGAGTGGACTGTTGGTGAAAGAGGATGAGAGGAGGTTGACTCTTAAAGGTATTGGAGGTGTGGGATGTTTGGATTGTCTGCGTTCTGATGCTTATGAGATTGCTGCTGCTGATGATGATGATGATAACTTGGACCCTGGAGAGGAATCTCCCCAAGGTTTATATATTCTTTCTTCATCCTCCTGATTTGCCTATCTCGAGGGAATCGTCCCGCGCCGCAACCGAGCCTCGACTCCAAGACCCCTGCGCCCGAGTAGTGTCTTACGCTCCAGCAGTCACTACAATTTGATGACCTCAGGCCAAGACGGTACCTGGGGCCCTTACAGCCCCGGTCGGTAGGATTCATGTCCCGGCAATTGGAGCCGCAGACACGTGGGAAGGGGGTGTGTTGCAAAGGACAGCGCGGTAGTGGCCAGCCAATCGCCATGTCTCAACGGTCCCGAGTAGTCAGGCGTGCAGATGTCCAGTGGGAGCGTTGTGACGGATTTGGAAGCAGGGGAGCGCACGTCTGTGCCCGATTGGGGAGAGGTAGTGCGAGCAGAGGTGGCCGCAGCATATCCGTATGCCGTGGCAGGGCATGGAAGGGCCAAAGAACACAGAGAAGCTCTAATTTTGGGGGCCGGCTGCATGTAGGGCTGAGCGTATCACAGGCGAAGCACCGACGGCCGATGACTCTGCAATCTTACTCCTGCATGGTGAAAGGACCATGCTTCTACGTACTGTCTTTCCTGGAATAGCCTCAGGCACCCCCACCAGCGTGTCTTTCCCGTTACCAAAAACGTTTTATCTTCCCCCATCAGAGTTGCCAAAATAGCCATCGCCCAGGTAACCGGATCGAGATGACTGATTGCGCAAATCTTGCACGTAGCAGGCACAAGGTGTGCCTACCTGGAAGCTGATCTGCGGATATGTACCACCAACCTTTCATCCAGCTGACCATGAACGAGTATTCGGGCAAGGCCGAACAGCTGCCTTGTCAACCGGCATAATTGCGCTGCCGAGTCGCCGCAGCTCTAGCAACATCTATGAGTCAGCCGGGGAGTATACCTGATGTGAAATCACTTTGTCGCAGTGTGAGAGCGCGCTTCTATCGAATGTGATGGAAGTATGCAGTAGAGCAATGTACGCGAGGTCGCCGTGTCATTTCGGCGAGGTGAGCTCGGGACGCCGGGCACCTCATCGATAGGTGCTGAACCTCCCCCGAAAGTGGGGATTCTCCAGGGGGCCGACAACAGGCTGCGACACAAGCCACGGTACTGAAGCCCATGGACCCCGAAGGACATTGGCATTGGCTTGACGATTCGACGATTCCAGGGCCCCAAGGGCCGTACCCAAACCTCACTCACCAGAACGCCGGGTTTGTGTGCTTGGGGGCCGCTAGTGCTGACGGTGCGCAGTTTTGTATAGCAGTCGTTACATACCTTAGTCACACTATTTTTAGGCTTAGACATCCGCGCTCCAGTGGCTGACTCCCGTCACACGGTACAGCCACGGGTTTCCACCTTCGTTACCATTACCTCCTTCTGGTAGGCATGGTGGGTTACTGCTATCCGTCCTACTGTGCACATTCTCGACCACAGTCAGCTGTAGCCCAGGCCCGGCTAGGTAATCGTACCCTCGACGTTACTGACTGATTGTTACCAGAAACAAGCCTGAGGTGAGATCCGTGGTAAGCGTGACTGCGTTTCTTAGCTGCAGACACAGAATCGCATTTTTCTCCCAGGCTGGTACTTTGCGACTGGGTGGTAACCGATTTTGGCAGCGAATTTCTAAAAGTGCCTGGTGGTGGTGTTGTTTCCTAATCACGAAGGGACACGCACCACTTCTACACCGAACGACGGTTCCTACGCATTACAACTCACCGGTCCTGGGCCCGTTGTCAAAAATGCGATGATCTTTTTCCGGCCCTACGTCGGTGCTTCTCAGTGAATGCCTGGGAAAGGAGTTTGGGTGCCGTGAGTATACAGTATACCAGAGTCTGCCCGCCCCCACGCCCGCAATAACCCCCCTTTCGATTGCGCCTGTTTCGGGGCCGACAAAGCTCAGCCTCCGCGCCGCTCGAGTATACGAGGTGGAATACTGCGGTCTGTCACTCGAAACTCAACGATCGGATAGCCTTGTGGTTGCGTTGGCCCTGCTGCGAACCGACCCGTGACATGATGGCCGATATACAGAGTTTGTTTACTACAGCAGTGTCTGCGACCCCCAAAACGTAGGCGAAGCCACGGGAGCCGAGTCGTGCTTATCAGCAGAGGGTGATGGGCGCAGGTGTATCTCAGCGGGTGTCTCAGACAGCCAAGAACTCTGGACAAATCGTGTTGGCCGTTATTTTTTGCCAGAGTTCAGTCGCTGAAGACGTAGCACTGGCTAGATCCTACGTAATTTAGTCGACACAACTGGCAAAACCATGGGGTGCCATTAAGAACAACGGTACAGTTACCCTGATGCTACGCTGCGCTCTGCATTCCTACAGTAATACGGGAGCCTGAAGGTATGCAGTCCAAAACCGACCTGGGAGAAGAAACGCGCGTGGCTCCCTTGTCGAATCTGTGTGACGATACGAGAGACAACCTGTCGGTGCCGGCCTGCATACATGATGGCATGGTAGGGCTGAGGTTGCACTGGACACATGGGCGTACGACAACCGGTGCCCCGGTGCCAATCAGGGCACGGCTCTCCGACGTCCACGGGTCGTATCAAAGGATCACACTCATGATGCAAGGCATAAGGGTCCACGTGCTTCGGTCCCGTCACGATTGGATAGCTGTATACGTATGTAGCTTACGGTGACGGACTCGTCCCCTCGGCATTGTGATAGAACAGTCCAAAGGATTCCGCAGTGCCGGCTTGTACGGTTGATTTCCTGTGGCGACGTGGATGGCCCGTCTTGTATCGAGAGCGCGTGATGGCCGTTTGCAGACTTTGTTGCATCAACGTCTTCTGTCTAGGATGAGAGGAGTCAACTTTACGGGGTGCGCAGCTTCTGTCGCAATGAGCACGCACACGCCCCCTTGCGCGGTCGTCGAGTCCTAGCTCGTTCGATAGACAGACAGACCGATCTTCGAGTCATGTTTCCTGACTTCTAACAAGCTCCTTTGCCTGCAAGCGACCGACGACCGAGATGAAGGCTGTGAGATGAAAGCCGTTTCATATGACAACAGGTTGTTGCGCGCGACTGTTCCGCACAGAGCGGCTTGTCGACGGCAGCACAGGACAGATACTGCCTCTGACGTCGACGGGCTACGCAGAGCTACACAGACCGCCGCACATGCCACCAGAAGTTTCGGTCACCTTGGGACGTGTGCTTCGAGACATTGCGAAGCGGAAGCATTCGTCAAACTGTGCGCTTAGCGCCGATCGGGTTGTGGCCGACCGAAGCTGGAGAGAAAGAAGTCCGAGTCTGCCTGGCCAATCCTTGATCAGTCGACGACGCCTCACCAAGCAGCGATCAGCGAATCCACGAGGATTGCAGATGGCAGAGAGTCCGAGCCCCGCCTGGCGTTTGGCCCCCAAAAAGGGGTCTCTCTGTCTCTGTTCTCTCGTCCGAACCCCCGAAGCGGACCTGACGGGGTCAGAAAAAGATGGAGCGCCCGGGGAGCGGCAGATGATGTGCCGGGAGCTGAATCCTGGGGCCTGGCCCCCTTGGGCTGCTGGGCACTGGGCACTGGGCACTGACAGAAAGTGAAGGCGGCAGGCCCCGCTGCCAAAGGAGCGCCGCCGGTAGCGTACCGTCCTGCTGGTAACACAGGAGCCAGTCGGAGGCAGGGCAAGGGCCTGAATGGGAACTCGTCGGGGCTTTTTTTTTGTTTTTATCGTGTCTAAGGAGTACCACGCCATCGGTACCGGGCGGTCGGGTAACTTACGGCAGCACTGGCGGCCAATTGATTCGATTGCCAGATGGGGAACATCACGACGACTTTGCCAGCAGTTCGAGTTTGGTTGATCCGCACTACTATGGTACGAGTGAAGTTACTCGACGCACACCTTTTCGTCCGCCCGCCGGCTGCTCCTGCACCTGGCATACTACGTATGATATTGGCACATGGCACCACCCTGCCCAGACCCAGTCCACGCTCACGACGCCGGCATGCACCATCTTTGTTGGCTCGGCCTTTGGGACCAACGCGCCACGACCCTTTTAAATTACCAGCTGCCGGTAGGCAGGGATCCCGCGCATTTAGTTCCCATCCATTTGCGCGCCAGCGACCAGATCCACGTCGGCGGGCCTCCCTCCTGGGCCGTCCCCAATTCATCCTGCCGTCCGAGGGGCGAGGCAAGGAGGCCAGCTCTGCGCCGTCATCCGGTCCATGATCTGATCCCCTTGCATCGGAGCAACCTCAACGAGAGTCGAGCACTGCTCCGCGCGCTCCATGCTTGCCTTGCCGAGGTCCACCGCTGAGCTCCGTTTCGAACCTGGCCCTCCCCAACAGAGAAGCGGAGCAACAACCCGGGCAGACGGTATGAGCATTGCTTTCTCCCCGTGCCATGGGCAAAAAGAAACGAAGCCATCTTTAGCGCAAACGGCCAGGGGTGGATAGCTCGCCCCCCTTTCACCACCGTCCGGACCCCATGTTGTCGCGAAGGGTAGGACGAGTCTTGGGATAGCCCCGCTTCTGTCACTGGCTCCTGTATCTGCATCGTGAATCACGGCCAAGGAACTATTGCTGCTACTTCTATCACTACTGCTGCTGCTGCTGCTGCTGCGGCTGCTGTAACCGCCTGTTCCCTCCGGAGAAACTCGCCCTCCCGCCTCTCTCTCTCTGTCAAGGCCCGCTGTCACTCAAACATCAGCGGTGCTCTCTCACGGTCTCACCATATCCGCTTCGTGTCACCGCTGGGCTAGCTATCTAAACCATCACCGTCGCACAATGGCTGCGAACGCCACACAAGACCAGGAGTTGCCAGTCCTCATTATCGGCGCGGGTAAGTCACATCGCGTCACATCATATCATGGAGATCTGCCACCCCAGTTGGTTGAACCCATCGCCCTTACTAACGGCAGCCCCTAGGCAGCTGTGGACTTGCCATTGCGAATGGGCTTAAGAATGTGAGTTCCTCCCCAGCACGGGCAGTCGTAATAAACAGGTTTTTAACATCGTATCAGGCCGGCATCCCGTACAAAGTCTTTGAGAAGGACCTTTCCGTGAAGCTTCGCGACGACAAGAAGTCGCGCGACTGGGCTATAGCATGTCACGTAAGTCGTACTGGTTGCCATCTTCAAGCTTCAACTGAACGTCGAGACCACATACGAGCAATGACTGAGTGAAAATATCCCAGTGGTCCTCACCCACCCTGGCGGAGCTGCTCGGCGAGGCGAAATGGTCGCGCATAATAGAGGCCCAGGTCGACCCCAATACGCCCACCCCGGACCTGGACATCGCCAAGATGTTCAACGGCGCAACGGGCGAGATCATGACGACTCTCCCTTTCCCCAAGTTCTACCGATTCCTGCGCTCCCGCCTGCGCGCCCTCATGGCCGAGGACCTGGATATCGTCTACGGCAAGAAGCTGGTCTCGCTCTCCTACCACAACAACACCGCCACCACCACCACCGATGGCAGCAATGCTTCCCCGTACGCCGTCGCTCATTTTGAGGACGGCACCGAGGCCCGGGGGCGCCTCGTCATCGCGGCCGACGGCAGCAACTCCAAGGTGCGGAGCCTGCTGCTGGGCGCCGAGACGGCCAAGCCGAAGCGGCTGCCGCTGGCGGCGACCTTCATCAACGCCAGCTTCACGCGGGAGCAGGCGCTGTTCCTGCGCTCGTACCACCCGCTCATCAACGTCATCGCGCACCCGGACAACATGCTCGGCATGCTGGCCATGCTGGACGCCCCGGACCCGGCGCGGCCCGAGGACTGGCGCTTCTGCTTCTACATCTCGGGCCAGACCCCCGTCGAGCAGCAGGACGCCGAGAGCGCCGTCATGGGCGTCCGCGAGCGCCTCGCCCAGGCCAAGGAGCGCAGCAGGGTCTTTGCGGACCCCCTGAAGAGCGCCCACGAGTGGCTGCCCGACGACCTGGAGACGGTGTACTGGACCAGCAACGCGAACTGGGACCCGAGCCTAAAGGAACACGAGTGGGACAACCACGGGGGCCTGGTGACGTTGGCAGGCGATGCGGCCCATCCCATGACCTATCGTGAGTCTACCGTTCTGACCTTTCCCTTGAATTCATGACCGGGACTGCTCTTCCCGATCTATGGAAACCATGGATGGCTAACACAATCCCCACCCAGACCGAGGCCAAGGTCTGAACCACGCGCTCGACGACGCGGGTAAGCTGGTCAAGCTGCTCGTGGACCCGAGCGGCCGGTCGCAGGCCGAGGTGGTCGACGTGTACGAAGCCGAGATGCGGGAGCGGGCGGGCGGCGAGGTCCAGCTCAGCGAGATGAACTCGTTCATGCTGCACGACTGGAACAAGCTGTTCCACAGCCCGTTCATGAAGAGGGGCCTGACCAAGGGCTCCGGGGAGGCGGAGGGAGCCCCCGCGGAGGCGGGCGAGACGGCCGCGCCAGCGGGGACGAGCGCCTGACGGCCGATGATCGGCCCCGCGGGCTGTTTGTTCCGCCGTGTATTTAGACCGAGATACCATTCACATAGCACGTTGACCAGAACCCTGGTTCACAATACAGATCGAGCTGAGCGAAGATGTTTCGGATGGCTGTCTAGCTACTCTCTATATATGCCCCGTGCCATGCATACCAAAGCAAAACGAAGAAATGCCGCAAATTGTTCCCAACTCCAAGGCTCCGTACATGCGAGAGTGACAGATGGATGCGCAATTTGATGTTTCTTACACGCTAATATTCGCTATACGGAGGCGGCTGCCGACTCGGAGGTGCGGCAGCGGCGGGCAACGCCCTCGCCGGTGCCGAGGCCTGCAACTCCCTAGCCTTGGCCATCATCTTGGGGAAGTACTGCTGGATGAAGCTCTCGGTATAGAAGCTGTGCTGCGCGTTGTGCAGCTGTTCGATGTTGTGCGCCAGCTCGTGCGCGACCACGACCCACCACCACGTGGCCGCCTCGGCCCTCTTCTCGCCGTCGTCCATGGTCGAGGCGTGCAGCTGGTTGAAGTAGCGCAGGTTGCAGAAGATGCTGCCGACGCTGTTGAAGGCGATGGTGTTGTTGGAGTCGTCGTAGAACATGTGCAGCGCCTTGGACTTGATGCCGTACACTTCCCCGACCTGCCGGATCAGAACGGCGAACGCGTTGATGTTCTTGTGGTTCTGCGCAAGGAACTGCTCGACGTCCACTTGTAGGTTCTTCATCATGAAGACAGGCATGCCATTCGACGCATCGGCAGCGCGGTAGAGGTCCTTCTTGCTGGTAGAGTCGCAGTACGTGGCTTGCTCTTTAACATCCTGAGTCTTTGGTGGCGAGAACAGACTGGACGACCCGTATGCTCTTGTAGAGTCGATAGCTCTGTGCAGGTTGTCCTTCACGTTTGATGCCCCGCCTTCCTGCATAAGGGTGCCCTTGGTGTTCTGCGTATTTTGTTCTGTGGAGGAACGACCATCATTCTCATCAAGACCACCCCTACTTTTCTGCCTTTCGTCATCGTTGTCAACGAGTTCATCCAAGCCCAGTCGTTTGGTCAGATTGGAGAACAGATTTCTACCCCAGTTTGCACCGGCGTCCTGCTGCTGTTGCTGTTGTATAGCGTGTGCCGGGGCCGCTGGCGATTCTGGACTGTCAAATGAACCGGGCATTACCGGCGCTCTGCTCCGTTCTCTAGGCGTTGCCGGTTCCGCCTGCGCAGTTTGAGCATGCTCCTGTTGTTGGAACTGTGCTTGTTCTCTCATCCGGGCTTGTTCAGCTTCCAGGGCCTTGCGCCGCTCCTCCTCGGCCATTCTGGCTTCAGCCGCTTTGACCCTCAAGATTCTGTCCACGTTATAACCTCTGGATCTAAGGTCAAGCAGGTCAAGCTTTAGGAAAGGTTCAAAGAACGTATACGCCTGCTGGGAAGGACGGTGAAGGATATGCTGGCATATCGCATACCCGACTTGATACATATCGGGTTTGGGTCGGTCCGAGGCAACGTACAAGACAAGCCCCTGATTCGTGATTGCTGCGGCAGCGGACTTCTTCTCGGTGTGCTGGTTGCGCCCACGGAGAGTTCTTCGTAGACCTAATGTTCCCACGACCTGTACAGCGAGATTCTTTTCAAGCCACTTCGCGTCATGCTTGATCGGATCACGAGCATGCTTGGAATACTCGTGGATGAAGATTTTGGATCGCTCCACGACATGTTTCCGGAGCCACACGGCTCCCTCCTGGTGGGAGCTACGCAGACCGATCTTCAGTTCGTCTGTGACCAAATTTCCCAAGTTCTGCGACCCAAGAGCTGCATAAAGATCTTCAAGGCCGTCCTCCTCCGGCGCACAGAGCAGGCCGTCTTTGAACAATCGATAGCTGATATAGTCATCGAGAATAACGATCTGTTCCGGTGAAGCAAGTTGGTAGTGTCTGACGGGCGTATCATCTTCATCAATGTCAGCTGCATCACCCTTGGCTGGGCTGATCTCCTTGAAAGCCAACAGGAACGGTGCGGTCTTCATCTTCTTCCATAGATCTTTGTCTTTCCTGAGCACAGCTACATGCTCTGATAGAGATCTCAACAGGTTGAGGTATTTCTCTGAGCTCTGGAGAACGCTGAGCAACCGCGCTGGTTCAGATGCCGCCATCCTGGCAACTTCCACTTTGGTCGGCTCAAGTTTGGCCCCCAAGCGAAACAAGAAGGAGTTCGCCTGCTGCCCAAAGTCCACGAAGTCAAAGATGTCTCCATACGTCGTGGAGCTCCCAAGATAGCAGTTCCTGGGACTAACATGTGTGACAGTGCCGCCAGTCTTTTCGGAGAGGCTAGACGCGAGTCTTTGGCGAACTACAGGTACAATTGGCGCATTTGACAGCTGAGAGTCTTGTGAGCCACCGATCTCGGTGATGCGAGTTGCAAAATATTCGAAGACGGGTGTCGCACTTTGCGGTGTCTGAGGTATGTTGCGAAGGAGCCAACTTATGCAATCGGCAATGTGAGGGTCCCGTTTGACACCAAACTTCAACGCATGCTCATGGAGGTCTCTCTTGAGAATGTTGAAGCCAAGTATGGAGGCGTTTGTGTTGGTGAAACAGTTCTTCGGCGTGACGAGCTGTTTAGGGTTTCCTTCAAGTGGAAGAAACGACTTCTCGCATTGGCCGATATCGAATGAACTATAGTTATTGCTGGCATGGTTCAGTATGAAATACTTCATACTGTATGCCCTGAGCTCAGGCTCAGGCGAAGACATCAATTCCACAAGCTCCGGTGCAGAGGGATAGGCCCTAAGTCCTAATGCTGCAAGAAATTTGCCCTCCGCGGAGGCTCGTCGGTAGTACTCTGGCCACTGCAGTACCTTGACACCAAGAGGCCTAAGGTCTCCTTTGGGCTCGAAAAGCTCTGACACTTTGTACAACTGAGCACTGCCTTGAGAGGACTCTTGACCTGCAGGACCGGCCTCGGCAGGACAGATGCGCGACTCCTTGAGCTTCCTCAAATCGTCACTAGGGATATCTGCGCGTACAGAAGCCAAATACTTGATCAGCTCGACATGACTCCACTTGGCTTGCCCTGCACTCTTCTCGGAAGATGTGTTGAGAAGTCGTTGGAAGATGATATCTAGAGCGACTGTCTTTCGAACCCCTAAAGCCGACAAGAACTTGTCTTTCATCGACATGCACTGAGGGGAGATGATTGGCAAGTCATCAAAAAGCTTCACGGATGGGAAGAAAGAGTCGGTCGGTTTTCTCATCCCTAGCTTGGTCGGCATGACGGTATTCGTCTTGAGAAGTTGAGTCACTGTGTCCTTAGAGCTCTGACTGAGGTTCTCCCAGTTTTTCGATATTACTGTCAGGACCTGAGTGGCAAAACTCGAAGTCTTCGTAATGTCTTGAGCCTCCGGCCTACTGGACCGCGTTTCGAGCAGGAACCTTAGCCAAGGTACGATTTCCAGGGGTTCCCAGCCCAATGCTTTGAGCTCATGAGCATTGGCATGCTTGGTGAATTCAAATGGTATTGTAGTTGGAGGTATAGGGAGCCCAGCGGGTATCTTGTTCGGGCTAACATAGTTCTTGATGCTGCCCAGCGTGATGATGCCACCCTGGTCGGTGCCGGCATCGCCAAGAGTCGCGATCGCAGAATCTAGGAGACGAGCGTTTTCCGTGGGACTGAGCTCACCCATGACGGCCTTCTTGCTTGCCCATTGTATGAAGGCGATAAGTTGATCCTTGCTCATGGGATATTCCGATAACTCCTTGCTTACATCATCCACAGTGATGTGTGATAGCAAATCGTAGTAGATCAATTTTTTCACAAACTCGGTCTCCTTGAGTCCCATAGGGATGACCGGTATTCCGGGAACGAACTTGCTGAGTTCCTCGGAATCAATACGCACCTGAGTCGTCATGCGGACACCACGTGTACTATAAATCTCGATCAGAGGTCTTTTGTACGATGTCCAGAAGGCCTCCTCGATAATTTGCGAGACTTGGCCGCTTGGGGTTGAATCCCCAAAGGCGAATGAGTTCAAGACATGCAGTGCTTCGGGCAGATGCTTCGCAATTGCTTCTGGGGTAATTTTTGCATTTGCGCCTTCGACAGAGCGCTGGAGCTTCTGTTGAAGTTCGCTCATCTCATTCGTATATGCAAGTCGTGTCATGATGCCGGCTGCGCGCAACATCTCAATATTCCAGTTCCTTACCCATCGGGCGTTGAGATCAATGGCTTCACGTTCAACCGTCGGGATGACAGATGGAGCGGAAATGTGCATGCCAGCGCCGGTGGTTTGCGTAGTCGGAAATCCAATGAAGATACGCCCACCCGGCTTCTTTGTGGGCAAGACAGAGGCGAAGACATCGGCAGCCTTGGACATGTTGCCGGAGCTACTCGAGGTCTCTGAAGCCTGGACCTCATCATACGAAGAAGTCAGGATGGCCAATTTGGTGAGTTTCGGCGGAGGCTTCTTGGTGGCACGCTCCAGCTCCGCAGCAAAGCTAGCCGTCACCGATGTCTTGATGGTAGCAGTAGTGACCCTCAAAAAGATACTGGAATTTGACAGTGCCGTAATATCCTCCGAGATGGCCTCTTGAACAGCCTTTTCTTCTGCAGCTTTTTTGGCCTTGGCAGATGACGTGTTAGTGGTTAGTCTGGAGAAGAAGCTTCTCAGAGATGGGATTTCCGTATTACTCGAGCCATATGATTCATTCGCTCGGCTGGCGGTCACTCGAGGCTTCCAGCCTATGGCGGCCATATAAGACGCGTCTATCTGGGCACTGGCCTGATCCACTTTTTGGATCTTCATCAGCCGTTCTTTGGTCGTCGTCTCGACGTCCCGGGACAGCGCAACATCCACGCTTGGGCTGGTCTTCTTGTGTAAAGACAGGATCTGGTAGTCGTCTATCCAGAACTCGATATGCTGGAGGGCAACGAAGGTTAAACTGGTGGCAAGGAACTGGCTGACAGACAAGGCGTTGGGGACGGTAGTCGTCGTGTTGCGATAGTCCAGCACGAAGGCCGTCTCGTTGGAACGCTGCTCCTCTCCGAGCTGAAGTTTCCGGGTGAAAAGAGCGTTGCCTTTCCAGTAGAAGGCCATAGCCTCACCACCGGAGCTGATGAAGGGCTCTTCACAGTCGGCGAACACACTGTAGAAGCCGACACCAAAGGCACCAATCTTGGTCTCGTCCGGGTTTCCTTCGGCGATCCTCTTGAGTCTGGCCCAGTCGGTCTTGGCAAAGGGCTGACCATTATTGGATACGACCAGCCGGCGCAGCGTATGATGTTGTATCGTGTGCTTGAGAAGGTCGGAACGATCTGCGTTCGGCGGAAGAGGTACGGAGGTGGAGGGGAGTGTCTCCCATTTGATCTTGACCGTCGTGGCTTGCGCATCGGCGGCGTTCTGAATGAGCTCTCTCAAGGTTGTCCATTCCCCAGAATACCTAGCCAGGACCTTGTCGATCAGGGCTCTCGTGTCGACCGTAACGGCCTCCTCGTCTTCTCCATGGCTCAGCGCCGCGGCGCGGAGCTTGTTGTAGTCCATCCTTCTAACTGCAGTCCCTGGACGCCTGCAGGCACAATGGACATTCGACCACAGGCCGCGTTCGCTCGGTGGAACTCGGAAGACTCGATGCTTGCGACGTTGGATTTGATGTCACAAGCGCGACCGAGGGTATGTCGGATGATTGGAGACGATATATCTACACGCCACTGGCCGTCTGCTTTGCAGCCATGGATGCTCAGACACGAGACAGTCGGGGCACAAGGCTGAGCGAGATGCGAAGGCTTCAGAATGATCTAGACGTAAAACGATCTTGTATGCAACCAAAGGAAAATGCAAACGCGGAAAAGAGAAAAATAGACGAGAGCACTCAGGAAGTATCAAATCCCACCGACGCAGTAGCCAGGACTTCCAAAGGCAACTGTACCTTTGCGTGGCCACGGTCAGCACTCGTAGGCTCCCAGTTGACTGAATGACGATGCGACACTTGCCCCCTGGCCCCTTCGAAACGATGCCGATTGGTGCCCTGGGGGGTCGCTCGCAGGGTCCAGAGCTTCTTCGATTACAGTAGCTTTATCGCTAAAGTCCATTAAAGTCCGCCCGCCCGCCGCCGCCGCCACAAGGCCCTGGTTGCCTGGGACGCTGCTGAAGGCCACTACGATTGCATGTGTGTACGATCAATCCCTTTGTCGCGAATAGAGTTCGGTGTGAAATTCGGATGCCTCAAGGCATATACAGAGTACCTCCATGTAGACGATGAGCATCTCGCGCGCAGCAATCATGATGGATAGACAAGTCAACGAACGACGCTGGAAGCAGGAGTGCGCGCCGAGCTTGAACCCTGGCCGGATCTTGGCAGTCTCTCTGGCTCATGCTTGCTCGTCGTATGGACGCTCTAAGGAAGTATGCCGTGGGCATCGATCATGAACGTGAAAAATATACATCTTGACCTCCATCAAGAATGCATTCCGTCGGGTGGGAAGAGCGAGAAAAAGCAAAAAACTCCCTTATAGAGAGGCTACCTCCTGCCAGGATTGAACTGGCGACCCATGCATATCTCTTACAAACGTAACGAGTATAAGAACATAGTGCTAACCACTACACCAAGGAGGTATTTGTTGGAGAATTGTCGGATTTATTGCGCACTATTTGACAGGCGCCACAGCCACCTTGGCTCTGTGTCCGGCCTGTCGGTAAGGTTCCACGTGCGCTGCGTTAGGTTGGCTGTCGCAGGACGAAGTACGTACCTAGCTGTGGTGCTGACCTTCAGTCTTCCAGTCTGCATGGCAGGTGAGCATCTTCAAATGCGTGTTAGAAACTGCCACTCAAATGCTGCTAACACCTGGAGCTTTGATACAAACAGCTGCTCCTGAGACAGATTCGTTGTCATTCCATGGAAAAGACTTGAGGAGTAAAATGGAAGAAGAAAAGGTCCAAATTGCAATGCCTAGATTCTCGGGCTCAAAGTTTTTCTATGTACTGTACTAGCGCGCTGACTCGCGGCAGTCAGCGCCGAGTACCTTCCCCGTATGGAGTCCGCCCTGGCCCCTATTTTCGCTTAGTCCCATGGGTGTATAACACGCGCAATACTTTAGGGCGGCCAGGGTAGAGAAGAGGGTGCATCAAGAGAAGTAGGCTCTTGATTGAATGTCATTTATTTTGGGCTATTCCAAAGTATCGGAGCCCTGTAGTTCGACGCTCGCTACTTGCCTGGTGCCCAGCTACGTAGATCGCGACCATAGTCGATGGCGACGCACACGGTTGGTTCTTTAGTCATGGTAGTCTCTACCTGGCTTGCTCGAGACACTCTGCCTACTTGTCTTTTCTTAGATCGCGCTATACCGCGACGACGGCCTCGTTGCCTCCCTATGGGGATGATGCTCAACAATTAAGTGGATCGCAGGGATACCATGCCCAGGGCCAGCTTTGTTGTTGACTGAGGACAGATGAAGATCATTGCTCATGGATTCAAACTTGGTTTCCCCAATCATGAAGAGAAACTCTTGTAACGATGGAAATTGTAGACAGCGTAGTCCTCACCTCCTTTGGCCAGGACTCTGACTTCTTCTCCTATCCCTAGACCGCGGTCTCGGCTGCTCTTCCCTGCGTGGCGCTTCACCGCGAGGGCTTTGGCTCCTGTTCCGGGGATGACTTCGGTGTGCCCTCTTCTCCTCGTCGTCCCGGCTGAAACTCATCCTCCGGCCATCACGGTGATGGTGTCTGTCGTCGTGGTGGCTGCGGCGGCCATCGTCATGACGCCGTGGTGGCCGGTCGCCCTGGCGCTCGCGGCTTTTTCCTCGCCTCGGCCCTCGCTCTCTTCCGGGATGCTCGTTCCTTGACCGATGTGGCTCACGCTCGTCCCTCCTCCTGGGCGACCTGTCGCGCCGCCTGTCGCGGCTCCGGCTGCGGCTTCTGTGTCTCCGCCGATGCCGCCTCTCAGGGTCGTCATGCCGTCTGTGTTTCCTTGAGGACGTCTTGTCGTCTTGTGGCTTGTCTCCCTCCTCCTTGTCCTCCGGCTGTGGACCGATGCGTGACTTGGTCACCTCCACGGCGTTGGCCCCGGACGAGTTCCGCACGGGCGGGGGGAGGCCCAGCGCACGCGCCAGAGCATCCTCCTCGGCTTCCTTGACTCTTTTTATCTCCTCGCGACGTTCCCTGGCCTCACGCTCCTCTTCGGTCTCGTCCGAGGGACCGGCGTCGGCGCCGCTATTCTTTGCGTACCAGGTGAGGTCCCGGCCCTGCTGCCAGCGGCCGACGGGGGCCTTCAGACTGTGGCCGAGGTAGTTCTCGCGATGGGCAGAACCTGCGACCTCGTCCCAGCTGAAGTTGACGCCGCCGCGGGAACCCGACTTGCGGATGCTAGATACGAGATCCATAGTCTACGGGTGCTGGATCCTGTTCCCGTTGATGGTGGGTTGCAATGATAGCTTCTCGAGGATGTGTGAGTGCAGGTGGAGGTTGAGATGGAGGCAAGGCTGAATCAGGTGCTGAAGATGTGAACTGAGCCGATTGAGAGAGAGGCTGGCTGGCAGGGCAGGCTGGAGGCTTGGGCGGGGCGATCCAACCACTTTAGCGCTTGCTAGGCGTGTTCTGGGGTCCAGAGCTAGCGCATCTCCCAGGGACCCTAGACTGAAGGACTTTTCTTCCAGCGTGGGCTCCAGCGAGCTGACGTGCTGATTGACTGCCCATTGGCTGCCCCACATGCCAATTGAAGCTCGAGCTGACCAACTCGGACAGTTCCATGGACCTCAGCTTTCATTCACTTCCACCACCACCTTCATTCCACTCACCACGCGCCCTTCTGGCGGCAGCCCTCCGCCCAAACCCGCGCGCCCGACCTACGAACATACCCAGAGAGAAGCATTACCCCGGCGCGCCCAGAGCACCTCACCATGGCCTCGCGCGAGATCCCCCTGGACGAGGTCCAGTGGCACCACCCCGAGCTCGCCGACTCCATGCAGGGCATCCACAGCAACAGCGTGCTCTTCTACTTTGCCCAGTCGCCCTTCTTCGACAACACGTCCAACAACGCCGTCGTCGCCAACCAGGCCATGTTCAGCTCGGCCATGTACCAGTACATCACGACCCGCGAGGCCTTCGAGGGCCGCCTCAAGACCATGAGCGGCGTCGAGTTCATCGTCGCCGAGCAGCCCGCCCAGATGGCCCCCGGCACCGGCACCGGCGTCTGGGTCATCCGCAAGCAGACCCGCCGGAAGCGGCCCGGCGACGACGACGAGATCACCGTCCACGCCACCTACTACGTCGTCGGCTACAACATCTACATGGCCCCGACCTTTGCCAGCATCCTCAGCTTCCGCCTGGCCACCATCACCGACTCCCTGCGCAAGTGCTTCCCCGCCGCCGACGAGGTCCGCAAGTGGTCGCCCGCCCAGGGGCACTCGTACAAGGCCCTGCCCGCCCCCTCCAACGCCCGCGAGCGCCAGCTGGCCTCCAAGGAAGCGACGCCCGCGCCGGCGCCCGAGGGCCAGGCCAAGAAGCCGGCCCAGTCCGGCACCCTGGACGCGCGCCTGGCCGAGCAGTCCTTCATGATCCAGATGCAGTACGGCGGCGAGTACATGGACGAGAACCCCATCACCGGCAAGCCCGGCGAGTTCCACCTGTCCTCGACCGGGCGCAAGGAGCGGCCGCGCACCCGCCCCCCGACACTGAACCCCCTGACGACGAACCTCAAAACGCCCGTGGCCGCCAAGCCGAGCGACAAGAAGGACGGGACCAAGGAGGCCAAGACCCCCAAGACCCCCAACAGCGGCATCTCCAAGCCGAAGCGGAAAAAGACCAAGACGGGGCTGACGCCCGGCGCCACGCCCTCGTAGAGAGAGCGGTTCTGGCAAAGCCGGTTGGCGGACGGCAGGGCGGGGAGGTCTCTTCCTCGGGCATCACACACGTTGCGCTCCTCGCCCCTCCGCAAGGAGGTTCGATTCGAGGTCGACCGCAACCCGGAGGACATTGGGTTTTCACGCATAGCATCGACGTGAGGCGTTGGAGGCAGGCTCAGGCAGAGGCCGTGGGAAAAAGGATTTTGATACCCATAAGTGTTTTGTATGATATGCACTTTTTGCAGCGGTTTTGGTTTGAACATAGCATCTTGTACAGCGAATTGAAGCGGTCTTTGGCATCTGCCGTTAAGTCTAATCTTGAACCTCGACTTGGCCCACCCATGCATTCCACCAGATGGCATATTTATATGAAGTAACCTCTACCCGACAACTAAACGCCCTATATGACTCTCCAAACTTATTGCGCAACCCAACCCTTGCCAGCGATCCTCTTCTGCACGATCTTCTTGACCGGCAGAGGCCACCCTTGGCCGCCTGTATTCTCGGCCCGGAGATACGGCACCACATAGGCCTCCCTCACGGCCGGGTCATCCGTCTTGACCTCCTTGATGGGCTTCCCGTAGCTGAGCAGCGGGGTGCCCTTGGCCAGCGCCGCGAGCTGCGCCCCCGTGATGTCCGACAGCGCGATCATGCGCGCCCTCGGCTGCTTGACGGCGTCGACCCCCGGCGTGGCGCGTTGCAGATGCGCGTACACGATGTACTCGGGGCACTCCTGCGGGCTGAAGTGCGCGAGCGACGAGCTCGGGTGGATGTAGACCGACCGGTCCATGGTGTCGTCGCCGAGCGCGTCGATGGGGTGCAGTGGTACGTAGGGGACGTCGATGGCGCGGCGGGGCTTGCGGTGCATCTCAGGAGGCACAGGAGCCAGGTCGCTGCGGATGGCGACCTGATCAATGAATCCGGCGGCCACCATCTGCTTGAGAGCCGTGATTTGCTTTGCTGATGGGCGGTCCAGCTTGTCCTGGTAGGTCAGGTTGGCAAACGCCGGGATATCCTTCTGCAAAAGGCTGGTGATCTGCTTCCGAAGCTTCTGGGTCTCCTGGAGGGCCTTGAACCTGACAAAGTGGTTCTCGCAGAACTGTTCGGTGGGATCATGGGCGAACTCTCCAACGACCTGAAGCAGCTTGATCGCATCAGATGCGTCGTCTAGGGAGCGGAAGTTCCTATGGACCTGATTGAACTTTTGCCTTGCTCGCGCCTGCTGGGTCTCGGCGATGACGTCCTCGTTAGTGCGGTAAGCCCCTTCTTCCCGATCGGAGAGAGTGGGTATGGCAACGTTCTCCGGAATGAATATCTCTGCAACCGAGAGACCAGCCACCAATGCAATCGTATAGGGCATGCAATCGTGAAGGTGCCCAATGAGAAGGATACGGGCGAAACGAGGCGGCAAAGGGAATCTGGCCATGGTAGATCCGATGTCGGTTGCCTGACCCTCGGGTGTGATGGCAGAGAGGTAGGTCAGCAGCTTCTCGGCCTTGGCCAGGCTCTGTCTGTTGGGGGGTGTTGGAAAGGGGAAGTTGACCACGTGCTGGAGTCTCATTGCCTTGAGTTGCAGTACGATGCCCTCAATTGGCATTCTGAGCAGCTCTGGGTCAGCAAATTCAGCAAAGTCCCTCTCGTATACTGCGGAGGAGTACAGCCTGTAGCAATGGCCGGGGCCTGTACGTCCAGCACGGCCAGATCTTTGGTTTGCGCTCGCCTTGCTGATCCAGCCGATTTGGTAGCTCTGAACACCACTCTCTTTGTCGAAACGCCTTTCCTTAGCTCGTCCGCAGTCGAAGACGTAGCGGATGCCAGGAATCGTCAAACTTGTTTCGGCAACGTTGGTCGCCAATATGATCTGTCGCGAGCCTTCTGGTGGTGGATCAAATACCCGCATCTGTTCTCGCGTCGGCAAAAGAGAGTAAAGGGGCAGAATATGCATCTTCAGAGGACCTGTTCCTGCTTCCTCGTCCGGGATATCAAATTCCTTGTCGTCATCCTCTTCGTCTTCCCCATCTTCCTCGTCGATAAAGTTAATCTCGTCGTAATCATCTTGGGTAGCGTCGTTTGTTTGCCCGAACTCGATATCTTCCACCTCAAGCGGCGCATCGTTGGCAGATATCCGAACCTTTGGGTAAGCTGCCGTGCTCATCCCCCCTGACGCTTCTCTAAGCTTCTTGCTTAAACGTGAAATCTCGTCGTGGCCTGTGAGGAACACGAGCATGCCGCCGGGAGGTAGCTTCTTGTGTCCTCTTGTGATCTTCTTGAAAGCCTCTTCTACATAGTCGTGCCGCGTCTGGCGTGCAAAATGTATTGTAACAGGAAATTGCCGTCCCTCGACATCTAAGACGGGTGGCGGCGTCGGGAACAAGGTTGGGTTCTTGGTCAAGTCGTCTATACGCAGGGTTGCCGACATAATGATAAGCTTCAGGGGTTGGACTGTTGGATCTTCGTCCGCCAGTTCCTGCCGCAGCTTGACCACACGACTCAACATTCCAATAAGGATGTCTGTGTTTACGCTTCTCTCGTGGGCCTCGTCGATAATCACAGCTGAGTATTTGCGCAGAGCGATATCGCTGGAGACTTCGCGGAGAAGCACACCATCTGTCATGAACTTGATCGCCGTCTTCTCGTCCGCCGTACCCTCGAATCGAATCTGATAAGCAACTTTCTGGCCATGGTCTCCCAGTTCCTGTCCCACTCGCTTCGACATACTGACAGCGGCCACCTTTCTTGGCTGGGTCACGCCGATCAGGCCGGGCGTCGGAGAGTTGGGAGATCCATAACCGGCCTCGAAAAGAAATTGCGGCACTTGAGTTGTCTTTCCAGAACCAGTTGAACCACAAACGACCACAATGTTGTTGTTGTGGATCGCTTCCATGATTTTTTGCTCCTCCGCCACAACAGGCAGTTTTAGTCTTGCTTCCTGTATCTCTGTCGACCTTGCGACCGTGACACTATACGCTTTTCTTGCGAGGTTTTCCGTTGGCTGCAACTCGAGGGGTAGGGGATCTTGCTCTAGGGGTCGCGGCTGGAAGTCCTTGATGACCGGAAGGTCCAGCAAAGCGGATGTCGATTCTACCGGTTTGTATCCCAGGGCCTCGTTCCGTTGTTGATGGGCCCATGCCTTGAATGCGGAGGAGCGTTCTCTCTTCTCGTCTGGCCCACCAGTCGAACCATCATCATCACTGCCGTCGTCGGACATCTCCTCGTCTTCGGAGCTGGATTGTTCATCCGAAACCTCCGACTCATCCTCCTCTTCGCCCCCTGATTCTCCTTCGACGCCTTCGGAATCATCTGAGTCTGCCTCATCGGAACTTAATCCACTCCATTCGTCCTCTGAGGTGGATGTGGGTGCGACATTGGGCTCAGAGTGCTTCGGCTGAACAAAATTCGAGGTCGAGAACTTAGAGGCAACACCGCCACGTTTTTGACGTTTCTGAATGACCGGACGTCCACTTTCGTCCAGTTCCAAGGGTCGCTTCAACCCAGAGCCGACTTGCAGCGTCTGTTGCACAGAAGTGCTCGGAGGTGCGCTTGTAACTTGAGGTGCTGTGGAAGGCGCACTGCTAACGTCTGCAGCGCTGCTCTGGCTTGCGTTGGTCTTGGAGGATGAGGGAATTGGGGCCTCCTGCTCGTCGGCTGACACTTCATAATCGCTGTCCGGGCTGTCGCGCTTCTCGAACAGCTCATCGTCCTCGTCGTCACGAAGGCCAGCTTGGTGCTCCTTGTGGGCCCTTTTCAATCCTTGCTTTTTCGTTTCCTTGCCCTGGCCCAGGTTGCGAGTGCTGAAGAACAAACTAGTGTCGACCTTGTTGTTGGCCAACTTGGCCAGCAGGGTACGGTTTTCGTCCTTCTTGAGTTTGTTGTCGATGTACTTCTCCAGTCGCTTGGCCTTCTGCCCAGTAACTTTGACGCCCTGATCCTTCAGCTCGTCTCTAAGCCTTTTCGTTTCCACATCCTTCTTGGAAGGGATAATCTCCAGCGCATTGCTGTCGACCTGGGCCGAACCAGCGTCGTCGTCCTGAGCACCTGCGCTGGCCTTTTGCCTTGCGAGCACCTTGTGCTTCCTCTGTCGTGGGACGAATTTCTTGGGCATCTTGGCCGCTGAGATTCAAGCCAATGTGGAGCGATCTTTGTCCAGAGCAGGAGCTCGCACGAATAAAGACGAATCGCTCTGGGAATCTCTGCTCACTTTGACAGTTGGCGTGCCAATCTTTTGCGCTGAATTCTACAGTATCATTCTCAAAATTTCCTGGCCGATTTGATGCTTGTTGGCTTGTGCAAGCAGCGTGAGCTATTGCTTCGCGATGAATGAGTATGCGATTTTGAAATTTTGACCGCCCGGCAGAACGGCGCTGAGATGCAGGTGAATGTTGTTGTGGGGCAGGTGGATGCGGACTGGAAGATCCATGGATGGGGGGTGCAATGACCCGCTAACTTAACGTAGGTATTACTGGGCTGGCACCTTGAACGCACCACCGGGGCAACCTACTGCTGTACCTGCGAACGGGATCACAACTCAGCCCATGATAATTCTCAACCTAGAGCTTCACAATTCAAAGAGTCTAAAGGACCGATGCGAAAGGTTTGAGAGAAATCCAGGGTATCTGTTTGCCACTACCGAAACCCCGCTCCATCAAGATCACAAACTGGTCCCCGGAAATGGCCCCTTCGGACGTGAAAGACGAGGGATTCCCTGCCCCTTCCAAGGAGGCCGTTGGCTTGATCGACGGCGTAGAGACGCAAGCCACATCCACTTTCTTTGCCGACAAGATCATGATCACTCTGTCTCAGGAGGGTCGGTTATCTCAATGGGTGAGCCTTCTGTGGCAGGGTCTATTGTGCTCGACGGCTCATGGTTGTTTCTAGATCCAAGTCCCTCTCTCAGCACCATCATCAGCGAGCGTCGAGATGGCACTGCCAGATACAAGCTTACTGCCGCTCTCGCATCTGACGCCGAAAACCCTTCTCGGCGGCGGTGGTGAGGAGCGCGAGTCTTCCGGCCAGTTGTATGCTGTTCAGATTGCCAGTCTCTTCGCCCGCAGAGATTCAGAAGAGAAACGGACGCTCCTCGTTGGCCTCGGTCTTCTGAAACCGAAGCCAGACCGTGAATCTTTCTTCGACCTGATCGAACTGGTTCAAAGAGTCATATGATGGTAGTTCAGTCGTGGCATGCATCACTACTATCTTACGGCAAGCCGTAACAGGGGCAGCGAACAACATACATAATAGCTCATATCATGCCTCGAATTATGAGAGGTTCTGCATGGCTCTGCAATCTGGCTCATTGAGTTTCAACATCTTCATGTTTTACGAGATACTGCCCCGCCAATGACGGCTCCTGGAAGTTGGCGTCGGACTGGAGTTATTCTAAGAGAAAATGTCGGTTCGCCTTTAGTTGACGACTTCAAAGTCTTTGGTTTAACATGTGATGTAAGTTGTGGTTGGCTGTACTCGCTACGGATTATCGGCATATCGTCATGCCAAACTCCATAGCCGCTTCATATACTACGTAAAATTAAGAGAGCCACGCCAAATGTCACAATCCAGTGCATCAGACTTCCACGACGACAGCACTTGGAGCCAGTTTTGCAGCTGCTGCTTTCTTATCGAAAGCCTCACGCTCAATCTTGAATCGCATTTGACACCCTGCCAAATAATCGTCAGCTGTCACGGCGTGTTTCGAAGCATATTTCACCGTATACTTACAGTCACCGCAAGATATCGGTTCGTACTTCGCAGGGTTCGAAGGCGACACGCAGCTGGGAATGACACTCTCGACGCAGTTGAAATTGAGACCTGCCCCATACCCCGTTAGCGCAAGACTGTCATAGTCACAATAGCATTGCCAAGTTTCCTCACCAAAGAAGAAAGGCATCGAAACTCGCTCAAGCGTCGACTCATTAGTAACTCGATGTACAGTAGACTTGTAAGTATCATTAGAGAGACGCATCATGTAATCGCCAATGTTGACCACGATTGTTCCTTCAATTGGAGGGGCCTGGATGTATTAGTTACCTGCAGACATGCTGCGCAAACTTCTGAGGGGGCACGCACCTTGATCCACTGTCCTTCTTTTGTCAATACCTGAAGACCACCGATGCTGTCCTGCCAAAGGAGGGTGAAGAGCTGCAGGTCAGTGTGGCTCCCTAAGCCCACAAACTTCTGCTTCGTCTCTTCTTCAGTCCTTGGGCGATAGTAGTTGAACACAGAATCAGCACCGGGATGGGTGACCTTTTCATCCCAATAATCTTCGGGCAGATCCAGCGACAACGCAAAGGCTTTGACCAACCTCCTAGCCAGAGTCAAACAACTCCCCCAATACGCTACCCAGTCTTTCTTGTAGTCTGGAATATGGGCAGTGCCTTCCCAAACAAATTTCTCAGCCCTGATCCACGGCCTCACTTCAGCTGGAATCTCAGAAATATCCATAGGGTGATCTGGGTCAAGCTCGGGGGAATATCTGAAAGAGAAGGACTCCCTGACGTCTACACTTTCGCTCGGAGAGATATTGGTGCTCGCATAGCCAGTATAGCCGTTGAAGTACTTGCTGTATTTCCTGGACGACAACTTGTCTTTCTCCTCAGGAGTCTGTTTCATAAAGTCCAGGCCTCGCTGCTTGGCTTTCGCAATGGTCGAGTCTGCGATGCCATGGTTTCTAACATAGAAGAAGCCTGTGTTGACTGCGGCGGACCGTATCTGCTTGGCAACTTTCTGGCGCTCGCTGAGTTCACTGGAGAACAAGGGTGCCAAGTCTATGACCGGTATCTCGTCCGCGGTGCAGTCGCGAGGGGGAGTTAGCAAGACATCCCTGTAAACGGGGCCGAGGGCTGTTCGAAGCTCGAGCTTGGTAGTCACCATAGTTCTGGAGTTTCACTAATGATTTCCGATGTTGATAAATTGTGTCAAAGTTGTGGCAGCCGAATACGCAGAAGATCCCGAGGCATAGGCAGTCTAGGTATCTCTCTGCGATATCAGATCCAAATGGGAGGCAATAGGGCAGGAACAGATTGCGATCTTGCCGAAGCTGTCTTGAATCGGTGGGAGAGCATCTACTCGCAGTGATTACTGCCTTGTGAAGCCCTGTAAACCCTCTTATCACACGCTTTACTGCGGACAACTGCTCTGGCCGGTGATCTCCTGCCGATAGTTGATGCCTATGCCGTAGAACTTAAAAGGCCACGCAAGTAGTAGTAGATCCCTTAATGAATTGAAGACTGTTGATGGGTGCCGTCGACTATCGGTGGGCTGATCACAATCTGTCCCGGCGGTCGCCGGTGGATGAGTCCGAGTTCGCACCCACTACGCCGGTAGCCTTGATAATGAAAGCTTATCCTGTACTGGCGCCACGTGCTCACAGAGGATAGTAGAAGAAGTTTGTCAAACGATTGAGTCTTCAAGCTGATGAACAGTTAGCATTGGGCTGTGCACCTATTCAAGTGGTTAACAGTTGCCTATATCAAACTCGAGTCAATTCGAGCATAGTAGGTACCATTAGCTACATATGTAGGTATTCTTATCTTCGCGCTCCAGGGATCTATGTTAACATGATAAGCGTCTAGGAAAGACGCTACTTACAGCAAATCTCTGTGTCACAAATCCGAAAACCATAGATTATCTAGGTCTCAATGTGTTGATGTAGTGTGTGGTTGCCAGGATCTCAGATTGACTGAAGGGGGGTCATCGGGGCCGTTATCGCAATGCTCCGGCGTGGCGTCGGGTGTGGGTCCGGTTTGCGTTTTCCGATGGCAACGGCTATGCTTCCTCGAATAACTATCGGCGGCGTTTATACTTCATAAGGGCAGTATAAGTAATGCAGTCACAGGCTTCTACACAGGTTAGTTTCCAATAACTCGTTATTCATATTTCTATAGAGACCCAAAAATACACCATCCAAGATAGCAGAAATTTCTCGTTCTTGGTTTCTTAGTGGATACAAACTTCAAGTCGCTTACCATTGTTACCTAGGTATACGGATTGAAAATGCGGGGGTGCTGTTGTCGGTTGTCGTCACAATTCTCGACATGACGCAAAGTATTGGCCGTGCCAGCACCGGGTTTCGTGCGGGGGAAGTTGGTATTGCTATTATAATGGAGTTCCCTCCATGATGGGTGAAGGTTGTCGTCTTTGTGTAAATTACCCGTACTACAATCTACTTAAAACACTCCAGAAACCCTTTTCTTCCCAATCCAGAATGGCTCCTCCAGTCCCAGGAATTAAGGTGAATGACAATGGAGTTCCGGATTTCGATGACTTGCCTTTGAGAAAGACAGATCCCCATCATTCCGCCTGGGGTCTCTACGGGGATAAGGACGAGTTGGGCTTCCTGAATCGCCTCACCAATGATCGGGTTGCCTCTGCCGCCAAAAGCGAGATAAACACAGGGCAAAGGTGAGTGCCATATCAGAATGGGGCCTGTCACTGACTTGATCCAGAATCTCTCTCAACTGGCCTCTCAATGCACAGTCGCGCAAGCCTTTTTTTGAAAGAGCCAAGTTTCACCAGGATATGTTCACCAAACCACCGAGAACAGTCAATGATGATGTCTGGGTATTTAACTCGCAAGTCTCGACACAGTGGGATGGTCTCCGCCATTTCGGGTTTCAGAAGGAAAAGCTTTTCTACAATGGAGTCACCATGGAAGAAATCCATGGGATTGGTGAGGATGGGAATAATGCTACAGTCAATGGCATTCAGGGTAGGCATCTTGACACGTTTCAAACTGCATAACACTGACAGAGTATAGCGTGGTCGGAGCAGGGTATTGTAGGACGTGGTGTTTTAGTTGACTATCACAGCTGGAGAGAAGCTCAGGGAGAAGTCAAGTCAAACGATTTGTTCGCTTCGACCCCCATTCCGTTGGATGATTTGAAAGCATGTCTTCAATCACAGGGAACAGAGCTCAAGTTCGGAGACATTCTTTTCATTCGCTCTGGTGCGTGAACAGCTGTGGGCACGATGCATCGCGTGAAATGCTCACGACCCCTTAGGCTTTATGTCGGCGTACGGCAAGAAAACCGAAGAGGAGATATGGGAGCTCCAAGACACAACTCCACACAAGTTCGTGGGTGTCGAACAGAGCGAAGACATGCTCAGGTGGATTTGGGACAACTTCTCGGCTGTAGCTGGCGACCAACCTGCTTTTGAGTGTTGGCCAACGCAGAAAGACTGGCTCCTACATGAGGTATTGCTAGGTGGATGGGGTTGCCCGATCGGAGAACTCTTTGACCTCGAGAAGCTTTCAGAGCATTGCAGGAAGGAGAAGAGGTGGACTTTCTTCGTTTCGAGTGAGCCATGCAATGTTCCTGGTGGCGTTGCCAGGTATGTGCCTTATCTTCATTGACCGTGTGTAGCCGCCCGGCGAAGCTAACGAAAAACAGCCCTCCGAATATCCTCGCAATCTTCTAGAGGGCGTCTATTGCGTTCGTCTCATCTTTCGAGACTCATTGGAGTCAACAGGTTCAAATGTTTCGGTTTACGGCGCGTTTTATAGTTCGAAATCCAGGTCGGACGACTGGAATTACCGACTCTAGTTCATCTACTTTTATTTTCCTTGTTCCATGCCATTTTGATTACCGAAACCGTTGTGGGCAATCGTTGTCAGTTTTGGATTAGTTTATTCAGGTTGTTCAAGCAATATGCGCAACTAATTAACAATAAATTATAATATGAGTTCACTAAGGAGATACTTGGGTTGTGGGTAACGTTCTATCTGGGTTGCTCACTGAACCTAAAAATCACAGCCCCGTATCACACCAGTATACAGCGATGAATATTTCGGAAGAGATGTACCATTTTTCATGGCTTATATATAGTAAGTTTAACTCATTAACTGACATATTGCTACTGGCTGTTACTTCGCCATACTTAAGTCTCCACCGCAACCAACCTTCCTTGACCAGGTGCTTATTACGCGCTACGCACTCATCATATCCGAGAGCTTTTACAAACCTAATTAAATTAAACAACTCCATCTGTGACGGTCCATTGCCATTTCCGCATCGTGGATCATTCTGAGCGTTATATTCGCTCTTCAAGAGCCAAAAGCTTCGTCGCAGAAAGTCAAAATTATACACCTGTTGATTCACAGGGGCTTTTAAATGATTCACCGGTGAGAGATCCGATGCCGAACCTTGTGGCCTGCTTGGGAATGAAGCGGATGCTGGGTATCCTCAAAGTCGCGCAGGCATGGTCAGATTCACGTGGGTAGTGGAAACTATCTCGTGTTAAGATGGTTGTGCCTTGGCCTGTGAGCATCAGGGTTGCATTCGCTATTAGCGCTCCGACCCTGGTCATGAGTCTAGAGCACACCGCTGCAGAATGCGGAGTTACAGCGTCCTCCCGCGCCATGCTCTTGCATCGTTCTTATACAGAAGTAGAACTAGCCCCGAGGGGCCTTGACTCTATTTCGCCAAGCCCATCGCTCGTCCTATGAGACCGGGTATACTATGTAAGAGCTAGTAGAAACAATGCGGAACCTTCAAAACCCAGAATTGGAATGCTTAGCGTTGTCTCTATTATCTCAAATGTTCCCTCCTTTCGTTCTTAACTGCCATTCCATGGCGGATTAAGCAGCATTTGGATAGCCCGATTACTCCTATGATCTATATCCCGTGTTTCCAAACCGATCTCGAATCATCGTCAAATAGTCAACTATGAGACGGTGGGCGATCCTCTCATTGGTGATCTATCTGGCACGTCTTAGCTGCGCCGACCCCAACCGCTGCAAATGTTTCCCGGGAGATGACTGTTGGCCTTCGAGGCCAAAATGGGATGCGCTCAACGGCACCGTAAATGGTCGGCTCATCGCCACAGTTCCGTTAGGCAGTCCCTGCCATAGTCCAAACTATAACGCTGAGACGTGTGCGGATCTGCAAAGCCGGTGGCAGTATGAGGAGATCCAGTAAGAGCAATACTGTGTGCTTATTCGGCTAGGAACTGATGGTAGCAGTATGAACTCATCGTCCTCTGTCATGGCGCCTTTCTTCGCCAACCAGAGCTGTGACCCATTCCAGCCCACGTCCCGCCCTTGCGAACTAGGGAACTACGTGCGGTATGCCGTCGATGCTTCATCCGTGCCCGATATCCAAGCAGCAGTCGATTTCGCCAGGCAGAATAACATCCGCTTCGTGATCCGAAACACCGGGCATGACTATCTGGGACGCTCAACCGGAGCGGGCGCTCTTGCCGTCTGGACGCACCATCTCAAGAGCATCGACTTCTCAGATTATGAGTCGGCTGACTACAGCGGCAAGGCTGTCAGGCTCGGTGCAGGCGTCCAAGGCTTCGAAATCATGCAGGCCGCGAGGGACCAGGGGCTGGTCGTCGTCGGCGGCGAGTGTCCCACGGTCGGCCTCGCCGGCGGCTACACGCAAGGGGGCGGCCATTCTGCGCTCAGCTCCAGCTTTGGCCTCTCCGCCGACAACACTCTGGCTTGGGAGGTGGTGCTCGCCGATGGGACTTTCGTGATTGCCAGTCGGACCGAGAATCCCGACTTGTTCTGGGCGCTGAGTGGAGGCGGTGGAAGCACCTATGGCATAGTTGTATCTATGACGGTGAAGGCCTTCTCGGACGCGGTGTTCAGCGGTGCCACTCTCTCGTTTTTCACCTCAGACAACCCGAGTGACCGTTTTTTTGCCGGCATCCAAGCTTTCCACGAATCGCTCCCGAGCATAGTCGATGCAGGAACCATGGTCGTGTACTACTTTACCGACACGTTCTTCATGATATCACCCGTCAACGCCTACAACAAGACCCAGGCGGAAGTCGAACAGATCATGGCCCCGTTGATTGCGAGTTTAGGCTCGCTCGAAGTGGTGTACTCGGTCTCATACAGCGAGTCAAAGAACTACTACGACCATTATGACACGTATTTCGGCCCCTTGCCCCTTGGGAATATTCAGGTAGGCATTGCACAATATGGCGGCCGCTTGATCCCACGGTCAGTGGTCGCAAACATCTCCGACACAATGCAGAGTATTGTGAAGCAAAGTGTCACCTGGATAGGAGTCGGGACCAATGTTGCACCATTTGGCAATAGCCTTACCAATTCGGTGCACCCGGCGTGGAGGGAGGCCCTAGTGCATACGACCTTGACTACACCTTGGAACTTTACGGCGCCGTGGGAAGACATGATTGCTCTACAGGATAAGATGACAAATGTCATCCTCCCAGAGCTTGAGGCAGTCACTCCTGGCAGCGGCGCATACGTAAACGAGGCGGATTTTCGTCAGCCCAATTTCCAAGATACGTTCTGGGGTACAAACTACGAGAGACTCCTGACCATCAAAAAGAGGTACGACCCGCACGATATGTTATATGCCAGGGCGGGTGTAGGGAGTGAGTCCTGGATAGTGTCACAAGAGGGGAGAATGTGCCGATCATAGGTTAGTATGGGTTTTAAGACCTAGACTATGTATGGGGTCTCATTGAATACTCGAGTACGATAAGTACGAATTCGTACACTACAGCACCTACATAATATGAATCAATGGAAGCGATCTGCGTGCCTCTACGTCGCGTATGACTAGTTGGATTGCTGGCGTAATACAGCAATAAGTACACGAATCTCTCGCAAAGGCAGTCTACACAGTGAACAAGCCATAGGGCTTAAAGAGTCTCAGAAGTTAAAAAGAATTGGGCGTTTTCGTTCATTCGTCTTCCCAAACTTATGGGCTTTTGAGGCAGCACCTCCTTCCGCTTCTGAAGATGAGTCCTCATCACGACTCTTGGCATATACGATCAGAGCTCCCATTTTCAACCTGACAAAGATGCCGTGGAGTCAATGTGCACCTAATGCATAACGAGGGATAATCTCCAAGCTTTCTTTGATAAGTATACCGGTATACCCTGCTGTAAGATTACGTGAAGTTTGGTCAAAGACTTGTAATGAGATTTTTAAATTGCTGCCTTGATAATGTCTCTATGTGTTGACATTGGAGCTAGGCGCACCTCCTTGTCTCAGGCATTCGCCAGACTTGTCGTGGATTAGACCAGAACAGCCCAACTAGCTATAAGCGCCGAGAGTCAAGTACTGATCATTGGAGACCCCAGTTCACCCGGCTTACCGAGCTGATTAGGTCAGTTGTAAGATTGGATCCTGCTCATGCCTTTGCCTATAATATTCCCTAACACTTTGACTCCCTCTACCAGCAGCCTGTGTGGCTCCAGCTTCAACGTCTATGCTGGCGTTTTCCCGACCAACGACGGAGTTCGAAGGGATCTCGCTTGTTTCCTCCAACCCCGCTCGAAAACTAGGTCATAACGTCACGGAAGGTTCCCCCTATACTGGTCCAAGCCACGCCAAGTAAGGTGCTTTGAGCTCTGTGCGGCAGCAATCCACAGAGGAAGGACTGCTGCTACTCTATAACTACGCAGACCTATCGCTTACGGTCACTGGGGGGTAATATTAGTATCTCATTTTCGATATCAAAAAAAGCCGGGCGGACTTACGTGCTAAGCCTCCGAGACAAGGATTGCAACTTCTTGTCGTTGTCAGCCTCTCGTTTGGCGCGCTCCAAGGCGGCAGCATGTTGCTCATCGGCGGCTTTCTGCACCTCCTCATGGGTCGGCGGAAGCCTTTCGTTTTGCAAATCAACCTTCCTCGCGTCCTCAAAACTGCTGATTGCGTTCTTGATACCCTCGGCACCCAGCATGAGAGTACCGGCAGGGAGCCTACCGCCGGAAACGGTCTTGAGCTCCGTAACCTTCTCCGATTCCTCGCGGAGGACCTGGAACACACGAGATAATCTGCCAATGGCGAGGATCTTGTTCTTGATGTTGCGCCTCTTGTATTCAATAGAGTCGGGATCATTGAGCGGGTCGTTGAGCGGAGGGGAGGCAGGGCCAGGCGACGTGGTGACCGGGGTCTCGTCCTTGAGCTCCTCCTCGGAGCAGGTGCTCAGGATGGCGATCAACATGTCCGTGATCTTCTCTCCCACGAAAGGCAAAGACCAGGTGAAGACGTCCATGAAGTTGGGGAGCCAGTACGGGTGCGGCGTGCAGTTGAACTGACGGATGTTCATAACGTTGTTCTCGTACTTCAACACAGCGGCCTTGTTGTTGTAGACGTCCAGGTAGTTTGGCGCGGAGAAGATGGTCATGACGCTGGGGAAGCCAGTCGTCCGCGTCTTGCGGTACATGCGGTAGCCAGCATCCTGGGCTTCGTGCGCGCGGATGATGGACAGCAGGTTGTTCTTCTCGAGGAATGCGCAGGCGGCGGGGTAGGAGAAGAAGTAGGAGCAGCCGCGCACGTGGTTGTGCATGAAGAACTCGCTCGTCTTCTCCTGGCCGAAGTCCTCGAGCGGGTCAGCCCACAGAATGTCACACATCAAGCCCTGGGTGGGCGGCTCGCGGAAGCGGTCGATGGCCCTCAGGTCGTCGAGGGTGTGCAGCTCGGGGCTGAGGCCACCGTGGATACACAGGAACTGTTTGTTCATAACAGCGGCGAGGGGCAAGCAGCAGAAAGAGTCCATGCAGGCCTCGTAGATGGCCTCCGAGTACTTGTGCTTGCACTCGAGCTTGAAGGTGAAGTAGTCGGTCAAATGCCTGCACTCGTGATTGCCTCGCAGGAGCCACAGCGTCTTAGGGTAGTGGATCTTGAGGGACCACAGGTAAAGGACGCACTCGATACTGAAGTACCCACGGTCGACGTAGTCGCCGAGGAAGAGGTATCTGGTCTCGGACGGGTCGCCACCGACCTCGAAGAGCTTCATGAGATCGTAGTACTGGCCGTGGACGTCACCGCACACCGTAATGGGCGCGTCCATCTCCAGCAGGTTGGGCTCTTCGCGGAGGAGCTCGGAGCCCTTCCTGATGATCCATAGCGCCTGCTCCTCGGTCAAGCGGCCCTCGCGGTAGAAATGCTGCTTGAGGAAGTTGATGTTGGGCTTGGAGTGGGTTTCGTCTTCAAAGAACTGCTCGTCACTCGGGGTAAATGTGGCCGGGGCTTGCACATCTGCGGCAGAGGACAGTCAGCCATGGCCAAGGCGCAACGGGGAGTGGAATGGGCCCCTGATCCCTTTTTCTTTTGGTGGCGGCGGGGTAGATGGGCGACGACGGAGGGCGGGCGGGCTGGGCAAGGGACACATTGGGAGGAGAGGGGGCGTGGTGGTTGATCATGGGCAAAGTACCTTTACAAACCCGCTCCTGGGTGTTGACCTGGGTTCCATCCTCCATAGTATGGAGGGTGAAGTCGATCTCAGGCACCGGCTTCTTCTCTCTTATGGCGCGGATGGCATTGTCGACCTGGGCGATGCGCTGCTGCTCCTCGACCGATGAGGGCGGCTGACCGTCGTCGGCCTCCATCTTGGAAAGCGATGAGGAGTTGCGCCTGAGGGTGGAGGCGGCGCTCGTTCAGGTTGCAGTAGAAATGCACGAGCGGTCGGGCAGGAGGCGATATGGCTGCAGTGCACAGTCGTCGACAAGAAGCGGCGCGGCGAGGAACGGCGACGGCGACGGCGACGGTGACGGGCAATGGGGTTAGTGAATAAGGCTGAGGGAAGGGGCAGGTTCAAGGTTGGGTGACAGAAAGGCGGGCAATTCTACAAAAAGGGTTCTGCAGTTGTCGGAGGCAGGCTGGGCTGGCTCTACGTTGACCTGGACTGAACCACGACCTGGACCTGGACCTGGATGGAGGAGAGGGAGAGGTGCGCTAAAGCTGAAGTGCGGGCGGGATTGACGTGGGAAGCGAGCGATGGGCCCTGATGGCTGATGGCTGATGGCGGATGGCGGATGGGGGGGGGGGGGGGGGGGGGGGGGGGGGGGGGGGGTTCGTCGCTCACTACAGTACCTAAGTACCTACCACAGCAGAAGAGCTGGCAGTCCACACTCCAGGCGGGTGTTTGGATGTGGATGTGGGTGTGGGTGCGGGTTTGCGGGTGTGGTTGTGGTTGTGTGGGTGGCAGGGTGTGACCAGGCACGAGACAGTGCCAATGAGAGGCTGCAGGATTCCGGACGTCCTTTGGGTTGCCAAGCCAAACTGGCCCAGAGATTCTGTGTATGGGTTCGTTGCGAGATGCTACGGTACGCTGCGCTCGGTATGCGAGCGAAAACGCAGCCGTGCTGTCAGATGCCAGGTCATTTTTCGTGACACCAATGGTATTTCAGACAGACAGACATCCATCTGAGAGGCTGGCCACCCGTGTCGCTGAAGCAAGTAGTCACCTCGATCGTGAGACGATAGACCTATATTCCTCGCTCGTTACGCAACCCTCGCTCTGGATTCGAACTACACACCGTTCGCCTACCTAACCTGCATAGGTACTCAACTGGACGCGACCGGGTTCGACAGCAGAACTGACGTTTTCGTCTTGATTGAAATACACCAAGGCTACCCAGGCTACCCAAGCCGTCGGGCACCCTGTAATTTACAGACTCAGGTTAGGCATCTTGCAAGAGGCAGCCTAGGCCTTGGCGGTTGGTTTTAGGAGGACAGACAACTACCTAGGTACTGCCCAGCGGCCGTACTAACGTAACCAAGGAAGTTGGATCAGATGAGAAGAGCCCGATTGGCAAAGATCTAAAGAAGGCGGCCGGCGACACCAGGCAGCAAGGCTCACCGAGCACATAATCCATACTTGGCTGCAGACCCATGGAAAAAGTCCAGCAGGCACTTACGGCGGCCTGAATACCAGAGTCTGACCGGCGAGAGCGTACCTGGTTTGGTACATTCTTACTTAAGAGGCTTCGACTTCTGCTGCTATCCAACCCAAAAAGTCAGATGTTATAATCTTGTTTGTCAGTATAGACAACATGATCCCAAAGCTTAAATTTGACCTCTGTGTGCAGCACGGGACTTCTGTCGTGCACTGGTCGCATGTTGCCAAATGCTGTTGTGAGGTCCCTAACTACCTGCGCTGCCTGTGTACTTAGCGTAGCCATCATGGTACAGTGGCGATGACTTCATCATCACGTATAACTAGAGCCGCCTCCCACAGCACCGGCATGTAACCCGCCCACGTGACAGCTTACAAAGCGCATAGTTTCAGGCACGCAGGCTTAGCAAATGGTCCCATTGCCTTATACCTCTCTCCTTTCCATCCCTCAGTTCTCCAGTGTAAAATCCAAGTGCGTCACAGCTCGGTCATTTCCCCAATAAGTCTATTTCTGTGTCCCACCGTTCGCAGCTTCAAAAGAGAGACTTCTACTCTAAACCTTGGGTATTCAACATAATCGCACGTGCCCCAGATCGTCGCTGCTCTATATCGCGCCAATCCGCCCAATCCACAAACCCACATGGTGTATTCCGGTACAGCCCCAAAGTCGTTGCTTATACTGCACAGTAGCCTCCGTCCACTAGCATGTCAATTCCAGTCGTGTATGACGAGGCATCGGAAGCCAGGTACAGGTAAGCTCCTTTCAGCTCCTCCGGCTCTCCCTCGCGACCTGTTGAGAGTTGTCAGTCCTGCGACAATGCTTCTCTATTGCGACAGAATATCGTGACACTTACCCATGGGGATCTTGTCTTTGAAATAGCCCTTCGTCTCGGCTGGGATGAAGTTGGAGATATCGGTCTTGATATACCCAGGGCTGATGCTGTTGGCCCGAGCAAAGCCAACCCATTCTACTGCGAATGACTTGCCTATACGACGGCATTAGTTACCGGAACAGCAGTGATCCATAACATAGTCACTGCTCCAAAACTCACATGCGTGGATGATCGCTGCCTTGGAAGCGTTGTAAGTTGTCTGCATTTGCGGGACGTTGGCAATGTGGCCCGACATCGATGCTGTGGCGATGAAGCTGCCGTAGCTAAAGTTCTCCAGCTTTTGGCCATCAATAGTAGTACCCTCCTGCTTCTGCCGTCTCCAGTGGAGTGCGGCTGCCCGAGCGCAGTAGAAGGTGCCGTCAATGTTGACGGCCAGGACTTTCTGCATCCGATCTAGGGGCCCGTCGATAAACGGGCCGTCTTCCCAGGCAATGCCCGAGTTGGCGACGAAGACATCCAATCGCCCGTTGAACTCCTTCACAATCTCATCGACCGCGTCACGCACCGCTTCCCACGACTGAACGTTCACTGGGTATGCCTTGCCTGAGATGCGAGTCAGAAACCCATGTGCCCCAAGGACCAGCTTTCGACGGACTTACATTTGACACCGAATCTCTTTTCAATATTGGCCGCTTCATCCAGTGCCTTTTTGTTGCTGTTGTACCAGATAGCTACATTAGCACCGGCCTCGGCGTAGGCATGGGCGATGGCCAAGCCGATGCCTGCACCGGCTCCAGACACGATGGCAGTTCTCCCTTTCAGCGAAAACAATGGCATTACCAGGCCGCCGCCAGCAGACGGCGCCGGCATGCCATCATGTGTGAAATGACCACCTTTCATGTCAGCCATCTTGACGGATTAGCAGGAATCTTCGGCGATCAATATAGAAGCAAATCTGAGCGTATGTAAGAGGGACCTTCGCAGAGCACACGAGATTCACACAACGGACCTGGCCCAAATTCACAACCGAGAAAGAGAGCAAGGACTACAAGGGCCAACGTAACGTTCCAGGTGGCTGCGTGAATAAATACCTGACACGACCGGGAGCTGCCGAGCCATGGGATCCTGCAGTCGTCTAACCAGCAACGCAACGGTCCGATATGACGTCTCCTGAGTGGAGCGCGTATTCCCCAGGAAAGTAGGAAAACTAGTCTACGTGAAGCGCCATACGCGACCTGGGGAACGTGCTTGCGAGTCATTATACTTTGGCCCCAAGTTGGAGCCCCGTCCTTGTGGCTCTCATGGTCTTCATATAGCCACTTACGTACGATTCAGGGGACTATAGATAAGATCACGGGATCAGAGAGTATCAATTTTCCTTTCTTATGTACTCCTTTCTACCTTTGCCGGTGTGAGAATGTGAACTCTTATCCTCTGGGGATATGGTCGCATATCAGTAGGCGGGGTAGCTAGCTCCTCCATCTACGCCAAGCTTCTCCATGGTTTTGTTGCGCATAAGGGGGCTGAGTGGATGGTCATGCAGATTTGATGGACCCAAGCCGGCGAATCGGCGGTCAAACATCTTAGCGACTACCAAAAAAACCCGCACTCCTCTATACACCAAGGCGAGCGGGATGCCCCTGAAAATCGCACCTGACGATAGATCGGTAGAGGCGATCTAGCTCGTGTCCATGGCTAGGTCACTCTATCTAGTACCATTACCCGACTACCCGTCGTAGAATCTCTTCCCTGGGATAATTCGTATTTCTCCATCGTGACATAAAGTCATCTCGATTGACTGTATTCTCGTCAAAACCACAGCACAATATCACAATGATTGTTCAAGAAATGCTCCAACTTACTGTACCCACCGCACATTCTCCTCACGCCCGTGAACGCGCTTCGCCCATGCAGTACACGCCAATTATCAAAGACTGAGAGCCTGGGTTAGTCAAATGATCCTATGCAGATTTGAGGACACTAACCTAGAAGACTCCCGGGAGTAAGCTGGAACCAGTACTCTACCGATTTCCGACGCAGTATTGCGTCCCACTTCCTGGCAGCATCATACCATTCCTGTGGAGAGTACTCGCTGTCGAATGGGACGACACCCCTGTCGTCGTTGTTCCATCTGACACGATGCAGCGCGCCCGTCTTCTCGTCGACTTCAAGGACGGGATATAACTTGTCGGGAGCAATCGTGATTCCTTCATTTCCACTGGCATGCCATGGCAGCTTAACACGACTCAGGATCTCAAACGCTTTAGGGTCTTCGTCCCTCAAGATACTCGCTGCGTAGAATCCATCCACAAGGAGAGACTGGCCGCCGAGGGATATCTTTCCATCCTTCACAGTGTCGTCTGTGTGAGACAGGAGATGGAAGGCCTGCAAGCCGGCGGGGTCTGAGAAGTAAGTGGTGTCTGTGTGCGCCGCCAGAGCCAGATTGGTGTAAGCAGTGTCTGCGAGTGCGAGGTCCGGAATGAAATCGTAAAAGCCCCCATAATGGGTGTGCCTGATGAAGGCAATCTTCTCCAGTAGCTTTTCTGTGGCCTCACCTGTTTCGTATGGTACGTCTTTGATGAATGAGAACCCGAAACGTCGCTGAACCCAGCATTAGTTACATGTCAGAGAAGTAGCCCCATTCATAAAAACTCACAATGAAGGCTGTCAATTGACCAATTGCGGCCGTTTCGTTGCTCTCAACATCTTTGCTTCTCACCGATGGCGGCCATTGTTCCGCTTCAGAATTGCCATCTGCACCAAAATACTCGACTCTGCTCCCATTAGTTCTCATTCACGCCACTTATCGATGCTGGATCGATGCTGGCTTACTGTAAGCTTTCAGACTCGACACGGTCTGCCTTCAAGTATGAATTGATGAACTCCCAGGGGTAAAAGCTCTCATGAGCATTATCAGACCCTATCCAAAGGTTAGAATCCAGTAGACTCGTCATGAATCGGAGCGAAATACATTGAACTCTGACGCCAGCTTCCTGACTCTCGACGTGTAAGGGCCGAATATCTTTAGGTAACTAATCTTCAATTAGTATGTGGGCATGCACATTGACGTATATACGACAGCTCACGTCAAATGTGTTGAATCCCCTTTGCATCGTGTCCTGATTTACGCATGATTTGCATCGGCAATTGTCGCTGAATTCGAATCAATGACAGAATCCTACTTTGGAGCTTGTGGGACGTACCGTAGCCAGATACTTGGCCTGTCGTGGCATCAGTTCAGGCTGGCCTTCCAAAGAATAAATTCTAAAAATGAACACTCACAGTGACGTTCTTTTGAAGCCCGCATTACCTTCACACGTAAAATCGAGACGATCGTGAGACCCAGTCACAGTGGGAACGCCACCTAATTTTCGACGCGACTGAAATATCCATGGCCGTTGGGCGAGGGCTCGGCTAGTGTAAAGGCTTCTAAGCAGTGTCACAATTAGCTGTGTGTAATCATCCGTTCATTTCACGTCAGCTTACGAGAAGAGTGCTCGTCCTCGAGCAGCTCGTACGATCATTGTGAATCCTGCGGAGTGCGAGTAAGCGAGCTTGACGGCTACACTGCATGGACTGGCGACGCCGGAAAGTCTGTAGCTGGTAGTTTAACGAGAATGGTGTCTTCCTTACAGTATCACTGTTGACCTATACAACGAATGTACACTGCTTATACTCAAAGTGAAGCACGCGTAAGTTGAAAATACCCAACTTGGTCGAACCCACCATGGTACCGATGAGAGCCGAGGATCAAGCAAGCGTTGGTTACATAGGCGCATTACTTCAGTTTCCTGCGCCCGCCACGACAACTTCGCGCTAAGACGGTGTTAGCTTGTGATTATATGGATCTGTGGCGCAACAAAAGACTGCGCCACGACATTGATATCCAGTTTCGGCTCTCGATCAGTGTGGGAGGACACCACTATTTCGAGAACTTGAAACCCAGGGGGATTGTCCTTCCTCCAGCGTCAGCATCGAAACGATCTCGGCAGAGGGTAGAGTCCTCGCAGATTGGTCCTTCGCCTCTTAGTGTTCTCTCGGCCCGAGGCCTAGTCGTGGGGCTGACCACTCCTGGTGCCCGATTAGACGCCAGACCCGACCCCTTGGGTCTGCCTCCAATAATAGGGTGACAACATCACCGCCCACCCATATGGATGGGTTGCTCTGATGGACCAACGTGTTCGAAGGAAGCCACTCCCAGGGCGCTTGTGCTGCGCCTCTAGCCTGTATTCGGGGGGAGGGGGGGCTGCACACGTGGCCGCAGGTGTTGTTGAGACTTGCAGTTCGCTCGAACCAACACCTCGGGTCGGCGATTTAGGTCGACTGCCAGGATCATATCTGTTTTACACGCCTCGCTCCTGCAGATTTGGAGATGTTAGCTCGCATCGCGGCAAATTTCGTAGCTTTATTGGCTTGATAATCGACTCAAGCGCCAGCAGTGCATGTTTGTGGGTATTAGCTATAAGTGTCTTGTTTTGTTAAGGCCAAGACGAGGCCCGAGGCAGATTTTAACTAGCCTTTGATGCTTCTCGTAAATGGCAATAAAATACCAGGTGACACCAGATATCCGGTATGTGAAGGAATCTTCAAAGTCCTCATGTTCTGATGCCCTCGTCATGGCCTCAATGGCTTCCTTTAACATTTTAGTCTCCTTATTATACATCAGTACAGGCGTGGGAGGCAGTACAATACCAAGTTTACTGCTTCAAAACGACGGAGTTCTTCCCATAACACCTCGATCTCAATCCTCCCAGAGTTCCTGCCCTACCAGTAGCGACTCACCCTGTGGCAATGGGCTACCTACCGACTTTTGCTGCCCATCCGATACCGTTTGCGTTTCCGATGTTTCAAGAACCACAGCAGTTTGCTGTCCGAAAGGCCAAGACTGTCATCTAATCGCAGCGATCACCTGTGATATACAACAACAAAATGTTACGGCATTCCCAAACAGCCCGCTTCATACGACACGGCTTGGCGAGTCGCTCCCGAGTTGCGGTAATAGCTGCTGTCCATTCGGATACAAATGCAACAGTGATTCCAACTGTGAAAAAGTGGAGGAGTCGACTCCAACAATTTCCATTGTGCTCTCGCCTACTAGCTCACCAATTACAACTTCCCCAAGCACAACCGCGGCCCATGAGCCAACATCGACGGTACCGGCACCAAGTGAACCAGCAGCTTCGAGTACAACCAGCGATCCCTCTTCATCAGTTATAAACGGCGCAAGCACACAGACTTCAAACAGAACAGGCGTTGCGGTGGGAAGCGCCGTCGGTGCCATCTCTCTTGTTGGCGTTGCCGTCTACCTATGGGTGCGCTGGAGAAGGAGGAGGCGCAAGCCAACAAACCCAACAGTGACTACACAAATGCAACGCAGGAGGACCTTGCGAAAGCTGCAGCCCAGTTCGGCCCAGCTGACGAAACTACGGACCTGGGGCGGCCAAGACTATTGGGGCATGCTCGGCTCCGGCCCGCAGCCCAAGCCGAAACCGAAACCAATCATCGCCTATTACCATGCACCGGAGCAACCTTTTCAGGCGGTGAATGGCTTTGCCTCAGAACTGCCGGCAACGTCTTTGTCTTTCTCTTTCTGGAACCAAGGTCAAATTCCACAACATGTGTCCCCGATAAGACCAAAATCATGTTACAAGACTTACGCTGGAACGGTGCCTGGGAAGTCGCAAGACAGGTGGAGTTACCGATGATGTATATACAAATAACGAAGAGCCATGATAGCCCAAGCTTCCCTACCCTTATACCCCTTTTGAGCCAGATACTTTTAGGATGTTTCTTCGAAGGTGTTTTCGAACAGACCTCGGTGGATTAGATAGCAGTATTCATAGTGATTGAAATACATAGTACATTCACAATCTCTTCATTGTTTCCGATACCTGGGGAAGACCTCAGAACATGTGTACCGAGCTTTATGTCTCGGAAAGCCTGATGGAACATTCACAAGAGTTCATCGTCCTCCGTGATCGCCCTGGAGTGAAGACGATTATCAACTAACATGTTATATCAGGTTAATCATATGAATATGAACGAATTCCCATTACCCACTACTAACCATTAACACACACTACTTCAGAGGCACATGAATGCTCTCACGTTCCAACTTCTTGAGGAACTGCATTCTTTACGCGGTCGATCATGCGCGATCCTCTCGAGCTGGAAGCTCAGCTGCACAATGACAGGATCGAGAGAGACCGGATAGAAGCAGTGGGGGCAGTGCACGACTGCACTCACAGAGTGATACCTCTTTGCGCAGCATGCCTGGTCATATTCTCGACCGGGGCCATCATGGTGTGTACCCTGGCTTATGAAAAGCCTCTACCACGAGGCGGAGTGATCGCCGTGTCTTCCATCTTTGGTATACTGACTTTGTTATTCCTCCTGGGGAGCATCAAGCTCTATCGAGACCGGATGTATGCCCACAGGCCTCGACTCAGCTTTCTGCATAATTTCAGGAACAGGGTGAACCAAAAGTGGCGCCAGGACCATGACGGTCCGCAGGCTGGCACACCAATGTCGTTTCTAGGTCAAGATCGGGACCGAAATGGCCAGGCCTTGCCCCGTCCAGAATTACATGATATCTCTCCTGATGAAGGTGGTGGTGTTGGTGGCCTCTCATCCACCTTTCCTCGACCCACTCCCCCGGTGCAGCGGCGGTTCCCAATGGGTCCGCAGGAGGAGCCGATGGTTCAGGGTGGCAGATCACAGTACGCAGCGACGGGGCCTCAGCATAATTACAGGAGGATGGATGATACGTCGCCTTCGAAGGAAAACGACTTTTCATACATGGAGACGCCGCCCGACTTCTACTGCCCACCGGCCCCGGCACGGCGGCTCAAGGCCCAAACATCAACCCAAAGCTTCCGACAGTCTCTCAAACCAGCCAACGGGCGTACCGATCAAGTATACACTTACACTCAGGGTCAAGCATCCCGCGCAACCGAGGGCGGAATTCAGAGCCACGGCGATCAGCCCAATCGGACAGATCGAGGTGGGCCACCGCCGCAGCAGGGTCCGTCGTTCATGGCCGGGGCTTCCGGAGTGGCCGGGACTCCTGGATCATACAACGCGTACAAAGGCCAGAGCGCAGACGGCGGGGACTTGGCTGCTAACGTAGCCCTTATGCCGCAGCTCGAGTCGATACAGAAAGCTCTGGACCTTCTTGGCAAATACGCGAAACCCTTACTCCCAGAGCTGGGCGGGCTGGGCGGGCTGGGACTGTACGCCGTCTCCGAGGCGCCCAACGAAGGAACAGATGGGCCTTCCCTGCCGCCGTCAGCAAGCGGTCATCAGCCAACTCAAGCCCGCGAGGGCGCGTGGTGCGGCACCAATGTCGACAAAGCGAACAGATACCCGAGAACGAATACTCAGTCACATCAGCAACAGCAGTATCCACAGCCACCAAAGGCCGGGCCCCCGGCGGGCTCTACTGCGAACGACGGGTTCCCCAGTGCCTTTCTGTCTCGTGAGCGCGATCATGCCAGCGAGGCGCACCAGCGGGCCAGACAGCCCGATGCTGAGCGGGGGAGACAGATCTGTCCAATTCCTGAAGCCCAACCTCAGACGGAGTGGCAAGACAGACGGACAACTGATGATGGAAGGCGGATGGCTAAGGAAAATTGGCATGAGTCTGGGAGCAGGTTAGAGTCAGGGCCGTCGGCACTTGCACCCTCCAGCAATGGCTCCACTACAGAGGGCTTAAGCAAGCGGAAAAGTGGAAGTCTGTCAGATTGGGAGATTGTAAATCCATAGACGGGGCTGCTGGTGGCATCGTCCTGAGAAACGTATCGAACGATTCAGTGGCCAGGTTCAGTAAAGTTCAGAAGTGCCGACCTCTCAGAAAACCATTTTGCATTTCTGGTGACTCAGTCAAAACCGATCTAACTCTTATCCGGGTTGACCACTGCACTGCTGGAAACTCAATGAGAGTCGACGTGTGCCGTGTTCCACCTGCTAACTCCTGATGCAGACGCAAGTCGTGCGTGGTCTACAAAAATAGCCTGCATCCAAAGCAACCAAACGCCATTCCATCCTGTTCTAACATTCAGCTGAGGTCTTACACTGCTCCTCGGATTCTATCCCAGAAGGAAACGGAGGGCTTCGCGCCATCGACCAATTCCGGTGTAACAACAACCGTATTCCACTTCTCCACACCATCAATGTACAAGCTATAATGAAGGCTGCTGCGTTCACCGTCCGCCAGGTTCTCGATCGAGAGAGATCCGAACTTGGAGTTTCCAGTGTTGATGTACCTGGTCATGTTAGCTATTGCGCGCTTTCTAGATTACTCGACAAAACTTACTTGAGTTCGACATCTTCATCGTCTTTCTGCTTGTAAGTTGGAATAGGGGAATAGAACTGGTTCAGGGGGCTAGCTGAGAACTCATGCACCGTGACGCTTTCAGGCCACTTTCCGTCCTTTGGCGGTGGGAACGCCGTGGCAGCAAATTCATGACGGTCACCCGACAGAACAACGACGCCGTATCCCGCAGCACCGGCATCCCACATGGCCTCGAGTACCAAACGGCGCTCGTGCAAGAAGCCGCCCCAGGTGTCTTTGGTATTGACGCGCCAGTTCTTGGTTAGGGGAACTGAGCTAGCGATGATCTTCCACTTCACACCCTTGGGCTCAGGACGACGAACCCAGTAAAGGAAGTCTTCTAACTGATCATGGCCAAGCATGGTTTTGTATTCGCTCTCAAAAGGCTCGCCGTTCCGAGAACGATAGCTGCGTGTATCCAACATGAAGAAGCTGGCAGGTCCTTGGGTGAAGGAGAAGTATGTAGCACCAGCGCGGGACACGACACCCGCGGTTCCAGCTCTTGAAGCACGAGGGGGGTTGACAGCGGTCTGGTAATGGTGCCAAGGGTCAACAGCAGTCTTATACACACCGGTAGTTTTGGCATCCCAGTCGTTGAGAATCTCGTGATCGTCCAGCACGTGGATCCAGCTGAGGTTCTGGCCGACAGGGGCCCAATCAGGCGATGCATAGACCTGGCGGTATTTTTGTCGGTAATCCTCCACTGACTTCCCAAAACGGTGGGGGACATCAATGTAGATGAAGTCGCCCATGAAAAGCATGAACTGGGCACCCAAAGACGGGAGAACTTTGGCAAGGTGCTTCATTCCAGGGATGGCCAAGGCGTGATCCATGGGGTTGTATGGGAGGCGAGGGAGAATGCAGGAAGTCGCGAGGAAGGTGAATTTGCCGTCGTTGTGATCTGGCATCTTTCCAGGCTTTGGCGCGGACAAGAACTCGCCAGAATGGTTGTTTGACGTGGTCCATTCATAGACGCGCTGCTTCGAGTGAGACAGGGGAATGGTGACGACGGCAGTGTAATCGGTCTCGTTCGATGTCCACTTAACACCGCCGGCTGTCTGCCAAAGAGGGTTGTCAAAAGGCGGCTGGGCGTCCTTGATATGTACCTGGACCGAGATGGGCATCTTGGACTGATCCGGTTCGCGAATCAGCAACTTAGCCTCGGTGTCGGACACATAACCAACGCGGGCGAACGACAGGTCATGGGTGGGGTACTGCCAACGAGGCCGGTACACGACGTCGGTGACCATTGCCACGCAGGCCGCATTGAGGAGAAAGCCAAGGATCGAGTGCAGCTTGCTGTTGGAACTCGGGATTCCTCCGAGGATGGTTTTCAGCGGAGACGCCGGCTTCTCCCTCACAGAGATATCCTCGGTGACCTGGACTTCCTCCTCGATCACGGCCTCGTCTGTATCGCCATTGGCTAGTTCGTCTTCATTCGCCAACCTGTCCGTCACCTTGACGTCGACATCATCAACCAGGACGACCTCGGGCTCCCGCCTGAAGAGCGAGACAAATGTAGGGATATATATGGCAAACAGGGCGTAGGATATGTATATGCACGGCTGTAAAAGTTGAGGTCAGAACGGGGTCTTTCGCCAGGGCCACGCGGTTCGGGCGAACTCGACTAGGACTTACCGGTAAGGCGGCCTGCAGCGGGCAATGGTCAGCACAAGACACACAGAGTGCGGTTGACAGTCAAAGGGAACATACCCAGCGCAAAAAGAAATAGGAAGCAATCTTGATACCGGCGGAGGCAATGCCAGCGGCGCGTGTTTGTGAGTCCATGGCGGCGGTTGTTCTCGACCCGGCAGTCGGGCGGAATGGAGATGACGGGGGAGCTTTACAGCTTGGGGAGCCTGGCCAAGTCAAGGTCTCATGTACGAGGCGTATAACGGCAAAGAGCGCGAGCCAAAGTTGGCCAAGGCAAGTCCTGAGGAGCTCACCAGATAGCACGGAAAATGTTTGCGCTCATTTGTGAGAGGGTGAGGTGGAAGAAACAATGTTGGACGAAAACTGGTTCTCTCGCGCTGCTCATTTACAGCTTATTAGCCATGCGTGGAGCGTCAGAAAGCGTCATCTGTGACGACAGGGGACAGCATGGGGGAGCGCTGTGGCTCAAGCTCCCCTGTAATCAACCGGCTCGGTGGGGCGGCGCTGCTGATTGGGCTGATAAGAAACCAAGCTTTCAGGCCGCCTCTGCCATTGGAGAGAGAGCTCCAGCGCGCTACGCGTGCTAAAGGAACCCCCCAGCGGCCCCTAGCCAGCCGACCCAAGGCGAGACGGGGGGCCTGGAACTCAGGGGCCAGATGGACCGGCCAGGGGGCAGGTGGCTGCTGAGGATTTACCATTACCCGTGCCGAATCGACTCGCGTGGCAGCTTTCGAACTGGCACTTGCATCATCCCGGCGTTCGAGCATCGCGACAAAGCTGCCCGAATTAACGCTGTCCTGCTTGCACCCGCAGACAAGATGAAGTCCACACTGCTGTCCGTCGGCCTGTTGGCCTGGCTGGTCTCCATCGTCTCCGCCACCGCTCTGACCTACAAGCTGGCTGCGAACGAGAAGGCCTGCTTCTACGCCCACACGCCCAAGGACAACAGCAAGATCGCATTCTACTTTGCCGTAAGACTGCCACCTCCGGACTTGGAAGCCATAGACTTATTTCTGACACGCGCTGGGATCTTTAGGTGCAATCCGGCGGCTCGTTCGATCTCGACTACGAAGTTACCGGGCCCGACGAGAAGATCATCTTGGACGGCGAGAAGGAGCGCCAGGGCGACTTTGTCTTCACCGCGCAGAAGGTTGGCGACTACAAGTTCTGTTTCAACAATGAGATGAGCACATACTCGGACAAGGTGGTCGACTTTGAAATCGCTGTAAGGCTTCCTCGGTGGTAGTCTGCCGAGGACACGTGTGCTGATGACTGCTGCTCTACAGGTCGAGGACGAGGTTCGAGCTCAGCTGCCCGCCAAGCAAGGCACCAGCCCCGAGCAGACGTCTGCGCTGGAGGAGTCGATCTACAAGGTATCGGGACAGCTTTCGACCATCACGAGGAACCAGAAGTACTTCCGCACGAGAGAGAACCGCAACTTTAGCACCGTCCGAAGCACCGAGAAGAGAATCGTCAACTTCAGCCTCATCCAGTGCGCCATGGTCATCTGCATGGGTGGCCTGCAGGTCTTTGTGGTCAGGTTCTTCTTCCAGGTAGGTTTGAGGCTCGTGTCGACGGCCAAGACCCCCACAGCTGACAGTTTTGCAGGGCGCGAGAAAGGGTTACGTATAAAGGAATGGCTTCATTGCGTGCACGATTTGATGATGGCGTCGAAAACAAGGCTTCATTGGCAACTGGAACTATGCGTCACACGTTGTATTATACCGTACCCGCCACGAGGGCAGGCGGAAGGGGGACACATTGCGAGTATGTATCGAGGCGTACACACATGTATCTGTTGCTTGGCAAGCCAGGGAAGTGATCATGATAATAGACTCGGACGGCACGGGACCTAGACCGATGCCCTTGGCTGTTATGCAATATGGGAATTGTAAGCAGACTTTTGTGCTCGAGCATTGAATGGATGGCCTGTGACTTTGAAGTCGGCACCCCAGGAAACAGTGTTTTGGCGGCGCTTGGGAGATGAATTTGAATTGTTGCCACTACAAAGTACTATATGCATGGAATAAAAAGAGGCCACAAGCTCACATCACAGCTCCACGGGTGACCCCCTTGGCTCCACCAGACGACCCCAGCAGCCCAGCAGCCCAGCAGCCCAGCAGCCCGCCGCCAATCCCGACTAGGTCAAGTCAAGGTCGTCCTGGGCACCAGCCACTTTCATCGGCGCCCAGCCACAACCTCCGAAAATCAAGTGCATGTCGGCCAGAGTCACGTCAAGAGCTACGCCAGGCTGCTTCTCTCGACCACCAAAATTTCCTGCAGCCTTGCAGTTCTTTGCACGCCAGCACCCCCGCCCGCACGCAACATCGACCATGGCATCGATTGCTGCGTCGCTGGCCCAGGCCCTCCCGAAACCGAGATACACGGGCGACGAGGAGGAGATACCCGCCCACGCCCAGCAGCGCGGGCCCCGAATCGTCGGCGCTGGCCAGATAGACGAGTCGCAGATCGTCCTGCGCAGGACCGGGCCACCCGCTTACGGACAGCGATCCGGATGGCGCCCCAGGGGGCCCGAGGACTTTGGCGATGGCGGTGCCTTTCCAGAGATCCCCGTGGCTCAGTATCCCCTCGACATGGGAAAGAAGGGCTCTTCTACAAGCAACGCCCTCGCAATCCAGGTCACATCTGACGGCAAAGTCAAGTACGACGCCATCGCGAAACAGGTCAGCACTCTCACTCACCACCGTGATCACTCCCTCCTATCTCCGCCGTTACTAACGTTGCCGACCTTCCAGGGCCACCGTGAAAACAGGATCGTACACGCCTCGTTCAAAGATCTGATCCCCCTCCGCCAACGCGCCGATGCGGGCGAGATCGATCTGGCCAAGCCGAGCGAAGATGTCGTCGCCGAAACGACCGAGCGAACCAAGAATGCGTTGGCTGCTTTGGTCAGCGGCGCCGTGGCGGCCCAGAAGCCCAAAAACGTCAATATTGGTCAGAGGAACGACCCTACCTTTGTTCGGTATACGCCCGCGAATCAGATGGGAGACAACTCCAAAAAGCAGGACCGCATCATGAAGATCGTCGAGAGGCAACGTGACCCCATGGAGCCTCCCAAGTTCAAGCACAAGAAGATCCCTCGCGGACCCCCCAGTCCGCCCCCACCGGTCATGAGATCGCCTCCAAGGAAGTTGACGGCCCAGGATCAAGAGGATTGGAAGATACCCCCGCCTATCAGCAACTGGAAGAACCCCAAGGGTTTCACCGTTCCGCTGGACAAGAGATTGGCCGCAGATGGCCGTGGTCTACAGGATGTCACTATCAATGATAAATTTGCCCAGTTTTCCGAGGCCCTGTTCATGGCGGATCGACATGCACGCGAGGAAGTCAGGCAGCGAGCAACAATGCAACAACGGCTTGCAGAAAAGGAGAAGGCGCAAAAAGAAGACAATCTACGCATGCTCGCACAGAAGGCTCGGGAAGAGCGGGCGGCTGCTGGCAGGCGGCGGTCCCCAAGCGGTTCGCGCGACTCGCGGTCACGATCTCGCAGTTATAGCTACTCGGACTCAGGTTCCGATAGCGAGGACTCCGAGGTCCGGGCACGAGAGCAGGCGAGAAAGGAGAAACACAAGGAGGAGGAACGGAAACTGCGCCAGTCCCGCATGGGAGCAGAAAGGAGGATGCAGGTCATGGCTCGCGAGCAGAACCGCGATATCTCTGAGAAGATTGCCTTGGGCCTGGCAAAGCCGACACAGCAGGCCGAAACCATGTATGATTCTCGTCTGTTCAACCAGTCAAGTGGGTTTGACAGCGGTATCAACGAGGATAACCCCTACGACAAGCCCCTTTTTGCAGCACAGGATGCTATCAGCAGCATCTATCGACCTCGCCAGAATGCGGAAGACTACGAAGACGAAGGAGCAGGAGACGCCGAGATGGCCAAAATCCAGAAGTCTAGTCGTTTCGGTGAGGTGTTGGGTAAGGGCACGTTCAAGGGATCTGCTGATGCGGAGGCTCGGGAAGGCCCGGTCCAGTTCGAGAAGGACGCCGGCGATCCATTCAATGTGGACAAATTTCTGGAGCAGGTGGACCAGAGCTCCTCGTCCAAGAGAGGCTACGGACTTCAAGACGAAGACTCCAGGCAGCCGAAGCGTGCTAGGGTCGATGAGGATGACGATTAAGTTGGCGCTTGCGTTTGACAGGCTGGTGTTAGTCATGGGTTTTGTACAACATCATACTGGACCAAAATCAGCATAGTCCGGTGATAGATAATACCATATTTTGCATGGCCACGCCTATTTTGCGGCGACTACAATAAACCTCAGAACTTGTTTTGCTTCTTCTGTGGGAGGAATATGCCCAGTACTTTGACCCTGTGTTCTGCAAGGCCAACGCAGACATCTGATGTGTATGGCCATGTTTCTTCCCCAAGAGGGGCTGTATCGTACTCTGAGTATATTCTCTCGCGTCTTACCCAAAAATCAGGATCAGTAGCTGTGGTGCATTTACAAAGAGTTTTAAGACCAGCATCCACCCTGTCGAATAGGCCAGTGAATGAACAGGCATGGGTTGAATGAGACTCAAATGACAACCCGGGGAACGTTCCCAAACTGTCAGGCCCTACCGGTAAAGAATCATCCGATTATTTTTAGACTGCCGTGTATCACCCCGGGTGAAACGCACATCACTCGAGGACGAACGTCACATCTTGATGCCAATGCGAAGGACGAAAATCCGGAGGGCCGGTTGGGGGGGCTCGGTCCTCGTCCCGACATTGGATTCTGTGTCCCCGGATGTATCTCCAGACGAGAGATCAATTCTTCGCCTCTTCTGGCCAATGCGATGTTGACGATTGCATACGCACTCTACTGCGCCCATATTACGACAGCCAGTGGGTTTTCTCGCTCTGGCGGCCTTGGCATGGGCTTCTATGGAAGTACTCGAGTACCTAGACAGCCTAGTGCTGTCTGTCAGTGGCTATGTGGCAAAACCAATCACGACATTAGCGCCTGCTTAAGCATGATTGACGACTAAAGTTGCGATAGGACCCCTGCGCCGTTCCTGGGTCTGGAACATCTGGAACACGAGCAGCGTGGTGACCCGGCGCGGCCGGCCAATCCCCAAGAGCCCTAAAACAGAGCTTCGAAAAGCTTTGCAGGTGGATGTCTCAAAAGCGTCGTCACCACCTGGACATGACATGGCACCCACCACTGCCGTCACTAGTTAGTATCATGAAGGGCATGTTTCAACCGCGATACCACCTTTCATTGCACCTGGTGCTAGTTGCTTGTTCCTTGAACAGCCCAAGCTCGACTTGGCACACGCTCGTCCAGTGACGCGGCGATGAACTACAGCCAGCATTGACGACGGTCACTTTTCATAATTTCCAATGGGCTTGTAAAGGGTGCCAGGTAGGTGGAGAAAGTGCAACTCGAGGCAATAGCCAGAGTATCACATTCCAAACCGTTGGGCCTCCCTGACAGAATATCTATCTGCCATCCGGACCTCCACCATGGCGTCCCGGAGAGTCCAAAGGTTTGCCCAACTCTATCGTTGTTGGTTTTTTTCTTGTCATAATAGTATCTTCTTGTTTTTTGTCTAATCTTCACTAAATTTACCGACTTGTTGGAACCCACCCGCCGCGTAGAGCCTTACCCGGTGTCATCGTCCCTTCTCATTGCCTTCCCTGGCGTATCGTGCTACTCCCTACGCGTCAGCGTGCTCCAGTTTTCCGCAAAAAGCGCACCCACCACAACCCAGATCCCAGAACTTTCAGAGGGCGCAGTTGGCTCCGTATTGTCAACCAGAGTTGCTAGTCTCGGGCCAAATCGTCTGTCGCAATTGTGGTGTGTTCGATGAGATCGGATCATAATCCAGCAATAAAACTCGCCTGGGCGGCATCCCCAGCCCTCGACCGCCATGCAACCACTTACACCACCCAATACCAAGATCTCGTACCAGGCAGCAACAAAAGAGCACCTGCAGCGGAAGCCCAATCCACTCGGTTATACCCCCTTTGAGTATTGGAAGGGCCCTAAACCAGTAATACCAGGCTCAAAGCAGCCACACAGGCCGAACAACACCGGGAGAACTACCACAATTGCGGTAACGTCGCTCCACGCGAGCAGCGACCCTACGGCACAGCAAAATTCGACTGTAGTAGCGTCGGGTTTCCCAGCCGAGAAGCAGGGCCGACTCGGGGAGAAGGCTTCTCTCGACTATACAAATATGGGTTGGGACACTCCAGAGCACGGAGGCAGAGCTGCTGGTCCAGCTTCCTTCCAGGTTCGCGACGCTAACGGTAACGTCGAGCTGCTATCGGGACAGCCGCCCTCATATGCGAACGCACAACTACCGCCTAGAGACATGAAGGGCGAACCATCGCGGTGGAATCCGCGATACTGGCGAAAGCGCACATGGGCCGGCGTGGCCCTAGCAGTGATCGTCGCAATTGTAGTTGGAGTAGTCGCTGGCGTCCTGGTTGCCAAGGCCAATCGCTACCCCGACTATACCAAATTGACTTACACCCTGGAAGAGACGTGTAAGTGTATACAATCCATCCAACCTTGGCAATTGCCGCTCACTGGCTAACTCCGACACTTAGACTCGGGCACCGATTTCTTCGACAACTTTGATTACTTTGAAGGATACGACCCCTCGGGAGGCTTTGTGCACTATGTCCCTCAGGCCAGGGCTGAGCAACTGGTGAGCACCCCTCTGCTTTAGCGCGAGACTGTGCATTATCACTAACCATGCATCCCCAGAACCTGACCTATGCCTCCTCGAGCTCAGCCGTCTTGAAAGTCGACACTTCGGTCGGAAACACTTCGAGCCCTGACGCATCGACGGGTCGCTTCTCCGTCCGCGTCACATCCAAGACGCAGTACGACCGGGGCCTGTTCATCTTCGACGTCAAGCACACGCCCCTCGGCTGCGGCACGTGGCCGGCGCTGTGGCTGAGCGACCCCAGCAACTGGCCGGACAACGGCGAGATCGACGTCATGGAGACGGTCAACGTGGTGGGCACCACGGACAACCAGATGACGCTGCACACGGACTCGGGCTGCGCCATGGACGTGAAGCGCAAGATGACGGGGACGTCGATCCAGGCGGACTGCAACAACGCGACCAACTCGAACGCCGGGTGCGGCGTGGCGGGCGCGTCGTCGTCGTACGGGGCCGACTTCAACGCGGGCGGCGGCGGCGTCATGGCCGTCGAGTGGCGCGACGAGGGCATCCGCATGTGGCAGTTCGCGCGGGCGGGGATCCCGGCCGACATCACGGGCGGCAGCCCGGACCCGAGCTCGTGGGGCACGGCGGCCGCCGACTTCCCCAACACGGACTGCTCCGTGTCGGGCCACTTCAAGAACCAGAGCATCATCGCCAACATCGACCTGTGCGGCAGCTGGGCCGGCAACGTCTACGCCGACAGCGGCTGCCCCAGCGACTGCACCACCTACGTCGCCAACTACCCCCAGGCCTTCACCAACGCCTACTGGGAGTTTGGCGCCTTCCAGGTCTACAAGTCGTCGTGATCCATGGTCGCCCCCTGATGCCTGATGATTCCTGGCTCTGCTGCGCAGCACAGGACGGGGCGCGGAGTTGCGCCCTAGTGCTTTTCTATCTGGTTTCGGATAATGAAGGGAACAGCAAATGATAAAAAAATTAGCGACGAGGTGCCATGTCCGTCTTTGATGTCTTTACTTTCTTCTCCTTAGCGCGGCGTTTTATGGAAGGTTCGAAGACGAAAGAATATGCTTTGCTTGACGCAAAGCCAGACGGTAGATAGGACTCGGGCGGACTGCTATAGAGATGACCAGTCTAATGCTAGAATACCCCATATATATTTCCAACGTAGAAGTATAGCGCGCTTATAAGCTAGTATCTTCATGACGCTCAATAGACTTGACTCCTCCGTGAATTAGACCGTACGGGCTCGGTGCAATTTGAGATAATGCAGGACCAGTCAGGGGTCTGGCGACGGAGTCACCTGAAAAGGGGGGCTCAGTATGTATGGCTTTGTTCATCCATCAATGCTCAGAGAAGAAGCACTACACATCCACAAAGAAGCAAGCGTGTTATCGATAGTCAAGATATCGATATATTTGTCTTATGGTTTTCGAAACCGCATGACATATTTGGAGCTTCCTCCGCGGGAATCTGCAATCTCCAGGTGATTGGATAGTTTTGAATGGTTATAATGTAGGACAAGATATCTAGTGGAGATGTCGCTGTCCGTGTCTATGTCTAGACCCGCCCCCCCCAAAAACGCCGAAGTGCTATGCAATAGATCATCAAGCGCCGTAAAGGCAAAAACGACCTCGAGGGATCGTCCTGCCCCAAAACCCTCATAGTGTACAGTGTAACATCATACAGGCCCTGTCTTCGCCTCTTTCTCGAACCTGGCAGGCCACAAAGATTCATCGTGGCGCTGTCCTATGCCGCAAGTTCCACCACTCTAGTCGCACACATATCGTCTCTTAGCTCGTAGGCTTTTCCCTTCCTCTTCATCTCCCTCTCAATCATCGCTAGGACTTCGCATGTACGCGTCGATGGCCGCGCTGAAGGCAGCAAACGCGGCACAGCCACCGCCGACGGCCAGGGGCCCGCCGCCGCGGGCCAGGATGCCGCCCGTCAGACACCCGGCGGCGACGCCGTTGGCCAGGTCGTTCTTGGCGCGGAAGCCCTCGATGCCGCACTCGATGCCGGCGAACATGGCGCCGACCTTGCCAAAGTTCTTGGCCATGCCGTAGGACCGCGTGCCCATGTCCTTGAAGCCCGTCTTGAGCTGGTCGCGCAGCGGCAGCGACGCCAACTCCTTGGGCGGGCCGCCGGTCGCGCCGGGCGTGTGGTACGGCGTATCGTAGGACATCTGGTGGGAGAGGGCCCGTTAGATTCTCTTTCTTCTTTTCCTGGCGTTCCCGTCGGGAGAGCGTGGCTAAGGGGTGGGGTGTGAGGGGGCGAGAGCTTGGGGCGCAACGTACTGATGCCATGAACATTCCAAAGAGACCACCCATGCCGAAACCCATGACTCCTGATATCACGGTCTTGCCGAAGCAGGATTCCATCATGGCTTGCATCTAAGTAGAGAAGGTCAGCACGGCGCTGTCAGGATGCGACGGAAGGGGTAGCCAAAGGTGGACGGGGGGAGGGACGGACTCTCTTGATGTTGGGGTCATTGGCATCGTAGCCCGGAGGCCCGCCGGCACCACTGCCACCTGGTAACGAGTTCATCTTTCTTGTGTGTCGACGTGCAGCGCGGCAAAGGGAGTCTGGCGTTCTCGCAAGATGGAGTAGAGCTGAGCTCACCTAGGGCGGCCCAGTTCGTTATCGCGGAAGCGATAATGGATTTTATTTCTGCCCGTCTCCACCGCCCCAGAGCCCCCGGGATGGGGATGGCGAATCGCGGCCTTACTCATTACATCCACCAATCCAACCTAGTCAGCTCATATAGTACCTATATATATATATATATATGGTGACTACTCGTTACGACCGGAGTGAACATGACATGGTGATCTTGTTGTCTTCGTGGTATCTACAGAATCTCAACCGAGTCTTGCTATCGCCAAATTATCACGTGACAGGCCGTCTTCGACTGGGTGCCTCGAATACGGTTCATCTAGCCATGTGACGATGAACGCACCAAGTAAAAGACTCGATTGAAGATCGCTGTGGGGGAGCTTGGTGATCATGGATGTGATAACTACCGGCAGCGAAACATCTAACCCCAGTCCACAGCAGTGTCCAAAGAAAAGCTCCTTGCTTGTTACGATACCCCTTGGGGATGCATCGATCCTTTCAAATTCCTCATATCTATATTGTTACAAAGCCCGCGCTGCGTCTCCGCGACTGATGCGCGGAGCTTGAAGATTAGCGCTAGATGCATACAAAACAAATGGTCGTCAGGTTGAAGTCTGGCCCTATGCTCCAGGGCCACGGGAGACCCCAAACGAAGCCTGGGATATTATGCTTCGACTCCAGCTCCACTCGTGGTTTCCCCTGGATCTCCACCCCCTCCGCCGCCGCTCTTTTTCGGCTTGATTACGAGCAGGATGATCATGCCTACAATGACCAGAACCAGGAGCAATATGATCTTTCGTTTCGTCGTCTTCTTCTGGTATCCGGAAGCTACCACGAGCTCCTTCTCGGCGCCCTTGAGATCTGTGGTCATGCGCTCCACGTTGTAGTCTATTCGATCCAGCATGGTTCCTTGGTCGATGACCATGGTCTGTAGGTCCCGGAACAGATCGGAGAGCTCAATGATGCCCTGCGCAATGTCTTCAATCTCCCTCTCGCGCTGCATGATGGCGGCGTCGTTGCTGTGGAGTAGTTTCTGATGAGTCGTGGCCTGCAGGGCCGACTGCGAGAAAGACCTGTCGGCATCCGATTCCAAGAGTGCTGGGTCTGCAGCGTAATTCGATCCCATGGGCGTTGACGCTCTGTCTGTGGGGGATGCGCCTCCGAGCCCGGACATGCCGCGCAGCTCTGTATCACGTGTCAGTATCACTACGTAGTCGGGGGCGCCCCAGGGTCCGATCAGCCTACTCTTGAGATATGCGCTCTGCTTCTTCCGAAAGCCAGCGCTTGCCTCCTGAACCCGGGTGGCGAGGCTGGTCTGCACGTTCCGGGCCATGGTCTCCTCGGCCCTGGTCATGTTGCCGTCCTTGACCATCTGCTCGACCCGTTGTATGCAGCGGTGGCAGTCATGAAAGCCCTTGGTGATGGCCTGGGTCAGGTCCTCGATCTGCTTCTCCTCGGCCTTCTTGGCCTCGTCGTCGTTGAAGCCGGGCAGCACGTGCTTCTGGTGCAGGCGTTCGAGGGCCTGCGACTTGCGGGCCACGTCGGCGAGGAGGTCGGTCACCTCGTCCGAGATATCGGCCCATCGCGGCGGCAGCAGGTCCATCTCGATGACGGCATCGCCATCGTCCCAGTCGGCGCCGGACAGGAGGCCCTGCTGGTCCTCGGAGGCGGATGCGCCACCGCGGCCGAAGTCCGGGAAGCCATTCCCGCTGGGGCCGGAGTATTTCGTCTTCTTGGCGGGGTGGTGGGCGTAGGACTGGCGATAGGAGATGTAGCTTCAAGGGGGGAGAATAGTCAGCAAAGCGGTTCCCATTGGGCAGTTGCGGCGAGCGGGCGAGCGGGCGGGCGGGCAGCTCGGTGGTAGGCGGTAGGTGGTGGGCAGGGGTCTAAGTCCTACAGGTTGGTGCGGTCTCGCCACATGGCGGACGCCAGAGACGGGGTTGATTCCCCTTCACTCGAGTAGAACGCGGGCGCGGTCGACGGGGGAGCAGGTGGGCAGGTCTCGGGGGGTTGCGGTTCGTGATGGGGGCGCCGTGGGTTGCGAAGTTGGTGATAATCTACAGGACATGGTGTACATAATCCAGCGGCAGCCTTCCGGGGAGAGGTGACGGACGTGCAGCCAGCAGCAGCAGCAGAGGTCAATTGAGGCTGACGTAGCTGCAGGCCGTCGGCTAGGACCAGTGCAGTTTAGACTCGAGCCGGGACTGGACAGGCTTGGAGGAACTACTGCGGTACGTCCTGGACAGTGGGTGGTGTCCTTGGTTAATAGCCCAGCCCAGCAACAACGTAAGTTACAGGATGTAAAAATATCCAAAGCTAGGTACCCGGGTATCGTGATATGTGTAGTGCCTGCGCCCGTGTCTCTTCTCCTGGCAACCTGGGAACAAACTTGTTGCACACGTGTCGAATGAGGCGCATGGATTTGTGATGAATTCTGGGGGCCAGCTTGGATCAGAACCCCGTCTGTACTCTGTGCTACGGAGACAGAGCCCACCAGCCCACCCCAGGAGCGAATGAAGGAGCTGTCGCCCGTTTCACTGCTTGACTGCATTGCGATTCAGCCCAACGCTCGGGCCACACTGGCGGGCCGCCGTCCACTGCAGTCGTCTTTTTGGCCCGCCCGTCCAGGTCCACTGTCCCTGGTGGCCGTGGGGAGTCCAGTGCCCAGGTGCTTGACTGCCTTGGACAACTGGACAGCTGGACGCTGGACTGGACTGGACTGGACTGGACAGGGGGCATGGAAAGGGGGCCAGCCTGCCAACCAAGCCCAGCAGCCAACCAGCCACCTGGGCAGTCAGTTTCCACCTGGGCAGGCTCGCCGGCTGCCTTGGGTGCGCCGCCGCCTACTAGGGGGGGTTCCCTCCAAGAATCCAAGAAGGCCCAGCAAGCCAGCAAGCCAGGGAGACGGGCCCCATCTGGCCCCCCCAAGCCGCCGCTGCCAGCCCGGCCCAGCCCATACCATGACCCTCTCGCTCGGCACCCAGCGCCAGACCAGGTGCGAAGCTTTAAACTTCTCCCCTTCCCCCCCCCCCTAAACCAAACAAATACATACACACATCCAGGCCACCAAGCCGACCGCTCACGATCCACGATCCACCCTGACCGCCAGCAGCAACGCTCTGGACAGACAAACCCAACCCACGACCACACTTCTCTCTCAACCACCCAAATACACATCAAGCTTCACAATGGTGCGTCGCCCACTCTCCTCGCTTCCACAACCGTTCCCCGCCATTTCCTACCCCGCGGTTGAGCTTTGAGGGGCACCTGGACTGGCCCTTCTCTCTCTGTCTTTCTCTCTGCCCACTGGCAATCTTGTCCAGATGCTAACGTGATGCCCTCACCTGCAGGCCGACTCTCTCACCGAAGAGCAGGTCTCCGAGTTCAAGGAGGCCTTCTCCCTCTTTGTAAGTTCACCCGCCCCTTCTCCCCCTGCACCACACCCGCACCCGCACTCGCATACGGCTTGGCTGACTCTGCTCGTATATAGGACAAGGACGGCGATGGTGAGTCGCTTGGCAAACCCCGACGCAGTCTCTCCCTCTCCCTCACGCCCTAATTACAGTTCGCTGGGCAACATGACGCCTTCATCCGCGCGAACTTCCTTCTCCCTGACCTATCACCATCACCCTATCTGAACAAGCGGGATGGTACCACTAAACGACCCCTCCCCGAACAGGTCAGATCACCACCAAGGAGCTGGGCACTGTCATGCGATCGCTTGGCCAGAACCCCTCCGAGTCCGAGCTGCAAGACATGATCAACGAGGTCGATGCCGACAACAACGGCACCATTGACTTCCCTGGTACGTTTGGCCTCACCGGTAGCCTTGCTCAGGCTGACATGTATGCGCAGAGTTCTTGACCATGATGGCCCGCAAGATGAAGGACACCGACTCCGAAGAGGAGATCCGAGAGGCCTTCAAGGTAAGGAACCCGCCCTCTCCGTTTGCTACCTGCCATCGGCCGCCCGCAATACTAATGCTGCCGTAAAAGGTCTTCGACCGCGACAACAACGGCTTCATCTCGGCTGCTGAGCTGCGTCACGTCATGACATCGATCGGTGAGAAGTTGACCGACGACGAGGTTGATGAGATGATCCGCGAGGCTGACCAGGACGGTGATGGACGCATCGACTGTACGTGCCCGCTCTCCCACCCCTCGACCCTAGCGTCCGACTTCGCACTAACCCCCCGACTTCTAGACAACGAGTTTGTGCAACTCATGATGCAGAAGTAGACGTCTCGAGATTTACTTTAGAAAATGGTCTCTTTTTTTCCCCCATACCCACTCTCATGTCGCGATGAAAATCCTTATGTTCCTTCTGTTGATTCGGGATTGAGCCTAAGGGCATGATTTGGAGAGAGCCAGGTGGAGACTGGCTTTTGGTTCAGGGATATACAAGTTTCATGGGCAACTGTTTGGTAGTATGGGTAGAGGTCATCCCCCCGCGGTTGAATTAGCTTCTCCCTTTCTTTCCCCAGATAATACAAGCTCATCCCTTGTCTCTACCGACCATTTATATCCCTCGCTTGCTATACACCGGGTTTGACAACCGGGGAGATACCGGTTTTGATCACATCTCGAGCCTACATGTAAGAGATACACGTCAAGTGCTGACCTGGGGCTGGCTACCCAGGAATTACCAGTCATATCGTAACGAGAACCGACGCTTCAACTCCGAGCAGGTCTATGGCCCCAATCAACGATTTCGTCACACGAAGTTAGTATGGACCCAGCTAGTCAATCAGGGATGTTGGAGTGCAGCCCAGGGAGATCGTCCCCTTATACACACGCATGAAGATCATGCCCGGGCGCCACCACGGTTCCGATCAGGGCATACACAGGAAAACGGGGGGAATTGGCGGACGGCAGCCCAATGTCTTCCCGGAAATCATGAGAGTGGAGTATTCATGCAGCAAGAATTACACTATGGTATAGAGTTGTACACAGACCCGGAAAGGAGCCTTGCTCAGACCTTGGATGGGAAGGGCGGCGAGCACGTTCATTCCATTGAACCGCTGCAGTGCCTGAACGCTATATCTCCACCGCAAGACGTGTGTGGGAAAACGAGATAACACACAGCCGGCCGTGTTCGCTGATATATATCTATGTATCACCCCTGCCCCAAACGCTGGCGTATTCTCGTGGTCCGATCCTGTATACCCACCAAAAGAGGAGTGTACTCAAATACGTCTCATGTCATGTGCCCGCCGCCCTTGATCCAGCAGCAGCTCGTCTCCCTGGTCCCCGCTCCTCCTCCTCCACCAGCGCCTCCTGCCTCGCCCAGCGCTTCTGCACCAGGTGCCATCCGAGCCACAGGGCGACCAGCAGGGAGAACAGCCCCAGGACCAGCCCGATGACGGTGCCGGCCTTCTGGTGGTGCGTCCACCCGGTGTCGTCGCTGGGCGCCGTGGTGGTGGACGCGAGCGGCGGCGATGCCGTTGTCGTCGTCCAGGATGAGATAGGGGCAATGGGCGTGCTTTCGGCGACTGTGGTGGGCGCAGACGGCGGCGGCCATGTCGGTGGCAAGGAGAACGGCCAGCTGGTCCATAGGGTACCCAAGGGCGGCTTGTGGAGGGTCTGGGAGGATTCGCTTTGCATCTTTGATTTGGAATTTAGCGGTGCGTTCGTAGTGTTCGATTCCCTTGATGCGAACTTGGAGGAATTAAAGAGACTCTACATTGAGCAGAGAGGGCCTCTGGGGATGAAGTTAGTCATGTTTCCTTTAGGTCGGTGGCGTGAATTCGCTTCAAATCTATCAAGGAAGTCACATACAGCTAAGCAGCGGAAGGTGGTGATTAAAACAATTATCTTTGATTATGACAGCTCCATCTAATCACCCTCAAAGGTAGGCCCTTTCTCTTCTATCTTCACCACCAGATCATGCTGTATTCTCAGGAACTGACTGCTTGACAAAGCCCTTGCAACTGTAGTCTCGTTCTTCTCAACAACCATCCTCCTCAGCGCCCTCATCAAGAAGCCAGCGATCAGATCGACGCTCCAGCTGTCGGGGATCAGACTCAGCACCTCGTCGACATCGAACCAGCCGCCGAAACGATCGAGAAGCATCCCGGTCTGTTCCACGCGATCGCTGACGTCTTCGATGGCCAGGAACTCGCTGAGTACAGCGCGGAAGAGCCGGGCTTGTTGGTCCTCGGTGGGTGGTGCGCTCTCACGCCGCTTAGGCGCTCTGCTGGTCTCCGGCGCCGAGGGATGAGGGGAACTGGGAGTCGCTTGGTATATGCTGTAGATGCTGGCGCCGCCGCGTATGCAGTACGCCACTGCCGTGTCATAGTCCCCTAGATGATGCACGAGGAGCCTCAGGGCGTTCTCGTGCTTACGCTCCCGTCCGTCTAATATGATGGTTTCGGGGACGAGCAGATCTGGCGCGGTGGCTTCGAGACTCTCGATGCGCTGCCTGCAAGTACTTGCGTCGTATTCGTATGGACCACCTAGGAGTTGGAGCAGACGCAGTCGGCTCTGCCACACCTCATCATCTGGTGGCGCGTTGTCCGTCAAGAACTGACGGTAGGTCGGCTTCAGGGGGCGTAATGCCCGATACGCTGCATACGTGGCGATAAGAACATCGCGGGCTTCTGCCGAGGCCTGTAAGTGTGTAATGACGACGTCGAGGTAGTAGGTGATGAGCTCGTTGACGTAGATTGTGTGGCCTTGGCCGAAAACCAGGTATTCAAGGTAGTACTTGACAGCGTCAGGGGCGTCCTGGCGGAGGATCTGGACAGCGTGGGCAGGCTCGAATTTCGGCGCACGACCCTTCTCATCGGCGAACACTTGCACGCCTAGCTTTGGGTTACGGTTGGCAAGCCATACGCCATACTCTTGTACCAAAGCCTGGTTGCTGATCTTTGAGAGATACTCCCGTATACGTTGTTCGCCATCCCGAAATTCGCCTCCATCGTCTCGCTCGCCCTCGACAATCCGCCTCCAAGTGGTCAATACTTCCTCAGCCATTCTGCGGCTTTGGTAGAGACGACTCAATACAAATAGGCGATGGTAAGACTCAATGAGAGTCTCAGCCCTGTCGAAGCAGTCGACGCCGTTGTCGACGAGGTCGTACAAATCGGCACGTACTGACTTACCCTTGGCCAGTCCAGGAGGTGAATGTTGGTCTAGCTCCAAGAGTACTGCTAACAGGGCCGCATCCACGGTGCGGAATACCTCGTTTTCATCTGGGATGCTGCCAAAGCCTTTCTTCCGCCGCCAAGAAGTGAGGAAACGCTTCAAAAATTGCAGCGTATGAGCCGGAAGGATGCTCACACCCGCCCTGCCCTTATCAAACGCATCGGTAGCAATGTATTCATCCGCTGTAGTCTTTACACCACCGAATATCCAGATCCCCCGTCGTGTCTCTATCACTTCATTACGGACACCGGGTATGAGTGATAAGACCACTCGCGGGTCGAGAAGGCTGTCAACCAGGACTTCCTCAAGCGCGCGTAGCTCTGGGTCACTGAATGATTCCTTGTCTGCCTGCAGAAAACTCGTCAGGAGGAGGATGCTTGCCTTTTGCCGGATGTAATTGAACGTCAAGAACTCCAGTTCTGACTTGGCATCACGCCCTCGGAATGAGTTGAGTACCGCGAATAGTTCTCGACGTTCAGACACGGTCTTGATATCTGAAGCCGCAGCTGCCTCAAGCTGGGCATCTAGCCTCAGAATCAAAGGATTTCGTAAAGCCCACCAAATCTGGTGTCCTGACCACACCGCCAAGCCGGCACTAGAACCAGCCAGCCGGCGAGCAAACTCTTCCTCTTCAGCATTGCGACTACTCTCCCATCCCTCGGGTAGAGAGTCATCGTCTTGCGAGTCATTGTCTCTTTCAAAGAGCTCCCTCTCTTTGGACATCTGTTCCATGGATAGAGCCGTACGAGAGTCTATACTCCTCAGTGACATGGTCGATCCCTCTATTGCCGCGATCCCCCCTGAGAATGGTTTGAATCGCTGCTGGCGGAGTCTATCCACGATTTCCTGGAAATGTATCTCATCAGAGCCAAGGAGCGACCGGAGCCCTAGAGTCTGCGACGGGATGACAATCGAAGAATCGGTTATGGGGGGTTCGAGCCAGTATTTGGCCGGCTCAGCCTGCGATCCGTCGGCATCCCACCTTTGAATCTCGAGACCATTATGGACCCCATCGTCAAACTCACGTCCCATCGCAGCCAAGACATACCCTTCCTCTAGTTCACCCAGATCTGGCCTGGAAGAGGACAGGTCTGCAGGGCCACCGTCAACAACAATCTCCTTGGGGTATCGATCGAACTCGATAGTTGGCCTTGTAGGGTCGCCATCCAGATTCACGAACATGCCTATACCAGGCTCCAGAGGCCCAGTCCCAGTCACCAGAAGAAATTCTTCAGGGGTTGGAGAGGCGATATGTGGCTTCAGAAAGACTTGCTTCGGCTTCGCAGCTGCTCCCGGCCGACCGAGACCTTCGGCCTGAGGCTGGGGTGTCCCATCTCGACTGGGTATCTGTTCTGGCGGTCTTGGGCTCCCAGTAGGCTCGGGAGGTTCTTGAAAGACGGGCTCGTCCTGGTCAGCAGGACGCTGCTCCTGCCGTCGATTGCCAGAGATCAAATTTCCTAAGCTAGTCCCCCTACGGTGCTGCTGGGAGTCATGAACCTCGGATTGCGGCCGGCTCTGCGCCGAGGATGCGCTCCGTAAAATACCACCGCCATCACTTCCCGAGATGTCTTGCGCTTGGCCTACAATGTTGCCGGGCTGCGCTTCGTCCAGGGACGATATCGACATCAAGGGGATTTTGAGCTGGCGCTCGATTTCCAACAAGGCATAGTTCCGCGAGTCGGCCACGCAGGCGATAGAGTCGCGCCTGACGGTCAAGGAACTTGCCGGGAAGTCAATCTTCTTGATAACACGGGCATCTTCCCCTATCCGGACGACCTGGATCCTCCGATTCAGGGATAGAAGGATAGTGATACCGGAGCTTTGGGGGTTCTCGTGATCAGATCCAAACTCGTTCAGGTCAACACCGCCGATCCAACTACAGTTTTTCACTTGTATATTGCCAAACACAGGACTGAGCTCGGGCAGGGAGTAGAAGGTCACGGTCCAGTTGCACAAGATACAGGCTTTGCCTACCCTCGGCAGTAGTAGGATCTGCTGGACGCCAGGTCTCGAGCTTCCAGAGGACCCGGGCGGCTCTGCAAAGGCTGGCTGTAGTCTTGAGGCCTGGACGAAGGTGGTGGTGGGGGATTTATCGGCAGGGTCGGGGGGTATCTTGACGAAATGGATGAGCTCCGAGGCAGAAGTGCCGACGTAAAGGTTGCCATCTGCACGCCTCCTGCATTAGCAATTGGACGCCGAGGGCTACATGTGGCGTGCGCACCTAGATAATCAACGCAGTTGATCTTGATATCGTGGTCAGCCGCGCCTTCGGCGGAGAGCGGGACATCCTGGAGCAGGGTGCGCAGGACGTAAGGCCCAGACTCGAGCGGCGTGCGTTTGGGTTTCTCCAGAGCGCGTTCCTCATCTTGCGCATCTGAAGCCATTGCAATGGCGCAGCATCATTACGAGGCCTGCGGTCGCGGGTCGAGGGAGTCGTGGCAGCAGGCGCAAATAGAACGGCGTCGTGGATGTGGAAAGCTGGTCGGGAACCTGGCAGCCTGGAGGGATGGGTCAGGGCGAGGCTGGCGGGCTCGTTGGAGGTTGCATACTCCAGGCGGCCAGGCGTTGTTGGAGTTACATCCTCCACTAAAGCGTCACTTCGAGGTGCTGTGGCTGTCGACCCGGCTGCTAATAATAGCGTTATCTAATCGCCGATCATGCCCTGGCGGGACTGGCGGCGCCTGGAGCTTCCATGAGCTTGGGGGCAATTACGTATCCACCACAGCTTTTCTACCAGCACGACGCAACCGCCAGCATCACCATCAGCATTAACCACCAAAGCCCTTCTTCGGCACAACAGCGACATATACAAAGCGGGAAGCGCAAGACCCCAGAACCGAGAGAGAGGATACAACAGCAAATACGCCATTCTGGCCCCCGCTTTAGACGTCGCTCTTGGATCGTACACTCTCACACACGTCGGCGTTGTCTCCAGGCCTCACCAGCTCACACATTGCTACGATGAGTGGAGGGTGGAACACCAGTCAGTAACGCCGCGCAGTATGTTTGTTGTCATCACACGGCTAACTCATTCCCACAGTCGAGTCGGACGCAGTACGTCCAGCTCCCTGCCCACACGTGCTGTCGGATTGCGACGCTGACATCTTGGTCTAGGGTGTCTTTACCTACCTGCTCGACAACCTGGGTGTTAAGGACGTGCAGTTTGAGGAGCTACTCACCCTCGAGCCCGACTCTCTGGCCTCACTCTACCCTGTATACGGCGTCATTTTCCTGTTCAAGTACCCCACGAACGAGCCATACACATCGACAGACAAGCCGCTCGACGGCACCTTCGATCGCGATGCCTCGGAGCGCCTCTTCTTCGCCGCCCAGACCATCCAGAATGCATGCGGCACCCAGGCCCTGCTATCCGTACTGCTGAACAAGGAAGGGGAGATTGACATGGGCGGGCCCCTGCGCGACTTCAAGGAGTTTACCATGATGCTACCGCCTGAGTTTCGCGGCGAGGCCCTCAGCAACTCCGAGCTGATCCGGGATGTTCACAACAGCTTCGCCAAGAGCAGCCCATTTGTGGACGAGACTCAGCGGACGGGTGGCGAGACCGAAGACGCCTTCCACTTTGTCGCATACACCCCTATTGACGGTACGCTCTACGAGCTGGACGGCCTACAGCCCGCGCCCATCAGCCACGGCGCCTGTACCTCCGGCGAATTTCCAACCAAGGTCATGGACGTTTTGCAGCGGCGCATCAACCGGTACGACATCACCGAGATCCGCTTCAATTTGATGGCTATGGTGCGTGATCTACGGATACAGGCGCGCGACATTGGCGACGTGGACATGCTCGAGCGAGAGGAGCGCAAGCGCCGAGACTGGCAGTTCGAGAACGCCCTGCGGCGACACAACTTTGTGGGATTCGCCGGCGCTGTGTTGAAGGGTGTTGTCGACAAGAAGCTCAAAGAGGGCAATGGTGCTTACGAGAAGTGGGTCGAAGCGGCCAAGGAGACCACCAAGAAGCGCATAGAAAGCAGGAGGAAGGGCGGCGGCGACGACATCGAGATGGAGGGATAGGACAATAGGACTGATGGTCTAGTTTCGGTTGTAGACTAGAGCTTTGGGGATCTTTCATCCTTCACGACCAAGCCGGGCGTTATATGGTTGGTAGGCTATAGAACACAGAGCACCGGAGATACCCCAATGGATCTATCAACAATAATATTGTCTAGAAATACCCATGACTGTCTATAGAGGAAGATTGTGTCTAACATAATTAACCCATAAAGACGTTGAGCTATTCCAACATGTAGACAATAGTCGCGCGCTAGACTTACACGAGCCCAGAACGTATCGCGCTTGTTTCAATCTTGCTTCTGAGTATGGTCTGTTTGTATCTAGGCCAAGGAAAAGACCCTTTCGGACTTGTGGTAGAGACCCTGGTCCTACGAGGGTCGTCTGCCTCTGTCCCCCATGCACGCTGAAGGGTTTTATCTTCCCTCCTGGGTCCGTTTGGGAACAGCTCGTCACAAACTTGGCGTTACTGGCCTTCCAGCACGGCTGCTTATGAATGGCAGACAGGGCCCCAGCCCCCACCTGAGCCGGCGACGTAGGCACTGTAGGTTACCATGAAACTCGAAAGACAGAGCCACCCCTGCGCAGGCGTATACTATGCCTCTCTCAGCAACAGAGCTGTGCGCACTGACGAAGTGTCGGGAAGAAACTCCTTGCAGCACCTCAAACGGTGTAAGTGTATTGGCTGGATGTTTCACGTTTCAGCTCCTTTGGGCCAACCCACGCTGGGGGAAGTGTGTGGGTGGGGGTGGGGGCCCAGGCACGAAGCGATTCCCAAGGGTCTGGATGAGGCAAATCCGTGACTCCTCCTCAATCTATCCGGCGCAGAGCTTGGCATCCCAAAATCGAGCCCCTTGGCATGGGTTGAGGCAGGTGTAGGTTTGTTGGTGGACTCAGCGAGACCCCTTAGATGTCGATTGTGGCGCCATGCTTAAGTACTTACAGTAGGCTAGAGTATAGAACCTGACCCCACTGTTCCTGGGACTTGTCAAGTGCTAATCCCGTTGCAGTCAAAACATAGTCGACGCCGGCGTTGAATCTTACCCACTCGCGCAGCAACAAGCATACTATACAAGCAGGGCAGGGCAAAGCCGAGTGTTCAATCCACCTGCAAATGCAGCTCCCCATACTTGCTCACGAACAAAACAAACGCATTCTGAGCCTCTCGGTCCTGTTGATTAGGTCAGTGCACCCGGGCCGAACTGGCTCCAATGTGCGTGGGCTGGGAAGACCGAAATTGGGATAATTGTGACGAGTTCAGACGATGTTTCGTGTCTCCCCTGCGCGTATTGCCAATCATGCCCTGAAACGTGTGCCTCTCGCAGGACATTGCAGCTGAGCCTACTCAGTTACCTGGATAGGTAGCTGAAGGGCTTGCTCACAGCCTTAAGTCTATAGCTGTGTGTATGTGCCGGAAACTACCCCCCACAAAATGGGTCCAGCTCGAGCGGAATCAACCCCCTTTAGTTTCAGCCCTGCCAGTGGATGATGGATGGCCCGGGTTCCACAAGGTGGCCGTGCGCCATGATGCTCTTCAGGATGAGTCGACTTGGTCGCGTTGCACTGCTTACCCTGGCTGGCCGTGGCTAACGGACGAGTACAGCCTGTGACGGCGTCGAGTAGTCCCGTCTGGGTTGCCGACTGCCGATTGTCGCAAGGTATAGACAAGATTCTGGGGTTTCAGGTGCACCATACTCTTTATCGGCCCACGATGCGTGAGCCCGCGGCAAATTGATGTCGGCAAACTTGGTATCTGGTAAAGACAGCGAAATATGTTGAACCACAGTCTGATAGCAAATGTTTGTGCATCTGTATGCTGGTGGTTAGTCTCCAGGCACGGGAAGCTTCATCATGTCAACTAACTAAGCTTAGAAAGGATGAGTAGCTACGGGCACAATGGTTCACTTGCACGTTTCTTGGCAAACCAAATGAGCTTCGCGTAATCCGGTTTCCGCGGGGGGCGCGGGACGTTGTCGCGTGCAGAGCAGACACCCTTGCCCGTCACTAAGTTAGCTGCCGAACCAAGACTAAAGGCGTGTGTATACTCTGCCTAGCCCAGGAACCAGATGGTTCCAAGCGGTACTCGGAAACGCTGTACGGGGGTCTCATGTACGTCAAGAGGCAAACGCTTATATCAAAGGCGTTTTATTATGCATGGCATTTCGGGACGGGGAGGGGGGTAAAAGAATGGCAGCCCGTCTGATAAGGTTGCAGCGAGCATCTTATCGCGTGCATGGCCGATCACTGCCCAGGTCTGAAGGGGTTTCCCAGCGCAACGGATGCGACAAGCCCAGACGACCATAGTCAGGCCATGTCAGCGTAGCAGTGTTTCAACACCGGATGCAGGTAAGATATCTGGAACCAACCGCCAAACGCAAACCTGTGAGGGAAGAGCCTCAATGCAAAGTAAGACAAGTCGAAAAAGGCACGGTTGAATACGACAGAGTTGCAACGGCCATCAAGCGTCGGAGGGATTGTATAGTATTATCGATCCATTGGTACGGGCCTATGAACATAGATTTTCCCCTCGCAACGTCGCGCGCGAACGACGCATCCAAAAAAAAGTCCGCGCGCAGAAATGAAATGCGGTCCCAGCCTTGGTGCAATAAAAGTAATATAATTTGGTTGCCAGCGTCGCTGGGTCCCATACATGTAGGAATCCTCAACGCCTGAACGCCAGGCGGATGAAGTGCTTGTTTAGAATGTGTCCCGTGGCCCCCTTCCGTAATATCATACAATGCTCATAGTCCACCCTTTGGTTTGGTCATGTCGTCGTAGTGCGGTATGGAGGGACGTTGTTCATGTAGATTTATGACCTGAGTAGAAGAAGTATCTATGATTTTGATTAGCGTTCGTAGACCTTGATATAGACGAGAATGTGATGACATACTGTGCTGAGTACTGGACCTCGAATGTAGCGGGCATGCCTGCACAAGTCGCCGGCGCGGAGCCTCCTGCCGTCTCAACACGATAGATCTCTTGTAGATCACCAGTGGCGCCGTCGCGGGTCTTGAGCTTCAGCCACGGTACAGCAGCCTCACCATTAGGTCCCTTGGCGGCATCAGCGGGTGCACTAGTCCCGTTCAGCTTGGCGCTTGGTGCCTCGCCGAGTTGCAAGTTGGGCCGGTCGAGGTTGAAGAAGGGAGTGGTCGTGTTGGTGAAGTAGTGCATGCCCGAGATGGCCAGGTTGCTCGGCCCGAGTCTTGCCTCCTCGTCGGTGAGGGAGAACCGAAGTGCCATCTTGGTGATCATGTTGGCAAGGTCGGGGTAGCTGGAGACTACGCAGCTGGCGTTGAATAGCGTTGCCACTGCACCAACCTGGACAGGAGCAGCGGTTGCGTTTGTGGTATCGCATGTGTAGTTCTGCGTGCCACGGCCGACAGCGACGTGCTTCAATGCCAAGCCAGCGCTGACCGGTGGAAGTGGTACGGGAGCTACGGGTTATTAGTTAAAGAGACGATCGTCGAAGTGATGACTACTCACCTTCAGGCAATTGTGCTTTCGAGAGGTCACAGACCGGAGCCACAGTCATCTGTCTGCTCTCCTGGACCTTCCTGGCCAGCATGTTGAAGTACGCCGAGACGGTGTCCAACGAGCCTGGCATGGCCGCGTTCATGTTCAAGGCTGGCCATGTTGGAGCGGCGATGGTGGTGAGGGCACCCAGTGCGGACGCAAGTAATATCGAAGAGCGCATCTTGATGTGTTGAGATCGGTGGCGAGGGTTTGTGAGAAGTTGAAGGTGACTGGTCGAAGTGATAAGGTGGTGGTCGTATATGGATGGCAGTGACGGAGCCGTTCCTTCCTTCTTTTCGAAAACAGATGCGTATCACAGGACCCAATGACCAAATACGAAGACAACCAAAGACTGAGACTGAGACTGAGATGAAAGACAGGAAAAGGAAACGTAAATGGAAAAGATTCACCAGCACGATGTGAGAAGGATCATGTATGTAAATAGATGTGTTCGATCTGAAGGAGGGGACCGAATTTCTTATTATACATAGTACAAACGGCCCAGCAGAAATGCCATGGGTTCGTCCGGGCGGCACGACGTTCAACCATCCACACCTGCAGGGACCCAGATTGGTCTCACGACTTGGCCGGGGGGTGGTGGAAAGAAGATCGAGAATAGATGGCGTTGTACCCACCGGGGAAGCCTGGCGGGAGAGGTACCTCGATCTAGATTGCGCCGGGGAGAGGTGGTTTTCTGCAGCCGCCCTGGGCAACGTCGCCATGGAAGGACAAGCCGGCGGAAGAGAGATGAGAGGCCCTGGGCGCGAGGACGGCCGACGATTGGATCGTGTCTTTGGCCTCCCCCTGTCCATGGAGAACGGGTAGCCGTCATGGGTGGTTGTATGGGTCAGCCAAGCGATCTGCAGCCAGGGGCTGGCGACAGGGGGCCAGAGGCCTTCCACGGGCTCTGACTGGCAGACGCCCTCGGCCCAACCCCGTCATGCAAGCGCCTGGGCCGCCTTTCGTCGGCCACCCACTCCACCAGTCCTTTGGACGTACAATTTCAAAGTGTGTAGCCTGAGAGGCTGAGAGGAGGGCACGCAGCGGCAAAACGCACTGTGTTTGAGGACGCTGGAATGGGCTGGTCACGGTGAGAACAGTCTTGCCAGATACCAGAACAGGCTCGCGGAAGGGGTCCTGGACGACTCTAGCATCCGTTCAACATACCGAATGCCCACCATGTATCAGTGGGGAGGAGGGTAAGACACCACCCTTCTAAACGCTGCTGCAAGCCACCGTGGATACACTGAGCAGAATGTCAGGTCATCTTGACATACAAACTACTGCACTGAACTGCACTGCGCTGCAGGCAGCTTGAGCATGGGGCACGAGCTGGCGGACCACACCGCTCTCGTCAGTACCACGCGACAGCCAGGAAGCCTTCGGTCCGTAGCCTTGTCGTCAGGTAGGAAGCAAGGCATGCGCTGGACGGCGCCCTGGATGGCCATTCTGGGGTCTCTGAAGGGCCTCTCTTCTTACTCACGCTCACGGCTGACGTGCATGCGTACGGGAATGCCAATACCACGCTGGCCCGCCCAATATTCGGCTGCACGCTCTCTAAAGCTGCCCTCAGATGCTGGGCCTGTGGAACAAAGATAGAAGTACGCTTCCGCGCCGGCCAATGGCTGCGCGCCAGCAGGGTTGCAGCAGACTCTGGACGCGTCGAAGCGAGAAAGGAGGGTGGTCAAGTGGTGCATGTGGAAGACGACGCTTCCGCATGCTTGTCCATCGATCCAAATTTGCCCGCTCGGGTGGAGTCAGACCATGGCGCTTAGAGCCCAAAATAGATTGAGCGTTGAGGAAATAACCGCGGGGGAGCCAAAATTAACCACAGATCTGGACCGGGACAGCCAATTTGCCCATTTACCAGCCGGCCAATAGGAAATGCGCCCGCAACCTCTCGCTTCCCTGGGCCTTGATTTTCTTCAACACATCCTGGTTGGAGCATGGCTACATTGGAGTGGAACCGCATTCTTCAATATCAATATTGCCCAGAGACGCATCGCAGGCGTCTCGCTCGTCCGACTTTGAATATACAAGTTCAGATGTATTGGTTACAGTGAGCGAGCTAGTTGCTCAGAATGGCGATATTTCGATTGCTACTATACGGCGCACCGTAAACGGCCACGGCGTTGCGACCAAGAATGACATGACATACTTCAAAGCTCGATAGGTATTTCTCTGCGCAGTATGAGGTGTTGCGTTGAGACATCGTGCGTCGCCCCACTTGTAAGAAATGTAATCGATATCATCATCATGTGCCAACGCACCAGGTCTCAGGTTGGGAGCATCCTTCCCGCGGCCCTGACCACCCGTCCGGCGTCGGCGTATCTGATAGGCCACCGCTCAGGCGAGTATAGAAGAACCTTGGCCTGGCGGCTCCAGAATATCCAGCGTTCATTGGAAAAGGTAGGCGGTAGAGCGTCTTGGAGGGTCGGTCGGGGTGGGTGAATAAAAGTCAGAAGCTGCTTGGTCCACCGTTTGCCTGCTTTCCAAATGCAGATCTTGTATCATGGGAAGCAGAGGTATTCTCGCGGCTCGCCTCGGGCAACTGAGGGCCAACCGATGCCCGTCTCCGCGATTCATTGGGAGCAGGGATGCAAAACCTTGGGCCACGTTGACTGGCTCTAGCCACGGCAAGAGTATGCTTAATTCCGTATCTTGGCAGCTGGGAAATAAACTCGTGCTTCTTGGAACAGCGGCTCTATCGAGAGGGAGCTTCCATGAATAGACCTTCCGTGGTGGGCAGTGGCCATTTGCTATCGGCTCCGAGATTGGAGATATACTTCCAAATCTGATCATTTTCTTTTAGATCTTACCCATCATCGTTGAATCGCGTATACGCCAGACGGAACGCCAAAATATCTCACTTTGTCAAGAGTCCGAGCCACACCAATCCTCGAGGCATGCACGTCGTTGGTCTAACAAGATCACTTCGTATTCGTAGCAGAGGTGACCAGGACGGTTTTTCTCAAAGCCGCAGACACATGACCTTACCACGGCCAAGAAAGGCATCGGCCTCACCTGAAGCACACATCCAGACACCCATCCATTCCCAGATTGGAGATCCAGCCGCCCTCCAAGCACCTGCGGGCAACCTAAATGGCTGGGCAGCACTTACTATCACACTCTGAATAATTCATTTGTCAGGGACAAGCACACCGTCATCTTATCTTCGAATTTGCACAACAGAATGTCGAGTACCGCGAGGTGGACAGGTAGTCTTGAACTTGATGTGGGGTATAGTGTCCATTGAAGCACAAGCCTTCCCAGATATCTGCAGCGTAACTATACTATACGTATTCATACACCCTTCACTAACCCAAATTCTCTCAGTAAACGCCCCGTCTGGCTCCTTGCTGTGTTAGAACACATCAGAATCCTCCTTCCAACCCCCATGCTTCGATCCTGACCCGCCCTTCGCCGCACCGGCCATCGCAGCAGCGCCAGCGACACCCTGGCTCAGGTTGCTGGCATGCTGCTCGGCGTCCGTTGTACCCAGCCAATACAGCGAGCAGAAGACGAGTAGGTGCAGCGCAACGCAGTACGCGGCGAACAGGTTCCTGCTCGTCCGCGACGCTAGCACCATCCTCGTCACCGAGTAGACGACACGCTCCGGCAAGCTCATGCGTTTGTAGGCACGGGCGGACTCCCGCCCCCTAAAGGCTGCGAAGGGGGAGATGTTGGACTCGTACGCCTTTCTGTACCGGTCGAGCGCGATGCCCGGGTTCCCGGTGCCGCCTATGGCAACAGTCGATGGGTTGGGGTTGGACCCGTACGCGGCTGATGATGTGGACGCTGAAGGACCGCCCCGGTTGTACGTGGACACGTACCGTGTCTTCTCATATAGTTGTAGGTTATCCTTTTGCAACGCTGCAGTTTCTTGCCGCAGCTGGGATATTGTACGGTGAGAGTCTGAGAGCTCGTTTTCGAGCTGCGTGATTCTCTTCTTGAAGCGATCTCGCTGCGCTGTAATCATGGGCAGCATGCCGGATCCGCCTCCCATGGGCTCACCTCCACCGTCCCGGGGATTGAATCCAGAGATAATGGAGGACGTTGGTGAGGTCCTGCCTCCTCCCCTTCGACCAGGCGCTATGGATGGCGCATAGCGTGTATAAGTCCCCGCTACCGACGCTCCCGATGGGAAAGCGTTTTGGCCCTCGGCCTGGAGGTTGGCCAGGTCATTCTCCAGTTGGGCGTTAAGATTCTGAGACCGCTCGAGGTCGGCATTCGTCCTCGACATCTCTTCTTGTAGATTTTCCAACCTGCTCTGCAGGTCCTGATGCGAGACCCGGAGTATGGTAAGTTCATCGCTCAACTTCTTGTTCCGCGCTAGTAGTAGTTGTTCGAGGGTATCCCCCTTGCCCTTGGCGGCAGACCCATTCGAGTCTGCAGCGTTGACTATGTCGTCCTCGTCATCCCCCGTCGCGAACTCGATACTCTTCAGCACCTCTAGCTCTTGTTTGACATCGTCGTAATCGTGCCACTGCTGCACCTTTGTCTTCAAACCGTCGCGCTCCTCCTTCAGTAGGCCAACCTCGCGTTCCAGCCCGCGGAGTTTCGCGTCAATGTTGCGCTTGAATGCTTCCTTTTCCACTCTTGCCGTATCTAACTTGCGGATCAGAGACGAGTTCTCTGACCTCATGCGCATGTATCCGGGGTCATCATCCAGTGAAGGGGCCTGGGTCGAGACCTGCGATTTCGATTGCGCCAGCTCCAATCGCAGTTGCTCATTGCGGGCTTCGATCTCGGCCAGCCTCGTGCTAGTCCTCTCCAAATCGGCGTTGACCATCTCGAGCTCGGCACTGGTGACGTGGCCGCCATGGGGTTCCGAGTCGGCATCTCCGGTTCCCTTCAGACGCTGGTTGACCTCGTAGCTGGCCTTGATCTCAGTCATCAACCTCTCCTGGTTTTCGACCTTCTCCTCCAAAGCCTTCTCTTTGGCCTCCCAGTTATCCGTCTTTTCTTCGAGGACAGCGGTCCATGATGATTCGACCTCCTTGACCCTGGTCTCCAAGTTGGCCTCCAGCTCCTTCCTCGTCGTGCTCTCCGATTGGAGTTTTGACTCGGTCTCTTCCAATTGGGAGGTGAGTTTGGTGATGTTCTTCTGCAGGTGCTGGTTCTCTTCGGTCAGCTTCGGCAAGGTGTCCTCGGAGACCAGCATGGAGTCGACCGAGGCCTCCAGCAGGGGGTACGGGTCGGGAACATCGGATAGCTTGCCGTAGACGCTGAGGAATGCTGAGTTGGTCGCCTTAGAGTGGTTGGTGAGAAGGTCGATGAACGTTTGATACGCTGTGGACGGGGCTGGTTAGCATCTGTCCGACAGACGCTCTGGAATACAAGCTAGCTTCCGGGTTGGCGGGAAATACTTGCCTTTCAGCAGGCCCTTGACCTCGGTGAGTTTGGTCGCATCATCTAGCTTCCTGAAGTCTTTCGTCTTCTGGGCCAGGTCCTTTCGCTGGACTGTCGAGTCTCGTTGGTAGGCCACGATGTCCGACGCCGTGTTGTCCAGGGTCGAGACCAGGGAGGTCAAGTCCACATCTGCAACGGGTCAGATCAAGCAGCCACAGCAACGGCGGAGCTGCGCGGCTCATCAGGTGTGTACCTACTCCTCCATGCGGATATAGCATGTTGGAATTTGTTTGTAGTCTCGGAGCCGGACGCGGCTGGGGCCTTCTCGGTGGCCGGCTCAGGAGTCTCCAGAGCCGTGTACTCCAATGCGTCGGCCATTGCTGCTTCTACGGCAAACGAGGCTGGGCCGGCTTGGCTTTCATGAGAATATGGACAGCGGCCCGGGGCAAATGAGCGAGGCAGCCGAAAGCGCAAAGCAGCGTGGCTGTCAAGATGTTGCTGCGTGTCGTCGGCGATGTGGCTTGGCCATGGGGGCATTCGCAGATGGAACGTGTTCGCTAATGAGTTAGCGCGCGAGCTCTCCCAAGTCGGGGGGACCACACCACTGAAGCCTGCAGGGGTTCAACCAGTTCGGGTTCCGGTGGAACTCGACCCACCCCAAGGTGAGCTGACAGGTCGGGGATCTACGCCAAGCACCTCGATGCATTGCATGTTGTTATAACAGCGCGTGTGTTTCAATACCCGTGAATTCGTTGGGAGGAGATCATGAACAATCGGAGATTACGACTTGCATCGAAGCTACCCATCATCTAGCTATGTAAGTCAAGTAGACATTTTCCCAAGACCCACGTCCTTGAGCAGCTTGGCCACTACATCCAGGTCTCTCATATGTCTCCAAGGCGAATCTATCTTCTCTTCTTCTTACATCTCGTCGTGCGTCAACGACTTTTTCTTCTGGTTCAGGCCAGGTATACACGGCAAGTCCGTCGGGTCCAAGTTAGATAGTCCCTTCCACAACAACCTGACGTACACATTTCGCCGATATGCCGTCCCTCATTAAACACAGCCTCTTCCTGGTGCAGTTGCAAGTAGGCATACCATCGTTTCATTCCTCATTACTACCATTCGCCTTTCCAACACCGCCCTTGTGTTAGCTGGAGGGTACCAGATGATCATGAGCCGGGCCCATGCTTGAGGCACCTCAAGGCGCGGCCTGGCGGCACTCAAAGCACGACTCTGGCACACACTCTGGGTGGCGGTGTTGTGGATGGGAGGCGAGCATAATTGCGTCCTTGTCTTCCCCCGAGCCATGTTGCGAGCTGTTGCGAATTGTGCTGTCCGTATCGACGAGATCCACAGCCTCTTTGCTCTCAGAAATCGACTGTCGCTTGCCTGACACTGCGTTCCCTAGCTTGCGCATCCATGTGGGCATGTCCTTCTTGCCCATCCCCCAGTTGTACACCTCCTTCTGCTCATAATTGGCTGGGACAATCCTGCCGCCTGACAGGTATACCACCACCCAGATCATCGTGTTGAGAGTGATGTAGATAAACATACCCCTGTCTACTGTTAGTAATGCGGAGCCACAACTGACGGAGGTTGTAGCTTACGCAATCAGACCGTAGGCGACGCTGTAACTGAACGGCATAAACATCAAGGTTACGAAGGAGGGGACTGCATCTCCAATGTACGCCCAGTTGACGCCGCAGACTTGGCGGATCATAAGACATCCAACCTACAGGTACGCGTCAGTAATTGCTGGCCCGCACGGCGTCGAGGACTCCATCCTAGGGCTTACCAGAATGAGCGTAGATCCGGTTGCCCAAGGAGGGATAGAAGCGAAGATGGGAGCAAAGAACAGTGAGATCAGGAAGCAGACTCCCGTCGTAATTGCAGTCAGTCCCGTCCGGCCACCTTCTGCAATTCCAGCACCGCTCTCAATAAAAGCGGTCACTGGAGAGCAACCGAAGAGGGATCCGATCGAGATACAAGCCGCATCAGTGCAGTATGCAACCGTCGAGCGTGGGAAGTTGCCGTCTTCGCCGACCACATTGCAGAACTTCGCCATCGAGTACAAAGTTGCAGTACAGTCGATGATGTCGACGTAGAGGAACGTGACAAGAGCCAGGGCAAACTGGGAGCCGCTGGTGCCACTGAGATTCCACTGTTGGGCACCCAGAGTCTGTTGGATAGGGTGGAAGGCAACGACCTGCTTGAAAAAGTCAAATCGAGCTTGTCCGTCCTCGGTATCCGGGAAGTAAGTGTAGTTCGTGTGACGGCTACGCAGGCTGTAAGCTTCGTACTGACAAAATTCTCCAGTGCAGTCGAACTTACGGCCACGACATGATAGAGACAAGCGTGATTCCAATCATGATTGCGCTTTTGATGTTGAAAGCCATCAGGAACGCAATCAAGATGCCCCCCAGACAAACGCCGATCCACAACTAAAACTCAAGATCAGGTCTTCTCCCACTTCGGACATTAGATCAGGTATTTGGCTGGAACTTACAGCCGAGTTCGTCATAATGCCACCAACACATTCTCCATTTGCGTCAAGTGAGGCAACGGGGCAGCCTCCAATGGCAAGCGGTGTGGATCTGCCACCAGTGATTGCACCAATGCCGGCCGAGTAGGATAAGCCGATCTCAGTGAGGAACAATCCTATGCCTACACCAGAGGCTGTCTTGATTGTAGCAGGTATCATCTTGACCAGCCACTGTCTGAGACCTGTCAAGGCTAGGAACATGAAGATGAATCCTTCGACGAAGACAGCTGTAAGAGCAATGCGGTAAGGGACAAGGCCCGAGCCGTGCCAGCCAACAACCTGATACGTAAAGTATGCGTTCAGGCCCATACCAGGGCTTGAAGCCAGTCAGCTCGAAAACAACCAGAGAAGGTGATGATAGATTTTTCTTACCCTAAGGCGACAGGTAGATTGGTGAGGAAACCGAAGAGGATACTCGAAAGGCCCGCGATGGCTGAGGTGGCTGTGACTAGATCGCGCTTCAGGACTGCAGACGACAAATCAGTTTTGGAGGACAAGGCCGGATCAAGGTGACCACTGACTAGTTTTGCACTGCGAATATGCGTCATCGTTCTTGCAAAAGTCCGAAGAACCTTCACATGGACAAATTCCTCCAGACTCTGAGAGCACTTGGGACTGTAGATTGTATTGTATGTAAGCTCTGTCCGCTTCGCAGAGCCAACGGTTGGGAAGGCAGGCTTACGTTGACAGCGATAATGTACGCCATAGTGGCAAAGGTTGTCAATCCGGCACGAATTTCTCTCCAGAAGGACGCCTCCGCGATTTGTTTTGGCTGTTTTCCTTGTTAGCACACTGATCTTTTCGCCTCCGCTTCATTGACTCTCAGGTCATTATAGAGGTTCTTCGCGTCAGGTTGAATTATTAACGGTGGAAGCACGAGGGTAAATTCTCTTGAGAAAAGGCATGATGTGGTTTACAGCTCCCTTCATAACATTTCAAGAGCATGTGATGTGGTGTGAAACAGCTCAATGGGGGGAGTGAAAAGTGGACGTACATGTCCAGATCCATCAAGGCGAAAGACTCGGCCAAAGGTAGACTCATTGACGCGTTCTCCGAAGCCAATGAATTTGTTGATGCAAAACTGCAATCTGGCGCGCAAACCCATGATGGTCTCTTTGTTTGCAACGTCGCGCCGCGTCGCGAATGAAATCAGGTTGACAACGCGTAGGTGAAGATGAAGGTCGAGGCTATCGTTACAGGTCAATATTGGTTCAAGACCCCGTGTTCATGGCGCTGTCAGCTTGTTGCGATAGAACAGCCCGTTGATTTGACGTGAATGTTCTGGCCGGTCGCTGGAGGTGACAAGGCAGGCTTAGGTTCCGAGAAGGGAAAAAGAGAATACTGAAATGCCCATTAAGGATGGGGTGTTGCTAGCGACGACGTGCTCCGATGCGACATCGACCTCGAAGCCTCGGGGACCACAAGATTAAAATTGCTTGTGGAACAATTTGACCACGATCCTGCGGTTGAATAAATCAGGGAGCTGCGCGTGAATATTTCCAACGTGTTTGGCAAACGTGAGGGAGGGGGAAAAGCCGAGGTGAAGATTAGAACGGGTGCCACCTCGTGAAGTGTAGGAAGGCGCGGTTGTCCTGACCACGAAAATCGGCTCTGGGTAGGTAGGGCCATCTATCCTCGCTGAACGACAACGATGGTCTGATGATGTCCCTTGCGGCCAGACGTGCCCTGCCATTGGAAAATCCTTGCTTACTCACAGTCTGCTCGGAAGTAGCACAGCTCCGACGATTTGTAGATGGATGCATACGTGCGGCTCTACTGTATGACCGTTTCTAGCTTCCAACGACCAGTCGCCTTACACGCAAGATGGCTCGATTGTTTGTTCCTTTCGAGGGCGGCGTTGCATATTTCGTTGTAACCTAGCATCAGCAAAACACGTATTTTTCACTCTAAAGTCAGGCTTTGCCTCTGGGCAACTGCCTTATACTTAGAATAAAATGATGCTCTATTGAATCTACCGTCGGGCGCATAGCCAATGCAACCACATAACTGCAAGGACTAATGCGCAGAAGTCTCATGAGCATGACAGTATTCCTTCAAGCAACGTAGTTCGCGACTTGGAGCATAACTGATTGGGTAGGATTTTAAGTTTTACAACGTGTTATGTTAGAGTGCGGCGTATTGACTTTCCCGGTCGATGACTTGTTGTCCGGATCCCTTTGACTTCTTGTCGCTGATCGTGGTACTATTCCGCATATCAGGGACAGTTCCAGTGGCCTCCAAGGGGTCTGAGTAGACCGTGTTGAGCAACGGCCTTCCACAACCTCTGAGACTCGGCGCATTACCTGCAGGCACGTAGAATATATCATATCAACTACCGGTGGCTTCTACTGGTGATAATGAAGTACCATGTTTTCCTACAAATGCAGACTTCGAACCCACTTAAGAGCAGTGTTTACCAACAGTAGTCATATCTCTTAATCCAGTACTTCTGTGACGGCTCACCACCCTCCATTTTCACTGGAATTCCTCTATCTGAGGCTGTACTGGCCGCCAGGGATCATTCATTCATACTATGGATGCGTCAACCGTCTCCCCCGTTGTGATACGCCCATGTATGACCCCAGGGCACCCTTGATAGGCGGAAATTTGAGGGTAACTGCATGAGACAGGTAGCGCACCTCGAAGACTACGGCACTCGTTGTGTTACTTGGCCGGCCTTTTGCCTTGATAGGTACTCACATTGGATGAGGGCGGCGCCGTCAGCCATCTCTGTGTATCCCGGGTCGTGTATGCCGTGCGCCACAAAGAGAGGCATACCTAAATGCGATGTGAACTGCTCTCCCAATGAAGCCTTACACGACTTTCATGGTCTGTAGCAAACAGGCTAGTATTTCCTGTTCTGCGTCCTAACCCATGCTGTCTTTCCATTGTGTTTCTCCGAATCGTACATGGGCTTGGAAGAAGCTCCGATCATAATATATAGAACAGTTGCTATGGCGATTTGTCACTACTGCGCTTGTGGTAGCAGAGAGAGCTCTCATCAATACGATAATACCACAGATACTATATCTATCTGCCACGTTGGTATTGATTTGACCTTGTTCCTTCAGATGGTTGTATGGGCGGATGTGTCAGTGGTGTTGTTCCCATCCGGGGGTTCTCGGATCCAGAGCTGCTTTAGTTGCAGCGGGCAAAATGACAGCTTAGGTTGAATCGGGTGAGTGTATGCGATTTTGGTAGAAGATTGATCTCTAGCCTCCGGAAGTCTTGCAGAGGACATAATCTATATTTAGTGCCGTGAGCAAAGGCGCGGCATCTTATAATCGCTATTGCGAGCCAATCGCAAGGTGGTTCGTCGTGAAACGCACCAACATTGTACCCCGGTACTGCATCGAATTACATACGAACGATTTCAGCTGATTTCAATTAATACCCTAAGGGAGAGGCGTTAGGAGCCAATACCAAGAAGCGCTCAATACGTTGCTCAAGAAGGGCTGAATGAACGCCAGATGGATACGACACCATGCTTGCCGAGAATGACACGAGGGATTCACGGCAGCACCATTACGTTAGCTGATGAGTCGCTCCCTTGGCTTCCATCATCTAGTTTCCACCATCTCATCGGCAAATGTTGGAGGCTCATTCAACGTCTTCCACATGTCCTACTGGACATCCGCTCGCGTGGCCTAAGGGCCGAGAATGAGGGCAAACTGCAGAACCTGTAGCAAACACGAATCATAACAGACCGTAGCCTCAAACACCAACCGACACCACTTGATTCGGCAACCGTGGAGTTGGTTCTGTATTCCTGTCAATCTCGGCCACAGATATTGCTACGAAGTCGAAAAAGAACCTTTGAATTGGATGAGGTTATCATGGAGCTGCGGAAAGAAACCCGTACCCGAAGCCGAGGTTGTGTTTCAGCGTTGAGTAAAGCGTCATCGCACAAATATTTCGCGTTGATTTGCACTGAACCAATGGACGCCATTTGCGTGAAACTTGACCGTATCCCTTGTTCAGGTGTGAGAGCCAAGCTGTTACCCAGCGTAGAGATTCCAGCGTACCAGGTAGGTGTGGACTATGGCAGCAAGCTTCCAAGGTCTATAGAACATGGTGTGTTGGCATTGTGATCAATGTGTCTCACACTCGGATGGAATTGTTTGACAGGAGATGGTCCCTTATCGCAGAGCTGCCAAAACGTTGACGGCACCGTCGGTTTCATGCCGTTTTAGACATCAGAAGAATATCGTCGATGGGCAAGTCCAGTAGAAATGCCCCGATCAAGATTCTACAAAGCTGGAGATTGAGTTGGTCAGGCGATCCTGAAGAAGGGTGCTGGGCAACAACGTGCCTCTGCCGCAGAGCGCGCACTTTCCTCTGCAGCTTTCCCTACCAGGTCCGAACCAAGCTGCTGAATTTGAATCACCTGCCTTTCACCATTCGATATTTGTCTCTTTATGGGCCTCAGCATCGCTATCGGCTCACCTGCCCCTCTCTTTCTCTCCACGTCTTGTCTTGTCATTGGATTGTCTGTGTTGGTGAACAATCGCGTATCCGTGAATCTCACCAACATTGTCTTCACCAAATCCTCGTTTCTCACTTCAAAGAGCGCTGATTCTGTGCTGATTTGTTGGGAAATATTCTTCTCATTGTTCTCATTGTGCGCGCGTGGGACAGTTTTACCGTATCACAGCATGATCGCTCAGCTCCGACTCTTAAGAGGCAAGTCTCTTTGCCGTGAAGAATCATTCGGACGCTCAGCCACCCTTATTCTCCAAACAACTCCTCACGAGTACCGACGGACGCTTTTAATGTCACTGAGGCCACAAACTCGCGCCAACTAGTGCCTCTCGTATTTTCGCATACAACAGTTCTGGGTATTGTGTCTCTACCTCCAGGCTGTGGCCATGTTCGATGTCTACTGGACAGACCATAATAGAGAGCTCGTCGGCGAGCGAGCTACCAGAAAAGAGCGCGAAGAGCGCGAAGGGAAATCTCGAGAGAGGAGCAGTCAGAAGAAGCAGGAAAACGCGCGACACTCTGTATCCACAAACGGATCCGCGTCCAGCGAAAGGAGCTTTGGTTTGTTTTCAAGCAGGAAGAAATTCACCACTCTAGGGAGACTGGACCTGACCTCTACCTCATCCGAGCCAGCTACAGATGCCACGAAAGAAAGGGGCATATCAGCGTATGGTGTAAAGAGACTGCTATCTCATCAAGAAAGTCCTGGTGCCACTGTGAAGCCCATGAATGCGGAAGACCTACCGGTTCAGCAGCCTGAACCCATTGATGGTAACTCCAGCCTTTCATCACGAGGTACGCCCCGTATGTGCGTTATACTGAATATGGGCAGTGGCTGACGTTTCTCGATGGCCAGACTCAGTTACCTCAAAATGGACACAGCCGTCTCTTGCAACTTCGAGTACTTTGGAGGGGAGCTCGCCTCGCAGCTCAATTGCGACAAGATCAGAACATCTGGTGCAGACTCTGGGCCCATCTTCGTTCATCCTCAAGACCACCCAGGTCGTTGTTGGCCCACGCAATTCGGACACCGATGTCAACCATCTGATTTCTGAAGTCCACATATCTTCAGATGGGGTCAAGGCAGCCACGCCTCCGCTACCTGATTTGCCAGAGGAAGGGCATGGATTCCTTAGACAATAATACACAGATAGGAACTCACTAACGCTTTACGTAGGGCGCCGTTGCCATTTGACGACTCTGACTCTGCACTCCTTCTCACTAGGCTGCAAACTCCTCCCCCTGTTGAACATCAAGGCAACAATATGCAATTCCTGTCAGGAATTCGCAGCAGTAACCAACTGTACGGTACAGAGATGTTGAAGCCTGGTAACCCTGACACTTGGAAACCGCCTCACGAGTGGAATTGCTCTTCGTCACCGGAAATTTCAACACCAGCGCTAGATGAGAAGACCAAAGGCCTGAGAATCCGCGGCGAACAGGGCCATTACATGTCTCCAGGACTAACGACACTGCAAAGAGAGGTGCGCATGATGGCTGCCGCAAGCCCGGAACTCATGCTAGCGAACATGAGATCCGAGATGGGAGATGCCTCGGACGCCAGAGTATACAAGGAGATCGAGATGACGAAGAAGCGATGGTTGTTCTCGGCTCTTCACCAGCACGAAGGCTATGCCGATTTCAGGCACGAGAGTTTTCATGTCACTGCACCGAGCTCGCCACGGACAGTCAGACTATTGGCAGTATATGAAACGCAAGGTCAGCAACTGCCTCCTAGCTTCATCGGCCTTATCCATAATTTTGAGAGACAAGCGGTCACTAATACTGCATTTATAGCATCTGCGACCTTCCTTGCTGCTCTCCACCCAAACATCAAGATATCTCATCTTTCACCGAGTCCCATTTCTCCCGATCTTTTCCCCAACGTTCAGCCGATACTCGTTCCCACTATATCGGCGTCCGCTGCGTCACACCCGCTGCCCCCTCAGCTGTTCTCAGCTGTGACCTGTCTATCAATGCCGACATTGTTTGCATCTACTGAGATTCCTCGGTTTCTGCGTCAAGTGAATCGTTGCTTGACGCCAGGGGGAGCGCTTTATCTGACTATCATTGACCCTGAGCCGGAAAGCACATCAATGGGACCAAAATTACGTCAGTGGATGATAGACAAACTCACTATAAATCTTGAGAGGATGTGCCGTACGACTGTTCCTAGTCGTACCCTTCCCGCTTGGTTGGCAGTGAGACGTTTACGGGGGAAGGGCAGCACAATCTCGACGAGGTCTGTTCCTGCGGTCCCTGAAGGTCTTACCAAGATACAGGGGGTAAAAGACCAGAGCAGTATCGAGGTTGAACTGCGATGCCTCGTCATGAGAATGCTATGGCAAGAGGTCTGGGGAAGTTTCGTGCATGCCAAGACCTGGTGGTGGGAAGAGCAGGACATCGTGGACGAATGCATTGAGCTGGGCACGTATTGGAAATACTCCCATGTCGTGGCAGTGAAAGAGAGCAGCTGATACCTGCCTACAAAATGTCTGTCTATAAACGGGCAATTACAGAAAGACTGAGACGAGGATCTAGCATCAGCAACATTGCCTTCAACTTGTACTCAGCTGCATAAGCCGCATAGCAATAGTTCTCTGGCTCAATCTACCCTGAACTCTCTACACCGACTCCTCTACTGACCTTTCCGTCAATCTTCCACCATGCCGTGACCAGAAAATATGTTTTTGTCTTACAAGCAGGCCGCGAAAAAGCCGGAGACACCCTCGATTGACGAACAAAGAGGTAGCCCATCGGTAAGAAGCAGAGCTTCGAGTTGGTGTTATACTCGTTTGAAGTTACAATGTAGGACAGCATTTGTTTGCATATTCACTGACACTGCGTAAATGTAACAAACCACAACAGTGCTACGACAAGAGCGTGTACCCAGGGGGCATTTGGCAGGTAGTCTCCTGAGGCTCTTAGAGGCTCAAGTGTGCTGTATTGCAGACAGGGTCTAGAACGTTGCATCGCAGTGAACGTGAGCCACGGCCCCTGATGGCAAACCACAAGGCCGACAGCCTTCCCCTGTCCCAGTTCCCAGGCCCGGGTCTCGCGTAATCTAAGCTGGGAAGGTCAATCGCCTTCGTCAGCCGACTCCGATGTCGATTGCCCCCAAGAAAACTCGGCGTTGACGGACCATGGCGTGGCATCGAAACGTATTCCTTGCTATGACAAGTAATAACAACTATAATAAGGGTTCACGAACGCCTGCTCTACCCCGGACTGAACCTTGTCGATGTCAGTACACAGCAGGGCATGGGGGTGCCGGCATGCTTCCTGGAGCCCTGTTGCACGATAGCCCGAAATGACAGGCAATATGAAAAGACGCTCGGTTGCTGTCATAATCTGGCAGGCAGGCAGGCAGGTTGAGGAGCATGGTTGATCTGCAGACGAGCCGTGAGGAACCAAAACCTGCAATACTTTGGCCAAGAAACATAACGCACGACCTTATTACCGGCATCTTTGCGGGTCACCGCTCATATCATGTCATATCCATCGGGTCGAGATTTCCTACGCGCAGCGGCACCGACGCCACGGCCCAGGAAACGGGGTCCCTGGCAGGCTTCACCGGTGTGTGCAACCCCGCAATGCACTACAGTAGTGGCGGACGTTGGACTATCACCGTGGCATCAGGGAGTGCACCATACCGAGGGCGACAGCTGCCTGTCAGGGCGTTGCTGAGACGGACGGCGGCCGGTTGGCCACATGCAAGCCATATCACGCCGGACCTCCTGGGCAGGGAGGAGTAGACGGATCGGGCCTGCGAGGTGAAGACATCACCAGCCAATGCGGCGGCGTCTTTGGTCTCTGTTCACAACCGAGAAGCAGGAGCTTCCGAAACCGCCCAGGGTGACGGAGCTGCGTTGCGCGCATAAGCGATCGCCTCCCCCTGGTTTGTTGAGGCTGCGGTGCTGTACTTCTGAACGTCAGTGCTTAATATCCGATCTGCTGCGCTTTGTGGTCTTGGGACCCAATGGGACATGAGAATATGGATGAACCCCTGACTGGTTTCCGAGGTGCACCGAAGCGAATGAGCTCGGGCCGAACGTTGAGAGTTGATATTCTTACCTATCGGTAGTTAGTTAACGCAAGAGCATCACTTACAGTGACCGAGCTGGCGGTTCCAAGTCTATTAGCTTGTCACCAAGCATTTTTCAAATGCAACCACTTCGGACGGTGATACATGCGACGTGCGGGTTTATGTCAAGCATTTTTGCTGGTAAGCCCATCTTACCCAAGTTCAGTCTTGCCAGTCTGTGCGGTCGATGCAGTGAGGAGAAAAGTCGACGCGGTTGGTCGGGAAGTTTCCCCTAAATCTCTGCATATAACCCCCTGTCAATTGGGGTAGACAAGGGTGTACGACCACCGCGTGGAGACAAGGTCACCAGTAGAATCGAAGGTACCTGAGACCACCGAAAGGTACAAAAAGTGTCTTGGGCTTGACGACGTGCATCCCGACCCTCTAGCCTCGCCAAATGACATGAGATGGGGCTGCTGAGTGGCTTCTCGATATCCCGGTCCCCGTCAGGAGGGAACTCGCGTTCTCTAACGGGCACTGACAGTCGCTCAAAATCGCGGCCGTCGTGACTGGAGCCGCTTGGACTGAACATGCCCTCGGCAAGGTCGTTGACTTTGTCGGAAGAGGCTTGCCGTCCAGGGTTTCAACATCACCTTATAGATATTTTTTCGGTCAAGGTAACTTCGACCTGGATATGTCGACTAACAACGCCGTGGCTTCACCTGTAGTTTCATGAGATCGCAAGTCATCTTTGGTAGGTGGCTCAGCCTCGCCGTGGCTGTCATCGCCGCCGAGACGTTCTCAGCTCACTGGGCTATGTTGTTTTCTTGTACATTTGAGTTTCTGGACATAGCCTTCTCCACGGTAGACGGCAGCGTCATCTAGTGTAAAAATGAAGCATGGCCTGACTATATGAGTTGCCCACGGCGGCGGAAATTACCACTTGGCTAAGAACCGTGGAATAGGGTTTGCTTTCGCAGCAACACCAACACTGATGAAGGAGAGGGGTGACCCGAGAGCCGAATGTCCATTCTCGTTACCATTTCCAGAACCGTCTCCGAGGCCTAGCTGGATCTAGCTAGGTGGCGCTTCCACCCGTTGAAATGCCAGGGCCTGTTTACGGAAAAGCCGCCTTTGCGAAGTGTCTCGTCAAGCCACCAGCATGTCCTTGCGACCTGGGGTAAGGGGTCGTACACCATCCAGATTCCGGGAATCTGGTTGCCCAGCGTCTGTGTGTCAAGACGAGATGCCTTGGTTGGCCATAAAGAAGGATCCTTCGGCCGTAGTCTTTCTTGAGATTTGAGCCTTCGCTTCAAGAGTCGTTGGCATCATGCTCTGGTGACCGTCCATGAGCAGCTTGGGCCTACATGACTCAGGAGTTTCGTCTTGGTTGCTTTATCAACGCAAGTACTCTAAGATCACAACTCAAATCTGCTCCTCGGGTATTGATCGCCAATCTTCTGCAGAATTCAAATCTGACAAGTTATGATCTCCACGTGTGCTGCTCCAACTAGTAGGGTAACTAGTGCCAATTTACAATACCACCGAGGCAATGATGGCCATGGCAACGTGCTGTACAATTGACGTATCTCGGCATTCCTCACCTGTCAGGGTCGTTAGCAATCAGCATTTAGACTTTCGATAGTTTTACAAACAATGAATTGCCGCATCCATGACTAGACTTCCGATTTAGGGTGCGTGAACCAAGTGTGCTTCTACTCGCTTGAATACGCGAACTGTTGAACGCATGAGCGCGTCGATGCATGCAGAAAGTCGGCCTTAACCCAGGCACACGGTAGGGACCAAATGTCTGAGCGGAATCTGGGGTGCTTCACATGCCCACAGCCAAGGGGCTAAGTGTGCTCGAAAGGCGGGGAAGAGGGGCCTCAGACGACGGAAATTCTTACAATTGCTGGGCAAAGCTTGGAGTGTTTTAAGGCTGGAAAATCGAACGATCTCGACCTCTGAAGCCTGTAGCAAATGCGTCGAATGTTGCGAGGCTCCCTGAAAGAAGCCCATGGTCACGAGCTTGGCTTCTGTTTCCAGCCAAGCTTACCTACCTAGTCGTAACGAGCCTCAGGGGATGGCTAGCAAGTGTGCTGTATCATAGGAACTCGTGCGTGTAAGTCTCATGCCATGCTCGGACAATTCCGAGATAGCTGCCCCAATGAGCCATGGTTTGCGCTCAGGCCTGCAAGCAAGTGGCTGGCGTCGCGTTCATCGCTTCCATGGGAAGAAGATCAATAGTCGTGGCATTCACAATTTCAGCGCATGCAGGGTATTGACACTCACACTACACTATGTTGTTGACGACGCACGACTGTGTTGACATAATCCTCCGCCACGTATTGGCATGCTAATGTGGTGATCCCAGAAGTTGTCCATTCGATGTCGATTGCTATGAGGCACTGACGTACTTGGGTCTATATTGCATGTACGGTGCATTGAACCCAGGTACCCTCCGCCACATAACATTTCGCTGAGGGTGGAACGGCTTGCCGGCTGTCACCATCACAACGGCACGCCGTTTGTAGCACTTGCGTATGAGAATTCGCGTTGCAAATTGAGCGCACGCGGTGAGAATGTCCTCGAATTGCATACCTTTTGCTATAAGTGAATGCGACGAGGAAAAGCAGGATCGAGAGTAACTCCTTGGGAACCCTATCTGGAAGTCCCATAGCCGATCCGCCGGTTAATGCAATCGGTTAATGCAAGGCCCACAAGTCTTTACTATACTCGACGGCCTTCAACCTGAGATGCCAGGCCAAAAAAGGCCATCTGGGGCGGCACACGAGGTGGAGGGCACGTTTTCGGCCACCGCATTTGCCTACACAGCAAGCGATGCACAAGCGAGATCGAGGTTCCTCACAGGTAGTGGATCTTGCACACCCAAACGCGAAAGGCTCCCCCCCAATGCCATAGGACAACCAGTGCCGCACGCCAATGTGCGATATATTAAAGACGACCAGATCTGAATGCGGGGGCAAGGCGTACGGGGGGAGGCATCTGCACTGGGCGTCATCTGGTGCCGCCCCTTCATGCACCTTTGCTACTGTAGGTGGCGGGCCAAATGCAAGACGCGACCAAGTCGCCAAGGCCCAATCTGATATAGAGTCTCGGGGTTTCGTCATAAACGTGGGTGTGGGGATCGCTGGTAGCTTCCGGATATCCAAAATGGACTGAGGCAGTCCCGAGGCCAGAACGACGTTTGTTCAGTCCTCGGCATCTTGGTAATCCTTCCGTGAATGTTGGCGAGCACCAAGAGTTGGTTATGGCTTGGAGCCTTTTCGCGACCCGTTGGCGTAACATCATCAATCTCGTTTCTCGAGGTGGCGTGTCCTCTTTCACCTCTCTACGCGACTCTTGGCAAACCCGAGTAGATGGTATTCGGTTGTCTCGCTTACTTGTCTTGCTGAAAATAAAAAACTATGGCCGGGCTGGCTTGTCATATTGGGGGCCGCAGTTCCTAGACACCTAAACATCTGGGCACCTATGCGCATCTATCTGGATGACTATGATTTCCTCTTTAATACACTATTTCCCGAAACATGACCAACCTCCAGCGCTTCCCGGCTATTCACACTTAGCATTTGAAAATGGGAATGACAGCTGAATGATTAAAGTTGGTTATATTGTACGAATGCATCCCAAACATTGAAGTTAGAATGTAATTAAAGTTTCCAAGCCCTTCTATCTAAGACACACAGCCACGGCGCGTAGATCTACATGCTTCCTTTTGGCTCATCATTCGAGTTCGGCCTCGTAGGAGTCGCTAGTTCCGTCATGCTCTCCGTCTCGTAATTTGTTCTCCCCTTAAGGCTGGGGATCTTGAAGGCTGTATTTCTCCTGTCGTTGTAGTCGCCAGTGAGCTGCGTGCTGCTGGGGCGCCGCGTGTGATGCCCTAGCTCCGAAAAGAAGTACTTGCATGCGGACCACGAGGTTGTGATGTAGATCACGGCGTTCCAGAAACCCTGCAGAGGCAAGACGATGGCGCTCATGAGTTCCAACACCAGAGACGCCTGACCAGTGTGTACCACACTATACACTCGGTTGGCTGAAGACGGAATCCAGGTGATCAGAATGGCTGTGAAAAAGAGAATAGCGCACCGCGCATAAGACCACGCTGCGTTGTTGGCTTCGAAGTTGGCCCTGCGCTTTTGGCGGCCAGGTCGTGCTGTAGAAGGCTCTTGTATCTGTACATTGCTTTGAACGGGAAGGCTGAATTCGGCATGTGAACCTGGGTCACGACGCACACTCGACGATATCGTTACGGAGTATGCGCCGCCTTGCGACGGCTGTGAAGGACCAGCCTCGGTGTTGTCTCGATCGAGTGTTACAAGGTCGATACCTTCCTGTCCATTACTTGCCTCCTCAGTGGTGACCATGACCTCGGTCGTCTTGGATGAGAACGGGTCATCCATCGTAAGAGGTTCAGGATCATGACTGCTGGAGAAGTAACGCAGTTGCCTGCGCTTGTTGTAGATGTCCCGCCCTGCTCGTAGGTAAATGAAGAAGGTGGCCAGAATCACAAGCCTAGCTATTGTGTCAGCAGCCTTTTCAATACTCGGACTGGTTCGCACAACTCACCATACGGGGCCGTAGAAAGTGGCAATACGGAATACATCCCATTTCCCCGCAATCCAGCACCACAGGGCGGCATCCGCATACATACGCCCCCTTCCAGGAGCTGAGACAAATATAAATGTAAGTGCTGGGATGAATGGTATCCCATAGCAAAGCAAAAAGTACCAAACTTCCATCTTGCGTAGCCTCTCCGAATCGTATTTATGGTAGAACGTCAAGTAGACATTCACGGCCATCGCCAGAGTCCATAACGCATCCGCTGGCATGAACCTGATACCAATTAGTCAGATCACCTAGAGCGACTGTGTTCGCTTACATCTGAACCAAGAAGCCTTGCAACTGGCACCCAATCGAGTCGGTGCTGTACACAAAATCCCTTGCTATCAGCGTGGCGACGTTGGTCATCATGTTCCCGAACGATGCGTAGAAGACCAGACGATTGATAGGCTTATGGAAAGCTTTCGAAGTCGAGAAAGAAACAATGATGAATATACATCCTAATAACGAGAAGACTGATCCTGTGCGTTCTATGATATTGATGGTAGACTGTTGATTCAGCGTCAACGGCTCCGTAGCTTGCGGTGAAGCCATCTTATGGATTCGGTGTTCGCTGAGAAGAGTCGACAGAGGATGTGCAAGCCTTGCGAGAGAGATGCGGCAGTATGTCCAGGGATATCTCTGGCTGCTAGCTGGAAGTTTGGACGTGAGGACTCATCTGCGGATGACAAGCCGATACTCAGCCCTCGTTGACTCAGCGAGGAAAGTGAAACAAGACGCCTCCGTTCAGCAACAGGCGGTAGTAGTTCAGGCTGTGATGGTATAGGCTTGGATAAGCCACCGCCCGCTTCCCGAGATCCAAGATTAGTACTGAAGAACCGTAATGTCAAAATAAGACAACAGACTAGGAAGACCTTGAGTCTAGGCCGAAGATCTCCAGTCTTGAATGGGCGAAGGATTCTGGGCAAGAGTTGCTTGTTGGGACAACGCAACCTTGTATTAATTCACCACCGTCCGGAATGCTGATGGCAGGGAAGGTCGTTTTTGTAGGAAGACAAGCAAGTCGCACGCAAGCGTCACAGCATGGAAGAAGACAGCACAAGTTCTTGCATTGGTACGGAGAACAAGGGCTGCCCAATGCTGGGACGACTGAGCTTCATATGCAGTTGCGTTGCAGGGATGTTATGCAGCATCAATGACAGACTGACCCAGTCCAAAATCAGGGACGTTCGTTTTGGGAATCAACGGGAAGGGAAGCCTGCAGGAAATGGGGAAGATTCGCAGGAGGTGAACATTTGACCCATGGATAGCGTCTTCATGGCAAAATGCATGGAGGGAAACTGGCCAAGCGAGCAGGACCAGGGGTACACCAAGCCGGCCTGGTGGGAAGACTTCCCAGCGCCACTGACTAGTTAGTATGCTGAACGCTGTCACGATTTGGGACGTCAGCATGGCTGTTCAAGGATGCTAGTAATTGACTGTCTCCCGTTGTACCTCTGACCCATGTAAAGTACCTCCCGCTTAGACATCTGGGGACTAGAGACATGGGGCAGGTTGCGGGGGTGGGACGAACCTGTGAGAATAGCTGGACAGGGGTATTGTTCACGATCCAAAGCAAGGGGTCCGCCATCCACCTCCCCTTGGCGATTTGGAGAAGTCAGAAGGCCCTGTCACAACTAATAAAGGGTTTGTTACACTTATCCAAGCGTCGACGGGAAGACGGTCTGTACACAGCAACTCGCGCCGAAACGCCACCTGAAGCCCACAGAGCAACAAGACCAACCACAGATGAAAAGGCGGGTGACCGACCGGCAGGCTTCAGGTTAGGAAATTGCTCTTGGGTTATCCGGGGTGATTGTTGTGGGACAGCGTATGACAGTCGGAGGATAGGACTCAGTTTACCGACCCGTTCAAAGGGATTGGGGCGACGATTGCAGAGGCAAGCGACACCATAGATGGTAGTGTTCTTCTGCTTCCGGCAAGCTGCACGACATCGCTAGTAGTGGACCAAAAGCTCGGCTGCCTGATAATGTGTTAAGGCAGGTAGATTCTAGCGTTGAACATTGATTTCATTAGTACTTTTGCCTCAATGACACCGTTGAGAAATCGTGCTAGAGCCTAGAAGGAAATACGTACTTCGGTGACGCTGGAGTTACTTGCCACATGGTCCTTTAGCTTTCGACGCTACAAGATAAGACTAATAAACATTAATCCATTGCCCTATGCGAACTGTGGTAACTTAAACGGTTCCAGTCAATCCCCCACTTGCCGGTGGCCAGATCAGTTATGGGATGATGGGTCGGCAGATTTGGGAACGAGTGAGATCGAGGCCGATCACAGAACCTGTAATCTCCGGTTACACGCTGGCACGGTGGGATTGAAGCCTATTGTCCAAAGGAGGCAATCGCTCTGGTCACTTGACGTGGCTCTTGAGCCAGTCCCTTCGAGATATCATAAGTATTTGCTTTCTGCATTGCAATAGAAGTCAGTGCCATCATGAACGAGTCATCCAGCTTAGCATCGCAGATACACTCTGAAGTACAGAGGTACAGGCAATTATTGTATAACTTCGTCTTTGGGCTGTTAGGCTAGGTGCTAGCTACTGGCAGCCTAACCAGCAGATTACGGTACCTATTCTGCTAGCGTTGGGAAGAAAGCTTGATTTCCAGATTCATTACTCTTGTAGTTAGTTAGCAGCATCTGAGTGCCAACAAGCTTCCTCTTATCTGCAATGGTGTTCATATACTCTCTGTTCAGAGATTTGATCTGCAAAGAGCACCGACCATTTCAAGACCTACCGTTCATATCTGGTGTTCGGTTCATGTTTCTGCTCACTACATTGTCGCCACTTTATGCATAGACATTGCCTGGCTGTCCCTCAATATTATGTTCACGGCTAGCGCCAGTTCACTGGCAGCTCATAAGAACTACGCTCGCTGGTGGCTTGTCCTTCAGATAACGCTGGCACACCTACTATGTAGATAGGCAAACATGACTACATTGGAAGCCTTCGATGAAAGCCTCCTAACTACATGTTAGAGTGACAGACGTACTAGCACCCGGGCTACAGAGCCCAAAATAAGCTAGCATAACTCTCCCTAGTCAAGCGGTCTAGAGCAATCCACAAGGAATTACCAAGCCGTTAACGCCAGCCGAGGGCAATGCTCATGACATGGTGAAAGCACTGGTACTCGCATCTTATCTTCCATCACACCTGTATTTACCGCCTCATGTTTGGTGTGTGTCTGTGCACCGAAAGGTTCCCGTTTCGGCACCCGAGGGGTGCTGTTGACCCCTGCGTTGCAATGCCGGTAGCAGCCGGGTTCCCAGGTCACCGGCTCCCGCTGCGGCGTCGTTTTGCAGTATAGCGCAATGCGACTCGTAAGCTGAGTGATGGGTATGACAGCTACCTAGGTATTGTCTTCCATGCAGAGGCAGTGTGCCTGTGTCCTGCATATATCGGCATGCTACAGCCTTCAGCACCGTTCCGCGCGGAACCACAGTCTAGGGTCTTGGGAGATTCTTCCGTTTAAAGAAACAAAGCAATCGCTCGTGTTCATCCAAATTGGACGGGTTTGTGAGAATAGATTTTATTTACTGGGATGCTGAGTATGTCTGTCACACGAAGCTGCTTTTATTTGCCCGAAAACCATTTCGCCAGATAGCAGAAGACAGCCCAAAGAGCAAACACACATGGGCGGATAGTCTCTTCCAGGAATCGGAGGGCGCAGTGTTACCTTCGCTTTCTGACATGGCGTAATAGCATGTCCGTGCCTGCCGTCATTGCTGTAGGCCTTTCAACGTGGCGTATTGGCTGGACCTCTGGTCTATGGTCCCTGAATCCTGCTGTGACGAAGATATGCAAGTTGGCTACGCCTTGTCACTGGTGAAACAGCTCGCAGCTGTGGCCGACCTTGTGAACTGCTGTCGACTTACCAGATGCAGTCTCACGGTCACATCGCTTCGTATTGGCATTGCAGTGGTCAAGGCTTGGACATACGGATGGGCCCAACCGATGCTTCGCAGAAAGCAGAAAGCCAGCGAATCAGCTTGGCGTCGCATGGAAGAAGGAACGTTCGAGGTTTTCCCAATTTTTCATGATGTCCTTGTTTGGGACGGTCAAATCAAGATGTGTGGGCTCTTAACCTATTAACCTCACGTCCTCTGACAGCTCAAGGAAGTAAATTGCCTATCACGATGGTTTAGGCCCAAACCAAACTCTCAAGTCAGTTAACTGGACCAGCGCACTATGTCCGGCCTTTGCCGGGGCAATTATGGGTCTAAATATGATACCAATTTACAGTTGTCGAGATTGTAAGCTCGATGGCCTCAGATTACCGATACTATAACCCAGCACGGAACCAGCATCTGCCAAATTATTTAGCTTTAATCTCTTTTAACACTTCAATGTCTTACAGGAAGTTGTTACATGGCTTCAGAGTCCAAATTGGGGACTCCATGTATTTGAAACAAAGACATATTTCTTTCTGAGCAGCTATATAATCCTATATCATTGCTTTTGAACTTTTGCTGTGTTCATGGACGACCATCCGGCCACTCTCGCAAACTTTGCGGCATCAGTCATGCTTTGTTTATATCCAAAACAGCAGTCTATCAGAGGGACCTGATCATGTATATGTATACCAGAAGGGCATGGAGGTACCTCAGGGTTCACACACTGCAGTGACAGTCATTTGATTGTTGGTCATGCTATATTCCCTGTTCGAAGTGAATCATTACAGGTGTTGGGGCTAGTAAATTAGGGTATGCAATATCTTTGGTCACGATGACGTGCTAATCGATCGTTCGCTCCTTTAAGAGTCATTATGTAACTAAGCTTCTGCGAGCATCATTGGAAGTTTTTAAGAGAAAGACCTTAGGCACTATCGTGAATTCCTGTGAAAGCCTAACCTGAAAATCTTATGCAGTCAATGAAGGGGGGTTACTATCGATACTAGAGAACTGTAAAGAATTACTCAATCCACTTGCTCTTGATCGACTTCAAGACGAAAGGTTACCCGAGTATGAAACATGTCTTGAGTATGAGTAGTTTTCTCCTTGTCCTTGGTTCCATGAGAAACAGCAGAAAGCCTCTAGATTGTCTTAGGCTCAGATGGGTTATGTAATAGGGTAATTTGCAGCTCCATATCTTTCCACCAGAGCGGTTAAGTGTTTTTGATGATTGAAATACCTTATTGTTTTCGGTCTCTCCTTGTAACCATCACAATCCGGGTCTCAAAAGACACCAGGCTACCGAAGATACACAACGAACAGAAAGTACAAGGCCCTCAAAGACGACACAACTAGGTCTATGGAATAGTACATCTTCCTAATTAGCCCAATATAATCTGTGTGAACCATGCCTAACTGCACTTCCTTAGCTTGCCTTTCTTCGCATGCAGTCATAGTACTTTAGGAGATACTTCATATGCTCAGGTCAGTGAGGGAGATCAGACCACGGTGAAGCATCTTTTCCTACGCAGGCAAATCAACTTCTACTGCAGACTAAGGCTTGATTACCCGGCCAGAGCACCGGGAGAACCATTATCGATATGCGAAAGTCGAAGAGGAAAAGTGGCCGGGGTAATGGTGCAGGGAGAGGTGAAGTTAACAACCACCAGCACAGCAACAACAGCGGCAGGAATCACCAAAGGACCTACAACCAGCACGGGACTTATGACATGGAAGATCGTGTCCGTCGACCTGGCAGAAGGGGGCATCGAGACCGAGGCCGCGGGCGCGGGGGCTCCCATAACATCAAACACAACAACAACAACCGGCCCACAAATCACCTTCACAATGGAGCTGGACAGAAGGACGCTGAAGATGGCGCCTTTGGCGGCGGGTTCAGTGAGGCTGGGACAGACTACGACGACGATGGCCGAGGCGAGCCGCCCTCCCCCTTCGCCTTCTCGTGGTCCGACAGCAACGGCCGTAACCACAGCCAACGAACACAGCACAGTAACAACATGCCTTTCACGGAGCTCCTGGCGGCAGCGCAGCCGCGCGCGCATACGGGCCCGCCGCCGTGCCACGAGTGCCTGCGCACGCGGCGCGCGAACCGGGAGCTCAAGCGGGCGATCGAGACGTGCTTCCTCAAGCTGTCGGGCGGGTGGGCGGCGTGGCTGCGCGAGGTCGGGTTCCGCGACGCGCGCGGCCACGACGTCGAGCCCATGGACTGGGAACCCACCGAGAAGATGGTCATTGTCATCGCCGACCCCAACTGTCGCAACCATCAGGGGCGTGGCTCGACCGCGTCCCCGAGCCCCGAGGTCGGTGGCCCGGCGGGTCAGTCACCCGAGCTGGACCGGCGACAGCAGCAGCAGGGCGGAGGCCAGGAGCGGAATGGCGCAGGGGTTGGTGTTGGCATGGGCCTCGGGCCTGCGAATGGTTTCGGTGCTCCGCCTGCGCTTCAGCAATACCAGCACCAGCAACAGCAACAGGGACAAGATACAGTCCACTTCACACAGCAGGTGCCTCAGTGGCACATCGGTGGAGCAGCAGTGCAGCATGGGGCAGAGCAGACGGGCAGGTGAGTGATACCACTTTCCATCAAGCCTAATGGTTCCTGTCGACTAACACACAAGCAGTGCCAACGCGATCGAGACTCATGGAGGATTGGGCATCCAAGGACACATGGGGCATCCAAGCGAGTATGTCGACCCGAGTAGGTGGCAGTTTCGCGAGGCTAGGCCGGAGGGTGCTGATATTTTCTAAGACTAGGTCAGTCGGTTGGTTCCTGAAGACTTTGGAGACTCGGTTGGCATTAGAGTCTGCAAGGGTAGAGGATGGTCTCATGCCTCAGCGTTTAGTGGTTATGATACCAAGATAAATTGATAGGCATAGGTCAACAAAATTGCCTTGGTCAGTTCTGCGAAAATTGAGTACGGCGTTATCTAATCACTCGTTTGTAGAGGACAGAGACACGAACATGAGGTCTGTCCATGTGTGCAGGGGTCGACGTCTAGGTCATATCATCGGGGGGAGCATCATCACAGTACCATGTTTTCCAGGCAAGTGGAAGCGATGGTGTTTTCATGAATGGTATCAGCCGTATTTACGCCTTTCCATTGAAGAAAAAAAAATGCATATAGAACTGAGCAAACACATGACCTAATTTTCCCCTGAACGCCATTTTCGCCGATGCCTGATGATCGAGGCGCCATCCAAAGCCCTCTGGGAGTATTCACACATTAGACACTGAAACACAGCACAACGGATCCTTGCGAAATCCGATCTTTAGCTGACCATTACTTTGCCTCCTGGTATTGTCCAATGACAATACAGTGATCTCTGCACGGCTGTTAGCTATCGAAGTATCTAATGGAGTGGTGGGAGGGACTGGGGATGGTACCAACCTTTCGTAGGGTTCCAGGGTAAGCTGCTCTTGCGGCTTGATGCGCTCTGCCCTCAGCTTCTGGACCTCCTGTGCGAAGACAGCCTCAGCGGGAGCTGTACTGTCGATACAGTTGGCCTTTATCGAGATGACGACACCTCCACCAATCTTCAGGAACAAGTGGGCGTTGAGGGCAACGATACGAGCCTGGTCAGGCTGGGCAACGTCGGCAAAGATACAGTCGACCATGGGGACGAGCATTCGGTACTTCATGGGGTGACGGGCGTCCTCGACAATGGGGATGACGTTGGTGCGGTTCTGGGCCATGTTGACCAAATCACGACCGGATCGGTGAGAGAACTCGACAGCGTAAACGTTGCCGGTAGGACCGACGAGATCAGCCACGTGGGAGACCGAAGTGCCAGAGGCGGCACCAAGGTAGAGGACCTTGGAACCAGGCTTCATGTAGATGTTGTCGATACCACCTATGATTGGGGTTAGTGGGCGGGCTGTTGCGGCGAAGGGCCTGATCGCATAATGCACCATGTCTTTCATTCATCGACCATGGTATGATTACGACGAACAGGGGGGCAAATCGTAACTTACCAATAATGCCAGCGGCCAGCTTGCTACGGAAGGGGTTCCACACACGGTACTCAACCTTGGTAGACACGGGGGCGCCATCCTCGCCCTTGTCGGTGCTGTCAACGCTGATGCGCTTCTCGCCGTAGACCTCGAGACCGGGGGCAACGCTTCGGGTGAGCAGGTGGTCCTCCTTGCCTCTGGAGACGAAGACACCCTCGTGACGGTGGGGCTCCTAGAAGACAAGACGGTCAGACTCTGGGCGCATGTTGCACTGCACATGTTCAACTTACAACAACGACCTTGGCGCCGCCGCGGGCACCTCCTCTGGCACCACCGCGACCGCCACGGCCAGGGGGACCTCCACGTCCTCCGCGGCCTGGGGGACCACCGCGGCCACGGCCACCTCCAAAGCCTCCTCGGCCGCCACCTCGCGGGGCGCCAAAGCCGCCGCGAGAACCACCACGACCTCCGCGGTCACCGCCGCCTCCACGTCCACCGCGGAAGCCACCACCACCGGCGCCGCCACGACCTCTTGGTGCGAAACCCATTGCGGCTGTGAGTGTGTAAAAAGCGTGAAGAGCAGAAGCGCCGACCGGTCAGGGGCGTTGGGAGAGTGATTTGACGTTGGGCGCGGGGCCAATGAGTGAGGAAAAAAATGGACGATTGTCAAGTCAGAGGGTCGTTGGAACCTTTTTCCACTGTCGCCTCGAATCCTCAGACAAAACTTTTGGAGCTTGGAAAAAAAAGTTTTGGGGAGCTAGCTATCAATTCGGGCGATAAGATAATCCGCGGCGTTGGTGGGGGGCGGCCCACGTCCACAGGTGGTCCAGTGCAGCTTGTGTCCCGGTGGAGACGGGGGCCAGTGGGCCACGGGCTGCTGGCCAATGGCAGCCGGCCAGGGCGGGGAGCCACGGCGCTGCGATCTGGTAGGGTTGGCACTTTCCGCTCGGCTAATCCACGGCCACCAAAAATTCCACGGGAAAACTTGAATTCCTCTTGGGCTACCACCGAGATTGACCTCACATTCCCAGACCCGAACACTCACGACGACACTCCTCGGATCCATCTCCTACTAACTCAACAGCAAAGATGGTACGTCCCTCGATCATGCCCAATCTGCACACACACATGCACACAGCCCCGCGAGAACAGAGGCGTGCGAGTATTGGCAAGAGGAGGAACGGGCGGGAGCGGGAGCAGCTGCTGGCAATACATGGCATCGCATCGCAAACCAGAGACGGGAGAAGAAAAAAAAAATATTTACTACCTTGCACACATACACACACACACACATGCAACGTCAAGGCCGGAGGAACTGACCATGGCTTCACCCACAGGTTCGATACGCCGCCACAGAGATCGCCCCCGCGAAGTCGGCCCGCGCCCGCGGTGCCTACCTGCGTGTCTCGTTCAAGAACACCCGCGAGACCGCCCAGGCCATCAACGGCTGGAAGCTCGCCCGTGCCGTCAAGTTCCTCGAGAACGTCCAGACCAAGACCGAGGCCGTCCCCATGCGCCGATACGCCGGCAGCACTGGCCGCACCGCCCAAGGTACGACTGCCTGAACTACGTTGCTAGGAAGAGGAGGACCTGGGGCTGCCACGAAGACAAGGGTGGTCAATGGCCTTGCTCATGATCACACGAGTCGACAGACAGCCCCGGGCGCTGGGCTCATCCCACACACGACCAAAGTGCTGACAATCCTCCCCCATCGCAGGCAAGCAGTTCGGTGTCTCCCGTGCTCGATGGCCCGTCAAGTCCGCCGAGTTCCTGCTCGGTCTCCTGAAGAACGCCGAGTCCAACGCTGACGCCAAGGGTCTCGACACCTCCAACCTCATCGTCAAGCACATCCAGGTCAACCAGGCCCCCAAGCAGCGCAGACGTACTTACCGTGCCCACGGTCGTGTATGTGACCTCCCTTCGTCGGATCGCCTGGCGCGCAACCCACAAATACTGATGCTCTCTGCAGATCAACCCCTACATGTCGAACCCCTGCCACATCGAGCTCATCCTGACCGAGGGTGAGGAGGTTGTCCAGAAGTCTGAGGATGTTGTCGGCCGTGAGCACTTGAGCTCGAGACAACGAGGTGCTGCCCGCCGCAAGGCCCTCACTGCCGCATAAGCTGGCGGCTGGATAGGTGATGGTTAGATGCGCATAGGGTCTCAATTGAGGATTGTATTGCTTTTACAGGCTGGTGTCAAGGCGGTCAATCGTAAAGCATGGGTTTGGTTCAGGCATTGCGGTTTGCAAATGGCAAATGGCGAGATTCCCAAAATATAAAAAGTTCCTGAACGCACATGGACGAGGCACGGTCAAGGGGGGCATATGCATTACGTGACGAGTTCTACGACAGCTAATCTAGAAAATGGATCACATGTGTCCCATACGCCCTCCAGTTCCAGTGTTCCGCCTGGTGCTGACTTTCCCCATCCTCTCTGATGTCTGTCCTGCTTCAGCCACGACGGCATAACTGAGGATAGATGGAATCATGTCCGAGGTGGCAGAGCCTGCGCAGTGTGAAGGCTATACGCTGTTGATGCACATTGCGAAGTGGCGCTACCCTCAAAATCAACAGGTAAATTGTAAACAAAGCACTCAAACATTTTTGCAGCAATGTAAGCATGCAGGCATCAATCAAATACATAGTGTCGTGAAACAGCCGCCAGATCACGTTCCTTTGGTTTTCAACCTCAATTGTTTGAGGGGACGCGGCAAAGTACACCAGTAGACTGTATCAAATAGGATTGTCTTTGCTACATATAGCCCAGGGACTGATCGCATGGCTGTGGTGTATGCTTTCAAATACGAGGAATCTAGGCTACTATATTGCACAGTACCGGACTCCAGAAGAGTTTCTGTCTAGTGGTTCTAGGTTAGTCAGGTACTTACAGTCGACAATTCCACCCTCAGGTACCAGAGTGTGGCCCAGCTCAGTTCTTCTCGCCAAAACAACACAGTTCATAGTCATCTCTGAATAGTCCTAGAGTTTTTGCTGTGAGGTGGTCCTTTCCAGTGGGGCCCTGCCTTTATTACCAAGATCGTGGTACTTACAAACCTGATCACTGATGGCCTGCTTGAACTGCTTGAGCATAGGGCAAGTTCATGTGCTCGCCTAGATTTTACTTCATCGTCGGCGCTAATTGTAGGCGTAACATAGTTATGACCAGATATGCTGCTTTTGAGAGAGGGCGAAGTCAAGTTTCCCACCCTCATCATTCTCGTATGTAGTTATCCTCAAGGTAATGGTGCCGTTGTTGTGGGAGTCCTAATCCAATGGAATACATTGTCTTGCAAACACGAACTTTGCAAGAAATGTACTTCCAGTATCCTTCACAGATCTGGCCTGAAATTGAACTGGTTGAGTGAATCTGTATGTCTAAGCCAGGCGTAGTTCTCATACTTCAAAGCTAACTTTTTCCACAGTCCTCCTCTCAACTTTCCTTGCATGGCACTGTCATCTTTATTTATTACTGATAGTTTAGTTAGTATTAAGTCGCAGTATGCTTAAGCATCCAAAAATTTCAGTAGATAGATAGATTAGGATACGCTACAAGTGCTAGTGCTAGGATGAGAAAGACAGTCACGCGGGATGACAGGAATGTAATTTTGGTGTATCAACGAGAGTACTTTTCCAAGGGCCAAAGATCATAGCACATCGTGGCGGACTCAAACTCCTGTCGGCTGGAATTGTATCAGCAATCGACTTGGCCCGGCTGTTGCACGCTTCGTAATCCTTAGCCTTCCATAAGGTTCAACGGAAGAATCTATTAAGGGACTGCCGTGAGTATGTCTGAATTCCAGGCGCTTTCGATCTGGATACAGGGTACGTAGAAAGTAGTTAGAGTTTTTGGCTTTTGAAAGTATTCGACTTTGAGCTATCGAAGGTTCATATTGCCGAATCTGCACAAAGTGAGGCCACACGAAGGGATCTCATGTTCAAATGCTCCTGTCGCAGCTATTGAAAAGTCCATTCCCTTTTTGCAACGAGGAAACGCGGCTGATAATTCGAAGAAAGGAACCAGATGTTCACAGTGCAGCTTGTACCTGGTGGTCTGACTTTATACACATGCTGAGCGCCCTTTTCAGGCTACGAAGAACATCATACTATAGTCGGGCGACTGATCCATGCACGTTTTCCGCCCGGGAACTACGGCCCCGGCACGAACCGCTGCGAACGGTGGACGAGGTCGACGGGAACCCAGCAGCCCGGTATCTGGATCGTGCCTTGCAGATGACTTGTCACTTGCTTCGCTGCATCAAAGATCATTTATCAGCTATCCTTTAAAATCTGAGTGTTGACTCAAGTAAAAGTTTGCAAACTTTTGGGAATGCGAAGAGGGGCAATCCTCAGCGTCGCTCTCAGGGCTCAATACTTCACCAATCACAAACCAGCTTTCTTTGCCTGCCGCAACCAAATTCGAACTCTTCTGATTCGCTTTAGAAACCCCAATCCAACACTCGTCATGAGGTAGCAGACACGCGCGGGGCTCTAGCCTCTCGTCCTACCTCGGATGTTATCCTTTCTGCCGGACCACTGACTTCGGACTTAGCCTATGGAGGATCAGGATCGCGAATGATTCAGCTCCATGTTGGGTAGGATCACGAGCTCCACAACGCGTTGTGGTGCCAAGCCTTGGGTGTCGCCGCCTATTTCCAGGCGTTCTGGAAGACTCATTGGCGTTCTGATGCTGAGAGAGAGCGGTGGGCACATTCACGGATCCTGGAAAGACACGAAAAAAGAAACATTACCGCAATGATGCCTTCACACGTTGCTATCGGGAGATGGACATAGGTGTCTCAGTCTGCTTGGTTTACATGCAGTCCGTTCAGATCGCTGTCTCTCATTCGGTGCCTTGGTTGCATTGGTGCCCATCCACAGTCTTAAAAGGCAGCTGCCATCTCACTCGTTCAATCATGCATAAGATGTACAGCCTTCTGACCTATATGTTCTAAGTACCGTTGAGGGAAAGTACAAAGGTCGTGATTCAGCATTGCGACGCAGGATCAGTGGCTAGAATCTCTCTGCAGCTCGACGGTAATGGAAATCCCGTGCCAACGCAATCAGTGGCAATTGCAGCACGGATGAAACGTGGAACGGCATGGCTCCTTCGGTAGCCTCCTTCCGAAGACCTCGCTGTACTCCATTTGCAGTAGTTCCGATAGTCGTTCATAGCCCAGTTCAATCTCTTTACAACCAGCAAAACCAGAAAGGACATACGCAGATCCCAACAATGAAGCGTGGAGCTACGATGAATACGATTTCTTGGGTGCAATGCTTCTTTTGTGTATACTTTGCGGGTAGTATCATTGACCAACACCCCCAAGACCCAAGTTTCACTGAAATTTTGCCGTCGAAGCAAACTAATCATATTCATCACTGAGGAGAAGCTTCAATTTGGATGGCAAACTTTTCATATAGATAAGTGCATGTGCATGAGGTTGAACTTTAATTGTCATCATTCGCTACCTCATACTACGCCAAACCCAGAGTTCGTACTGTGAAGAGTGTCCTCGATAACCTAGGCCTTGCTTACAATGAGGAATTCTGCCGTGAGCCTTTAAGTCTATGCTAGAGCAAACTATGAAATGATATTTGATGAGTCGGAACATGGCGATGCTCCCAGGGAAGGTGAATCAGTTGAAGCCCTTCTGGCGTCCATGGAAGTCATCGTCGACGCTTGGGTTCCATCTGATCTCGTTTCATTGGAGAATTTCTTTATGTCTGTCGATGTCGCAGCATTATCCCGAGACCAGTAGAACAAGACATCTCGTTGCCAACGGTCTAGGTCGTTGACCTGTAGCATAGGCCGAAGGTAAACGAGAAGCAGCTCAGCTTCCATTGGGGACTGGCGTAGCTTGTGGAGGAGCCAGCGGTTTATATAGCCCCGTTTGTCTTCATCTTCAAATGAGCCGATAAGCGATTCAATGCCGAATTCCTTTTTGGCGGCTTCCATCAGCTTTGACCTGTGAGGAAACTCCTGTGGAAGCCTACATGTGGCTCGTAGAAACATCTCTGCTGTCTGGGGGAAGGGGGCACCAAGTAGATGCATGGGGTTAGAGAGTAAAAGCCCAAATTGCGAAGGTTTTGGTGTCGTTTCAGAGGAGTCCGGCGCCATGGAGAGTTCTTCTAGGTAGATGTCGTCTAGTGTGAAGTTGTATAGATCAAACCGTCTCCTCCCCAACGCAGAGTCTTTCGAAATCAACTTTATCTCCTCGCACTCGGCTTTAAGGCGGTTCGCTTTAGACTTCCAGTCTTCGATTTCACCTCGAGCCTGATGTCTCAATGTTTCGAATTCATCCAAGAAGCTTCGTTCATCATCGGTAAGTTTTCGGCCCCCAACTGATGCAATAATGTGTTTTTGGATCTCCAAATCCTCAAGGAACTCTTCCGCGATGTGGAGTTCCATTATGCACTCTCGTAAGTCTTCCAACAGTGGATGTTGATCCTCGGACCGCTCGCCCTTGATGCCGCGCAGAGCCTCCCAAGACGTCGATCGTGAAAGCTCTGATTCAGTTGATGGTGGACTTTCGAGGAGGGAAGTATAGAATCTGCGTTCTTCAAATTCAACCTTTAATTCTCCCTCTCGCAATTCATCCACTAGCTCGTCGAGTCCGACTTCTGCTTTTTGGTATGAAAGATCTAATTTCTGCGTCTCGGACAGAAGTACGCCAAGGTGAGGATGCTCTGGTAATAACTGCTGCACAGCCAGTCTCATACTATCGTAGACATGATTCCTACGCTGTCTAATGTCAATTAAAGACGATTTTGCGGTACCAAGCTTTTGGAACGTCTCCCTCAGCGCGTCCCTCCTTTCCCTCACATTTGCCCACTGGGCAGTGATGAGACGAACATCGTCCGCATCCAGCTCTGGGATAGAATCATCGGTGTCATCGTCCGTCCACTCACGTATGCAGCCTTGTGGTTGTGTGCCAACGTTTCCAAGTTCCACTTTACGCAAATTGCGAACCTTATCCACGTTTGTCTGCTGCAAATCCAAATTGAGCTGCGCCAGCCCGGGAGCCTGGGACCCAGCCTGTTCGGAACTTCTTCTGTGTCCTGATATAAGACCGCGATGGTTTGAATTTACATGCAGCAGAGTGCTATGCTGTTCATCGACCGGTGGGCCCTGACCCACATGCGGGTATTTACGGTGACGCTCTATACGGACTGGCGACCCGTGACGTAGCGCTCGTGGGAGAGCAGCGAGCTTTTTGGTGAGGCTCTGGACTTGTGCTTGCGAGCTGGCGGATGGTAGGACAGGAATGCGGTTCAGCCGGTCGTAGCGTCTGTTGCTTGCGTCAGAGGACTTCGAGGACGTGACAGAATCCCTTTGTCGATGCTGCTGCTGCAAGTGGTGAGAGTCATGCACCCGAGGGATATTTTCCTGCCCAGCAGCCATGTTCTGAGCGACGCTGGGAACCGCCACTTTGCAGAGGCATTATCACGTTTACTTATGGTGCGTTGCAGTCTTCAGATTTGTTCTTGGTGGTAGTACGAGCACGGTGAGAGTGTGTATCAAGAAGCAAGACCGCGCGAGGTTTCGGTCCGTGTCCACAGTGTCGAGGGAAAAAAATTATTTCTGGCGAGGCAGGAAGGACCAAGGTGCCCTTCGCGATCAATGGATCAACGCAATCATCGACGTGTTTCCACGGGGGTTATCGAAATTAGGGCTTTCACCGATCGAGTAGGGTGTCACAGGATTCATCCGTCATCCAAGCCGGTGAGTTGCGCCACCGTCCTAGGGTTTATCGGTATGCCATACAGACCCCTGTCATTAGTCGGGAGATTTGCAAGTAAGATGTACCTCTGTCAATGGGTACAATGTCGCAGAGCCTCATTCACTACTCACCCGACCGTGGCAAATGGTCGCGGGGTATCTGGGAAGTTTTGGGGGGCTGGATTGCAATGAAACACGCATGGCTGCTACGCTGTGGTTGGTCCCAAACAACTAAAATCCCATGCAGATATGCGACAACGTCTTTCAATGATCTGCTTTCGAATTCAGCATTATTTCCATAAGCCTCCGGATGATGCCCCCGAGTGTAGAATTCCATGTGTGTTGGTCTTCACTGAACTTGGTAAATGTTCCCGCCCCCGTCCATTTCGTACATTACGATATCCTTTCTTGTCCATAGTTGTTGTATCTTCTCTTGGCTTAGATAGATATCTCATGCATTCCTGCATTTATCGATTCAAAAAATTGAGACAAGATGCTATTTGACCCCTATAAGCCAAAGTCATGCTATGATTGGCAGCTTTCCATCCTGTGCGACATACTCCAGCGTCATCCCTGGCGCAGTCGTTCCTATCAATACCCGGTTCTTCTTCCAGGAAGCCATTGCTCTCTAAAGAATGCATAGTCTCTTTTGCCGCAGGAGATCGAGCCAATGAAACATACAGTCAAAATGTCACGAGGCATGAATTCTAGTCTCGGGGCCAATGATTAGTGAGTTTTTGCAAGCATTCCGTCGTAGTCGACTTTCACAGAGTATGCATGCGCCACGGCATGATGTGTTTTCTTCTCTGGGCCATATACAGGTACTATAGACCCGGGAAAGAAACTCGGGGTACCAAAGTCAGCAGAGCCGCACTCGATGGCTTTCATTTGAAAAAGCCGAGAACCCGACGGGAGGTGAGTCTGCTTCCAGCTACTGGCGGAGTCGTCACAACCAGGGACGCTCGACTGTATGCTGCGGTAATGCCAATGAGGGCCCAGCCTCCACTATCATGTCACTATGCCCTCGCGCCACTCCAAGGCTAAACATTCCAAGTCATCTCACCGGGGACAACGGCGGGATCCTGACGAGGAGCATCAAGCGTATAGAACTGCGTATCAAGTTGAAGGAGACTACGAGAATTACGGTGCGGACTAGGATATTCTTGACCGAAGATGTAGCGGCTGTCATATCTAGATTTGCTAACTCTACCCAGACACTGCCACCCCTAGAGCATATGTAGAGCTGCCAGACCTGAGCACGCTACGTATTAAAGACAATCAAGAATACGGAAGCCCCGCCGCTCCCAATATATCTAACCAAAACGACGAGTACACTTCTTCTACGCATTATAATTCCATCAATTATCCCGATTATAGTCAACATTCCGAAGTTACTCCACAAAGTTACGGTGCGGAATGGGATGGGGCTGACGACCACGGAAGCCATCAGGTCTCGCAGTGTCCGGGCTCGGATGTCGCAGATGATAAATGTGAGGAATCAGAAGAGCGCGATACTATCTACGGCGTAGATGCGTACTCAGAAAGCCTCGACAAACGGGATGCACTAAAGCAGAGTCGTCACTCGAGGAAGGAGAGAGGAAAAGGGAAGGGAAAAGGGAAAGAAGTAGTGAATGATGACCCCACGTTTCAAAACCCCGAAGATTATTATGCAGAAGGATCTGGTGTTGCTACAGGCTACAACACAAGCGGTAGGGTAGTCTACAGTTGTATTCTTCTACGGGTGCTGACGCTATTCAGCTCCACCAGTTGATTATGGCGATGATGGGAGCCACCCAAATTCAGGCGATGACCACTGGGGAAATGCGGGACAAATTGCAAGTATCATCGACACGGCAGCCAGCCAGGGTCCATTACTAAACAAGTCGACACAGATGACAGGAGGCATCGATCAAACTAGCGGGTATGATGAAGACGAATTCCAGCAGGCAAGGCTAGAGAGTCTGGCAGCATATTATGGGGATCGGCAAGGTGAGCCGTCAACGGCGCAATACCCACCATATGAAGGCTATGCCAATCTCCCTGCAACAGGTAAAAGACAATTTTGTGTTATGTTCACCAATTATCCTAATAGTATCACAGGCCATGCATCGTCTGCAAACTTTCCGATTCAACAACCTCAAGTGTCAACTCAGCTTCCATATCCAGAAGAAACGTCTTTGGCAACTGGTTATGTGATCCCTAGCATAACTGAAAAGCCTAAAGCGAAAGACCCTCGTGAGGAAGGCTCTTCATTGCTAATTGTTCCCGGATCCTAATCAGTTTGAAGGTTATAGAATTGAGCATACAAGGCGATTCCAAGAGGGCACCGTAGGTTTCTCCGTCTGACAAAAACACACAAAAGTACCAGATGACGGCTGATTCCTCAAACGCAAGGTTTTCAAGATGATGTGGGCGGAACCTCTCGGGGGCGCCAGAGCAACACCTGAGCTTGATGAAGATCCCACAACTGTGACTAGTGTGACTAGGTATGGGGACTTCTATACGACCATCCGCAGGTTCATCGTCGTTGCGACAGAGAAGGGCCATAGCCAATGCGTGTAAGGATAGAAATACACTTCACGGAGAATGTCACTGACATAGATTAAGGCCCATCTTGACGTATGTAAACCGAGCCTGTACAAAGCCCGGCGTGAAGCCAGAGAAACATGGCATCATATGCAGTCAAGGCAGAACCCCTCAATTGATCGAACGGGAACCACAACTTGGGTTTCGGCCAGTGATGTTGATTCCCCAAGGTCACGGTAATATAGAAACTCTGTCCAAAACATCCCGGGTAAACTACTCAAAGTTGGTCTCAGTTGAGCACAATTTCCCAGTCTTCATCATCGGCAGGATCTCCAAACATGATACCAAGGTCGTTCAAGACGCCGTTAACTATTGTTGGGAGGAGAGATGGAGACACCGATACCAGTGAGACGAGTCGTCGGTATCACGATTTGGTCCCACGAGGAGAGCACGGAAGCATGGTCGAAAGACCACTGTCTTTTCGAAAACGTTCTTCCACACCGAGGCAGATTGCAGCATCTGAAGCCGCATCGCTATCGCACATGAATACGTTACTTGGAAGGGACTCTGCGGGTCCTTGACCACACAACTAAGTGACCATATGTCACAATGTTGAATTATGATTGAGGAAAACGGCTAATAGTGGAATAGTCAGGCTTCGACGGAAATTTACGAAAGGGAGAATATACTTTCTCGGAGTTTTTGTCGCTTTTATTTGGTTCTCAGGGACAAAGGCAGAATGATACGGAGGTTCTCTTACGTGCAAGTCTCCCGATTTCTGGGTCAACTAACGATGCTATGATCGAGGTCGGCTTATCGGCCATGACGAATTACGACTAACAACAGTGGAAGTTGATGCTATATTCCTTAGTTCTAGGCTAAGCTTTCTTATGATATCTCATAGTATCCCTCATTATATCGAATGACAGGATTGTCGCCGTCTTGCAGAGCCTTTACCTGAGTAGGCGTGATCTTTTGCAACCATTCGAAGTAGTTCTGGGCTTTTGGTGACCCACTGTGATTCTATCTCACATATCTGACATCGCAATCACAGCTCGAACTTTAGTACACATTATAAAGTCTGTCTTCGGGCCCTAGCCACATCACCACAACCCGACCCAACGCATCGACTAGGCGAGCGACGCAGTTGAAGCATGCACACATGTATATCGATCGTCCTACCGTTTAATAGGCTTGTAACGTTTACTTTCAAACGTCCTCACCCGCGCATGCATATTGTGTGAGCATTGCGGTATCATTGCGCAAACCCTTTTGCTCCCAATGGCTGGGTACACTCACTGCCCTTGCATCAAGTGCCAACGTCGTCGGGCACTCGAAACCAATCTACTGTCTTCTTAAATACTGCGCGTCGCCCAAAGAGAACCAACGTACATGTATATGTGCGGCCCGGTCCTAGAGGACTAACGTGCAACTCTGATTCTGACCACTACAACCTCGTTGTGACCCGGTCTACCTACATGGCTCGCTGAGGTGTGCTTGTGACAAACCTGTCTCCCTGTCTAGGTAGCCATCAAGTAGGCCCTCCACTCCCGCGCTACTTTCTAAGCATGAAGTCCGATTGCTCAAATACTGCTTCACACCGTACATCATTCTTCGCAGAACACCTGAAAACATAAGACTCTTCACCATATCTCAAAGAGTCAACGCGCACTCCTGAAAAACATGACTTACAGCGTCCTCATCTTTGCTTTTCGCAAGCCCGGCATCACACCGGAACAGTTCCGGGCACATTATGAAGGCACCCATATCGCTCTCGCCAAGGACATTGCCGGCGAGCACTTCCCACTGTCCCACACTCGCCGCTACATCCACCGCACGGAGGCCAAGGCCGAGGGGACGGAGCGCCATGCCGGCTACCCTGCCACCGTCCTCAATGGCAACCAGGCCGACTTCGAGTACGACGCGGTCGCAGAGCTGACTTTTTCCGATGCCACTGCGTTTCAGACCTTCTATGACATTTACCAAAAGCCTGAGAATCTGGCGCGGATCCAGGCGGATGAGGCAATGTTCCTGGACAGCTCTAAAATGACGGCCGTCGTGGTTGGGGAGACTGTCGTTACAACCAAATAGGGGCGAGCAGATGGAGGAATATTTGCTGCATGAACGTTTCCGAGGGTCTGTCATCAAGAGCAGGTCGGGTGACAATGCATGTACGCGTGACGGAGCCTAGATCAATTATATATGAATGCCACGGTAGCTTTCGTTTTAGAATTGTGAAGGGTCGCAGTGAGACGTGAAACTAGTGCAATTGGCGGGACAATACTGTTAACCAACCTTAAAGCACCATATGAGTAGTTCAGTGGGTGACCACCAGCAACTCCGGGCGTCGTAGGTTTTCAATTCCTCAAGTCCCTTTAATGTAAGTCATTCTAATGGTTCTTTGAATTAGCTATTTAATGCGTCCAACTGGTCGCGAAACTCTGTTGCCAGCTATTGGGTTCAGTTCGACGGCTCGCGCCCATGACGTGTTGCATCACTCATTCGACGTCATGCAGCAGCAATTGACTGACCACAAGCGAGAGAACTTCTAACCATCCGCTCTCATGGCTGCCGAATATATAACTTACGAGACATACAAACTCGATATAATGTTGAGCGCCCAGGTTACCATTGACTGACAAACCAATCACCAACGCAATATTATAAAACAACACAACCTCCCTATTCGAGATCCCCAAACCCCGAGTATCATTTCCGTGAATCCCCCCAAAATGCCGCCCTCCGGAACCGAACAAGCAAAGCAGAAGTTTCAAGCCGGGATCGAGAAGACCCGGCAGGCAGCAAATCGTGAGTCCTAGTCCTCTTATCCATCTTCTGCTGTCCCGTCATGAAGTTGCGGCTAACCAGCGACACCCACCGTCCAGCGGCTCCCGGCGAGTCGACAGGCACCAACCCCAAGCTAGGGGCCGCCATCTCCAAACTCGCCAAGGGCGAGACCGAGGCGTCGTTGTACACGGCGAAGGGCGGGCCGAGCGGGACGGACAGGACCAAGGAACCGGGTGGGCTGTGAAGGGAGGCCCACGGAAAACGACGGGGTATGGCAACGGTGGAGGACTCGGGCACGTTTGGTAATCGCGGTTCCATACAGGTCACATTCTTTTTTTCTCTCTAAGATGGGATGAATGCTTTGATCAATCATGCGTACTCTACATACAGGCAATTTTGGCATTACTACTGCTTGACCCTCAAACAAAAAGACATGAAAACGCCTGAATTCCCAATCCGTTCCTTCGCCATGTGGTGCGATGCTGACAACTGCGTACCTAACGTCATTCCTCGTGTAAAGCTCTATACAGACCATGTGCTTCATTCCTCAATATGCTGGGCAAGACCCAGCGGACTAGCTCCACGTTGTGATGGAAGCGCACTCTCTCGCGTGCCCAGTGCAACTAGGGACGAGCTCCCCTTAACGTTCTCTCCGGTACCCGGCGGCACCACGCTTCTTTCTCCTCTCCTCTGCATAGTCGACGATATCGGTACCACCCTCCCCAGTGGAGGACAGGCCCGGGATGACGTGGCGGTAGGCCTTGGTCCCCAGATCGCTACCGCTGCCCTCGGTCCAGTAGCTGCTACCCGACACCTCACTCCTGCCCACGCCTTCTTCGACGATGGAGTCTCCTTGTCTGAAGCTGAAGTCGCGGCGGCTGGCGGCGCGGCCCTTATCCTGCAGGCGCTTGGCCTCGGCCCGGATGCGTTCCTGTTCCTTGGCGGCGTTGCGGTCGGCCACGCTGTACACTTTGCGGATGCCGCCCTTCTTCTCCTTGGTCGGGGTCGAGGTCGGGGTGCTCTGGCGGTTGCTCAGCAGGTCGCTGCCGGCGGTCGAGTCGCTCGGGTTTGTTGACCCATCCCAGGTGCTCCCTTCAGACTCCTTGTTGAGGCCGCCAACACGGGCCGGGCGCTCGTGGCGGTACTGTCTCATGGCATCCTTGGCATCAAGCTCGGCCATCTCGTCGACCAGCTGACCGTGCTCATCCTTGTGGCCCTTGCGGGCCTTCCTGTCCTTCTTCTTCTCACGCTCGCGGTCGCGCTTCTCCTTCTTGGCCTTTCTCTTCTCACGTGCGCCAATGTCCGAAGGGCCGGCCGTGATGCCCGACAGGGTGCTTGATGTGTCGCCGCTCAGGTGGGTGGTGGTCAGACCACCAGTGTACTCGGTGGCGCCGTCATCGTAGTCCTTGTAGATGCTGCCGCCGCCGAGGTCGGTGCTCTTGGTCGCGTTGGACAGGAGGGTGCCATTGGGACCTCTGCGGCGAAGCACCGTCGTCTTGTAGTCATCCCAATCGTTCTCTTGGAAGTAGAAGCCGCCGTTCTTGGCCCAGAAGAAGAACCAGATGCCGACGGCCACGAAGACGACACCGATCAAGCCAAAGAGCGCGAACAAGGCGTTGTTATTGATCTGGTGAGGGTCGATGACTCCACGTGACGGGTCCGATTCCGTCGTGGGACTGCCAGACACGCCGTCGCGGGCGAGGAGGATTGAGCGCGCTGCCAGCGGACCCAGGTGGCCGATGGACGACTCGGCTTCTGCTGAGCGTTGGCTGAGGTCGACCGAGGAATGTATGGCGCGGGAGAACAGCGTGCGAGCGCTCGCTGCGAGGGTTGGCAGCAGAGGCGCCATCTTGTGGTGTCGGGAATGTGGCCCTCAGCAGCAACAGAAGAGTCCGGGGAGGAGAAGGCAATGAGTTCGATGGCGGTGTCTGGTATGGAGACGTCGTTTCTCGGCTGGTTCTTTGCTGGGAAAGACCAGCCTAGTCGACGAAAGGGGGGTGCTGGTATCAGTGGCAGATGCGATGTGTGTAAGTGGTTGTTAGCCGATGATGCAGTTATCTGGAATCCGGCGGGCGCGATATCCCGTGGGCGGTTTTGGTGTTTAGTGGGTGGGCGAGGATGTGGTGAGTGCTGAGGTGTGTGCAGGTGAGCGATGCAGGACTCGCGGCTCTGCATGCGGTTGTCTAGTGGTTTCCTATGGCGATCGATATGCCCTGCAGCAAATGCGGGAGGCTGGCGCTGGCGACATCCACGGAGGTTGGGAGTCTGGGTGTGGTGTGGGGTGTAACGTCATTGGTAAACATTCCCTAGCGTTGCCAGGCAACTGCATTTACAGGGGGCTCACTGCCTGCCAACTGCGGGAGGACACGGCGACGCGCGCGACAAGGGGCCTGGACCTCCACCAAGAATTGCTGAGCTGCCAAAGAGTCCGGTACTTGCGCGTTTGGCGTCAAGGCCACCAATACGAAAGTACTGGCCCTTTCCAAATCTTCCATTCCTACAGCGACTTATGCACACCAGGTCCATCACAGGACATCAAGAGACGCGAACGTAAAGCTCCCCCTTCCCAACCCCCATGCACCGTCGATCCGTAATGAACGAGCACCTTGGACCGTTTATTCGGTCGTTCCGTGTGGACAGGGAGTCGCATCGTCCGTCCCAAACACGAACGGTATCGCTAGCCGCTTTGGGGCATTATGCTGGCCGGCAGGCTGGGGCCTTTCCCCGGGGGATGCATCCCTTTACCTAGATGAACGCAGCACGCAGCTAATCATCGCTGGCAAGCCCTACATAGGCGAGATCAGCAAGCTCGAATATTTGCTGAGTTGAGGGGCCATGCCCAGCGCCGTTTCATGGCTGTGTCAATAGCGTTCGGATAATTGACTTAGCATAACATGGCATAGCATAGCAATTACCACTGGCAAAAGGGTGCACGGGGTCCTGGAGGACTCGCGAGTCCTTCGTTGCCTCGAACCTCACGGTGCATGATGGCTCGGTCATCACAGAGTCACACGGTAAACGGGCTCAGGGGTTCCTCCGTCATGGGAGACCCCAGTATTACATTCCAAGCAGTTAGATTGCCATCGGCAGAAGGCTTCCAGGGGCCGTCTTCCGCCATGTGGCGAGGCGGCCGTGGACACGGGCATCATGGCAGCATCTAGACGCGCGGCGCTGGTGGCACAGGAGAGAGCACATTGTGGACGGGGATGCATCATTGTCCGTCTAACAAACAGAAGCGGCGCCACTCCGCAGAGTAGGCTACTCGCCACCCGTCTTGTGATTGAAGAGAGACTATTCCCTAGCCATCGTGTAATCTATACGGAGCATGACTTGTGTGTTCCAAGAGAAATGCCATCCCCAGAAGGTCGTGCTTCTCATAACATGGAGAATTAAGAATTCTCCTTCACGCCTGCCTCGCGCTGTGAAACTCGGTCCAAGCAGGGCCGACGCGAAGAAATTGGCCCAATTCCGCCTTTTTGTCCGCCGTGGGACTGCACCCGCCGCTTCCCTCTTTGAGAGGAGGTGGGAAGTGGTGGAATCCCAGCACGACAGACTTCCAACCTCAGGATCCGTCGTCCAAATTAAGAACAGATCCCCAACCAAATGTGATGGCAAGTCTCCTAGTAGCAGAACATCCTAGCCAACAGAAGTGTGAACTTCAATGCCCTGCAAGTCTATCGATCAATCTGTACGCCATGCAAATGCGAGTAACTCGGCTGCAGAGCACAGGGTATCGCAACAGCATGGCACGGCCATATCTGTATAAAGAAAACAGCGACAAAAACAACAGAGTCCTTCCGGAAGGATCTCGGTTCGAAGATATTAGTGAGCAGATCGCTATGCCAACTGACTGGCCCAAGCCCCAAATGATCCCGTATCCATGTTTCAATCGTCTCATCAGTCGTGCCTCATATACAAGAGAAGAAAGAAAGAACAAAAAAAAAAAAAAAATCCAAATGTGAGATATCCCAAATCGAACAGATCAACATTAGCGGCGACCCATTTCCCTCATCCTTTGGGAGTTCCTTTCGAGAGATGAACTTTCCGCGCCTTGTGTATGCAGTCCAAATTCACTCAGAGACTCCGACTTGGGTATAGAGGAATAGGTAGAGAAGAAGTCGCCCCCCGAGGAATTCGCGGGATATCTACAACCAAATCGAACCGAAGAGGTTGAGAAAAAGAACAAGGAAAAAGAAGAGAAAAAAAAACATATGCACCACATCGTTTTGCCCTATACGTGCAGCTCTTAACACGAAATTGGCCGCCAAGGGCCGAGAGAATGGCCAAACTTCGCTGCTGTAAGGCTTCGGATCAAATGTAATCGCCGTACGCGCCTGTGCCGGGGTATTGAGGGTATACCGAACGGTAGGGTGTCGGGTCTGGATAGTAAGAATGAGGCGGTGCGTAGCGGGGTGGAGCAGGTAGCGCCCGACGTAGAGAACTTGCGCGGTGTCGATTAGATGGCCTATCGGTCCTAGTAGCCCGGCTCTTGAGGTCGTCGTCGTACACGGTGCCTCTATCGCTGCCGCCTCCGCTACGGCCAATATTGATCTCTCCACCGTTGAAGCACTTGACCGTGGCATTGCCAACCTCAACGACGGCGCCGTCGGGGACCTTGATGGTGATATCATCGTCACCACTTCCAGATCTCGTGGTTCTCGTTGTAGCAGATTGGCGGTAGCTGCTTGCGTCACGGCTTGCACTGCTCCGAGTTGAGTGGCTGCTGCCCCCGTTCTTGACCTGGCGCAGATTCTCGGCCGTCAGATTGGACCTCGACGCCCCGCTTACTTGGTCCTGATACTGTGCCGCCAGCTTCGCTTTGTCCTCAAAAGCATAGCTTGCGGAACGTCGGCTTTCACGTTTGGTTTTGCTGGACGCGGGCTGCAAAGAGGTATATGCCTCCTCGTAGTACTCTGGGCTCATGCTTTGACGCCGCGGCCGGAGTGACAACTTGGTGAAATCAATCGAGGTACGACGATGTCCACCATCATGGTCCGACTCATCCTCTAAATCATGTTCATTGAACAATACTGCCTTCCTCGGCTGCGACGGCGGTGGTGGCTTGAAGAGCTGACGGGCAGGCCCCGCAGTTTGGGGTCTGGCCAACGATGGTGGCGGCATACGCCTCCGATCTTCCTGCTCTTTGGTAGACCTCGTCGTGAGTGACGGACGTCTCACGAGATGGTTGTCTTGGGGAGGTGCCTCATATTCCTCAGGGCCGTACGAGCCTTGGTGGAACCCCATGGCGGATCGTGGTCGGAACCTTTGAGCTAGGCTATCTGGAGGCTTGCTGAAGTAGTCGGAAGGGTGTCCCAACGGTGACGTGCTCAAGGGCGACGAGCCTAGAGGTGATGGTCCGCCCCATTGTGGAGGCGGGTATGAAGTAGGATTAAGTCCTGGCGGTCCTGGATGGTAGAATGCCGACGGCGCCACTGGAGGACGCGGTTGGCCATAGTAGCTATGAGGCCTGGCTGTCTGTGCTCGTGGGCGTGAGGTAGCGATGGTCTTGTGTGGGACACCGTAATAAGAGGCCTCATCAGGCTCACGAGTGCGAGCAGGTGTGGTCTTGGAGCTTCGGACCACAGGACGCTTATCTACCACCGGGTCCTTGCCCTTGCTGCTCTTCATCGACGATCTCTTCTCTTTGGTCTTGCTCCTGGATGTCGATGGTAGCTCCGTAGAGTCCGATTCGCTGTAGGGCGGCGAAACCGAAGTCGTTCGCCTGGATGACGACTTCTTCCTGCCGGTATTCATTTGCGTCTTGACGGGACTGGCAACATTCGACCTCGCGTATTGGTAAGAGCCATCAATGACATTGCCGTCCTCGTCCACGTCCTCGACCATCGCAGGTGGTGCTCTGCTGGCGCTGCGGCCGGCCATGGTCACGGCGGATAATCAGCAACTCACAACGGCGAGTGCATCTGCGTCGAACCAGCGGTGTTGTAAGGGCCTCGTAAATGTTGAAACGATAGAGCGATTCTCCCTTTGGCCTTGAGGGAACGAGAGATATTTTCGCCTATCCGTGTAAATGGCAAAGACGTTGCCTGTGTGCGGGATGATCGGGTCTCGGGTTGCTCTCCCTGGTCTTTCGGCGGCCAGGCGATGCCCACAAGCTGGGAGCAAAATGCGTTGGGTGGAAACTGGCAGTGGGGGAAACCCGACAATAGTGGACGTGCGAAGGGGCCCCTATTAGAGTGGTCCGATGTTGTCGTGAGTTTGCGGAAAGTCTGGCTGGGGGGAGTCCAGACGTTGCTTGGGCTATGAGGCAACCAAAAAGGTTGGATGCGACGGTTTGGCAAGTTTTATTTTTCTGGGGGGGGTGGGCGATCCGTCAGGAAACCCGTAAGGAAAGAGAATAATGTGGTGTGCCGTTGCTTTGCGTTGCGTTGCGCTGCGCTGCGACAGCGGGCTGCGTTGCCAGGTAGCTCCGAGTCCCAGACGGTGGAAGCTGGATGGAAAGGTCAGTCAGTGCTATGGTACTGCGTAGGAGTGCCGTGACAACTACAGGTACGATGTACAGCACCGAAGCAGAAGGGTGAGGGCGGGATACAGCGTGCGAGCGTGTGGCAGAAGGGTACAAGTCTGTACCTGGGCACGTAACTCACCCTGGGGATTGGGCCAATTCGCCCTCGCCCTCTGACCGAATGTCAAAGGCGGAGAATGCTGGTTGGTTGCTTCACTGCCAGACTGGGGGGCAGGGGTCCGGCGCTGTCGTTCTGTTCTACGGGGCCAAATGGAAACCGTTTTTTATCGATACTGGATCTGGGGTGATCCTTGCCCAAGTGCTGATCGACCCTTTCCGGCTTGGTGCCCACCACCTTTGGGGTGCCACGGAACGTCGATTGGCGACGAGGACGGGGTTGACGGGCACTGGGGGACTGGGGGCGACGCCAGTCAGGACGGGTTGCCGGGTAGGGGTTTCTAGCGAGGAACGGTAGATACCCAAGGTGGATCGCTGCCCCGAAATTGCCCACAAGTTGCGAGCTTCTGTCTCCCAGGAATGCTCTTCTCGTCGGCTGCTGTGGTTTGTTCGAGGTCGCCGCAATATAGAGCACGGCACCTAACTTGGGTTCTTGCTGGTTGATGCCTCGTCGTAAGCTGGCGGGCGACCGGTGAACCAGGCCCAGCAACCTGAGGCCCAATAAGCGACGTACCCGTGTGTTGTCTCTCAGCGTATATGCCGACAGTTGGCAGAGTGACCCCGTCGCAATTAGAGACAATGGAAGCAGCGTTGGCTAGTGCTGAGGTAAAGAAGAGGTTCTGCGCTGTGTTTCCGTTGAGCTGGCTGAACTCTGTTCGTCAGGCACGCCCGCACGCCGTGGGCTTGACTTCAGGCTGTAGGCAGCCAGATCTAAGTGGCCGGCGGGCGCAGGTCTGAGCAGCAGAAATGTGGGCGCCGGCGCGAAGAAGAAAAAAAATCGAGAGGCGAAAAAGACACGCAGTTCCCTAAGGGACTCTGCATGCAGAGGCTGGAGTTTATGCCCGAACCTGAGCTTTGGGTAGCAATGCTGCTCGGCGCTCTTAATGGACGGGTGCAAGAGTGAGGACCGCCTCTCCAGAGGAACACGGCCGAGGTTGTGACCGCACAAGAAAAGACAATATCTCCCAGTCCGGCGGTTCGCAAACTTGGAGAAAGTCGAGACTCGGCTCAAGGGGAAAACTCTTTCTTGCACCAAGGGGGGGCCATCCGGGATTTTCTCGATGATGGAAGTGAACGATGATGACTTCGTGCGGGCATTCGAAGGCAGCCTTGGAATCCCATTTGCCAGCACCTATGGCCCGTGGTAGGCAGAGACCATGCCAACACACAACTTAGTTACCCGTTCTGTGCAATTCCCACTTCTCCAAGCCTTAAGTCAAGGTCTAATTGGGTCTCAACCCCGGCTTGCAGCTTTCATGCATAAGCCGAAGCCTCAAGCTTCTACCATAGGGTCGGGCGTGGATGAACGCCAAGCGCGGGCCACTAGCAGTATACTCCAGAGTCAAAAGAGTCATCGCGCCTCCATAGGGAAGGTTTCTCCCAAGCCCAGGCCGAACCATTTCACAACTCAGCTACCCCATGGGCGAGTATACCCAGAGAACAATACACAACCCGTGCACAACCTGTGTGCAACTGCAATGTCCAGGAAAACGGCATTTCACCGCCTGCGTCATCGACGTGGTCTGGATCATGGTAGAAATTATTGCCTCGCTGCGAACGGCAGCACTTGAGAACTCATCATTCAGACTCTCAACCCTAGCCACGCAGCGAAAGCTATCTCCGCGAACTATGGCCGGTGCCTATTATTAGAGCTGGCCATTCGCGGGCCGCCAACTCGCGAACCTGCCACAGAAGGCACCCGCTTAACAGCAATTTCTCATTCGAAGGACTACCCTCTCCCTTTTAACTAAACCCTCTCTGTCAATTCGACACACACAAATGGGTCTGAAGTGTTTGTAGCAATTGCGGAACGGTTGGTGTGGATGAGCCGAGGACGAAACTCGGCGCTTCCCCAGTCTGCATGTCAAATTGTGTCAGTCGTGCAGCCACCAAGATCGCACCTATCGAGGACTGGCTCCTCACTAAACTACGATTTATGGCATCCGCATTCACTTTCCCGGGATCACAGCCTCTAACCATTGATAACGACATCCCCAAGGCCGCTGACAGCCTAAGGTGTCGCGGTAAGAAACCCACTATGACAGACGAGGCCGCATATAAAGCATTGACGCAAGCTGCAAGTATCCGGAAAGAGACAAGACCAGGTGACAATCACTGTCATTCCGGGGCGCCGTCCAAACTATGTTCGTGTTCGCTTGCAAAGATCGTCAGTGTGTTGCTGAACCATCAGAAAGTGGGTCTGAGATGATTCAATAAGGCCCTTTCCTGGGGGTTGCTAAAAAGTGAGGCTGAACGCGAGCAATCAATGCAAGAAATGCGCAGATCTATCAGTGGATGAGTCTAGTGTTCATCCCAAACTCAAGTATTGCTCTGGTATCCATAATGTATCCGTAGTGGAATGGATGTCTTCATTTGCAATACGCAAGAGACCGCGATACTGTGTGCATGGAAAAGATTGTCAATAACACCTCAAGTGAAGCGCTCCCGGCTTGAAAAGAGCGGTGAGCCGTCCGTGATGGTGTTGAGCGCTGGAGGCAAATTTCTGTCCTCGACGCAGTTGCGCGGGATCCATTTGCCAAGGGACCCCACTCCAACTCAAAGCCGCCAGTACTAAGATAGACTTGCTGCTGTGCAACCCGAACGACAGATTGGCTCCGAGACACGGCCAATTCTAGACAAGACCGTTACTGATCTGCTGCCTGATTAGAGCTGTAGTGCTGCCAATGGACCCAGGACGGCACATTGCACTGTCGGAACCTTAATAAGCGCAAGATAAACTGCTATCTATAATAACCAAGACGAATCAGACAGCATACAGAATCAGAGTACTTCCCGGTGATACATGTGATCTTGTTTCTTCCAAGACACACAGGCCGGCAAGGCCGTAGACTTTTTGCAGTGGAAGTCACTGGAAGGAGCGGACGTTTCTGAACGCCGTGTTCTCCCTTCTTCACTCCGTCAGCTTTCGTCCGTCAAAGACGGAAGGGGACATCATTGCCATGGCCACGAGCCCACCAAAAGTCCTGCAAACATAACTCATTCAAATGTTAGCCACTTGTTCCCGGACATGCGCGATCAGAACGCCGCGGTAGTAGAAGGAGCCTCAGAAGAAGGGTGGCTGTAATGACGGTGTATGAGAAGCACATATGCAAACATTGCATGTGTACTATCTCTGTGTCCCTCCACTACCGCCAAATGGCAAGCAGCACGCCTCGTTCATTGTTGCCTTCGTTATCAAATGGGCGATCGGTGGTACTGCCATGAGGCATCAACCAGTCCTCTAGACTGCCGGGCAACCCTGTTCTAAGTGCTTGGAGATGTGACGGCTAACGCGCAGAATGACACCTCAGCATCTAACTCCACGTGACCCGTGTTAACATGATGTGCTGCATATAGGCCCAGGGCAATCTAGCATGCCATTGTCCCCCGGCCAGGGGTTTTGAACACTCATGGTTTTCTGGTCATTTCAAGACGAAGGACGGATGATGAAGTGCTGGCCAAGGGTACCGAAAATTAAATCAGCTTCGGGGGGCTCGGAACTGGTGAATAATCGAAGTAACGCCACAGAGACTGGATTGAGAGACAGACTGTCCATATCATAGCATGGTGCAGGAAGACCTCGAAGTCGCATATATAGGAATGAGGCTTCAACAGCGGCCAACAGTTTTTTTGAAACTACAGATTATTCCCAATAATGGTGACATTTTCAGAAAAGGCGATGGATCGTGGACGACTTACAAACCAGGTTGAGGAAGGCATAGGCCACCTAAGGGATACGTGATCAGATTTCCGATTACTTCAAAACAATCCTCTGGGTCTGGTATCGCACAATACTTCTGACATCATCTCTTTTAGTTCGTGGCCTTGGTAAACATGTGACTGCGAGGAATTGTCTTTCCACGATGCATAAAGCTAGGCTGGAGGGGACCTGCAGCGGTTCAATGAAGGGGGGAACTCTCAGTTGGCTCAGCGAAGTACTTTTCACGGACACTACCCAGGGCAATGACATCAGTGAATGAACCCCCGAAGAGAAAGAAGCAATACTGCACACGATACCTACCACTTGCAAGCTTGTGGTTTAGAAGTCAGGTAGAGCTAGGGTAAGACACGGAGCGGTGACAGGGATGCCACGTGACTCCACCAACTCAGCCCTACAAGCTGGACGCCAGATCTTGCGATCTGTGCGCCGATGCAACGGATCAACTCTTAATTTTTAAGCTTCAGCCCAAGCGATATGCCAGTCTCCTACCGGTGTTTATATGGAGGTAGGAACACATGACGTGCGGGCAGCATTTTACATATCGTGTCCACAACATGTTAGGTTTCCGTACCGGTGTCGGTGTTACCCGTACACGCAAGTTCACCAGCCCGTGTATCCAAGTTGGGCAGCCTGGCAGGTCAGCGTCAGCTGAGTGAACCCATAGCAGCAAGACCCACAGAGCCGGGTCAAGACTTGGTTGAGCAAACCTATACAGGAAAGGCAAATTTTGGTAGAGAACGATGAAAGCGAGATTACTCGATCTGCTCAGCTTGCATAGAAAACTCACATGCACCGCTCCGCCATGGCAGTTCTTTCTTCACTCATTTCCACGTGCTTGATTGCCATCCAAGTACCTCCTCGTTTAACGCGGCTAATTATAATTTCCAATGATTAGGCGCTCACGCGTTATTTCGAAGCTGTCAGCTTTCGATGGGACATCTAAACCTTCTCGAACGAAGAAAAACCTTGATTGGGTTTTCATCAGATCGGACGTATATGCGTAGATCGCCGCAAGGCCGGAACAGCGGTCTACAGATTTACCCCAGATCGCGTTTTTTCATCATAGTCTTCCAGTTTCCGGCCCGTGCTTGAAGCTGGTCTATGGGCTTGGTTGGTCTAGGGATGGCCCTTGATCGGGCCGCAAAGCTCGAGCCTACTGTCAAACCCTGCGAACTGGCCTCACGTTCTGGGCTTGGCCTGCTTAGTTTGACCCATACTGGCGGATACGTAGCGTTGAAGCGGATGCACCGTAGAGACGGTGAGATGGGCTTAGAAAAAAAAAAACATCGCATCCCAAATACAGAGGCTTGGGTTGACATTCTGAGTCAACGCGGTGAAAGCCCCGTGGGCCTGAGGAAGGAAACGAAACCGGCGTTGCTCAATCGCCACCTGGGTTTGTACCGCCCCAGGCATTCCAGACTTCCATCATGATTACGAGGTGCGGACACAATGGCGGACACAATGGCAGGCAAAACTTGGAAACAGCGATATGCTCGGTTCCGCGAACAAACTATCATCTGATAAAATCCAGACTACATTCCCACCACACTCTTAGAAAAACCGGCCTAGCTGCGACGAACACAACTTCGACGTCGGCCATCTATAGCCCCACTGCCTAGTCTCGAGATCTCACGGCAGGGTGGCTCCCTGACCGAGACCTAGCAGGTCGCCCGACGAATGGCGTTACGCATAGCCTGTACATCCATCCGCGCTATCCCATCTTGCGCTTTTCTAGTCGAGCATGGGGACGGCCGCCTCGCAAGTTGACAAGTGAGACTCGCAATCAGTGCACATCCTGTTCCAATCAAGCGCAGCTGTCGCGGATGATTGATAGCATAGCCCCAGCTTGCGTAGCCCTCGATTTGGGTACTGTCACTCGTCGTGATCCTTGTTACTAACCGGGCCATCACGGGTGCGTTGCTGAATTCTCAATCCCGTCCGCATTGTGCCTGCTGCGAGGTATATGCAAGGTACGATGCATGCACGGTCGCCGATCGTCTAAAACATCGGCCATAGAGCATGACTCTACCTCCGGGCCTCGTGCATCGCCAGATGCAACAGTCAGTGCGGTCCTGTTCACGGCAGCTTCGGCAGGCAGCATATGGGTGGGTAGCCTTGACAAGGTCAGATGCCCCAACCACCGAATGCGAGGGTGGCCTCTATGTCTTAGCTTGGGCGAACCAACTACCCGTAGAGACCCGTATGCCAGAAAAGGCGCCCGCCCTTTGCCATCCTTCCGCAAGCTAATTCCCATCTATCGACACACCATTTTCAAGTTTTGGGTGCGACTCATCCACCCCGGTCGACGCGTGATGCCTGAAATGGAAATGGAACCCTGGCAGTCACGGATCGATCTCGTCCTGCTGCAGGCTTGGGGCCCTTCACTGCCGTTATAGTGCATTATGGCGCCCCGCAAAGGGGAATGTGCCAGACGGCGATGGCGCGGCATGACCACCCACTCATCAGGCTGTCGACTCACAAGGCAGCCTCCCTGCCTACAATCCCGTACTTGGGCGCGAGACGAACTCACCGGGCCTGCTGAGTGGGAAAGAGTACTTCTGCCTAGTGGTAGTATATAAGAGCGGCGTTGCCGCTCCTGTCTAGTGCTGAGCCGACCCTTGTGTCTCTCGACCTATCACTTATATCCATCAGAACTCATCATCTTCTGTTATCTCTCTCCTCTGTGTCTCGAGAGCTTGAGCCGGCGTAAGCCCGGCGACCTTCGTTGGATCACGTTCAATAAGACGAGAGACTGATAAGAGAACGGGATGCCACTTGGGTCCGTACTGTCGCTTCCGCTCTAACCCCTATCACCACCAACCCTCGACAAGATGCCTACATTCCCAGTTGGCACAATCACCCACATACGGCCAGATTCTTGGCCGCCGGCATCGAACCGGATGACCCCAACCCTCGAGGACGACAACCTCACGGATGATGATGACCTCGACCTGCCACTACTTGAGCAGGACCCATTACGGTACTTCCTCACGCCTCCCACGCCTCAGGACGAGGACCTCGAGTTTGACTTCGACTTTGACGCTGGAATCGAAGACTCAAGCCATCCCCAGGAAATTGTTCGTAGCGTGAGCCCATCAACCCTCGACGGTCTGAAGCGGTATAAGCCCCACAACAAGACCAATGACTGTGCCATCATCGATGACGACTCGGACGACGATGAGGATTACATCCGTTTCACTCCAAGCAAGTCTTTCCCGCTCAGTCTCCCCGACTTCAGCTTTGACCGGCCCAGGACGCCTGGTGCCGCACAGTCGAGGAATGGAGAAACGCTGCTGCCAACAGCTTTCCATGTTGGTTCACCACGTGGGAGGCCGGTCAAGAGGTTCGCGCCACCCCGCCGTACGTTCCAGGGCAGATCCCGCAGCGTGCCGCTCCAGCGACGGCACTCGTGGCGGGAGCCGAGCCCCGATGTCTGGTCAATCGAGGAGGAGCCCGAGAAGGAGACGCTGAGTGAGAGGGGCCTGAGCACGGAGGACTTGGAGGCGTACTTCCAGGAGAAGAAGACAGCGCCGATAGACATCCCGGCTGCAAAGCCAAAGAAGAGGGTTCGTTTCGTCCTTCCGGAGAAGGAGTAATTTCATTCATGTTTCTCTTTGCGGCAACAAACACGGAGGTCAGCATGGGCACTTGGACTGGCATTTTGATGCATTTTATCGGCGTTGGTGGTTGTCTCATTATACCATCAGAGCATTTTCACGGCATGTTATGGTTGCATTTGGGTGGCTGCATACGTATGGAATACCACGGTTATATCATTCGACTAGATTGACAGCTCAGGCAACACATTTCCGGGAGGGGCATTGGCATTTTATTTGTAATGTTGGCTTTATAATTCTTTATTACCAAATTCAATCACCTATACTCATGTTTTGCCAAATATCGCTGCACTTTAAGGTTTCGCCTAAAGGCATTGAAGAAATTAAGAAAACGCTTTTCGAATGCAACCGGTGCAAGTTTTCTCTTGGAGACTCCAATCCACTTGAGTTGCAAGCTGAACTCACCGACTGGAGACGGCCGGGGCTCTAAATTTTGTCATTTCTCTAGTCGGCTATTACTACAGTGAGGCCAAATCAAACATGATACCTGTCATGGTAGCGGGTACTGAGGTTCCTTCGGAGGAGTGCTGTTTGTAAGACGAGCGGCCGGTGATTCCTTTCCAATAATAGAAAACTGCAGCATCAGCGCCTTGCCGCTTCCGTCCTACAGCGGCCGAGTCGGTAAGCAGGATCACCCGCACGGCTGAGCCGATGCCCGTAAGTCTAGATAGAACTACGAATGCGGTTCTAGATGCTTACGTGCTGCATGCATCATCCCTTGCCTCGACTCGGTTCCCGGAGACCCCCATTCTGCTCGTCAGCTGCCCGGGTAGGAATTTTTTTACTCTCACTTGTCGACACGCTTCGTATGCCACGAGGACCTTTGATAGCACTTGGGGCCAGCCCCCAAAGGAGACGTTGCCGCCGGAGCAGCATTGGCTCGGACGTGAGAATGGCAATAATTTGATCCTACCCGATCCACGTCGCTAACTTGCAAGCGCACCGTGGGCCGCTGGCAACGAAATCAACGTGCTGTAAGCCATGCGAGTGGGCTCCCTTCGGACAGCTCGCTAGAAACGCAGACGGGACATTAGGGCGAGGTAAGGGAGACCAGGGACGAGGTACCGAATGGGCACTCTTTGGTTCCATCAAGTATGCTGTTGCTCTGTCCGGAATTCTCCTGACCTGCTCATACCCTTGGTGTAGTCCACATTCGGGAAATCTGCATGGGGGAATGGGTTAGGCTGCGGTCCAACTGGCTGAATTCCGCGGCCCCAGGGTTCGCTGCTTCGAGTGAATTCCATCGTGAGCCTTCGAGGATTCCTTCTCTCTACTGAGAGCCGGCAGCGTAGATGTAATCGCAAATTTGTCGCAGCAGCACCATAGAGCCGCAATGCGGACGAAGTACCTAGGTACCTTTGTAAGCTTGCAGAAACCTTCACATCTACTGCTGCCGGGTGCACGTGGCTTTGACTGGGAAGAAGGATTACTTGGAACGTGAACTTCGACAGGGATCCAGGAGATTGTCGTATGCCCGCCGTATTAGTCTGACCAGCTCGTAGGCCTTCCTGATTCGGTTGTACACAGATTGACGTAATTAAGCGTAGAAGGTGAGGACATCGAATTACGCTTCAAACACCTTCAAAATAAAAACATTGCTCGACAAACTAAATGCAAACGAGTAGAGCCAGCATATAGGTCGGAGGATAGCGGCGAGTTGACGGTTCCGTCGTCGTCATTCACCTCTGTAGGCCTACAGAGTATATATCGGTCACCGTGCTCGTTTTCCACTGGGTTTCTTGGTTTCTCTTGAACATCAACAAAAATGCTGAAGGTTTTATCTAGCAGTGATAGAATAAGTGCAACGTGGGGGGTTTCGAGACCATCCGCACATATGAAACGCTCAATGAGATCCCGATGATTCATAAACTCATCTTCGATTAATTGGGTTTGCGCGCACACGATATCGAAAACCATGTTGAAACGCTCAGTTCATCCCTCACTGAATCTAGATTTAACATGAATGGACTGCTCTCAAAGATACGACTCCTAACACCGAACCCTATGCTGTTCTCGAGGACTTGGTGCAAGCCTATAGGTTGATTTGTATTCTACTGTTGATAGGGTATCCATCTTTAATCATCATCTGCGTCTTCCGCATCCTCTACTGTCACCGACTTGGGCTTGCCTTTGTCGCTACTGGAGCCCTCTTCCCGCTCGCCCTGTTGAGTGATTTCGCTGCTCTCGGGCTCCTCATCTGCTCTAGAAGATGTGCCAATTTCCCTGTTGGCAAAAAGCTGGGCGGGGCCACCCCAGTTTGGTGCCACTGGGGTGGGAGCAGCTACTGGAGGGGGCTCTGTCCGCGCCTGTGACGGGTTGACTACAGGAGTACCACCAAGTGTGCCCTCACCTCGTGAATTAGATGGTTCGCTACGAGCAACACCTTCCGTTGTGTCATGACTTGCACTTCGCTGCTCCCGCGCAGGGCCAGGGGTTTCAGGTTGCGGGGTTGCTTGATTTTGGAGATTCTGTTGCGTGGAGCCGTCCATCCGTTGGAGTGGCATCAAAGTCCACCCTTGGGGAATGACGACACCTTCTGGCAAATCAGGACTGCCTGCTGGAATCGATGTAGAATACGTCGTCACGCCATGTCTAGTAACGGACGGTGTGTTGATTCGTTGGGGGAAGGGAGTGAAAGACGCGACGGTCTGCGGTAATGCTGGGAATTGTGGTAAAGCGTTTGCTGGAGCCATCTGAGCTGCCGGAACCTGGCCATGGTTGGTAATCCCGCCTTGCCCATGGATTGATCCATTTAGAGGCTGCTGGGCCATTCGTAAACGTTGCAGCTCAGCCATCATGGCATTTGTGGCCTGCAACTCCACCTGTGTTGTCTGAAGCGCTTGTATCTCTTGCAGCAAGCGCTGTTGTATGTTCTGCAGCTGTGCGCTGATGTCGGAGAGACCGCCCGTGTTCATAGGCGCATGCTGTTGAGGTTGCGGAGGCACGCCACCCGCCGGCGGCGCCATCGCAGGCGCACCATCCAACCCAACGTTGAAGCGTTGTTGTAACATCTCTTGAACGTTCTGTGGGTTGCCTTGGGCAAAGCCCAAGCGTAAAGGTCCGAATTGAAACATGCGCATGCCACCACCACCTCCTGGCCGACCTTGCTGTTCCTGCCCACCGTTTGCGCCTGCATTGCCTCCGCCAGGTTGGCCAGGCGCTGGGGCTTGGGCACCAGCATTTGGTCGGGCGGCACCTTCCCCGTTGGGGTTGGCTCCATCGATGACAACAGACCGTCGACAGGTAGGGCAGACTTGCTGGCGTTCCAGCCAGCCTTTGAGACAACCAAAGTGGAGGATATGACCGCAAGGCAGCTTCTTGGGTCGCGATCGTTCGACCGCGTCAGGAGCTGCCGGATTCCACGGTCTCATCGCTTCTCTACAGATAATGCAAGTATCCTCACGGGCCAGTTCTTCTTCAGTGGCGTCTGGATATCTGTTCATATCCTGAAGAGCCTTTCGGTATCTGACAAGAGCGCTCAGTCGTTTTAGGAAGGATCTTGTCGTGAGGAAGAGATCCCGCATAATGTGGATAGGTAGGCCGTAGAACATCATTAGCACGGCGAAGAAACCAACATAGACACCCAGTTTGACGAAGTCTGCCACAGTATTAGCAATGGCACACGAGTCCTACTTGTCGTTACTTACCGGCGAAGAGATCCAGACCGAGGACCCATTGGCCTTTGGATTCCCAGCCCGGGACTTCGATATCCATCTCGTCCACCTCCTCATCAGGAAGTTCCTCTTGATTTGCGGCCTCGGCCTCCGCCGAATCTCCAGATTCGCGGCGTCGCAGAATATCGGCGCGTTGGTCTCTGACCTGCGTGCGCCGCTCCTCGAGCCTCTGCTGGGTCTGCTTGTTGACGATGTGCATCTCCACCAGTGAGAGCACGTATCGCAGGCCCGTTCGGAAGGAGCATGTCGCCAATATAGCGAATTCGAAGAGGAACATGACCATCATGTTAGGACGCGCCTGTTGAATAACTGTGTTGACGGTATATGTAAAGAGGTAGGTGTCGTAAAGGATGCTAAGGAGGAGCGAGATGCTGAGGCGGGTGTGGAAGAGTCGCGGGTTCGCCGGCGGTTGTTGCTCGAGGATCTCGACTCTGCCTTCGCCTATCCATTCCCAAACCTTGCCGGTGACCAAAGCCGTGAACATGACCAGGAACCATGCTCCCACCTCTTCCCGGAAGATGGTCATGGCCAGACAGGTCTCGGTCACGGCGAACCATGCCTTCTCGTAGAGCTGTTCGATTTCGACCGGTCGCAGCTGGCCGTAGCATAGACGTTGCAGGCCGTAGACAAAGGTTCCGTACACGAGCAGGATGAGGTTGATGAGGATCTATCTCGGGGCACGTGGGTTAGTGGCGGGAGCCAGCCCGAGGCACGGAAGCGCGGTGGACACTCACCATCAAGCTGAGGTTGTTCTGCGACAGGTACACCATGGCCGAATAGAAGTTGGCCCTCTGGTTGAAGGCATACGTGACCACACCTGCGGCCAGCGCCGCCGAGGACTAGACGATGGTCAGTCAGTCAGGCCGGAGCTCTGTCGAGCTACCCACAGCTAGCTCAACGGGTGGGAGGAACGGCAGCTTACCCCGGCGTACCAGAGCAGCCTCATGGTGGCGGCTCGGTGGGACTGGAGGTGGTGAAATGGAGGATCTGCTGGCGGGCAGGTCAAGTCTTCATCATTTTGATGTTGGAACTGGCTGGCGTTGAGCAATCGGCCGCTTGCTACAGGGGAATGTGAGCGTAAACGCACTTGGCCTTTCGTTGTTGCCACGTTTAGGGGACGCGGCGCGGGATGACGCACCGGAACGCCAGTGGCCAACGGGGCGAGGCACAGGCCACGTGACGTCTGTCTCGGGGCGCTTTGCTCAGCGCCCGGCACGCCGAAGCGGGCCACCGGACTCTGCCTACAGCTCCGGGTCTTGGTCCACGATGTTCGCTCTCAGTCGAATGCGCACAGCTTTCTGTCGAAGCCGTGCGGACATGTCGAGCCTGTGTATTTAACCCGCAGCCTACGCAGTGGGCGTGGACGTGGACGTGGCAACATGATAGCCTCGGCACTCGCGCCAGTGATGACACCGGCTTTACTATCTACGCTCAGGAATCATCCAGGTCTACCCCGTCACACGTGGTATATAGTTGCTGCAAGTGCACTGGCTGTTCTAAACCGACCAGATGAGATCCCCAAAATCTACACCTATGTTGTGGAGACAGGGAGTCATGGTGCCGACCTCAGCTCTTCCCCGGACCAGCAACTCCGCGTCGCCCGTAGGATGAGAGAGGCGCTCATAAAAACATCTGCCATCGGCGGCGTACCAAAGGTAATACTTGGCTCACTTTCTGTCGCTCATGAGATATCCTGCGCCGCGGGAATGGACTTGTCACTGACTTCCCGTGGCAGACGATCAACTCACTGCTCTCTCTAAAGGGGGCAACCCCTCCTGGGATGCTTGATGAGCCCGGATATCCTTCACCGACGGGCAGAGTCAAAGACGTTTACGAGGTGCCGTGTTCCGAGGTCTTACAGCGAGGGCAAACCTTCTTCGACAAGATCTACGGCAAGATAGCAAGGCGAATCATGGGGCAGTTGGACAGATCGGGCACCGAGGATCTAGGCCTGACGGCGAGGCTGGTCTACGGCCACATCATCAGCAACACCAGCGTCCTTACGCCCGCAGAAACCTCCTTCGTGTTGATCGCGGGACTGATTCCGCAGGATGTAAGTCCACTTCAGCTTCAGGGTTGACTTGCAGCGAAGCATTGGCTATGGATACTGACAAATCGATTGTCCAAAGGTGAATCCTCAACTCAAGGGTCATCTGCGAGGTGCATTAAATGGAGGCGCGACCGTTGAGCAGGTGCGTGCAGTTCGGGAAGTCACTCTGATGATCTGCGAGGCATCCGGCATGAGGAGGCTGGCTGAAGACGCTGTCGGGGGCTGGGGATGGAGGACTGAGGTCGCCAACGTGTAGGCTCACCAGCCGGACGACCAGCATCCACAGGGAGCCGCAAAGTATCAAAGTAAGGGGGCTGTGGGCCAATTGTGCCCATCCTATTGCAGAGCGTGTGGCATGCATGCTACGCCCCCGGCCGTTCTGAGATGCCATGACACTGGATTAGGAAAACGACCTTGAGATCGGACGATCTGGCCCTGGTTAAGCGAAAGGATTGTTAAGGTTGGCTGAAATACCATGTTCTCGACCCTCGTGACGGCGCCTGATTGTGTGACGGGTTCTTGACAAGGCCAGGGCGACCATATGCCGAACACTATCGCTGGCTCAAGGCTTATCCTCGTCATTTGTGACATGGCTGCGAGCTCGAATGCGGCTCAATCACGACTTGCTCAGGACGCCAACATGCTAACCGTACAACAGCTGGCGTAAACTATACCCACCGAGCTAAGTTTCGGGACCGGGCGATACAACTTCCAGTTGAGGTCAATGGGGCGACCAGAGCAAAATGCGATGGGTGGAAATGAATCTGTAGCAGTAGTTGGTGCATTTACGGGGTCCCGCGCGACCTTACGGCCGTTACCCCCCTGCTCCGTAGAATACCTAGGTAGTCAATATTTGCCTTGCCACGAGGCAGCCCTGTATGCATTCATGCAATCCTATTCGAGCTTCAGGTCAGCCCGCGGCAATCGCCCGGGACCCTCGGGGGCCTTCTCATGATGCACGTCTACCTATATTCAGAAACACAATTCTATGCCGGCCCTCATATGTTTGCGCCATGGCAGGCAACGTACAAGACCACACAGCCAGACCAGCAGAAAGGAGGGTGGCCAGCAAGCATTGAAGGTTGCGCACGCTGCAGACAGAGAGACCTGCCTAGACCAGCAGACCGTGTGCTAGACACAGTTGCCAATGGGGGATGCAACTCGACAATCTCGGAAAACACTCAACCCGGACCACCAGGAGTAGGGCATGCAGATCAACTGCCGTACGACGCAAAAAGCTTGGATTACCGAGTTCGGAATCCATTCGGTCTGCCCATTTATCCCCTGCCAAAGCTACTCCATTTCGATGCAGGCACTACTGAGTGAGATTCATGGGCAGGCAGCTTGGGCAGGTGCAAGGATCGTGGGTGTTTGATGAAGAGATTCATCTCCAAATCTCGTCTCGCCAGGGCCAGGTTGGCGGGCAGGGCATTCCACCGATCTCCCTCGGGGGAGCCTGGACAACAACCTGTCCCGTGCAGGCTGCAAATGTTTTGGGGCTATACTGAGAGCGGCGAAGTTAAGCGTGGAGGGTGGCATCGAGAACGGGACCGTCGCGGGGCGGCGCGTGAGCATCCAATCCGTCGGGACAAACACTGAAACTCTGCCCTTTGGGACCGTCACCAAGGGTCGTGCTGCTTAGATCACCAGCTGCCCGTCCCCCTCCCATAGCGTACCATATCTGATCAGATTATGGTCCAGGCAGGGGCTATTGGCAAGGCGATCTCGTGATGATTTCATAGACGGCATTCTCCATTGACCAGCTGTAGACCCTGGCGATATCCTGGCGAGATCCTGGTGCAGCTCTTTACGATCGCGAAAAGCATACTGGTTTTGTGCTACGATCTCATTTACGTTGCATACGAGGAGTGCAGTCCGCATTTCAAGGGCCACTGCCATTCGATGCCTCTGAGACACGTCGTTTAGAGCCTAAAGAAAAGCAACGCCTGTTAGCTGCCTACTCCCCACCAATGAGGTCCTGATGGTATCAAGGGCATCCGCCTGACGGCGTAGGATTTGCTCGTGGCTTTTCGACCCAATCTGTTGGGACGATCTAGCTGCGGCACATCCGTCACCCTTGCTTGGTGGCTGCCACCAAGGATGCTGGCTTTGAAAATACCCTCAAATAGTGATGCAGGGCCAAAGGGTGACGAGTATATGGGGTCGTGAATATGCGCTCCAGGGCCTGGGCCATCTCCGCGGTTGACTTGCACGGTCATGGGAGGTTATTGGATGTGCACATCATATGTACCGGTACGCGGTCCACTGGCCGCGGGATGCGATCAGGCGACCAGGCGACCGAGCTTCTGATATCTCGGCTACTAGCTCGTGACTTGTCCTCTACCATAGTAGGCTAGAAATCCTTCCGTACGCGACCTGCAGTTCCTGGTCCCCGGGCACACAGATTAGGTTTTGCTTTTATGGTAGAGGACGTCGCCGACTGCCATCGAGCAAATGCCGGTCATTCGGTATGTTACAAGGGACACCCCGCGACAAGTAGTGAGGCCGGATGATTGGTAGTTGTGTCAAGCCCACTCGGTTGTGTCAGTGGGCCGATGAAGAGTCTGGACCTTTTGTTACAGCACCGACGAAAGATTCCGGGGTACTACGCTTTCGCGTCCGTTTCTGGATATCGTACGATCCTAGTCATGAGCGACAGCATAAACTCTAACAGTTTTGAACCCTAACGGTTTGCGGACTCTGTAGCGTATACCTTTCGGGAGATGGTTCGAGGAGGTGCCGTTAGTTTGGGAACCGCACAGGACGCCGTTGAATTAGCGGGTATAGTCCTCCGGGACTTAGGTACATCGATGATGCCTGTTAGCTGCGATGGATGCGTTCCTAGATCGGCGGTACCAACAACACCTCTCGTTCCCGCGAAAGGAACATGTTTCTAATTTGAGTTGATAAAGCTCATCCTTGAAAATACTGTGTGAAGATGAGGGGTCACTGCTTCGTTGACAAACCTGACTTGGCGGTGAATTCCTTGGGCTAGCCCGGCTAGATCGCTTAAATGAGGAGACATATTGGTATATCCCACGATCCCAGAATATATTAGGTCCGCCAGGGCGACCGAGCTAGAGGGTACCGGCTGGCTGGATGGTGGCACCTGCAGAGACCTGTCCGAATGGTCCGGGTTGAGCCACTCCTCGGCTGGCTTTGCGCCTGTGCTGTGAAATCCACAGCACAGCTGATTGCAGTAGTTTCAGTGGATGAGATGGCAACATCTCATGTAAGTTTGGACAAATTTGCTTGTGAGCCGAGCAGAGCCTCAATCAGTTGTCATGACAGCGCAGCAATCCCACTGCGCCGCGCCCCAGCGTCAAGGCCACCATTTGGGACAAGATCATCGGGCAATCCCTCGCTTTACACAGTACTGGAGCTGCCAGATGCCCCGGTAACTTACACAGTAGGTAGAGCAAGTCCTAGTCATCGCTAATCTCTCTGATACCCCTGCCTTGCCTGCCGGCGACGGACAGAGATTGTGCCACTAGCGATACCCATCTACTGTAACTTGATCGCGCAATACGTCTCTCCTGCCATCTCATCGCTAAGGCGCAGTGTTTCGGACATGGTCGCTTTTACGCATGGTAAGCTATGTCACTCTGGCTTTGTGTTGTAGCAATGCTACTGAAGCAGGGACCGTCGTACCGAATCTCTTATTGCCATCCATCAATCCTTATGCAGCGTAATCCGGGAGATTGTTTCTGCCGCGGGCCATGTGTTATCCCAGCAAGCGGCCCTGGTCCCGGTCCCGGTTCTGTGGTTCGGTGGTTCTGAGAGCTCTAAAATCTGACCAGTTGCATGCTTGGTGTCTGAGATGCTGTAGCGTAACCCAAGGGCGGGATGCTAATTGTTCCGCAGAATTGCGGAATTTCTACATCGGGACCAAGGCTGCCAGGTATCCAGGCTGATAGGCTACTACCGAGCGCACGGGAGTTTGGCGTTCCGGAAAGACGGCCGGGGTCTTCGACCCACCCACACAGTGGTTTGGCCGCAAGATCATCAGTCATGTAGGCCTATCAGGCTTGTCTGCTACCACATGCGAAATGGTCCTGATAGACCCCAGGCCAAGTGCTGGAGGGGACCCATTCTCGGTTGCGGCCGACTAGTGGCTCACAGCGTGCTTACAGTAGACGGGAAGTGTCCTAGCTGAGCGTCAGTCAGTCTCCCCGTGGGAACAGAACCATTAAAGCGTTGTCGGCTTACTACGTACGCATGGCCCCCTCGGCTTCGTGTGCGGGAGTTGATGTCTTTGACTTGGAGGGGGGGAGTTGTCAATTTACGGACCCTTGCAGTGTGTTCCAGAAATAGCAGGGTAACATTCTACACAGTAAGGCAAGATGGGGACGTCAGCACGAAATACGGGGTCTGGTACCTGTACCCTGGAGTTTGGAATGAGCAGCGCCAGTCATTGATGTTGCAAGTATCCTGTACTTCTGACGCATGACGGAGGCGCTGCTTATCCCGACTGTGTGGTCGCTTGCAGAAAACCAGCCAACCAGAGGGGATGCTCTACTTGATGTAGCTGGCCCCCCGTCTTGCTCGATCTTAACAGAAGATCTTATTACTTTCCCACTTTAACCTTGTTCCTCTTTCGCTGGGATTGCGGCCAAGCATTGAAACATGGCAACTAGGATCACAGTCGCATTGTAGGATCTTCATCCTAGAGCGGTGTCATCGTGATTTCGTTCCCGTTACAGACGTATTGTCGTAGTTTGCTGATCTAATGCGGGCTCAGTTTCTGGGCAAAGCTGATGCGATAATTGGAGATGAGCTTGCGAGAGCACGCTTAGAGATGATACTGGCTCGATAACCCGCGGCGCATACCTACGGACAGTCTTGGTGGTCTATCATTGCAATAACACCGTAGGTGTCTAAGTCGGTTGTCATGACACTAATCCCCAAAGCCGCAGTGCCCTAGCTTATAAGATAAGACCGGCCTATGATGTTTCGAGGTGGAGAGAGCTAAACCTTGAGGCAGTGTACACCAATACATTGATCAAAGACGATGATAATGCCATAGTGCTGTGGTACATGCATGCCCACCATTGCTATCAACACCACACATCCACTTCATCCGCGAGGCGAAGCGAATGATGGTAATTGCACTGTACTCGCCAAAACCCCTGTTGGACTGGAAATCACGCTTGGGGTTCTCAATAATGCTTTTTGGGGGGTGTTCTCTATGCAGGTACTTGTCTCACAGATGTCAAGTAGATTGGTTGCAGAGTTCACCGAGCCTGCACACTACTT